ATAGTCCAACATGAAGCGCCCGGGCACAGACATGCAGATCGAGCGCAAGTGCAATCACTATTCAGTTCCCCATGCAGTCATGATATTGAGGGGGGTCTGGAAAAACCCCCTCCACCAACATCCACCAACCTCCACCAACAGAACAAGCCAACTTCAACTGGCACATCCGTCACATCCCCACCCCGTTTCGGGGAACTGTCAGTGCACATACCCGCTGTCACCAGCCAAGGTAACGCCTCAATCCAAGGTTTCAGGGTGATTGCATTGGAAAACAACCACTCAAGCCACCGAACAGCTCCGGCAGCTTTGGTTATGACTATCTCGATCGTACATCGGCCATCGGCCATATCGCTTGGCGGTAATAGCGGTCACAGAAATAATTACCGAGAGACAATCTCCAGGTGTCAAATGTCAAATGTGTCAAATGTGTCAAGTTTTCAACGCTATACTCCGTAGTGAATCACCTACAGTAGTTTCTGGAACTACTGTAGAAGAATTTTCTTTTGTTTGCTACGTAGCATGTATGGCGCTTCAACCAGGGAACAAAAAATGGAAAGCAAGAAACTAGGAAGCCAGAAACAAAGAGAAGCATATAAATCTAAAATCTAATCTCCACCCCTTACCCTCCCACTGGAACGCCAAGTCCTGTCAAGATGCGTTGGCTAGCTGTATAACCGTGTATTTGGGGGGAGGGGGAGGGGGGAAATTTTGGCTTCAATGTTGTATTTTTGCTTTTATTCTCCTTTTCTTCTGTTCAAACGGTTGGGAAAATCTGTTTTTTATTTTTTTCATACCATCGGGCTGAATGTGGATGATTTGCTATGATGAACAGGGGGTTCCCCTGTAGCTTTATCTGCACTTGGATCTGGATTTGGCGTTTTGTGGGCTTACACTGACCACCATTATTAATAGGACCACTTAGCTATGGGCCTATCGGAGTACGAGAATGACACACAGGACGGTGGATCTGTGGCGGTGCCACATGTACATATGTACATGTACAAAGTCAATCCCAAACTTAGTACTACGCACAGCACTTGTGAGGTAGGCAGTGACCGTGCCGGTACATAGCCAGCTGAAAATAGCTGCAACTGAGCCACGTTTCTGTGGCTCAAATCTACGATGTACATTCAGAGCAGGGATATGACACGAAGACCTGCATTCGAGTCTGCCAATCAGCGTCTGGGATTCTGTAGTTTAGTGAAGATTGCAAGTTGGAACTTGGACTAAGCCTGTCATCAAGTGAAGAATTTGGAGCCTAGGCCCTAATGCGCATCACAGTTGTCCGGAGTACTCCGTCCATTTTTTTTTTTCATTTTGCTTTTTTTTTTATGTTTTCTTTTCTGTTTTTTCTTTTTTTTTCATTTTTTTTGCCCGTTGAGATTTAACCATTCTAACGGGTGTCCCGATTTTCTGCATTGCACCGGAACTGGAGATGGTGGGGTTGAGAAGGCAATGAGAAATTCCCAAAACAAAAACTCAAGGGAAACGAAATTCATTGGAAGATTCAACGAGGTTCGCGCTTGAGAATTGACGTGTGAATTTTGAGGGCTCCATAGGGGCGATAACAAACAGACATTTTCAAATGTTTTAGTATGCCCCCTTGCGATTGATAGTGGGGTAAGTGAGTTATAGTCTCGCGCGGCTTGTCAAGCCGTTGATCGCTAGTGTTAGCTGACGTCGGAAACTAATGGGTTTCTATTTTATCTATACTAAATAACTGCTTTGTTTGACAAATACTGGTAACTGTCAAAAGTACAGGGGGTTTACAAGAAGCTTAGGGGAAATAAACCTGTGGCAAGCTAATGCTTAGGGGAAATGCAACGATGATCCGGTCTTTTGTTACTACCGTATTAGATAGTAGATATACGCCTTTGTGGCAAAACCTTGAAATTCACTGATCGGGACAAGATTTGAAGATTTGAATGATTTTGAAAGAAACATTTGAAAAAAAAAAACAGCCAAAATTTAGGCAATCGTGCTTAGATCAAACACAGCGCAGGTACGATGTTTTGTGTTGCAGGTCCACAATGCATCTCCGATTGATTTTTTGGGACCGATCTGGCGCATAAATGTCTAAATTCTACATGATAGTTGCCTTCTTGTCCCGGGAAATTGTATTCGAGTCCGGGAGATGGACAAAGTGACAGTAGCTTGGGGTAGTTTTCCTTTCCCTTGGGTTCATACTAAGATTGACTAGGGAAACCATAGGGAAATCATGTTCGGAGTTGCTACCAGTAGGGGATTTCTTTTTTCTTTTTTCCCTTTTCCCTTTTCCCTCTTTTTCCTTTTTCTCGTCATATCTTTATTACTAGTACTTTGAATAAGAAATTAATTTCAAAACGGAAAGAGATTGCCTTGGTAATTTACCCCAAGCTAGATCAGGAATTTTAGGGTGGGAAGTGGGGGACGATTGTTGCCGAAACAAAGAGACTTGAATCAAAAGTACAGCGCTTATTTCACTCGGAGGAACATTGTCAGTCCCCCGGCTGATTTCATACGGGAGAACTCTGTCACAGGAGTTGCTTTGGTCTCGATTCGTGTTAGAACGGAGAGCGCCTCATCCAATGTACGCGGCTAGAATAGACCAGTGGTTCTGGCCCGCAGATTCCGGTGCTTTGATGCATTCGATTTCGCTTACTCACCTTCCGAGATCATGTTCCTGTTCATCTTATTTGGCGAGATTTGAAGGGTCTGATCTCAGGGGTTTTCTTCTTCTCTCTGTTAATTGCAAGGTAGAGGGAAAAGAGAGAGAAATTAAGTAGTACCCCGGTAGCCGGTAACACTCCCCGCGAGCTCCTGTCAAATCCACCTGGGAATTTTTATTTTTATTTTAAAAAAAGGGAGATCTACAAGAATCATGATGTCGTCAAAGTTCGATGGGGACCCTATCAGCGAGTCATTCTTTGAATTACCCAGGATCCAGGGTTTTGGGCCACGCACAAGCCGCATCTTGATAGGTTCATGGACTTGGGGATGGCGTGGGCCACACGGCAACTGGGCCCACTGATTGGCTACGACGGCACCTGCAAGTCCAGTAGCGCCGGGGCACATCAACAACAGATCCGGGTGCTCGAGCACACAGTAGTGTAGTTTGTTTCGTGGAGGCTTACACCAAATACATGCAGTTCGTTCGTGATTGCCTGCTATGATTTGTCAGGGGCTGTTAGGGCTCCTATTCCCGGTATCCGTCGTCACACCAGAACCGAGATCTCCAGCAAAAAAAAAGGGGAGAGAAAAAAAGTCCCTGGGGACTGGATTGTTACATAATTTTTCTTACTGCACGGAACCTCCGACAGCTGAAGTTGATCTGCATTGTACCTTATGTAGCCACATTGGTATTTTTACGTGGACTTTCCCCTCTTGACGCAAGGCCTGTGCGGGCCTTTTCTTTTTCTTTTTTTTTTTTCTGGTGGCTGAGATAGACAGAAAAAAAAAGCAGGTGACAGGCGAAGCTGGAGTATTTGACGCGACCAGGGGTTTGAAATGAGAATATTTAAGTGAAGTTTTAGCGATATCACCAAACAAAGAATGGCGGTTCAACGTGGATCCACGGGGCGTTTTGTCCCGAGAGATGACGAGGTTTTTCATGGGAACAAAAGAAAAACGTTTGCGATTAAGGGTGGGAAACGGCTAATAGGAATTCAAGGTTGCCTCACTTCTTTGTCAGTTGAAGATCCTCCGAGTCTACTTTCAAGTTAACAATTTGGGTACATTTGACAGCCATGACATCCCGAGAGTGGGACTTTTCAAGAGGGCTAGGCGATCGATAATCGACAAGACCAGTCTCTATTAGGGACTGATACCGAGGGAAAGTGGAGTTTAGGACATTCAATTAAAAAAGAAAAAAAAGAAAACGAAAAGAATATAAAAATATAAGAATATAAAAATAACAGAATTATCAAATCGATCTACCAGCAGGGATGTCTAGATCGGGACTCTGGGCTTTTTTTTTTGACTGGAAAAGCTACCGGGGATCCCCCGGCTTTCTAGAGGGATCATCCATGCTCGATGTGGCACTGTTTGATATTTGAAATGGAAAAATGATTTTTTGGAAAGAATTTAGAAATTCAGAAATTCAGAAAATCAGAAAAGAAAATTAGAATAAAAAAATAGATAATTAGAATTAAAAAAAAGAAAAGGGACTTTGGCCTACACAATCGTACCCCCCAATCGCAAACCATGAACTGAAATAGTAGCTCTGGACTCTCTAGCATTGCATCTTTTGGGATTAATTTAAACACCCTGCTCTTCCCTCTCAGATTCACTTCTTTTTTTCCTACATTCCATTCCATCTATATCCATCGATACATTTTCTTGCCCACTTCGACTACATCCTGTGGCCCCCAACAAGATATTGTGTATACAACCAAGACAACCCCGTTTGTACGATCCATATTCCTTCTCACCTAGGAATACCCCGGGAAATCCAACATCAAACGAGTGGATCGATTCCATCTTCCTTCTTCGTTCCTGCATTCGAACCCGTCGGCTACCAACATCGACTTGGCTCTACTTCTGCAGTCTTCCCTATATTACCTGTGATCTTGAACACTCCCGTGAGTCTATCTGCAAAAATCCCCAAACGGATAGTCCCGTTCCAAATAGCTTGGCTTGGAAAACCGTTCGCGGGTCACTATTTCTTCATATACCGCTACCCGGCGGGGCACGGGGATGATAGCCGCCCGTTGGGCACTGGTTGTCGAACGCTGTTTTGAACGGCTTCATGCCGGTTGCATTGAGCTCAAAGTTCGAGACCATGAAGCTAACTAGATGGCCTAGAGCATTCTTCCACTATAGGTGTGAACACACGAAAAAAAAAAAGGATCTTCAGTCCCCGAAAACGCTAGCCTTCTCTATATCTATAAGAAGGTCCTTCCCATCTGGGAATATTCTATACATTCAACAGGATTTTGTTTCAAGTTCAAGCATTTGAATATTGATATCACCATCCCGCGGGAATACTTTATACATCAGGACAATTTGTCCTACTCGACATAATGGTTTACAACACCAAGCCCAGTGCTTCAACTGGGGCTATGAAACGGTCCGCTTCATCTTTAAATGAAGGCCCTCCGGGTTGGGATGTGGCTCCTGTATGTCGAGTTGGCTTCGGATTTTCATTGAATCATAACTAACATCCATCGATCAACTTAGCCTATGATGGCCCAATCTCGGTCCACTTTCCGCCTGCCTTATGCCCATTATGCTATGATTTACGTCGACAGCGAAGGCAAGCTCAAGTGTGACGAGTCTGCCTCTATTCAAGAACGAAACTCAACTCTTTTCACTTCTGAAGTTCGCCAAAACTTCCTCGAAATTGTTGGTGAGAGAGCCGGCATCCAGCCTTCTGCCCGCCGTACTCTGGAGGCATCGCCTCGCCGAGTTCGTCGCCGTCGCGGAGATGCGCCTGGTACCTCAGTCACTGATTCTCGCTACGATGATGCTTCCGATAATGATGACTACGCTTCTAATGGATCCACTGATAAGGTTCCTATCCGCATCGGAGATATTCAAAAGGTCATGGCCTATTACGAGGGTGCCTTCAAGCACTTCCAACAACTCAACTGCCGCATGGTCGCCAAGGCATTCATTAAGTACATTGAGCCTCGCAAGCAAGTGAGACATCCTTACAACGGAGGAAAGCCCTCGGCAGGAGCTCCTCCTGGCTCTACAGGTGACCCAGAAAAGACTAAGCCTGAGTGGTGGCCCCCGGGTGTTATGCACAAGGAGCCCGATCACCTTCGCAAAGAGTGTATGTATCACTTAGCCTCACACTTCGTTTGCCGTTTATGCTAATTTTGTTTTTGAATAGACCGCATTGAGCTGCTCATCCACATCATTCGCAAGCTCAGCAGCTTTGGAATCACGGCCGATAAGCTTAAGGAAGTCGCTAGCGACACCAAGCGAAGCCTGAAGCACCCTTCCCACATTGAGATCATTAATGAGATCCTGCGATTAAGAAAGATGGAAGAGCGATTCGAGCGTGGTGAAGTTGGTATGTATCTTCTGAATCTGGAAACCATTATATTTCAGTTACTAATCCCGACTCAGATGCCAATATGGTTGTCTTTGTTCAAAACCGAGGACCCAGCCCCAAGGGCGACTGTGACGAGGAAGAAGACACAAACGAGCCTAGAAGGTCATCACTAGAAGCTCCCGACCTGATTGAAGACGTCCTGACACCCACATCATCTGTCGAGCAACTCGGCCCAATGACCACCCCCATCGACTCCCTTTCCCTCGCAAGTCGCACATTACCCAGCAGCTACCCAATGGCCCCCGACATGAGCTTTGATGGCGCTCGACAAGACCGACCCTTCTACAATACCCCACCTCAATACGCAGAGTCCTTTTCCCAGACAATGCTCAGCACCCCCGTCACCGTCACCGCAGAGATGATCAGCCCCCACGACGTTTCCGTCTACGACTACTCCCAGCTCCCCTTCTCCACATCCAGTCCGGAGCAGCAGCGCAACTCAGCTTCAGGTCACTACGCTGATCCCTGGGGCCCACCCACATTCCGCCAGAACGTCTTCAACCCTGTTGACTACGGTGCCCCGCCACACAGCCAGCCCGTGGGCGCATACCACACACCCATGGCCTCGCCAGCTCACATCACAGAAATGTCGCACCCACAAAATCCCCACCACTACACCCATTCCCCAATGGACCCCATGGCACAAAGGGCTTTGCCTTTCCGCACTGGATCGCTAGGACACCCCAACCACCATGGGCTGCCATTGTCCCACCCTGCCTAGATCCCAATGGACGGGCTGGACCCGGTTGGAAGGCAATGTGCAATGAATTGAATTTGAAAAAGAAGCTACAGGCTTCATAACGATTATATGACTGATGGCTCTGAATACCACACACAAAGTACTCACCAAGGGGCTTTTGCACGGGAGTTGTCGTTTGTGAATAAAAAATTGGTCGGTGTCTACCAAAGGAGCCGCGCAGATATATGGTTTGGGATTGTTTTGTTTGTGTTTGAGATATCTTGGCCTGTTTTGGAATTTTTGGAACTTGGACTGGGGCTTCTGGACGCTGGATTTTGGTTGCTTGGTTTTATTTTCTCTTTCTTTCTCTTCTTTTTTTTTGTCCAACTTCCGGTTTTTTTCTTCTTTTCTTTTCTTTTCTCTTCTTCTTTTTACCTTTTACAACCTATATTGTTGACCTTCTTACTCTCGCTAATACTCTTGGTTACCTTTATTTCGTTGATTCATTTTTGTATATGGATGTTGGATTTTACCTTACATGTTTGCTTCATGGGGCTATGTTGATAAGCAATTATTAGGTAGATAGTGGATAGTGAACAGAAATCACCTTTAAATAACTTGACACACGGATTGGCCTTGTAGATAAGAGTCTCCTCTCTAGGGTTTCCCTACTAGATATCAACAAAAAAACCAGAGCTGCCTTGTAGGTGCGCCGAATCCTCATCCGTCTTACACTATACTAGTAGTTAATTGCTTGCAAAGAAGAGTCATATTCTTGATTGACAGCTGTAGTATAAGTGTAGAATGTTTATGGGAATCCGCCCATACCTACCATGAATCATCAGGGGTCTATCTATTGCTCGCCCAGAAGCTACTGTGCGAGATGTAATTTGTAGAATTCAGTTACATAGATGGCGTTATGGAAGGCGGTGTGGTACGATTTAGGCGCTACTCTATATCGGGTTAAGCGCGGTTAATAGTGCCGCTTTCCTGAGGTCGCGTTAGTCTGAAGAGCTTCATATCACCACAAACGCCGAGTCAGCAGCTTCTTGCCCGGTATGGGCCCCCCAATTCTGCACCTGATACGACAACATATTCGAGAAACAGGAACTAACAATAACAGTCTAGGCGCCTGACCTCCCGACGTTTCTTTCACGATTTCTCCCATGCCATACCCTTCATACTCGGATTTCCGTCGCACGCCGTAATCTTGACTGCATTCACCCGCTACCCCCACAATAACACTGACTCAATGACCTTGGCTTCAATGAGGCAGTAAAGAACACACATATCTGAAAGGTAATGCCGCCACTCTCCCAATGTAGATGCTCTCTAAGCCTGCGCATTCGATTGCCGCCCGCCGCCCGCCGCCGTCCAACTTTATCGCCGCCTCATATCCCAGCAAACTGCAGGTCTTACCTAGCTTTGGTTACCAACATGGACTGACATATTTGTTCTCGCCTTGGCGAAACTTCAATTTTTAGATTCTCTCTATTCACGATAGCGAGCCGTTCCATCCAGGCTTGCACTCGAACGGACAAATCCATTTTAATCAAAACAATTGCAACAACGTCAGGTGCTGAATTAGCTGGTTGTGGCCTTCTGATTCTCCTCCGCTGATAGCGGGCAGGATGGCCACCCCGTTCAATCCATTCAGTAGCCTGGCCCAAAGAGGAGCGGCGAGCTCTGCAGCTACAGCGAATCGGGGGAGAGGGACATCGACTGGACATGACTCACAATCCTCTTTGAGAGGGTCTAGTGCAGTTCGCGGCCAATCCAACTTTACCAGAGGAAGAGGCAGAGGCCAGGCACGTGGCCTGGCCCGTGGTCGAGGCCGGGGTCGGGGCCGGGGTGCCGGCGATGGCGCTCCATCGCAAGGCGTACATTCGAGCTCTACATCACAGCCTTCGCAGACCCAGAAAGCGAATTCTCCATTCAACCAGGTTGGACAAAAAAACTCGGGCTTTAATCCTTTTACGGCTACAAATACCCAGCACAGCAACTCACCATTTGCTGGTCTTCAGAATGCGCCAGATACCACTCAACCGGCTACCAATACTTCGCAGTTTGGAAAGACAAACGCCGTGCTTAACTCAACTAGCAGCGGTGGGCTAGGCCATGTTCCTTTAGAAAATGCCACGACTTTGTCTCAATACCAAGAGCGGTATGACCAGGTAAGTAGTTCCTCCCAACGAACGTGTTGAAGCCTGGGAATCTCTTGAATATCATTATCTAACTAATATTGCAGCTGAAAATTGATCGTGCCAAACAGAGGCAGAAGGCCATAAGGGATGGCCAAATGGCCGACCCCAACCAGCCAACCTCATTGAACAAAGCCATTACACCCGTGGGCACCTGTACCAGCATGTGTCCTGAGTTTGAACGTGTTGAGCGTATCGTACAGAAGATGTATGACAAGTGTGAAAGAGTAAAGTCCCTTGTTTCCTCCCAGTTCATCTGGTTGCTTTACCGCCATATACTAACATTTCACTCCCAGTACCTACATCCATCAAGCGGCACTCTGCAAACAATGGAAACCAAAATGCTGAAGCGATTCCGACGCTCGGCTGCTGGATACGATGAGCAGCTTCCCTCCGATATTCGCACACCAAACACATTGCTTCAGAGCACCAACTATTTGATTCGGCATATTATTGGTGGAACTGAGCCGCTGGGCATTATTCACAAATTCGTGTGGGATCGCACACGGTCTATCCGTAACGATTTCTCTGTCCAGCAAGTCACGCATGAAACTGATGTCAAGACCGCTGTCATTTGTCTGGAGAGGATTGCTCGATTCCATATCGTGTCATTACATCTCCTCTCTAGCCCAGAAAACGAAGAGCCTTTTGACCGCCATCAGGAACGCGAGCAACTGAATAACACAATGCTATCGCTCATGTACTATTATGACGATCACCGCGGACGCATCCACTTCCCGAACGAAGATGAATTCCGGGCATACTACATCATATTCTCTATTCATGATCAGCGACCAGATTTAGAAGCTCGTGTTTCGAGATGGCCGACTAACCTATTAACATCGCCACGTGTTCAGGTTGCAATGGAGCTATATAGTGCCTCTGGCAACACCTGGGAATACCAGAGAGCGCTGGATTCAAGGCGCCCTAATGCTGTTGCGCAGGGATTCTATACACGCTTTTTCAACATCGTTAACTCGCCTAGTGTGTCCTATTTAATGGCATGCGTCGCTGAAATTTACTTCAGCCAAGTTCGCCAGACAGCCATCCGTGCTATCTGGAAAGCCTACTCCAGACCTCAGCAATCCAAGAATGATGACTGGAAGCTGGAGGAGCTGACAAAGGTTTTGCATTTTGATGACGAAGATGAAACAAGAAAGTTCTGTGAGGACCAGGGCTTGGAAATCTCAGAGAACGCCAATCAAGAGTTATACCTCAATTGGGGTAACCGCGCTGTTGATTCCATTGGTATGTATCAGTGTCGACATGGTCATCATTCATACTATCCTGTAATTTACTAATATTCTTATCAGAATTCTCGCCGTCTTCCGACCATGCTTACTCCGAATCCAATGTGGAATCAAAGCGGGGTGGAAGAAACCTGGTCGCCGTTATTCTAGGAATGAACATCAAAGAGGCAGCAAAAATGGGCCTGGTAGACGAATCCGAGCTTCCTGAACGTATGGAATACTCGCTCAGTGTTCCTGGAATTCCAGAATCTTCTGTCCCCATTGGTAGCGATGAGGATATGAACCCGGCTCCAGTGGTAGAACCCTTTGCCGTACTGGATAGCGATCGCTTGACAGATGAGTCTAGCTCGGGCACCCCTGTTCATTTTCCAAGCCCTCTGCCCGGTGCAAATAAACCACTGGGCTTTCAACCAACCGTGCCTGGTCCGCAGACTTCAAACCCTTTCAAATCCCCTCTGAACCCTTTCGCATCCCCATTTGCCACAGCAACCGGGGTTGCTAGTTCAACTACAGCTTCTTCGTCGGCTTTTAACCCCTTTGCAGCTGCTTTGAACTCAGCCCCATCGCCACCGACCGTTCCTGCGGCACCGCCATCGCCTTTCTCGTTCAGCAAATCAGCGGAAGAACAGAAGCCAAATATTGGGCAGACACCTTCAATTTTTGCTGGCAAGAGCGCCCTTAAGCCCTCACCCGAGCCGTCAACTACTGCCCCAAATCCATTTGCAGCATCTCTATCCTCATTTACGGCTTCCCAGTCACCAGACTCTACCCCTCAGGCGGATTTCCCTTCCCCATTCACACAACAGCAATCCACTTCATTGTTATCTACTGCCAAGTCCTCTTTCCCCTCAACCGACTTCAAGAATAACAATTCTGCGGAGGTTTCTGCTTCTCAGTCTACGTCATCCTTTTCAGCGCCAAATCCTTTCTTTCCCTCTGCAAGTATCGGGGACATTGGCAATGCGAAAGGTCCCACCCCCGCCTCAACTTCACCCTTCAATTTCGCCAATCCTGCACAACAATCACAGCAGCCTTCCAAATTCCCCTCATTTGTCCCAGATCCGCTTCCTCAAAAAAGCCCATCACCACCAATCCCTTCGAGTGATCCGGAAGATAAGCCAAAGAGCATTTTTGCCAATACGAATGGATTGGCCAAGGCAGGCAATCTCTTCTCCAATGTTCCTTCATCGGAAAAGCATACATTCGGACAGGAACAGGCTCGAGTAGCACCGTCTCAAGGGGACCGCCATAATCAGGCTACTGAAAACTCTTCATCGGCTTCTGGCCTATTTGCTCCGGCATCAAAACTTACTTCACAACCTTTGAACTCCATCTTCTCATCTCCAAAATCGACTGAGCCAATGGGACAGGAGCCCCGGGCAGCCGAAAACCCTCTTTTTACACGATCGCAAAATCCGCCATCCATATTTGCTCCCAATGCCTCTGCCAATGACCTTTCTGTTAAGGACAAGATCCAACAGCAAAAGCCAGTACCTCTAACAGCAGCGACTGAGCAAACTCCGCCGGAATCTGAGAAATCTGATACCCTGCTAGCTTCTTCTCTTTCGCCTCCGGAGCCATCTATCAAGCGTAAATTTGAAGATGGACCCCCTGGTAAGTTTGATATCTCATATATTTTGCGTGGTCGAGAAGCATATCTAAGTATAATTCTAGTTCACGGAACATCGGAGGATGAGAAAGTTGCTTGGAGAGCCCTTCTCATGCGAATCTCAGAGAAGCAAGCTCGCAAGAAGGCGCGTAAATTGGAAGAGGAACAGCGACTAGAAAGGGAGCTCGAACAAGAGGAGAGTAGGAAGAGAGCGCTGGAAGAAGAGGCTGCCGACGAGCTGTCGGATGGACGAGAGTCAAAAACCCTAAAGGTATCCGACCTGGTGGACAATCCGGAACCCGCGAAAAATTTCTCTTTTCATGAAGCGGAAACTCGACCTCTGCCCAGACTACCCTGTCTGGATCATTTCGATGCATCTTTCAATAACAGAGAACCAACCGCCGCCGAGATTGAGGCGATTGAAGCGGCAGGACGCGCCCGTCGCCAACGTGCGTTTGATGAAGATGAAATTCTTCTTTCGGCAGCTCGCATTGCGGCCGAGCAACTAAAGAATGGGCCTAAGATCTTTGATCCGCACCCTTCTGAGTACACTGCCGGGCACTCCTTATCGCATCATCCTCATAGGAGCTTTTCGGGTCCCAATCCACTTTCTCAGAGCATGTCGATGCCTCCGCCGCGTCCGAGCCATGGGTATAAGGTTGCTTATGCTCCTGACAAGCCCATAGGTCTCGGTCGGACGATGTCGCGTTCTGAAGAGAGAATCCGACGAACCGGAGCCCATGGGCTGGCTTATATTCCTCTTGACTTTAGTCGTCGCAAGAGTGTCGACAAGAGCAAAAGCCCGGACGAGAGGGACAATTTCTCGCGAACCAACTAAGTTGTGAAGCTTGTGCAATTCTGCATTTCTTAGAGCTCTACTAGTATTCTTTTTGGATGTGATCCCATCTGAGAGAAGGCTATTTTTTGCATTTTTGTGGGCGTTTCTTTTGAATTATGTGGGCTTGACTTTAGTCGGCTCCTGCACATTTACGGAGTACACATATTTACATGGTCTTCTGCAGGCTTACTCTGTAGCAAATACCCTTGATTTATCTTTATTTTTTGAATCTTCAGATAACCTTTGAATATGATTAAACTTATGAATCACTCAACCACTATTACCTACTACCTACTAGTAACCATGGTGCTCAAGTGCTCACTTGGTATCTACGTTTTTCATTTGTTGTTTTTTCAGCGTCCAGATGTCAGGTCCATCCAACATTTTGAAAACATACAACATTCACTTACCATAATAAATGTCATATACACTAAAAGTATTGTTTTATGACCTTGTTATAAGGTTCATGCTGTGTTTCCCATATTCACGTGATAGTCTGACGTAGCATGGACTCATTGGAGGCGCCCGCAGCAAGGATCCACTCCGCGAGTCCGCGGATACGCACTTCATTGGGGACCAGAACGACAAGCCCCAGTATAAGGGTTTAATCTAAAGTCTGGATGGCATTGAAACTGACTCCACGAGCAACATCTATTTTCAACACCAATCCAACCTGGCAGCTCTACCGCTCTTCACACCGAGTCAGCTCCTTGTATCATATCCAAAATCTCGAGTCACTCCGAAATTTCTCAACTTCGCGTCGCCAGGAAATGCGTATCGCGACGCTGCAGTTCGCCCCCAAGTTGGGCGACGTTGAGGGAAATATCCAGCGTGCCAACGAAATCTTGAACCGTGGAAAAGTTATTTCCTTGAGTTCTGATGACACTTTGAATTCTACATCTGGCTTGACGGCTGCCATTGAGATTGAAAAATTAAAACCTGATATTTTGGTTTTGCCTGAATTGGCATTGACAGGTATGTATAATACCAAGTTTTGCAGCCCCCTTCCTCCGTCATATCTCCCTTTCTTCCAAGACTATGAGAGTATTTGTCTTTTCGGTCTTGGGTATTCAATTCTGAGAGTATAACATGCTGCACATCACATGCCTACTCTTGTTACATTTCCCACATGTACCAGAATACAACCCACTCACCAATAAGAAACACCACAGGATACAACTTCCCCTCATTGGAAGCCATAAAACCATATCTTGAACCCGCAGGCACAGGCCGCAGCGCCACCTGGGCGCGCGACACAGCCAAGCGCCTAAACTGCAAAGTCTGTATCGGGTACCCAGAGATCGAAAGTGGAAATGGCACAAAGCCAACTCAGTACTACAATTCCCTTCTTGTAGTTGACGAGCACGGCGAGGTCATCCACAACTACCGCAAATGCTTTCTGTATTACACAGATGAGACGTGGGCCGCAGAGGGCAATGTGGAGCGGGGGTTCCACGAGCTTGAGTTCCACTCGCGGGATTATGCACAGCGGGTATCCGGGGATCTCGTGGGCGATAATGATACCCACCGAGGTGCAGATGTGGGTGGCGATAAAGATAGAGGCGACGGTGATGTGGGTATGGATGTAGGATCAGGATCGGAAACAAAGTCAGGATCCGCCTCACCCAGCCAAAAAGTGGCAACATCATTTGGAATATGTATGGATATCAACCCGTACAAATTCGAAGCGCCCTACACAGCCTACGAATTTGCCTCGCGCGTTCTGGACTCGCAGACCCAGCTGGTTATTCTCTCTATGGCTTGGTTGGGCCTGGATAGTCGTGAGGCCATGTCTGCATTAAAGGGGGAACCAGATATGGATACATTTAGCTACTGGCTACAGCGGTTCATGCCGCTCTTGGAGAAAAAGATGCAGCATGCACGAAATATGGATGATGATGCGGAGAATGACAGGGCTCCCAAACAGGTTGTGATCGTCTTTGCCAATCGAGCCGGGGAGGAGCCAGGGACAGATGATACCAAGCCACCGGCGCTGTATGCGGGGACCAGCGCCGTTGTTGCAGTGACGCAACGGGCCGGGTCGGGGTCACGGGAGGGAGCACAGGTAGAGAGTTCGATGGAGGTGAAGATCCTCTGTTGGGATCTGCTTGGGGCGCAGGAGGAAGGGATTTGTTTCGCGGATAGCACGGCAGATCCGAAAATGGTGTTTGGGCTTCGTCGTGCGAAGTGAGACAAGTTTCGAGACGAAACGCGTCAGTGGAGCTTGGGGAAGTTTTGTGGAGTTTGGAAGGTGGGGAGGTGCAACTTGTGTGGGTGGTTGCCTTCTTTTGCTAGTTGTGACTAGCGAGGAAGATTGGTTGCAAAAAGACGCATCATATATGAAAATAGACATATAGATCTAGGACATTCATGTGTTAGAGATACTGGTAGGTGTTCAAAAAGCTCACAATGGGCATCTCATCGAGTCACTTGGTTTTTTCTTTTTCTTTTTTTTCTTCTTTTTGGTACGGTTCTAGTTGTTACTACTACATGCTACCCCTCTGCACTAGTGACTAGTGATATCAGTCATGACAATTTTGTGCAGGATGATCGCATGGGAGATCGACTATTTCTGCAGAACACATATCCACTTTATTTGGGGGTCCTATGATCAGGCGATCTTTCGCATCTTGTAGAGGCTAGAGCCTAGCCCATTCAGTGCAACCCCGGGCAGGATAAGAAACAGACTTGAAACATGTGATGGTTCATTGCCGGAATGTAAGGCAAAAGTAGCGATAAGAAAATAAAGGTAAAAAGCAGGCCAAATCTTGGAATTTGGGAAAAGATGGGGGGTACTTGTGTCTTATTGAACTTATTGTAGTGACCGTAGTATACAACTGTATACTACCAGTACTTCATAGTATCATACTTCTATCCCGCACTTGCCTGAATGGGACTGATAGTGGTCCGTGTCCCAACTACACGTGATAGGGTGGTCGAATAGCCAATCAAGTACTAGAAACATGGAGTGTGTGTGAGGGGCACGGGACTATTGCACATGATTAAAAGGGTGGTGATTTTTTTTTTTTTTTTCGTTTTTCAAGTAAAGGGGATTCAGGGAAAGGAGATGACGGATAATCATAATAAGGGAAGATAGCGATCAAGATTATAATATGATTGATGATGGTTTCCTACGCAGTAAGATACATTCTCTTGAGTCTTGCGGATGTCTCAGGCAGCCAGGCTTTACGATTCGGAATTCACGTCAGGTGACATTTGGCGCGAGCGGTCTCCAAGGGTCCACCGTATTTGTTCTTTCCCTCCCCCTTCACGTGATCTTCTCCTCAACCCTTCCACGTGAGTTCACCTCGACTCGACGCTTTCCCCTCAGAATCACCCATTTTGCAGTAATAATCTGCGATTACGAGTTGATTATCAAGGCGTTCTCGTTCCGAGCTCCATCTTTTTCCTCGCTTCCGTCCTCATCAATTTGGGGAGTGCTTTTTACAAAAGTTCGCAAATCGCGAAACAACGTGACTTCACCTTGTTATTGTCCGTGGCAGGTGACTTCCTGTCAGGTGATAAAGAGGATCATCCAAGGTAACCAAATCTACCCCTCGGACTTCAAACAAAATGCACTTTCCTTTTTCCCACTTCCCCATCTCGCGTCGTGATGATATCGCGAGTGTTTCCCACACTCAACCCTGTCGTCCCCCTTGCCTGAATCTCCTCGGTCGCCCGCAGCCATGACGCGCCTTAGATGTTCGTGAATGACTTGCGACAGAGCCTCAGGGTGACCTTGAGTTGAATCAGAGCTTCGTGGATGGACTTTCGCAATGTGATTAGCCCCTTGAATTCTCGCTGGCAATGAAACCGCTTGATCCCGACCGTCCCTTGGGCCATCCGCCCCAACGGGCGCGTCGAGTTCACGCGTTTTGTCCTTCTCGCCTTCTGTTTACCCCAGGAGCGCTGATTCGTTCCCCTCGGGGACGGGCTGGCCCATCCATCACACTGACCTACCACTTCACTGACTCTTGTGGTCTGTGGTCTAAACCTATTATTAACCCCGTCTTTTTCTGCCTGCTGCTTGACACTAAACCTGCTTCCCCTCACCCGATGACTAACCACTATCCCACTTTAGGCTCTCACGCCGATGATGTCTGATCCCTCCATGAACAGTCCTGACGGGCATGTCCACAAGCGTAAGCGCGAGGGCTCCGACGATCTGGGACACGATCCCCAGCGCATGAACCGTTCTTCCCACGGCAGTAACGGCAGTATGGATGCCCAGCACAATTTCGGGCACTCGCTCAACTACGAGCATGGTCTGCCTCCTACCGGCTCCGAACTTAACATCGACCAACAAATCCTTCAGCACGTCGGCCCGCAAAATGGCATGTCGGATGACAATGCCCTCACCGCGAAGGCTGCTCTCGCTGCCCATGCTCCCCAACACAAGTACCCTCCCCCTCCTGACGCGTCTTTCGATGCCAACAACATGACTTCCGGTTTGAGCTTTGGTGATGACATGGGTCAGCCTTCTATGGGTTCTTCCCACAACCACAACTCTACTGCCGCTGCTGTCTATGCAGCCCGTGAAGCTCAAAGCATGAATCAGAAGCCCACCGTTGGCTCGCCCGAATGGCACCAGATTCGCAAGAACAATCACAAAGAAGGTACGTGGACGCTCTACATCTGCTTAACCGGTTTGCTTCTGTATCACTAACATTTGGGTCCTTAGTTGAGCGTCGCCGCCGTGAGGCCATTAATGAAGGTATTAACCAGATTGCTCGTCTCGTTCCCAACTGTGATAAGAACAAGGGCGCCATACTCCAGCGAGCCATCGAATATATTTGCCAGCTCCAGGAAGAGCGCAAGACTATTGATGAGCGATTCGAACAACACAGCTTGACCACAAACCACGCCATCGCCGAAATTAGCACCTCGAACTCGAAGCTGAAGGCCGAGGTCGGCCGCCGCAATAACGTTGCCCTCAAGTGGCTTCAGCGTTGCCGTGACGCTGGCCTGGAGTTTGATGACTACGAGGAGTCGAAGGACCTGGAGACTCTCGATATGGAATAAACTCCATTGAGCTCCCTGAGGTCATTCGCATGCTTTACGACTGTGTTTTTCTGTAGTCGGGATTATTCATACCCTCATTCCCCGTTTTTTCTTGCCTCCGATGTTTCTCTCCCTGATCTGCGGGTTTGATCTGGTACCTGACTTGTTTTGATGGCTTTTCTTATTCTATCTTCCATGGTTGGCATTGCTCGCTCTCTCTGTCTGATACATTCGGAAGGTGGTCGATGTCTTTATCTTATTACGCCACATTGTTATTTGTTTCCGAGGCGTACATCTTTTCGTCTTTTCTTGCCATTTTTCACAACTCCATTCACCCCTTATTCACTTCACCGTGGGATTTCAGTTTCGTTTTATTCTTGTCGGTTGGGTCGGCGAACTCTAGGTTAGGTTAGGTTGGTGCATTTTTCTCCCGGGAGCCTTAGAGCTCTCGGTACAATTAACTATAACATTATTATGTATTAATTTTTCAACGAAGAAAAGTTGTAAATTCCTCTGTTATCAGTCAACCTTGGAAGATTGAACGCATAGTTCCATCCCTTCAGACCTCGAGGTGTTCCAAGTGCTTGTATCTGTCAGATCACATTCTAAGATCCTAAGTTGCCTACATAATATAGACTCGGTCAAGGGTAAACATTTGAAACAGTGTGTATGAATTTCTAGCTATCAGACAAAAAAAGAGAACAGGGTGTGTGACATTCCGCCGCAAATCAACGTGCATCCCACATAACCTCATTCAGACGCAGCAAAGCATCGGCACTAGCCTTCTTCGCCGACATAAAGTCCTCCCGATTCTCCGCACCCCGAGGACCACGCAGAATCTCCGAAAAGCACAGATCCACCAGGACACGAAGCTCATCATACGTAAAGGGCTCCCCATTCCCAGCCGCCAGCGCCTTATCACCCTGCGCCGCAAACGCTCCTTTCTCCTCATTCGCGTAATCCAACGCCTGCTCCGCGCCTTCCAGGAACCAATCCAGGAACTTGGCGCTCCGCGGCAAAGCGACGACTTCTTGGTCAGCGGCTGCCGGGTCGGCCGTTGGGTCGATGATGATGTTCTTCAGGTTTTGCTGCAGAACGAGGACGTCCAGTTGGAGACGGAGGGCGCCGTTCTCGTTCATGGCGCCGATGTAGCGCGTGCAGGCGACGAAGACGCGGTCCATGACGCGGGCTAGGCCGGACGTGATGAACCAGCGCTCGGCGGAGCCGAGGTATGTGGAGATGTTGGTATCGAAGGCAATGAGGTCGCCGTTTAGTTGGAGGATTGTCGGGGAGGCGGCCGTGGGCTGGTTGAGGATGATGTGCCACCAGTTTTCTGTTAGGCTGGGGGAGGGCGTTGTGGGTTCGGAGTTGCGGACGTTGGGCGGGTTGGGGCCGGACATTGTTCGTGTTAGCATGTGGATGATGCCGCAGCGGATGTCGACGTGGAGGGTTAGGAGGGCGTTGCATCCGAGTCGGTGGAGTGATTGGACGGTCTCGTCGAATGCGGCGGCTGTTTGTTGGTTTAGGGGCAGATGGACTGGTTGGCTGATGCTGTCGCGTTTGGGCTTCATGGCTCCGAATAGGGTCCATCTGCGAGATGGTCGGCCACTTGCGGTGACGGTTGAAGCGCTTGCTTCATGGGAGGTATCGACGACAAGTCTGATCTTTGCAAGGTGACTTCCTAGCCATTGCTAAGAGGGAAGAGCGAGTCAGCAGGGGGTATTTGATATGTGATAGATTAATATGGGGTAAAGTCATTAACATACCATGCTGTTGTAGAGGAGCGAGAGAGCAACAACTGTCTTCGGGTCCGATATAATGTCATAAGGCTCCAAAGGCGAACTGTCCGTCCTCTTCAAAAGGTAATCGATTTCCTGCGTCTGTCAGCTTCGCCTCAAAAGCAGCCTTAGAGTGATTCATTCAAGGGGTTCGTGCGTACAGTATCAATGAGTGTCTTCTTTTTGGCGCCGGCTCCTCTCCATAGTTCTTCTACTACATCATGAATGTCGCCAGTTGCGGCAAATGATGCAGCAGCCTTAAGTTTTACTTCACCCCCGAGATTGCGGGCGGAAACCTTGGTAACCATAGCTTCATGGCGTTAGCATTTACAAAATATTTTGGTTTGCGAAGACTTACACTTATACCAGCCACAACACTTATCGTAGTATGTGACTATCTGGTCGATTAGAAGCTGCGTGAAGGCTTGGTCATGCGGAATACTCGATAGCATCTTGCTAAACTCGCGCACGATGGTCATGAACTTGACCGTTCCCTGGGAATTTTGTTAGACAATTTGATAGCGGCAGAACACAAAGCAAACTTACTCTGAAGATGGGTCGAGGCGAAACCTTCGTCCACTGGGGATCTTCAGTGAATGCATCAGGAGCAATAAAGCTTAGCGTGCATAGATCTGTCACAGTCTCGTCCAATTGAGGAAGAAACACGTTAACCATGAAGTCGTCAAGGAAGGAGGTCAATGTAGACATGGAGATATCCGAATCGACTGGCACAATGTCTTTCAGCCGTTGGATGAAAGATAGCGACGGCGGGAGAAGGATTCTCATATTGAAGACGCTTGGCTCAAGAAGAAGCTTATGGCCAGTTCCTGAATTCCCTTGCTTGGCTTGTGTTGCATCAGCGGCCGCGGCCTTTTGTCTAGACTTAGAGACCAAGCCAGGAACCGATGATTTGAGGATTTCATCCAGTTCATCCTGCTCAGCTTTCATCTCCGAATCCTGGTCAAAGTCGGATAACTTGAACATTTTCTATCAAAAAAGAAATTATTAGCAGCAATATCTTTAATTTTGATTGGATTTTTTTTTACCTTGCTCTTGTCCCTGTTGCCTGAGTTGAAGTTGCGCCGGGCATCTGCCTCCTCACCTCTAAACCTGAAGGATGCCTCGCCATCGGTCGCGAGGTAGTCATGTAACAAGGATCGGATCTAGTGGTTGATGGTTAATAGGGTATCAACCTTTTAATGCGAGAAAATACTATCTTACCTCGCTCTGCAAGAGTTTCCATAATTCCTTGAATCCCGCACCGAGCGTATCGCTTTTAGTTGAGCCTTCTCGCTCAACGATTGCCGAGACCACATCGTGCACGACTCGGTGACCTTCTGCGATTGACTCAAACTTGGCATACAGAGCCCAGAGAAATTCAGAAAGCACATGGCCACGTTGTTCAATATTTTCCGTAGGTAGGTTGGATTTAAGCTGATTGTCATGGGATGAATAGCTGCGGTTTGGAGTAGGATACCGAGCATCAACTTCAGCATTGGTTTTATCAACCACAGTGAACAGCTCTACTGGTAAGCGCTGTTCAATCCGATCAACAGCCGTGTCAAGGTGTCCCATCTTACTCAGAGACTCTATCAATAGCTGGATATAAGTGAAAGTATCAGCCTCCGGGTTTCTAGATGCATCTTCAACCATTGGTGTAGATGCATCAAACTTGGATAGGAAGCTGTAGACAGGACGTTCCCAAGATCGATTACTCGTCCAGGTTGTCGGATTCGTTTCTCCCTCGGTAACGGGTGCCCTCCATCGATCTGTGCAGTAAGGAGACTTGAGGTACAGGTGATCATGCAACTCCTCGATCAAGATATCCGTAAGCGAAACTTCTTGGTTGGTGAAGTAAGCGCGAATGTCGGACAAGGCACCGATATCCTCGAGTTCAGATCGTCGGAGCAATCGCTGCCCAGTGTGAAGTACTTCAACGGCTGCAAGGAATCGCTTGTCCGAGATTCGGGACTCAAGCCTCTCTGGGAGAGATTGAATCTCTTCAATATGGGCAAACAATTGGAGAATATCATCGTAGTTTTGGGAAGACGTTGCCAATCCTTTCAGTTCAGGCTTCGTTGACAGCAACCCAGACTTTGCCTCCTCCAGGGAGTTTCTGAGGTTGCGTACTCGGCTCTGAGAGCTGGAAATGTTCGACTGAATCTTGTGGTATGTACCGATAGAGCTATTGAATCCCTGGTGGTGCTCTGTGGACAAACATTAGTTTTATTTTCAGGTGTAAACGACACAAGAACTCCTACCATTGACAATGGACTTGAGCGTCCGCTGGATTTGAGCATGCATATTCAAGATTGCCGGTTCTCTATCCGCTTTTCCTAATGTACTCGTGTCCATCAAGCTGAGGGCAACATTGACCGGAATGCATTCGGCATCCATCATGAAATCCCAATCGCGTTGAATCGCTTGTAAACATTCTATAGCAGCAACGTATCAGTCCGATCTGCGTAGAATGAGTTTATCATAAAGGGACTAACATACCTTCAACAGATTGCTTTTCACCAGTAGGAATCACTGCAGAACCCACTTCGGGCACAAGCCTGTCGCGACTGCGATTATCCGGATAACGAGCATCCTCCGTCGATCGCTCCTCCCTCGCACTCTGGTATCGCCGATCAGAGCCACCATCCCTCTGCCGGGACCGTGAAGTCGACTGAGAAGATGCTGACGCTTGTTGTCTCTCTCGATCCGACAAATCACGCCTCTGCTCCGGCGAGTGGCCCGGCGAAACAGACGACGACTGGTTCGACTCAGCATAGAACCCGCCGTAACCGCCTGGTCTGCTGCGCTCCCGGTCTCTGCTGCCTCCATTCGAGCCACTGCTGCCTCCTCCTCGACCGCCGTAGCCGTTCACCCCGAGGCTCTCGCTACTACCGAATCTCCCATCATCGTACCGGCCGGTGTCGGAGTACCCGTAGCCGTTGCCGTTACTGTAGCCACCTCGCCCGCTCATTCCAAATTGTTTCTCGCTCTATATGGCCGAATGCCTATGCGGTGGGCGATATTGTGGTCGCCTGCGACAAGGGGCGGGTTGGGCGGGGGACCGCAACGGGCGTTTCTCGTGTTGATTGGGACTCCGTAGTTTAGGTCCTTTGGCTCGCGCACGTTCGTAGGTAGGATGGGGCTGCGACCATTCTTGGTCATACAATTCTGGGCGTCAGAGCGGACAATCGATTTGGAGGTAATCAATGGCGGAGTTGTAGGTGCGTGCCTGAGGCGGGATGGGGAAGTCGAAGTCAAGAGCTCCACATGAGCTTCTCCGGCCGCATTCCCATGTTGCTCTCAGAACCTAATTTAGCTCTGCTATTCTGCGACTACTTCGTACTACGTATAGTTTGAATTACGAATTCATAATCGGAGAACAAACAATGAACTGTTAATATCATATCCTAATATTTGTATTTCCAAAATGAATATGTGCTCCGGAATCGGGCTTCTTGATATGAATGGAACAAATGCCACCTTCCACTTTACTTGGAAATTGGCTTAGTTTCACGCTCAAGCCACTTGCGGGTCAACTCATCCGAGTTAAAGTAGTGGTTTGTCTTATCCCACACCTCAGTGTGGTAATCATTAACCCACTTGATCTCGGAATCGCTCAATAACGATGGCTCAATCAAGTTGCGGCCAATGGGAGTCATGGTAACGTGCTCGAAGCCTAGCCATTGCTTATCGCCAAAGTTGTTGGGGGTTTTGACCTCGCGTGCCATGATGATGTCTGAAACTAGCATTAGCGCGTGTCGCATACACTGCGAGACCTGGGGGAACTCACTCTCAATCCGAATTCCAAACTTGCCATCCTCGTAGTATCCGGGCTCTAGAGAAATTAGTCAGTATTGAAATTAATCGACAGGTGGCGGTTATATTGACGAACCATCTGAGATGACGTTTCCGGCGGCGATGGGAACTTCGGTGTACTGGACGCGAGTACCAATGCCAATGGGACCCTCGTGGACGTTCTATTGGAAGTTAGTAGACTGTAGGTTTGTAATGATTCAGGGTAAGATTACCAAGTAGGAACCGACTCCATGACCGGTACCGTGGAGGAAGTCTAGGCCCTCCTTCCACAGATGCTGGCGAGCCAAAACATCAATGGCAAAACCGCTAGTACCCTTAGGGAATACTGCGGTGTCAATGCCAATGCAGCCCTTGAGGACAAGAGTAAAGGCCCGCTTCTCAAACTCAGTGGGCTGACCAAAGTGGAAAGTCCGGGTGGTGTCAGTAGTTCCATCAAAGTATTGGCAGCCAGAGTCGCAAAGATAGATAGCATTGGGGTCAATGATTGAGCAGCTTGCCTTCTCCGGCTTGTAGTGGATCACAGCACCGTTAGGGCCAGTAGATGAGATAGTGTCGAAAGAAAGACCAGCAAAAAGCTCGTGCTTGGAACGGATCAGCTCCAGCTTATCCGCGGCCTCGACTTCATCCAGCACAGTCTTCTTGTTAACCAGCTCATTCTCGAGCCATGCAAAATACTCCGATAGAGCAGCGCCATCACGAATGTGGCAGGCGCGCATACCCTCCAATTCAGCCTCGTTCTTAACGGCCTTGGCGTCTCCGATCGGGCTGCGGGACTCCTGGACCTGATCCTCTCCTCCCAAGTTGAGGCTGAGTGCCCAAGAGGCCTTGTTAGACAACAAGAACTTGGCAGGTGCCTCGCCTTGAGATTGGCTTCTGGCGTTGCTCAGAGCCTGAGCATCAGCGAAAATGGATTCATATGGTTTGATCACCACATCGTCACCGAGATGAGCCTTCACCTCGGGGGTAAGCTTTTCGCTATCCACGTAGAGCTCTGCAGTAGTCGGGGTGATGACAGCGTAGGAGAAGAACACAGGATTGTAGGGAATACTGCGAATGGTTAGTTGCCCGTGTTCCGGAAAGCAAGAAAAGAAAAGAAAAAAAGGTGTCTTACTCGCTTCCTCGCAGGTTAAACAACCAGGCGATTTCATCCAGAGTGGCTATTGGCAGTTGTTAGGTAAATCCGACCATTAGGCTTGACCGAGTATATCCTACAGATGATGAAACCTGCTTGTTTCTTTGTCTCGAGCTCCTTGCGCAGATCGGCGATCTTATCTTGGAAGCTTTTGCCGGCATACTTCACTGGGTGCACGCGCACCTTTTCACTCGGACGCGCAGGACGCTCGTTGCCCCAAACCAGGTCAATCAGGTTTTGCTGGATTCCGACAAGTGACGATCCGTTCTTCTCAAGAGTCTCAGCGAGTTTCCGTGCACCAGCTAAACAGTTCACTGTTAGCTGTGATATTTAGATGTTTGAAGATTCACAAACTTACAGGCAGTGATCAAGGAAGGGTCCACGCCCACGGCCTTTCCACCCTGGGCTTGTTCCGTAGTCCTGTGGCGCATTCAGTCTTTCTGGTCCAACAGAATTTCCCAAAACCATAATGTATGATGCCTACCATTCTTGCCACGTTGGAACTCCCTCGACTCCACTCTTAAGTAGGGTCCAGTTGGTATCAAGCTGCTTCGCCGCCTGGTTGAAGTATCGTCCATCGGTGGAAAGCGCAGCTTGGCTCAAGGAGATGACCGCGGTACCAGCCGAGCCAGAGAAGCCTGAAATAAATCCTGCAATTGAATGTCGACTGTCAGCGTCCATACCGAGGAACGAGTAGGATGCTTTCAAATGTTGCTAACCTCGGCGACCATCACATGGGGCAATGTATTCGGACTGGTGACTATCTTCGGAAGGCGAGACTGTTGATGGATAATTAGAAAGGCTGTTCTCAGACAAGTTGCGAGCTAGCAAGGGGGCAATAGCATACTATACACATCAACCTTGTGCTCTTTCATCAGCTGCCTCAGCTGCGAAAGGCGTGCGCCGGTGTCCACAGTGCCCATTTCGATTGTGAAGCGTGGGCGGGAAGTAGAGAATAGCCTCGATGGTTTTAAAGGAGACCTTAGCGATCGCAAGGAAGTCCAGGGAAGGCGAATGGGATGGGAGAAGAGCATGGGCTCAGGGGGAAGTTGTGGAGGGGCAATTCACAGACGCCACACAAGAAATTAATTTGGGGCGCGGGGAGCAGAATGACAGATAAGTTGATAACGAGCTCATAGGAGTCAATGAGAGGTCGAGTACAAGCGCGGTTAATGCCGGTCCCCGGGCCGGCAGCTATGAAGTGACCCGTGACCTTAACCTTTCAGTGCCGCGGCCCCGCAAATGCCAATGTTTGCATTGTATCCAAACAATGCCTTACAGTTATAGATTTACAAGTGGTAGAGCGGGGGATAGTAGAGTGTGTAACATTGAACCCATGTGTATAGCATTTTCACTAAATATGTACCACTTGATGACTATGTATATGGTATAACTTCCAAATATTCAGTCGCACATGTCCAATGCGAATGCAGAATGCAGAATGCAAATCTAGTATGTATAATATCCCCCCAAAAAAATCAAGCCCAACACCATTCAAATGTTATATAGGTAACATCCCCGAAATCAAGTCCGCCAGATTACACGGATTCACCCCATGAGATCCATCGCCGGATACATTCATCAACCATTCTGAGTGATTCTTTCGTGGCTGCAATCTCAAACCACTCTCGATGTTCCTTACCACACTCCGCACACCGACCAAGATCACGCATCCGAATCTCTCCCAGCTCAAGATGAATCAGGTGCTCTACACGATGCACATGCGGAACTTTCCTGCCCGGTACAAATATGGCATCATTGCTGTGAGCCGCCTTCTTAGATGGTGACACCCTAGCCGGGGAAGACGACGTTGATGAGGATGGCGTGTAAGGGTAGTACCGGATCAAGGTAAGATCATAGGAGCATTGGCGTCTCCATTCATTCATTCGGCGAGACACGTTACTTGTGCGTCCGATTTTCAGGCGAAGCGTGCCGGGTGTGGAAGCCGTTGGATTCGACGTCAAAGCATTGATGTCTCGGGCGGTGTCAAGGGCATCGCTGACGCTGCGAGGTTGGGTTGGTGGTCGAAGGTTGCCGTTTGTTGATGGTTCAGGAACCAGAGATGAGGCGATATCCCTCGGCACCGAGGCGTCCGTGTCGCCGCGCGTCGATGTGGTTGGGGGTGTGACCCAGAACATATAAATATAGCCCTCTTCATCGGCATCAGATATGGGCTTGGCCAGTTCGGCGAGAACCGTAGCGGATGTCTGTGGAGAGAGAGTCGAGGGAACCCACGATGACAAAGACTGGGGCTTCGCAGCGGCGGGCACCTGCTGTCCTGACGAAGGCAAACGCCCACTTTGTGGACGCCCAGCGGTGGAAACAGGACGCTGTACTGTTTGCGGCAAGTTTTGCGAAGAAGGTGCAGAAGCCTGCGATGGACGAGTCTGCATGGGCTTTTGAACTGGCCTTGCTGGGCGGTGATCTCCGCCGCTCTCTTCCTCCACAATAGTGAAACAGCAGAATGTAGTCTTCTGACGTGGTCGGCGTCTTTGGCTAAATCCACTCTGGGTGCGCCGCTTTGGGTTTGTTTTCTCATCTTTGAGATCCAGTACGCCGAGTCGGTCCATCAGCGTGTCAATGCTGGACCGCGGCTTAGCCGGTGCATTTGCATCATTTCCTACCGTGGATGATACGGATACAGCTTGGTCCTGATGCTGCCAGCAGTACAGAGAAGCCAAGTCTAGAACCTCATGTTGACCACCTCTCTTTTGGGAAGTGGATGCTGGAGACGCGGAAGACGAACTTGCCAAGGCTCGACGACAGGGCCGACCTTGACTGGTAATTCCTCTACATGTGTTTGCTGGATTTTTGGAATCTGAGCGAGGAAGCAAAGATTCTGGCGTTGAAGAGATATGAGGCATCGGTCGGCTCTCCGAGAGAAAACAGACTCCTTTTGGTTGATAGTCGTGAAGCGGATTTTAAGATGAAAATATTTTTGGCTTGGCGGCAGGCCAGAAATAGCCCAGTAGAGCCCACCTGGCATGATGCCGGTGCGGTGAGGAGCAGGAATGTTGTGTCCGTGCCTTCCATTTCCAATTACAACTCCCGAGTCCCGGCTCCCGACATCTCCATCCCGAACGGCGAAATCTAATTTTGTAAACAGCACTGCCTTGTGTGGCTATGTGGCTATGCTCAGAGCATCCACTGGTGATCAAGATCTTGAACATACCTAGCAGGTCATATGGTGCTTTTGCACTCTTATTTTTGCAATATTTATCTCATATTCGAATTACCTGCCTACATACCAGCAGGATCAATGATTCGTGGTAACCCCGGTCAAGCGCCTCCTTACTGGTAAAAACACAGAAGCTCTCGTCCAGGGATGGTACATCTTGAAAGCTGGAGGTACAGTACCTATCGTGTATCCTTTCAATTCAAACGTTGGTCGCAGCTAAAAGTGACCCGAGAAACATAGGGCTGGATTTCCAGTTCCAGACTTGAAAACGGAACTAGATTATCATTTATCCGATCCAAAAGATGGCTAACTTAGAGCACAATTGAAAGCAAAGATCTGTGGTTGTAACTTGTAGCCAATCCCCATGCGCCCCACAAGCACCTGCCAAAGAGTGACCAGTAATAGTGACCACCCATGACATCACGCGGCATCTAAATGGAAAACAACGTAGCTCCAAGCTCCCTTTCCCCAACATAACCATAGCTTCACCTCCAATTAAACTTCAATCTCCTTCTACTCAACCTCCAAATATCCTCCAAAATGGCCTTCCCACTATTCTCGCCTTCAATCGTCCGTCTCGGTCTAGGCCTCGGCGTCGGTCTTTCCGTAGCTACCCTCCACCCCCTCTCCCCCTTCCGCACAGCCCCCATCCAATGCCAATACAGTGCGCCGTACTACCGCCCTGAGTCGCAGGCCAATGCAGACTCCGGCTGGGCTGTTAAAACTGAGGACCCTATTCTCCACAAGCAGGGTCATACGGGCATCGCTGAGCAAGCGAAGGCTGCATTCCTGTCGCCGGATAATATGCGACAGATTAGCATGGGCAGTGTTCTGGGTCTGGTTGCCGGTGTCGGACTGAGGGCTTTCTCGCGGGTGCTGGTTGTCGTACTTGGTATGGGTATTGTGTTTATCGAGGTATGTCTTGGTTCCGGAAGAAGTATTGTTCTGGTCTGGGGTTCTTTGCCCTGTGCGCTACGACTGGACGTCATGTCGACTAATTGCTAATCCGTTTTTTCTTGTAGTGGGCTGCGTCGAAGGGATATAACATCCTTCCGCTGGAGCGTATTCAGAAGCTTGTGAAGAGCGTCGATGTGCAGCGGGCTGTGAACTCGCACCGTCCCTTCAAGTTTAGCTTCGGGACCATGATGGCGCTGGCGGCGTTTGCGCAATTCTAGAAAAGTGCCACTATCTTTATGTAAATAAATCTTGGAACCGTGTGCTATCTGCACTCCATGGGGCGTCATGTCTGAAGCACTGGTTACACTACAGTTGCCTCTGGAAAATATACGCTAGACGCTACTACACAGCCAATGCAACATTGAAATTGGTACATAGTATATTTCGTACAGGGGTATCATGACATCTGCGATCTATATTCCACACTCCCGCGTAGGGCAAACTTTATCCGAGAACCAGATCTTCCAACACACCTTCCATTTCATCGCGAGATAATGGGACACCCAGGATTTCCATGCCGCTGGGATCCATGCGTGATGTGATCATTTGGTGATCGTGGAACTCCTTCAGCAAAGTACGGAACATCATCTCAGAGGACGCGATGAACTCCTCCGTTGCTTTCTGGTACAGCAGTCGGAATTCAACGCCATGCTCATCGGAATTCTCCCCACCATTTGCACCTTCGTCGTCGGAGTGGTGACCATCGTCCATTAAAGTAATCACTTCTGTCAGCAGAAGGCGGTATAAATTGCGTGCATTCTCAGGAAGACTCTTCAGGACGAAACCGACACCATCCTTGCCGCCGGCGCGTTGACCCTTGCGGCCAAGTAGAGAATTCACTTCTTCAACAACATCTGCTTCAACAGCAAATGGGGTGAAAGTAGTGCCGTCGTGGAAGACCAGATTTAGTTGATCGCGTAGACTGATATCCCACATTGCTGTGAAATTGGGTGTATCGGCGGTCACAAGAAGACGGATTCGTGGCGTGGTAGCTAGACGAGCAAGCAGAGCTTGGTTAGCTGCTCGTCGCAATGGCGGTGCGTCAACCGAGTTGATGAGGACTGTTATGGATCCTTCGTGATCGGGTCGGCTTTGTAGCGCCGACTGGATAAGCTCCAGCACTTCCGTCGGCTGTGCACCTAGTTTGGTGGGTAGATCATCGCCAAGTAATGCGGTTGCAATCATCGCAAAGATAGAACGAATCGAGATACCAGGAGTATACCCATTGACAAGGACAATAGATGGGTTTTTGGACGGCGATCGATGGTAGAGCCAGTCGGCAAATTTTTGTACGAGTTTGCGCTTGGATCCATAACCAAACAAACAAATGTTGAAGCCTTCCTCGAACTCAAAATTCCATTGCGGGAATGATCGATGATGCAATGAGAGTAAATATTCCTTCTCATCTTCGCAAGGATCCACGGCTTGTCCCAACTTCTCGAAGTATTCCTCATGGTTCAGCAAAGGCACCTTATTCAAGGTGGTATTGGATGTTTTGATAGTACCGGCACGGTTCTGGAAGAAGTAACGCTCATGTGCAGGTAATTCGCCTTCTGGTGTCGGCGACCGCTTGTTCACAGCACCCTTAGGTCGACCGGCTCGGCGCTTGGGAGCCTTTGCGTCCTTGCCTTTAGGTTTCTCTTTACTAGCATCCTCAACGCTCTCCGTGGCCGGTTCACTAGGCTTTTCTGGTTCCTCATCTTGGAGAATTTCCGCCGCCAGCTGCTCCGACCCATCCCATTCACTATCCTCTGTTCGTTCAAATAATACCCGGGCGCTCTTCTTCTTCGCTGATTGATCGGCCTTCTTGAGACGAGCTGGTGTACCTGCAGCAGGGGTCTTCGGTTTTGTCGGAGTCGCAAAGAGGTTCCGCGCCTTGGATTTTTGGGTAGGTGTCTTCAGCCCGGATTCTTTCAACGGGGTGGGCGCCGTTCCATTGGCCTTTTTAGGAGTTGATAGACCTGGGGGAGGGATTTCGTAGGTGGCATCGCCGTTCGGAGGTGATTGTGCTGGCGCGCCGTCTGGGGGCCCATTGGCCTTCACCCGGGTGGTCCGCGGTCTTTTCGGGGTCGAACCTGCGGGTTGACCATTTTCCAGGCCGGAGTCCGAGAGCTTGCGCTTCATGATGAGCGAGTCAGCGTTGAATCCTGGATGGAGAGGCCAAGGGGAGAGGGAATCAACAATACCATTAGAGATCCGGAGAATGTACGACAGGGACGCGCTGCAAGGGGAGGCTTGGCTTTTTTTTACACACCAAGGACTGTCTCAGAGTTCAATGTAGAGTTTGGTGGCAGGAGGTGATCGGCACCTGGAATGGGACAGCCGATTGGATTGAATTGTCTTCCTTTTGAGCCTTGGGAGGGATCGAGAGCTTGTGGAGATCAGAACTGGTAGCCGCGCAGTGGGTTTTCTCCGCTCCGCCTCGGGGCGTTTGCTACTATCTACGCTTAAAGCGCGTTCTACTCGAGGGATTTAAGATCAACCTAAGCACCAACCATTGGACGAGCGATTAATGTTATTCAATCAATTCATAGCTTCGGGATATACTACTCTCCAATTACCTGAAGTTATCAGCATATCTAGTCCAGTCAATACCATGATGTTCACTAAATCAAATAGGAAAGAAGATAAAGTCATGTGAGCGCCGCAGATAATCCTCACCAGAAATTCTTCTTTCCTTTAACATCTGTGTTCTACTCTAATTACTCTAATACTTCACCATTTTCTGCGATTGCCATTGCGATTGATATTTCCTTATCAGTCTAGAACTGGTGGGCTCATACCGCGCAATCACTTCCCGGTCTCGGAGTGGGTACGGTAGCTTTTCAAGGTTCCCACAAGTAGGTTATTTGACTCATCCCAGCTCTGGCTCATCGCATTCACATATACAAGTTTTTGGACTGACTCAGTCTCTGTGAAGTAGATTTATACTTGAAGTCTTCTACACATGGTTGCCAACCCTCAGCCCGCCACAATGGCGGTTAACAGCTTTGCCCGCATGCTGAAGGGTCAGGTCCGATGCTACTCCGCACCATTGGATATGGCCATTCCGGCCTCCAAGCAGCGCTACATCCCAAACTCGGGCACCTATCCTCAGGGATTCTTGGTTTCCGGTACCCACGTTGGCGTTAAGGCATCCAACACCCGCTTCCCCGACCTTGCGCTCATTGCATCTGAGACGCCATGCTCTGCCGCTGCCGTATTCACCACCAACAAGTTCCAGGCGGCGCCAGTGCAGGTGAGCCGGGAGACATTGCGCACTCGCAAGGGTGAGGGTATCCGGGCTGTCGTTATCAACTCCGGATGTGCCAATGCTGTCACAGGAAAGGGTGGACTGGAGGATGCGGTCAAGATGGGTCAAACAGTTGACCAATGCAGTGGAGCTGAGAAGGATAGCTCCTTGGTTATGAGCACCGGTGTGATCGGCCAGCGGTAAGCGCTTTTACCGGGATGGGCCTCAAATTGCGCTAGGACTATATACTAACATCAGTTACTAGCCTACCTATCGGCAAAATCCTGGAGCGTATTCCCACCGCTCATGCCAACCTCGACTCGACACACGATGCATGGCTGAGCACCGCTCGTGCCATCTGCACCACTGATACCTTCCCTAAGCTACTCTCCCGTGAATTCACTCTGCCCTCCTCCCCAGGCCGTACCTACCGCCTCGCCGGCATGACCAAGGGCGCTGGTATGATCCACCCCAACATGGCAACCCTGCTCGGTGTTCTCTGCACAGACGCCGCTGTTGAGCCAGCAGCTCTGCAATCGATCCTCAAGCACTCCATCTCCCGATCCTTCAACTCGATCTCCATCGACGGTGACACCAGCACCAACGACACCATCGCAGTCCTCGCCAACGGCGCTGCCGGCGGCGAGACAGTCCGCGCTCCGTCGTCGGAGCCCAGCGCTGACTACCAGGCCCTGCAGACCGTGTTCACTGACTTTGCCCAGCAGCTCTCTCAGCTTGTCGTTCGCGACGGTGAGGGCGCTACCAAGTTCGTGACTGTTCGTGTGCGCAACTCGTCTGACTACGAGTCCGCGCGCCAGATTGCTTCCACTATTGCCCGGTCTCCGCTTGTTAAGACTGCACTCTACGGTCGTGATGCCAACTGGGGCCGTATTCTCTGCGCTGTGGGTTACACCCAGGGTGTTGCTGATGGCGTTGTTGTTCCTGAGCGTACCTCTGTGAGCTTCCGTCCTGTGGATGGTAGCCCTATCCTTAAGTTGCTGGTCAATGGAGAGCCTGAGACTGTTGATGAGGAGCGTGCCAGCGCCATTCTACAGAACGAGGACTTGGAGATTGAGGTTGACCTTGGTGGTGGTGAGAAGGGTGCTGCTGGATGTGGTGGAGAGGATGCTGTCTACTGGTTCTGCGATTTCAGCCACGAGTATGTCACTATCAACGGTGATTACCGTACCTAAAAATATAGATATGTATGTAGTATGTTTAGCGAGTTGAAATATCTTTTTGGATGACAAAATCTCAGGGATTGATTCCCAGCGGGTAGTACGGTTTTTAAAGTGCTTAAAATGTACATCAGCCCAACTTGATCGTGATAAAATCCAACCCAGCCTTCGGCATCCACTCATTCAAAGGATTTTAATCTATTGGCCCATTTGAGAAAAGTACCTCATTAAAATATTTTAAAAAAAGGCCTGGAGGTCAACGCAGCCTCCTAATGGTGTCCAGAACGGGCAATCGTGCATGTAGGCAATCGTCAGCGGGAGAACTTCTCGTTCAAAAGATAGCAACATCTCATTTCATGAATTCCTCTCTGATGGAATCCACGATATCCGTCCATTCTGGAGGAATGGCTTCTTTAGGATCAATGAGTTCTCCACTCAGAAGCTCGCCGGTATTGCCGACGAACCAAATATCTCTGAAGGATTTCCATGCTATAGCGTATGCAAGAAAGATCAGCCGAGCAGTGAAATCGCCCACACTAAGAAGATCGATGAGCGCTTCTGGTAAATGGACCAGCCATATAAGCAGATATCTGGGATGACTAGTTGCATGGAATTGGTCAACGAGAGACCGAGCAGCGTTCGTATAGACCTCATGATGTGGTCCACGAAGCTTGTCGGGCATTTCCAGAAGGCGGGTCAATATGAGAGAGGTGATTCTACTCCGATGCATTGCAGTCAGTAGTAATTCAGAACAGTGCTCACTTGTCGATTATTTCAGGCATACCGATGAATTGTGGCTCTTAGCACTTGATTTTCATGTTGAAGGTTCTTATTTTGCTCGGGGTTGTAAGATACGACGCGCTCTTGAACGCCAAAAAATTGCACAGCCCTATAGAACGCCTCACAGCCATGGATTAACTTTTTTAGTCGAAGGGCCTCGGAGAGATATGTTGGGCCCGTAGTGATTCCAAGCGCTCCATGCTGCGCCATCGAGGACAGAAGAATAAAGACCGAGCACGCGAACGCAGAGGGCGCCGTCGAAGGCGAAAGTCGACTGATTATATTCGCAAGCCCTGAGTACGCTTTTGAGCTGTATTCCAGCGCAAGATTTGTCCAGCCCAGCCGTCGATTCGGTTCTAAATATGCGAGATGCAGCGCCGTAAATGCCAGTAAACTTTCCAAGACATGTTCATTGCTGGTGGCCAGTTCGGGCAGCGAGACCTGCCACACTGCTAGGCTATGTTCGTCTGTGCCTATTGTCAAGCAAGTGTTGGTATAGTAGTGGTGCAGCAATTTTGTCTCCACGAGTCTTTTATTAAGGAGCATGCCGTTCCCATCTGAGTCGGCGGGGGCGGGAGAATGATTGGCTTCCGGGCTTGTACCTGCGTAACCTGCCGACGGCTCGCCCCCGCCGGGTCTAACAGGGACGTATAAGCATTGCAGTCGCCGGGAGACGCAGTTTTCACATTTGGGGACGCCTTCATCACACTAAGGGGATGTATTAGGGGTGCCAAGACAATGCGGGAAGGATCAACGCGTGGCGGTACCTTGATATGTCGCTCTTTGCATTTTGTGCACCCGTTCCGTGATTTTTTATGGCTTCGACGGGTCACCATTGCGCCAGGTTGATCAATGGAATGGTGGTGTGTACATGTATGAAATCGACGAAGATGGATGGAACAAATGTAGAGAATACTATAGGGCACGTACCTAATCCACTCCACCCGATGAGCCCCTAGCCGTTTTAGATCGCTTGTATTTCAAGCTTAGCATTTAGGGCTGTGATGCTGTTGAGTGCCCCCCTGGGGTTTCAAACTTTTATACCGCATGGGAGATCTCAGGAGAGAATCGCTTCGGTATTAACCTTGGGATTAATAAACTAAAATTAGCAAAGTACTATTTTTAAGAAAAGAAAAAGCAATAGTAATATTTACTTATTAAACCGGGTATTGATTGGGCATGTATAACTGAGCCTAATCTCCATGGGTACAACCCTTAGCTAGAGCCTATTCACTCCTCGTGGGAACTCTCATCCCTGTGGAACTCAGGCTGCTTCCCCTGAACAAGACCATATTCATGCAGGAACAACGATGCCAAAAGCAAAATCGCTGTCAAAACGGAAAAAGACAAGAATATGATATTTAAGCCACGGACGTACAAATCAAGAATCAACTTCTTATCCTCGGCTGACAACTCGATATCTGGTAATGTTAAGGCAGAGGAGGCTAGATGCTTGATCATCTCTTGACTGAACCGCGCCCTGAGTCCAGCCTGTAGAACATTACTCATGATGGCCCCAGAAACTGATCTTGAGTCAGTCAAGGACGTAAAATGAATGCGAACAATTTTCAACCAGACAAGACTTACCCGTGATCCCAATAGATCCGCCCATATCGCGGATGAAGTTACGCAGGCCAGTGATCACTGCGCGATCCGCATTGTTCGATCCGGCAAGAAGACCGACGAGGACTGCACGGTGTTAGTAGAATAATCATATGCACAAGGGATGAATTCGCTCACCAGGCTGCAGTTCGCAACCAACCCCGATGCCTTCGAGAACTCCAGCCACAAAAATAAGGGGAGATGGTGTCAGTTTTCCATATGTTGGTTTAAGAATGGCGCCAACCGTCCATAAGGCTGCCCCGACGTTTATGACAGGCTTGTAGCGCCCAGTTAGGGACATGACTGCACCACTTAGCCCCGATGTGATACCATGAGCAATCACCATTGGCAAGATGAGGGATCCAGCAGTTGCTGGGCTTAGACTGCGTACGGTCTGGAAATATAGTGGCAGGTAGAACAAATTGCCCCAAAACACCCAGCCGATGAGGATGTTCATAGCAAGCAAGATGTTTGTAGATCGATTGTACCTGAACAGGCGCACTGTAAAACCAAGGTCAACAATTCGAATCTTGACTCATCCCGGGTTATTCCACTTACTTGGCAGAATGGGCAAGTCGGCCAGGCGCCATTCAAAGATAATAAAAAGAATAAATATGAGAACTCCAGTAACTAGCATGCCGATAGTAATGGGAGAGTCCCATGGTATAGTGGATCCTCCTTGGGAGATGGGGATCTAGATTTGTCTCAATGTCAGTTCTCAGCAATGGTCCTGAGTCTTTCTTTCTCCTTTTCTTTTGACTGACCAGAATAAGTATAACAGCCACCATACTCATCACCACTCCATACCAATCAATCATCTTCAGGTTCTCTCCAATATTGTCTGTAGCCGATCTGCCCGGTAAAACAAGCAGCAAGAAACCGATCGCAGTGGCTGTCAACGGGCATATGAACCAGAAAGCCCATCTCCAAGACACATACTCCGTCAAGAGGCCCCCCAGCACTGGACCAAGTCCATTCCCCAATGCCACAGCAATGCCCAAGATGCCGAAATAGTAGCCGCGCTGATCGAGCCGGGTGGTATCCGAGATAGTAATCTGCACCAGGGCATTCAACGCTCCAGCCCCGAAGCCGCTAAACGCTCGCGTGATATAGAGCTGCCCGGCTGATTGGGAGAAGCCCGAAAGAAGGTTCCCCAGGCCCATCACGGTGAGTGCGGTAATGAGACATGTTTTTCGCCCGAAGATATCCGACAGACGACCGTTGATCAGTTGGATGCTAGTGCTTGTCACCAGGAAGCTCGTGCCGACCCATGAAATTGAGGGACCCGTGTTCAAAGCTCTTTCAATTGACGGTAGACTTGTTGAAACGGCTGTCTGATCGAGGAAAGAGATAAAATGGACAAGAGCCAAGGCGGAAAAAACGAGGAGAAGTCTGTTTCGGGGGAGAAGATTTGATTGTCGGTCTTGGAAGTTACTTGTGATTAAAGGAGTTATTTCTGTTTGCTCTCGAGGGATATGTGTGGCTGGGTTCATCGTGAAGATCATGTATATTGTGAACAGTATTGTTTACATACTGACGGGTCTACTACCGTAAATACTGGTCCGAATCCGTGGCTGGGATCAGGCTTGCGAAGTCGCTCTTTCCAAATTCAATTCAACCCATTATGTAGCGTATGGTCCTTCCAAAAAAAAAATCATAGCAGATACGTTGCACGTAAGGCTTATACACGTTGGTTTGTTACCCGTGGTTGTTCCAATTTCTGGGGCATCGGGGATGACACCATTTCAAGTGCCCATTGTGCAGAACAAGTAATCAACCTAAACAGAATTAAGAATAAGCTTATCAAGCCACATTACAACAACCCCTGTCAGCCCCCATATAATCCTGAAGATAAGTATAAAAACATTCTGTGCAACCAAAAAAAAAAATTGGAATTGCAATTGAAACCACGTATGTATTCAGGATTAATAATGTCAAGTTCGATCAGCTTCTACAGAATGCTCCACATCCGAGTGTACCACCAATGTCCACCAAAGTGGCCATACCGCTAATTTCCAGGCGACCCATGGATAAACTCAAAAAAGCATTCAATGTTGAGAACCCCTCCATTTATGCATATAAATATAACTTTATCCAACTTCCAAGGTTGACAAAAATTCCCAATTCCTTCTTTTCCACAACCCTGGATCCTCAATTCCCCCCTGAACCTCCTCATACACAAAAACCGGCACCATGAGCTACACTCTCTACGACGGATCCATCGCACAGGCCAAGGCCTCCGTTTCTGCCATGATCCACCTTCTCGATCTGGCCGCCAAGCAACCCAACGCCGATGCCCTCCTCAATGCCTCCCTCCACCCCGACATGAAGCCCTTGACCTTCCAGGTCTTCCTTGTCGAGTGGCTCACCGGATCTATGCTGGCCAAGTTGACCGGTCGCGAGGCTGCCAGTGTCGAGAACAACATCACCACATACGCTCAGGCCAATGAGCGCCTGGAGGCATTGCTCAAGGGACTCAAGGAGGCTGACAAGGCCGTTGTCAACAGCCACGGTGACGATGTCGCTCCCGTCAAGCTTGGCCCCGTTGACCTGGGTGAGATGACTGCGGCGCAACACGCCACTAACGTTGTCATGCCCAACGTTTTCTTCCACGTTACCACTGCCTACGGTATCTTGCGAAAGGAGGGATTGCCTCTGGGCAAGTCGGACTACCTTGCTCCTTTCATCTCTGCTTCGGCTTAGATTCTGATGATGATTTTGATGACGACGATGAAAAATGATTGGCTCTTAGATTTGTTTTTTCTTGGGCTCCTATTGATGGCCTGTACTTACCTATCGAGGAGACCTCTCCATGAAAAATATATTAAATTCATGGCGATCTTGAGTTCTGCATTCTACCTAATTGGACCGACCCGTACCTATAGATTATTTGGAGGTAGGTGCATCAATACATGTATGTACGTACCTAGTACATACTACGATTGTTGTCATTCAAATCCGCACTACACACCTGCATAATTCAATGTTACTGCCCTGGATTCAGGTTGCTCTATTCAACTCACACCACCTCCGAACTGTGTGTGTATGCTAGAGTCGCCTTAATGAAACTTCCAAGGTTAAGGTCCGGGGTTGCACATTGAGTTCCACCTCCAGGACTGATATTCCAAGGTTCGATCAAATGGAATGTTGAGTTACGCATTCGGAAGGTACGTGGGGAAATACATGTCCAGGTGACCAAGTATTCAAATGTTGCAACATTTGAAAATATATATGTATGATGAAGTTGAAATCATCTTCAAATTTTTCATGTTAAATGTTTATTTTTTTTTATAGCAATGCCATCAATTTTCAAAATAATATTTAAACATTTAATTTGATTTTATTCTATTTAAATGTTATTCTTAATGAACCTTGGAAAGTGTTACATGCCCGAGGTACCTGAGCCACTCGAGCCAAAAGAAACGCGGGGGTTTACGGGGTCACATCCCCTTTGACGTCATTTGCGAAGATTGAAGAATCTTGAAAAAGGATTTTAATCCTCGTATTCTCATCTGCTTCGGCTGATTCTGCTTTGTACACTTTAAACCCGGTGGATATTACCATCGGATATCATCGGTTCCACGCGCCCCATATATTGCGGCTTAACCTTTACTGAGGTACATATTCGGATATTCCCCAGATCACAACTCGGTCAGAAACATTTGAACGAAAGACTGCTCAGGTGCCCAACATTCCTGCAAGAAAACCGTGACAGTTGAAGAGTGGACGGGGAATCTCTCACCTGCACAAACCCGTTCATGGGATTCTGTGCAAGTCAGGCCTGCTTCGGGAGTCCCGCATGAGCTCACCTGGCAACGTTTAAATGGTGGATAAGACGCTTGTCTACAGTATTGACCGCCCTCCCCGTATGCCACTCCCCCACAGCAGCTTCGAGAGAGCTGCGAATAACAACGCACCAGAACTCCACTGACCGTGAACTGGACCACATTTCCACTTTAGCTTGCGAACTTCTTGGCGACGCTTTTAAAGTTGCGCTGGCATTCCTTTTGCCCTCACCTGAGCCCAACTGTACTATTTCCTCCGTAACCTGGATCCACCGCCCCTCCTTAACGCCCAAACCCCCGACCGCTCCTTGAATTCATCTGAATACAACATCGAAAATAAGGACATGCGTGAAGACATGTGTCCATCCATCAATATGAAACATTCAACGGCCCATCTGCCGGAAGGCCATGGCTCTGTCTACAAAGAAGTTCGGTTTTCACCTACATCAACACCGCTTCGCCGAGCGCAATCGGTTTCGGGCAGTAATCCCTCCGCGAATTCCAGATATGTGCAAGCGCCCGTATATGGTCGGAATTTCCCAGTCCTGGATACATCCTACATCGATCAATCGAGACAGCTTCTCGAAAAACAGCGTGTGAATTTTCAGGCGGAGCGGGAGCTCTTTGCGCAGGAACGACGATTGTGGGAGACAGAACGGTCGCTATTGAGGGCCAAGATTGCAGAGTTAGAATCATTGAAGTCTCCAAGATCAAACTCAAATGTATCCGTACCTCGTGCCTCCAGCGTCTCCTTTGGGGTACCACATGTCCACGGATCTCACGATTCCTCATTACACTCGGCGCAGGTGTGGGAAGGGACAAGCCCAGGTGGCCGACCAACAAGGGTCTTCCGAAACGAAGAGACCCCGGACAGTGCCTACATGTCGACGATCACCGAAGGGAGCGACAATAAGCCTCCGTCCCTAGACGCAGCCCTTTCTCCCCAGACACGAGCTGCAGACACTCCTGGGCCGGCCGTTAGCGTCCCAGTGCCGATCGAGAAACTTGACAGCAGACTAGATGGAATCACCCTCAAGTCTACTGCCTTACCACCGGATGTAGTAGCTCGGGTAATTACTCCACCATCGCCATCGCCCCTGACCACATCCCCTCCTGCCCCTTTGGAGCCTGCAGAACCTACCGACCCTGCAAGGTCTGAGATGGACCACCGACACAGTCTCAAGTTGAAGCTGTCAGAACTCGGCCCGCCCAATGAGAACCTCGTTCGAGACGCTGGACACACCCCGATGGTGATCATCGATGTCGGGAGTCGCCGATCCACCCAGGACGCTACTCCTGCCCCTGAGCCATATCAGGAGGAGGCCCCTCTCGCACCCGTGCACACGGAAGTCGGCCTACCGACTGAGAATGCGGAGTCTTATTTCCCCGATCTGCCCGAAGATCCTGCCCTAAAGGGGCCTCTTGGCCTCACCAACGACGAGGACCACGACAATAGCTTTCTGAATGAGCTTGACCAGAAACTTCTAGACCAAGCTCGGCGGATCCTTGGCACCTCAGAGGAATCGGGTGAGCCGGACGAAACCGAACATGAGATGCCTATCCATGGTGAACAGGAACCGGAATTCAAATTCAAAAAATCCAATAATTTTGGCACGGCCTTCGGAACCTCCAACTTTGGTAATTTTTGAGCAATTTAACTTGTCACTAGTGATTGATGGTTTATGATCTGTCTATGTTGATATTGGCGTTCTGTGGATTATCGACTGTGCCATTTCCTGTTTTCTGATCTTCTTTACCATTTTTCTTCTTTTTATTTTATATTTTTTTTTTACTTACTTTGCATTGTCATACCTATTGTGGTACCGGATGCGATGGACTTTGGTCTCTGGCTGTGGGAATTTTTTACGACTTCATGAGATATCCTTATATCCCGCACATGTTTGTTGCAATACAGAATTTGTTTTGACTCCATCTAATCTTATTTTGTTTCTTGCGTTGCCAGGGTCATGTCCAATCTAGTCTGGCTGGAAGGGCCAGACTTGAAGCTTACTTAGATTATGTGCTTCTGATATTGGATTTTCCTTGCGTCTGATGTGTCAAACTTCAGTAGCCCATTCACCAATGAACGTTGTTACTTGACAGGTGTTTTATGCAGGAAATTTGAAAAACCGCCCCCTGGATCTGTGTCCCTTGCAGGAGGTTTGCAACCCTCTACCCTAAGCCCCACGTGTTGCCCAGAGGATCCCCTGACAATCCCATCCAGGCTGAGGGTACGACAGCTTTCGGATAACCGGGTTCGAGCTAGTGCATGAGCTATCTGAGTTGGAGCACTTGGCGAACTACACGCCCCATGACCCCGATAAGGCCATGCGCTCAAACCAAACTAGTCCTATTCGCATGAACCCACGGACCCGACATGACCTCTCGCATGTACAGTCTGCCTCTCTCTATCTTTGGCACCTCATGTCTCTCTTTTTTAATTTGGTACCTTGCCGATCACTCTTCGTGGCTTTCGATAGGAAAGCCACCAAGGGTTATTCCATGGCCTTGCAGCAGCCTGGATCCTGAATAGCCCTTGGCTCACCCCGCGATGGCCCCTCGGATACTATGTGCTCAGAAACTATATAACGGCCATGGAATTCAGTCTACAGTCTCTTTTCTCCATCATCAAATCATCAGTTCATCGAACAGCCACTCTTTCGCTTCTCTCTGTACCATTCTCGGAGCCTGCTCCTCAATCATTCTTTTCGTCTTTCAACATCAATCTTTTTAATATCACCGATCCACTCTTTAAGTTTTACACTTAACTTTTTTAATATCAACAACAATGCCTTCCACTACTTTCAACTTCTCGGCCGCTTTGTGCCTCTTCTTGGCCGCTGGCCCTGCTAGCGTTCTCTCCGCTCCCCAGCTGGTGAGTACCCGGAACACATGGCTCAGCCTTATGGCACTATCTTGAAAATCCCAACTAACAATCGAACAGGGTGGTCTCCTTGGAGGCGGAAAGTCCGATGCCGCCCCCGCCAATGGCAACAGCGATTTCACTGCCGGTGCTGGCTATGATGTCGGCATCCCGGGTGGCCCTAATGTCGCCTATGGTGTTGGCGTTCACAAGGAGCAGCACGGTCCCTGCGGCCCTGGCGCAAGCTACGACAAAGATGCTGGCGCCGGTTACGCTGTCGGTATTCCCGGCGGTCCCCACGCTATCTACGGTGTTGGCGTCCACGACTCGCACGACTCGTACCCCTGCCCCGAGGAGCCCGCTGCTCCCGTCGCTCCCGCTGCTCCTGTTACTCCTGCTGCTCCTGTTGAGCCCGTCGCTCCTGCCGCTCCTGTTGAGCCTACCGCCCCCGCTCCTGCTGAGCCTACCGCCCCTGCTCCTGCCGTCCCTGCTGCGCCTGCCCATACTGAGCCCGCTGTTGTTCCCGTTGCTGTCCCCGTCACTGAGCCTACGACCACTATGACCTCCACCTGGGTCCCAGCGTACATTCCCCCAACCTACACCACCCCCATCGACATCCCCACCATCACCTCCGTTCCCGCCTACGCTCCTGGCCCCGTGGTTCCCGTTCACTCCACCCCCCTGATCAACCGCCCTGCTCCCTCCGTCACTCCCAGCCCGATGCCCATGTACAACGCTGGCTCCGCCATGGCCCCCAGCTCCCTCCTGGCTCTCGCTCTCCCCATCATGCTCGGAATCTTCTACTAGATCCTGACGGAGCCATGCTTGCTTTTTTCTGGTGATTTTAAAAAGAGTTTTTGTTTGAACAGCCCGTTGCGCCGGACGACCTGTATCTGTTTCCGTCCTGTGACTTCTCGACGGATGTACTCTCTTTTTGTGTCTGTCTGTGACTTGTCACTCATTTCTATTCCATGTGTACTCTTGCTTATTTATTTCTTGGTTCGCCTTCGATTGGTGAAACCCTCCTGCTCACATATGAGGGCCATGTGACTTTTGATTCTGATTCTGACTTGATGTTGTTTGCATTTTTATGCTATGGTTGTTAGGAGTCCGGGCGTGCTTTGCACATTCCGCACTATGTACTGTTTGCTTCTTGATGGATTTCGTTGGTAATCCCATGCATGAATATGATGCTTTTACAAAAATTTCAATCTCTCCGTAGTTTTAGTCTCCTTGATACGTGAGTTCGAACTAGGGCTTTTCGTGATACTGTGGTTTGCAGGCTTATCTTGTTTTGGTGGAGATGACGATCTCCCGGTCTGGACCCTTACCATGTCGGGGTTCGGAGCGGTCCTCAATAACAGTATGATCTATCATTGTTTAACAGAAATAAACTAAAAAGAAAGTATGTACAATCAGCCAAGTGATTGTAACTCAAAAAACAATACAAAAAAGCAAAATGCCAATAAATCTTTTATAGGTGGCTGGTTACACTAGTGATATGATACGTAGTAGCTAAAAAGGAGGTAAAAAGAAAACCTAAAAGCCCCCAAAACAAAGCTGTAAGTCGCGGTGCCTGCAGAAAATTAACGCCGAGATTCATTTCATGCCATTTACTTAGACTATATCCTCTTTCGAGTCAGAATAGAGTCGATCCCCCACACAAGCTGCAGGACACAGGTCAATCGATTCACGAGCGTCGAGGCCTGAGCGTGGAAAGGGCAGGCAAGGGGACCCCCATCAAATCCATGACCCTTTCAAGCCCAGGAATGATTATACCCCCATCGTGAAGTCATGCTCAATGCCCGGTGTAACGCTTGCAATGAACTTGAGGAACACAACCAAATACTGATCCACTCGAATGGCAACTTGTTCTTCTTCGTCATGCTGAAGAACCTCCCATTCATCACCGCCGGCCTGTTGCTGGTTCTCGCCGAGGGACATTGCCTTCGTATCATCAACTAAACCTTCTAGGCCATTTCCACTTGCTTGGAGGATGCGTTGCGCCTCTTCGCGGGACTGGGTTTGCTTTAGCTTGTCGCGTCGGAGTTTGAGCGCTGCGTCCGCGCGGTCGAGTAATGTCTTCATCACCGAGGCATGGCGGCATGGATGTACGGTCGCCATCTTCACGCTGCCCTCGAACCAAGGAAAGTCCTCCAGAGTCACTGTTTTATCCTTGTAGTCGCCGACGATGTCCTCCATCATCAAGTGAGGTGGAAGTGGTTCTGATGGCGATAGATACCCGGATAAATAGAGGCGTGGTGTGCGGTAGAAGTTGGAGTAGGTGATGTATAAGGTATAGGTGCGCAAGGATCTAGACAAGGCACAGGCGTTGCGTTAGTGACCAAGAACAAAGGACCGAAGCAACAATAAGGTGACACTTACTGCGTTGTGCTTGACTGTCCAGCTGGCTCGCGAATAATGGCCTCCTCATCGTCGTCGTCGTCTTCCATGTCTGGGATCTCTTCCTCGTCCTCTTGTTCACCCAAGTTCCCAGACTCGTCCACTGTCCGTACGTCCCGAATGCGAGCTTCTTGTTGATCACGGTCAGGACCTCCGCCAGTGCGCAGCCACCCGTCATCGCCGTCCTCCCCGGATGGACCCTCCGCACCCTCACCAGAGAGCATATCTCTTACAATCTCATCTTCGTGGCCAGCGTCGCCCGCGAAATTATCGTTCAGCCGACGGTGACATGGCACTCCTCGTGTGACAAGAAACTGTTTTCCGGCAGGGAGGTAGGAGACACGTTTGGCCGGGCTGGAGGCGTCACCCCAAGCCCATGTGGGGAACTTGTAGACAAGGTAATCGCCTGCTAGAACGAACTCCTCTGGAGTAATTTGGCCGGTGGAACGAAACGTTGAGGTTCGGGAGACTGGAGCCAGACGATCCCGCCAGGTTGATAATGTAGAATGTAGGATATTCATGGTATTTGGCAGTCTACGCTAATAGTTGAAGAGGGGAAGATTATTGAGGCGGGGAGAGACAACCTTGATAAGCGGTGGAGCACATGATCGGCCCCGCGTGAGCTCATCGCTATCGCATAATTCCAACTTCAAATCAAATTCGTTCCTTCTTTCACCTGACTTTTATCTGCGCAACTGACGGGTTTTCTTCTGCTCAGTGCCTTCTTTGAATGTTTTATTCGCTCAGGTGACCGTGTTATAAAAGGTCCAGGTGGCTTTATAGATACCTTGGTTCGCTGAGTATTGGTTTGATGGGCGCCCATTTATGAAGAGCCTCATCGGGGATGTATGTGGAAATCCAGAAACCTTGGACCCTTATAGCCAAGTTCTTCGTGGATATTGATCCGACTTGAAGACTGTATGATTTCTCTGCATCCCCGTTCACTCGCCTTCATCCATCATCCGCCGTCTTTCAATCTCGGATTCGAGATCGTCTACCACCAGAGGAATAGTCTTGTTTTTCCACTGCTCTGTTTCTTTCCGCGCAAAGCCCTCTAAGCTTCTCATTGCCACAACTAGAAATCCGAGTTGTTCCCGGTCAACATCAAAGACTTCCCACCAATTAGCATCTACCAGCTTGGTCCCTTCCTCGCGCGCTGCAAGATAAATTGCTGCAACAGCGAGCGCATTTGGTTGGTGTGTCACATAAAGTAATTGGGGAGAGAGGAGTGCAGCGTTGAGGTGCGCCACCACGCGGCGGGCCACTGCAGGTTTTGTCGCGCCCAACGCTTGCAGGTATGTGAGGGCAATAGCGTGAGGAAGAGCGACATGTGTATCGAAACCAAGAGCTCGCAGGATGACCGACTCAACGCGTAAAAGCGTCAACCTGGCGGCTAGGTATCCACCCTCGGAGAGGACGTAGGTTTCTGGAGTAGGAGGCTGTGCCGGCGCCCCACGCGGATTTACAAACCACAGTGGCGACACGTCTTGTGTGAGAAGGAGGGTATATACATTAAGGACGGATCGAGGGGAGGTTGGAAGGAAAGATAGCTTGGCTGCCAGGTAGAGTGAAGCCGCTGAAACGTCCTGTTTCGAGAATGGGGAAAAAGCGTTAGATAACGATGAAAGGTGAGAAATGGGATTTGAAGCGTGCGTACCTTGGCCGAGTAGATTCGTAAGCTTCCTCCATCTGGGCCCAGCCAGAAGCGGGTGAAAATCACAATTGCTTGGGCTATTATGTCCTGCGAAAGGCCCAATAGGACACCAGCTGCCTGGGTAAGTTGGGCTCCAGCAAAGCGGATCGAAGTTTCAAGATCCGATGATACGCCATCGATTGAGGAGGAGGAATTGGAGAGCTGATCGAAGGTGGCGAGAGCATTAGAGAGCTGCTTGAGGCCGGTGGTTGCCATGATGTCGCATGCAGGGATCGGAGACGGAGATCGGGTAACGTGGGGAGAAGATGCTCGTGGGGGAACAAGGTTTCTGCCGCATCAACTTGGAAAAGTAGTATGCACAGTCGACTTTTCGTGCTCTTCTGCCTCTCCAGAAATTTTCAGATATGCTAATGCCGTCACAGTGGATCAGGCAATTCAACTTTCGACTCCAGAATGGAAGAAGATTCCAGTGGATCCCCTCGGTGGAAATCGTTCAGCCACCGCTATTTCATACTTCCCAGCCTCTTCGTTTATTTCGGATTCATAGCAAAACAAACTACTTTTAGTACAGATTACTTTTTTTTCCCTCGATCATTATCTGCTGTGAAACATCTGTGCTTTTCCCTAGACCCAGAACTCATCAGACCATTGTCCCAGTCCTTTCTCGTGGATACCCAAGCTCTTCCCCTCTTTCGCCCCTAAAAACAACCTAAACAACGCATCTGCATAATATCTCCACCCCTTTGAGGTCACACACCAGCCGCGCCACAAACACTCTGATTCGACCCTTTCGACCCTGTCGACCCTGACTCGAATCCCCACCGAGTTTTCTCCCCTCGTCATCATGTCCTCCGATCTCTCCCTCCCCACGACTACCCTACATTCCGATGCATCACAGGGGCACGAGACCGTTGCCTCCTCACCCGCAATCCCTGTGATTCCCCCAAAGAATCGATTCCACAGCTTGCCATCACATCGTCGATCAAACACCGAATACATTGCACGTCCCCCTATTTTTGAGGAAGACCACGACTCTTCCAACGAAGACACAACAAATCGATCAGCTCCCTCGTGGACCGGAACATTTCCCAAAAAGAAGTTCGAAGCACGAGCCCGCGTCCTGTCAGATTGGTTCCAAGGCAAGTCGGAACCAGTCGATTTGGGAATTAAAATGCGTCCCGACGGCGAGATGGATGGTTCTGCCATGGGTTCCCCACGTCTCACGGCCATGACACATACCCGAAAGGGCTCGGCGCCAGCTACGGGACGATTCAACTTCTTTGGTCTCCGCCGGCAGGAAGACCAAAAACCTAACCCTCCAGAGCCGGCAGATGATGAGTTCCTCAACCTTGATATTACCGCCGCCCTTTCCTTGCCCAGGTCGCATACCAGCGACGACGAAGCCCTCGATACCCTCCGTGAACAGGCAACCGATGTGCTACAACGCATGCAGGATGCGTATAAACAAAGAACATTTGTCATGCATCAAGCCATGGCCGACAGGAACGAGAAACAAGAAGAATTAGAGGAGACTCGGGCCCGAGTCGATCACTTGAAGGCTCAACTGGACGGCATGGCTGCCAAAGTGTCGAGCCAAGAAAAAGCCATGCAGGCCATGGCCGAGGAGCTCGAACAGGAGAGGCGCCTGCGACAAGAAGAGAGCCGCACCCGCAGCCTTACCATGCGTGCGATTCCTCCCGATGAAGATATTCCATCACTAGCGCTGCAAACCCCGCACCGCGGTGGCAAACGAACCAGCCATGGGACCTTTGCCAGTGACTCCGGCTTCGAGTCTGGCGATGAAAGTATCGCAGACAGTATATTTTCTCATCGGGAGGGTGTTGAGTCACCGACCTCCACACTCAACGCACCTTCACCCAATATATCGCAGGTTGCGCTGTCCACCCCGACACCGATGCCAACCCTCCAAAAGAATCTTGTTGCAGCTACAAATACGCCGACGCCAAAGGCTTCGTCCGCATACGATCGTGTCTTAAAGGGGTTTGCCTCCACACGCCTGGGAAGCTCATTTGTGGGTAATGGTAACTCCAACCAGAGTCAATGTGATATTTGTTATGGTGTTCCGTCTCATGAAGCCTGGAGTGTCATGGGCGTCTTGAAGGACGAGAACCGTGGCCTTAAAACACGGGTTGGAGAGCTGGAGGTGGTGATTGATGATTGTCTTGGTCTCGTTGGGCCTTGAATTTGATACGAAAAGGAATTTTCGTAAGGATGTCAATGAGTATACTGGGAAGCTCTCAGCACTCTCAGATGGACCCGGTGTCTATATAGAGGAGCGGGGGGCTTTCAAATGGGGGGTTTTTTCCCTTTTGTCCAATCTATGATGTTTAGATACCACCTATAGAAGTCTGTGATCAAATTGATATTGGAAGCCTTTTGGCAAACATGCACTCCTAAGCAGCTCCTTGGATAGCCTTGGAATCTTGGAAGACCTCTGTGCTGGATAGACCAGTTGGCCCTTCACATCTCAGGCGTGCATTCATTCTCGGATCGTTATTCCAAGGTCCCAGAGCCTCATCGCCACATATTGGGTACAACATCTATCTATTTCAAATACTACTAGTAGGTACCCATCCCAATTGTTCAAATGTTGTAGCGGCAGCATTAAATTGGGTATTCTTGATAACATTTGAACCTTGGAACATCCCAGTCCTTGATCCATGGATCTAGTATCTTGTGTGTACTCCAATGGGGTATTGCCCCCATATACCTAGTACCTAAGTATACCTACTACATGTGTACCTTTACTATTTGATATAGAATATATCCAGCATCTTTTACCTTCCAAGGTTAGGGTTGACTAAGTCGCTTTTGGCACCGGCGGCGGGGGTAGTGCGTGGGGAAATGAGGATGAAGAAACCTGTGGAAATCGCGTGACTCGCCAGGCGAACGTTCTCCAGGGCTTACAGATGGCCCTCGAAGGGGCTTGGACCAATTCAAGACCAAAAATTTAAGGGTTATGTTCAATTCCGGTTATATGAGACGTCAGTATGGCGGCGTAAAACAAAGGGGGACATTGAACATTGATCACTTTCTTTTAGAGGCCCATATGGAAGATATAAGGGTTGTTTGATATGTCGCGAACTGTGGCCAAGTGGCCCGACCTAAGGGAAGCGAAAAAGTGGGGCCCAGCGAACAACTTCCCTCGTCTTCCTCCTCAACTCCCTCCCCCGTCTTCCATCCCCCGATCCCTCCTTTCCCCCATCTCCCCTTTCCCTTTTTCCTTTTTAATCAACTTCCTTTCCACTCCTTCTGCTGGTGGAAACCTCCAGTTTCTTTTTTATTTCTTTTTAGAACGGATTGGGAGGAAGACAGTCACAATGAGCGGCCGTGAGTTTGCCCCATACCCACCACGCGATCGCCATCAACTCCCCTCAAATCATCTCCAATGGACTGGAATATACTGACGATGGATAACAGTTCGCTTCCTTGACTTGATCAAGCCCTTTACGCCCCTCCTCCCGGAGGTGGCAGCTCCTGAGACTAAGGTGCCCTTCAACCAGAAGTTGATGTGGACAGGTGTATGTGGCCTCTCAATCGTCATCCGGTCGCGATGCAATGAACATGTTACTTACGACAATGTCTTCTTAGTTGACTCTCCTCATCTTCTTGGTCATGAGCCAGATGCCCCTTTACGGTATCGTGTCTTCCGACACTTCTGACCCCCTGTACTGGCTGCGCATGATGCTTGCCAGTAACCGTGGTACTCTCATGGAGCTGGGTATCACTCCCATCATCTCCTCCGGCATGGTCTTCCAGGTATGCGATCACAACAAGATGTCATTGAGATGATGCGACAAGAAAATTGATCTGACCAACCTTTTCCTTATAGCTCCTTGCTGGTACCCACCTCATCGACGTCAACCTTGACCTCAAGACCGATCGCGAGCTCTACCAGACCGCCCAGAAGCTCTTCGCTATCATCCTTTCCTTCGGTCAGGCCTGTGTCTACGTCCTGACTGGTCTCTACGGCCAGCCCAGTGACCTTGGTGCCGGTATCTGTGTTCTCCTGATCGTTCAACTGGTTGTTGCTGGTCTTGTTGTCATTCTGCTCGATGAGCTCCTCCAGAAGGGCTACGGTCTCGGCAGTGGTATCTCCCTCTTCATTGCCACCAACATTTGCGAGTCGATTGTCTGGAAGGCCTTCTCCCCCACTACCATCAACACTGGTCGTGGTCCCGAGTTCGAGGGTGCCATTATTGCCCTGTTCCACCTTCTCCTGACCTGGCCCGACAAGCAGCGCGCCCTGTACGAGGCCTTCTACCGCCAGAACTTGCCCAACGTGATGAACCTGTTGGCCACCCTCCTGGTCTTCGCGGCTGTCATCTACCTGCAGGGCTTCCGTGTTGAGATCCCCGTCAAGTCCTCCCGCCAGCGTGGCATGCGTGGCTCTTACCCCGTCCGCCTCTTCTACACCTCCAACATGCCCATCATGCTCCAGTCTGCTCTGTGCTCCAACATCTTCCTCATCAGTCAGATGCTGTACTCTCGCTTCTCCGACAACCTGCTTGTTCAGCTTCTCGGAGTCTGGGAGCCCCGTGAGGGATCTGCCCAGCTCTACGCCGCCTCGGGTATTGCTTACTACATGTCGCCTCCTCTGAACTTCACCGAGGCTCTTCTCGACCCCATCCACACCGCTGTTTACATCACCTTCATGTTGGTTGCCTGCGCTCTGTTCTCCAAGACCTGGATCGAGGTTTCTGGCTCTGCTCCCCGTGACGTTGCCAAGCAGCTCAAGGACCAAGGTCTTGTCATGTCCGGTCACCGTGAGCAGTCCATGTACAAGGAGCTGAAGCGTGTGATTCCCACTGCCGCCGCCTTTGGTGGTGCTTGCATCGGTGCTCTTTCCGTTGCCTCTGACCTTCTCGGTGCCCTTGGCAGCGGAACCGGTATTCTTCTTGCCGTGACGTAAGTTCTCTCTATCTTGCATTGACTTTTTTTTTATATATAACAAAACTAACACCATTTATAGCATCATCTACGGTTACTTCGAGATTGCTGCCCGTGAGGGTGACATTGGCGCTGGCCTCAAGGGCCTCGTTCCCGGCAGCTAAATGACCAGACTGCTGGATTTCTTCTTCACGAACAGTATTGATGGAAGGCTACACTTGTAGTCTTTCTGATTTCTGATCATTTTTTGTTTTCTTTTTAATGGTCATGTTTTTATACTATCTTTGGGGAGATGAATTGGCATATATGAAACTGGTAGCCTTCCTCTTGGGCAAGGCCGAACTGGATGGCCATTGGCGGATATCATTCAATATCCGTTGGACTCTTTAGACGCACGTCTAGCTTATACTAGACCAGGCCAGAGGAAGATACCAGGCCTGTGGATCATACTATCGCCGACAGTCGGAAGCGCCCTGTTCAGGGTCTGTAACCATATTTTATCAATCAAAAATCTAACCAAGTTACGTTATGGCGGAACCTCATGAGTGTAACAGGCTAGCACTATCTAGTAGTATTTGTGTATTAACTTCCACGTTTGAAAAACATGACGTCTGCACATGTGAAAACCACCAGCTGGATCATTCCATGACTCCTCGCTGAACTAGCGTAGCTTTCTCATCCTCAGTAAGGATCTACCTGAGTCATCTCCATGCTGCTTGCATCTTCTATTCTTTTGGGAACATTTGAACTATGTCTACCCCCACTGGGGCCTTTGCTTCTGTGGTGAACCTGGTTGTGGACTGTGAGTGGTATGGGAACTAGGAGTATTTACGTTGATAAAGACCCTTGATGGTGGATATCATGCACCCCATTGTTTCCTCTGTTCTTCTCCCTAGGCTCAAGCCCGAACGAAATTTCTGTAGTTCAATCCTTGATCTTCTTACATCTACATCGTGTTGCTAAAAAAAAAGATTTACAAACTCTCCTAGTAGCTCTGAAGTTCAAAATGATAATCAAGCCTATCGGTCACACATATACTAAGAATCAGTCAATTTGGAAATCATTTGCTCACTACCAATTTTCTCATGGAATCCACCCAGTCCTTGGTGACTGAATAACTGCATGTGTATAGAAGATTGAAATTATCTACTATGTACTAGTATATTGAAAGAAAAAATTCACTATACATCAATTGATTGACTAAATATTTTTATAAACAAACATTGAACATTGAATCTATAAAATATCATGCTAACGCCTCATCCGCAACATAAATCCAGAGAGACCTTTCTTGGAACCTTGCTTCTTCTATATTTCCAAAAAAACCAACAACCAGCCACCAATCACCAATCACCAATCACAAATGTTTCGGTGATAGATTAGTCGATGTCCATTTTAGAGTCCATAGAAGTAAGGGAACTTGTGGAAGAGACATCAAAAACACGGCCTGGGGGTCGTATGCAGTTGGGAGCCCCGCAAAGACAGTCATACTCCGCACATGACCAGTAATTATGTCCATAGTGGACAGTGATCGTCTCAAACATAGCTATATCCCGTATGGCCTTGACTATGACAATAGCCTGATCACCTACCATGCTTCCACGAAACTCGACGTTTGAATTGCAATGGTGATTCATAAAGCGCGTCCAGTTGCCACGCTCACTGGGAAAGATATCATTAATGTATATGTGCTGGTATTGCCCATCATCGCCAATTACATCAACCCCGTTGTTCATCGCATAAATATTATCCTCGATACCGCTGCGGTAAGGGGCCAGTTCACCGACATACTCGCCTAGAACATCATTTGCCTTGAAGTTGGCGAGCGATCGAACTCCAGTACCTAATGGTCCCTCAACTAGCTCCACCATGTCACCCGCTAGAGATGTAAGGCGGCACTGACAGCGCGGCTTAGAGTGACAAATTGCACAAGCATTCCATTCGGGCTGGCGCAGAGCTGGATTTTCGCCTTCGTAGTCAGGGAAGTTGGCAGGATTCCAGCTTGAAGAGTTCATGTTGACCTGAGCCCGTCCATTGCAGATTGGTCGTTTGAGATGACCATCCGGAAGTTGCACAGTGTGGTGGGGATGCTCCTGTCCGAGGTCAATATCAGAATTCAAAGCGACATTGAGACTAGGTATATCGTATTGCACGTATGACAAAAGAGCTCCACGCCACTCTAGCCCACGAGAACGAGCAAATACAAGAACGCTGCGAGCGTTCTGGGTCATAAGCTCATCGAATCGAAGCCAGTTTGGAGCGTCGAAGCCTGTGGTGGCTAGCTGGAAGCTTTCAGACTGTGCACAGATAGCGAACATCTGCCAACCGTATTTATCAATGAACCAAGTAGCTCGAGTGCTCAGTCCTGCATAAGCGATTTGCCTATAGTCATGGACTCCGTTGTTGATGAACATGGAGGTATGCTGCTTCAGATTGGCATAGTTAGTAAATTCCTCGTGGTAGTAGTTACCCTCATCCGTAGCAGTATTGATGATTGCCTGAAACACGGATGCGTAGTTCAGATCCCAATACAGAGATGCCATTGTAGCATTGGCTTGCTCGTTCACAGTGGGCGGAGCTCGCTTTTTGCGAGAATTGTCTTCATCGCCCTCCGCCTTCTTTGGGCTGCCTTTCTTGCCCTTGCCAGATGGGCGGCTTCTCTTCTTAGATGGGCTGGGTGTTTTGCCTTTCTTCGGGGCACCGGCTTGTTCGTCTTTCTTCGCGGCACCGGCTTGTTCGTGTGTAAGTTCCATCTTTTTGTGATTTATGATGATGATTTGTAGTGATATTCGATATGTGATGGATATAACCTTGGAAGTCGTATTCAAATGATGTTTGGGACCTTGGAATGAAGCACTTGATAATTGTTGTTGATGAAGGTAATATGCATTGGGAAGTGTCGGGCTTTTATGTTCGAGTCTCCAGGGCTCGAGGTCAGGTTTCTAAAAAAAAGTTGCTTGTTCGAGTCCAACATTGAAGATTGAAACGTCCATTGAATATTATTCTACGCAAAGATTCTTTCACCAAATCCATTCATTGACCTAGGTATGAAATTAGGTGGTTACATACTGATGGGGGTAACCTCTTTGTGATTCAAATGTTCAATCCATGGATTCAAGTTCAATGTTTCGCATCAATTGATTATTTATAGCTGGTTGCAGCTGCACGGTCAGATCTCTTAGGCCGGTTATCTATAGGGCTTTGAACCCAAAATAGACTTGAATTGATCTGGTCTTTGTCGTTCAATGCATTGTTCTATTTGATGACCTTGCAAGCCCTTTATCATATTCAATGTTGCCACAATGAATATTATGGGGATCCATGAATGCTTGAGTCGACTAAAATAGATCCACGGATAAAAATGATACTAAACATTTGCATGAGGATGTATGACTAGTAGTACTAGTTAGTAGTAGTATGGATCCTAAAGAAGGGTATACTAGTACTCAAATGTTGTCGATAACTGAGAATTCAAACATTCCAGATGTCAAATGTGGGAGACCAAGTTGACACAGTATCCACGGATGGGAGTGAAGCCATCCTTGACCTACCATTGTCGCCGACTATGTAGTGCCGGAGTTGAAAATGTTGTGGTCGTAGCTTCCCTTTGTAGAATGAACTGAGTACTTGACCAAGTAGATCTAAGCTGAACGAGTTTGAAGTTTTAATAAGTCAACTTAACTAAAATATATCAAAATGGAAGAAGAACTTGTTGACTTTCTCTGGGAGATAATTTTTTTTTTTTGGATACCATCAATGTCCCCAATGCTCATATGGAGCACCGATTTGTGTTTGTTCTGGTGGTTCTGCTTCGAGACCATCGATCGTTCTTGGGATCATTACTATGGTCGTACTGAGCATCAAAGTTGACAATCATATTTTCGAGTAAGATATTCACAGTTTAGGCCAAGTCCACAAAAACACTGTACTAACTGTGAATACACCTCTCTTTCATGCTCAAGTGGCAAAGTGAGTTCAAGAATCCAACCCGCAAAATGACAAAGGTGGATCGATGCTTGGCGTCATGTGGTGGGGAAGCTTCCGAGGCCATCAATGGAACTTCCCACTGTAATGTTTGAACCTTGAACTGACCCTCCTGGCTCGTCAGCCTCCATAACCATGGCCTCCGAACCTTCCGAAGAAGCCATCGCCGAGTTCATCAGTTTCACTAGCGCGACGCGCCCACAGGCGGTCGATTTTTTGAAGGTCGTCCCCCGTCCCCGCATTCGCGCTTTCTTTCAATACCCCAGCTGACTTTGCGCTTTTTCGAGATGCAGGCACATGATGGTAGCTCACAAAAAGCTATCAACGCGTTCTTTGAAGACCCGACGGGCCCTCATCTATCAAATGTTCGTCACCGTCGCAGTGCCCGAAGTCATTTTTCTGGAGGAAGTGGAACTGACCAATACTTCAGACATCGAGTTGGCAAAACGAAAGTGAACTGACACGTAAGTGCAAGAAGAACAAAACACCTTCTTTTACAGTGAATGACAGTCTATCCCGCAGCGTTTGGATTCGGCGACCAAGAACAAGGCCCACGAATGCCCGCCACCGCCCCTCCCACACGCCCGCCGTCAAGGGTAAACATGCACGATACAACCAAAGGTCCCGGTGATGAAGGACAATCTGCGACCAACGCGTCGGGGCAATCAGGTTAGAAACTCTTCTCCAAATCACGACGTACCACAATGAACCCTACTAACACGGGATCAGCAACAACTTTGAATCGACAAGAAGTGAGGAGTCTAGCAGACCGCGAGCAGCAAGAATTACAACAGGCAGTGGCCATGTCCCTCAACCAGGGCATGGGAACACAAGAAACAGGAGTTACGGCAGCCGCCTCGAACAGCCCGCCTCACTTCGGAAAAGCCACGCGTGATCATTACGACCAAGGTGCCTGGGCTATGACTCTGTTCAACGAATCATCCCAAGAAGTTATCAACGGCCCAGACCCGGAGGACCGCAAGAAAGTAGCCGGCCAGCCGGCATTCATCCGACCGACGCAGAGCAATCTTTATCTAGGGGGATTTCTCACCATTCTCCACGAAATTCCTCAGGCGCGGGAAGCATTATTGCTGAGGAACAAACTCCTTTTCGACTATGGACAAGATGCACATTGGTGGAACGGACAACCAATCAACTTGCCGAAGATCGTCACTGTCCACGAAGGAAGTGAAGATAGTGACTGGGAAGACACTATCCATGAAACCCAACGGCTTATGGCTTTCCTAGATTCTACACAACGCGCTTTTGGAAGTAGCGATGCACTCGCCGGTCTCAAACAAATGAACTGGTACTCTTCAGACTCAGAAGAGATAGTGGCACGGTTCCTCGAGACATGGCATTCTGCAGCAATTCGAGCAGACCCCAATAACCCACTGGTCACATCTTTCATGTCACATGCATACAAAAGATCCCCCTTTGATGACGGCGACGAACCGATCTCAAAAGAGCTCTTTGTCTTTGAGCCTGTTGTTGAGCAGGAGCATGGACAAACTCTCTACGATGTTTTAGACACGGCCATCTGGAGTGACAAACCTGGGGAAGATCTCGACGATGTATGGCTTGAGCACGTTGGAGATATTCTAGTCATGAAACTTGATTCATTTGAGCACGCAAAGTCAGTGGACGTGACAGTCCCTGCCGTGTTTTATCCCGACCGTTATTTGAGCACTTGCCAAGACCTCACGCGAGAATTACGCACTCAAAGGCTTCAGGCCCAGGAAGTCGTATCCAAAATTGAAGAACGGATCAAGCATTATACTACCGTACCGAACAACGATGTTGGCAGTCTCACAAGAAAAAAAGTCCTTGAAAAGGCTGCTGATGCGATACCTGTCGCCTTAAAGGCAGCCCTCAATGGTCCCCCGGATGACCCGGCAACCAAGGCGGCACGGGAGAGAGCAGAGGGGATGCAGCAAGAGCTGCGAAGGATCGCTACAAGGATAGGCGAGAAGCTTCAAGGTATGTTCTCTCAGTTCACTTTTGAAACGTGATTGCTAACTAACCGACAACAGGGCTCGAGATTCGCAAGCAGAACGCACTAGAAGCCATGCATAAATACTCCAGAATGCTCACAGAACCATCGGAAGATCCATCTCAGCCGCCTTCACACAAATACACACTCCGTGGTGTTTGCACCGAACCGCATGTAACTTACGTTCTGAAGCGCCACGGGGCTGATGACCAGAGAGATGCCATGCATACTGATGGAGAAGAGGATGGGTTCCAATGGTGGCGTATCAGCTTTTCCGCCGAGGATGGCAAGGCTCAACAATCCGAGAAGAGAGAAGCCCAGGGCGACAAGACAACTGCATCGGATGGCGATGTCATGGGCTACACTACTCGAAAAGTAACGGAGACTGAAGTCCTTCAAGCCGCCCGGGAGGAATGGAGATCAGTCCTGCTGGTCTATGCCAGTGACGCAGCTCTTCAAATCAACACAGACCCGGCACCTTTGCAGCTCCAGGTAAGTTATCGGTGTTCCCTTTTATTCAATCTTTTTACTAACCCATACAGGCTTTTGTGAGCAAAGATAATGACGCATTTGCGGCCGAATGCACCCAAGCTACTACCAATGCAGACAATAAGAACTCTGAGTGGAATCCAGCTTGGAGCCCAAAGACTGTTGAAAAGCAGACAGCAGCATCATCTGCGTCGCAGCAGGATCGGGCCGTGGATGTATTTGCTTTTCAAGTACAAGACTTCGATAGCGAGAAAAGTGCTGGGCAGGAGATGCAAGAGAAAGTAGGATCAAGCTCTTTAGCAAAAGGAACGGGACCAGAGAACGTGAGCCAATCCTTGTCTCAAGCCTTCGATGACAATGAGGCGTGGAACCCGGTAGAGAGCGACGACAATATGGTCGACCACGTCGAGCACTCTCCCGCCAACTGAGAAAGAACGCCAAATGAATGATGAGAACATGAACTCGAGCAGATTACTCGAAATATGATTTACCACATAGCTTTACAGGCAATGAAATGTATTTTTATCTATCTATCATGCCGCTTCGTGTCCTTGTAGGCCGTACTAGTAGCTCCGTGAAACGTGTGTACAGTGTACTACGAGTTTGATAGGGTCCCCACATTTGCCGTGTCTGCAAACACCCCCAAGCTTGTCGCGGAGAACCTCAGCAAGCCCCGACAACTCCGAGCCCAACACAACACCGATCGGTCCCCTTACCACAATGACGGTTGAAAGCGATTCCGTGGCTGGTGCCACGATTGAGCTTCTAGAGGCACGTCTGCGCCGCCTCACCTACCTCCTGGGCGGCGCGACCGACTGGACAGGAGTGCCAACTACACCCGAGAAGCCCGCCTCCCTCGATGAAACCGTGTCGCGCCGACTTGCCAGCATGGAGCGAGAACTCGAGAACCTCAGTCGCAGCGTCCCTGTCGTTCGGGATGTGATTCAGCTCCGTATGTTGATCCCAAAGCATTGCTTCGCGCCCAGTCCCTGTTGCACCACTGGATTCATTCCCCCGCCTCCCCATCAAACAAATCAACAAACATCGCATTCCTCTATTTCATTCTTTGCTTACACTAACCCGATTCTCTTTGATCAGACGACCGCTTCCCCGATCTCTTCCAAATACCACCCCCGCACGAAATCCCAGAAGGCCTCTCCACACGCGCCCTCACCTCCATGGTCCTCTCCTACGCAACCGCTTTCCCTGAAACTGCCTCCCGCCTTACTTCTCTCAACGACCTCCCCATTCCGGATGCTCAGAGCTCTGCCACTCTCATTGACCTCCAGCCGCAGATGGACCGCGTCGCACAGACACAGGCGGAACAGGCGGCAGAGATCTCGGAGTTACGGGTCCGCACAGCGAAGGTATTACAGCGATGGTATGAGGTTGGGCTTGTAGGGAGCGGAGAGTGCTGGGCCGAATGGGAGGGGCGACTGGAGGGTGTGGAGAGAGAAGTGAGGAGAAGGGAGGTCTTCAAGGAGAGGAGAGAGAACGAGATATGAGTTCTCTCTCTCTGTTCGACTGCCTCTGTCCTTTTTCCCCCAATCTGTTTTCTTCTTCTAGCCTGGGTGCATTTACATTTACTAGTACATTATCTGTTTGTTTTATTTGGCGGTGATATCCTGCTTGGGTTGTTGGTTTTGGTTGGGCGCATATGATGCTGGGCGCCTCTCTTTTTTTGTTTACAAAGAATGTCTAGTGACTTCATTCCTACGCAATGGTACTGCCACGCGGATTGTCTGACAACAATGGGGTTGTATAGAATGACAGCTGGAATCCACATACCGATCTACTATATCGTCATTCAGACGGGAACATTTGATACCCAAAATCACGAGATAATTGAGGTATGCATAAAACGGGACAAGCTCGGCCCCGGATTCTTGCCTGGATGCCTTGAACCATGTTGGGGCCGAGGCGTTTGTATAGTGAATATTCCCAAAGTTCTTAAGCAGTTAGGGTTTTTCCCAACATCCATCCCTGACAAGAGTATTGCACAGTGCATGTTCGGCGTTACGTGAGGCTGACTTTTGCCCTCTATAAACTTAATTAGATGAAATTATGCCTGATGGGTGTGTTCTGCATGCGCTCACAGCCACAACGCGGAGGGCCTCGCATAGTCTGTTGTCGATCAGTCTTTGTACACGTGTGCACGCCCACGAATGTGGCCGAAAAAAGTACGAGATCCGATCGAACCACCGAGTGGGGCGTGGAGTTGTCAACGGCGTTCTCCAGATTACGAACAACTAGACGATACATATAGGGCTATATAAATATAGGGCTACAGGGCTAACTAGCAAACATATATGGTAATTATGGAGATTGGGGATTGTCGATCAGGACCTTCAAGTTTCAGGTATCAGATCGTGTTTTGGGGAAATCAGAAAACGTTAGCAAGGATGGCCTGCGTCGGCCTGCGTCAGCCGGGATGACTAACTCCGATATTTATAGATTACCGAATTGAAAAAAAACCTGGAACGGATGAACGAATGAACGAATGAACGAATGAACGAATGACAGAATGACAGAATGACAGAATGACAGAATGACAGAAACAACAAAGAAGGTAAACCCTGGGTCTGGATTCGGTACCTGAATTACCATAGACCCTGATAGACCCCGTGGGCCTGGTATATCCATGGATTAGAAGTTGTGAACCACAATGGACTGTATACCAATTACAGTCTAGAACAAAGTACAAAATGAATTAAAATGAGGTGGAGCAGTCACACTTCATTTCCCGGGATTCCACTGTGGTCTCGATTCCAGGGGGCGCGTCTCTGTCTGTGTGTTTTGGGGCGGGATCCACCGCCCATTTTCACTTCTCTCCTTTTTCCCCTTCCAATCCCTCATTGAACTTCATTCGCTCATTCGCTCACTGTTCTATTCTTCAGCCTGGTGCTGTTTCTCGAAATTCTAGCCTTACTTTCTTTTAGTTTTTTTTTTTTTTATTGTTTTTTTTTACCCTCCTCAACACTCCCTATCCGATCCCCCCGCGGTTCGTCAATTCGCTGCAAATCCACTTTGTCTCACAAAAAAAGGTACGGACACACACAAATAAACACAACAGGCGCCAGGTACAACGATCCTCTTGAACAAGTGATCTGTTTTCCTGGAAGTCGTGGAGAATTCTTCTCATTCTAAGCGCGCAGAGGCGCCACATTGAACCCCAAGCAAACAGATCACTTGTAGCCTTGGACCCCACGCGCGACCGAGAGAGACTCTGGGAATCGGAGACTGACTGAGCGCATCTCTCTAGTTTCACCTCCTCGCATTGGTGCAACTGATTTCCTCGACGAAAAGAACCTCAACTTTATACCCTCATTCGATTTGATTTCAACTCGTCCTTTGGGGAAAAACAACCAGGTCGCAGCGATAGAAAGACCCCTCCTTTGGCATCAGCATTCATAAATCTCTCACCATCTTTCGATCCATAACGATCAAACCCACCCTCCTTCTCGACATTCATTGAGCAACTTCGATTTCAACCACCCAAAATGCCGAACTTCCGCCCTAGTAACATCCTGGGTGATCCGTTCGCCTTGGCCACCCTGTCCATCTCCATCTTGGCATGGCTCATCGCTTTCGTCGCATCTATTATTTCGGAAACTCAACCCAACAACAGCTATCCCAATTATGATTGGTGGGCAGTCTCCTACATGTTCTGTGTGATTATCGGCCTCATCATCACCTTTGGCACAGACACCTGCAATGTTTACGGCGTCGCGGTAGGGATTCGCATTTATTTACATCTCCAAAATAACAACGATACTGATTGATTATTAGATTGTTGGCTACCTTGCCTGTGGTCTGGTCCTTACTTCGACCAGCGCAAACAACTTGATTTACAGCCACATGGGAGCCGAGCAAGCCGCTGGAGCAGGCTTCATCCTGCTTTCCATGGTCATTGTGATCTGGATCTTCTACTTCGGTTCCTCGCCCCAGGCCACTCACCGTGGATTTATCGATTCGTTCGCCTTGAACAAGGAACAGCCCGACCCCTCATCTTACCGCGGTAGCCGTCCCATGTCCAGCGCATTCGGTGCCCGCCCAGAAACCATGGCCACTAGCCACACCCCACAGATGTACACCTCCGCACAACTCAGCGGCTTCGAGACCTCATCCCCCGTCTCCGGATTCCCCGGTGGAGCCCCTGGCGCGGAGCGCAACTCCTCCGTGGCCCGCTTCGGAGCCACCAGCACCAGCCCTGTGCCCGGTCCCAGCACTGGAAACCAGGAGCCCAGCGAGGTTCCTCAGCCCACCGAATACCCCTACCGCGCGAAGGCGATCTACTCTTACGACGCCAACCCCGAGGATGCCAACGAGATCAGCTTCGCCAAGCACGAGATCCTCGAAGTATCCGATGTCAGCGGCCGATGGTGGCAGGCTCGCAAATCAAATGGAGATACCGGCATTGCGCCCTCCAACTACCTCATCCTCTTGTGATCGCCACATTCATGATGACTAGTTTCTTATCTCCTTTTGTTTGATTTTCTGCCTCCCCTTTTTTCGCAAAATCTGTACTTTGATACCCTTTGGAATCTCGTGGCAACATGTGTTGTATTTCTGGTTTCCCTTAACGTGATGTCTTGATGGCCTCCTCTTTCTTCTTATATCTTGATTTGCTTGCATGCCCTCTCTTACCCGCTTCTCACTTTCATTGGAACGCTTCTTCTAAACCCGGGTTGTTACCCGTGTCTGGCGGTCGTCCGTCCCGCATTCTTTTTCTCTCTCTTTTTTTTTTATAGTTATACTGCGCGTTATGGTTCAGGTGCTATTTGATTTGTCATATCTGGAGAATCAAGGCCGACTTGATCGATTTAGATCCGGCTAGAAGTCTGGCTTTCAGTGTGAAAAGTCCGCAGATAGTTGGTGCACGGGCTGATCTTTGTCATACAAACGCATTGTCAATGCTGCCTTTGAATGCAATCTGATATTCTGTTTATTTCCAAGGCTATTGCGGATTGAAACTCCATAGGAGTGCTTAGATAACACAAGCCCAGGTATCCATGGGTACAGGTTATTGTAGACTATTTCGAATATCTGTGCCCGAGTGGCTTTAGCCTGGAGGTAATTTTGGAGATTGATTGGTATTTGATAGGTCATCTAAACGCTCATGTCCACGCTGAGGTGTTTTTTCGGATTATGACATGCATATAGAATTCCCCCCTGCGACCTCAAGTAGGGTAAACGATGCCATCTGTAATGTCCGGCCCAGCGAAGCCCCAACACTTCTGAGGTTTCATTGCTGATAACACAACAATACCCGTGCCCAAAGTCCATGATGTTCAACTGGACGGAAATGATAAAGCCATAGCCATTGCGATGGACTATATGCCTGGCACACGACTCGATGAAGCATGGGATACCTTAGACTCGGCCCAAAAACTCTCCATCGCCTCTGAGCTTCACTCCTACATCAATCAACTTCGTGCCCTCGATTCCAAGGTAGTTTTCTAAATACTCTGCATTTTGGGGATTATCGTACTAGACTAGCATTCGATTGGTATTTGAAACTCATAAACTGCCGGCATGGATATCGCATACTCTCAATTCCAAACATACAAGATATGGGTTGTAACATTGAATACATAGTATACATAGTATACATAGTATACTACATGTAATACAAATTCATTGTCCACTCCCGAGGTCGGTGCTCGGGCTGATCAACTCATTCTGAGAGTTTTATGATTTGAATATCAAATCGTGTTGTTAAAGTGGCGGTTCCAAGGCTCTAATTGGCCTTCGCGTCTGAATTATAATCAAAACAAAAACATTCAGCTTTCATTCAGCCAGCCAACTGAAAGTTTCTATTCAACCTAAGACCAATCGTCACATTGAAGCACCGTTCTAATCACTCGTTAATTAGAACTCAGCCGCCCCGTCCTATTACCACAACCCTTCCCTCAAAGCACACAAGCGATAGGCCAGGAAGCAACCGCAATATTTGTAATAAAAGGCCTGAGCGTTAAATCCAAGTATATCGCCAATCTATCCAAATGTTTTCCGCGACTTTAGTGCTTCTTTCTAGATCCATCTCTTTTACTTTGATCTTCCAGAAAATCAAGTCATACTGGCCAGAGCCAGCATTTCTATGATGGCCACTCTGAAAGAGTGTGCGGCTATGGTCTCTGGATTCTGCTTCGGTGTCAGACATCCACTTCGTTGCAAATGCTTGAGCGGTTCGAGTGCGTGGAGGAATGGTAATGGTGCGATTACCATGGCGAGACAACTTCTTCAAATGTTTGATGCTGTCTAGAGGGATCTAATGAGGTTGTACAAATATCTAATTAGTAAATGTGTAGTTAGTAAGGATGAATTTAAACCACCACAACCCCACATTCGGCAGACAAACCCCGGTTAATTTAGCAAGTCACGTTTGCACCTTGCCAGGATCCTTGTCGTGCGTCTTTCTGGAATTTTTCTATGAGCGGTGACCAAAAGTATATTGTAATTGAGCATTGGAAAAGCAAGAGAATTTTGCATGCCCACCACCCGAGCTAGGTACATGATTGATATTTTTATAGTAGACTGATCAATTTCGCGACAATCCCGAGCAAAGCTGACTTGGAATTCGGGAGTCATTGGGGGTGTTAAGGGAACGCGCGCTTTTGAATATTGCAAAAGCGCGCGTTCCCTTACAAAAACCGTGTTATACAATGATAACTTTGATAAGTGATGCCACCAACTCCCCACTCAAGCCGTTTAAACCACAGGATGCACCAGACCTCGGGAACCACAAGCCCGTTATCGGGAGAGAAAAAAAAAGACGGCGACGAAGAAGACCAATAGAACAGCATCTTCGTCTACGACAGTCTGCAGGTATACCTCTCCATCGTTTAACCTTTCTTGTCCTAGTCTCGGCCCGCCCGTGAACGTGGTCAGAGGAATCTGGCCAACGAGATCTGCGGGTGAGATCATTGCTCCGAAATTGGGCTTGGCAGATGCTCGTTTGAACTTCAAGTGCCTCCGGGCTTCGCTGTTGGGTATTTGCATGTACATGCATCATGTGCATCTGTGCAAAGTCTGGAGAGTCCTGAGCTTGCACTTTCGAACCGGATATTTCTCACGCCTGGGACTATAGAGGACGTGAGTGGTTCGTTATCGGGGTTGAGAAATTCCCCGCTAGTCTATTATCTTTGTCTCCCTTCTCGTCTTTTCTTGCGAGATTTTGTGCGAAATTGAATCTTTTCTTTCTACACTAAGACTTGGAAAGACCTACAAGACTTTGTTTCCTCGATTCTCACCACCCGACATCTGTTTCTAAACGGAGCAGAAAGGCGTGCTTTTCTATCTTTTTCAACAGTACTTTCAACCGTCCCCACTCACAAGTTACAACCCTACTATAGTCAAGATGTCAAATGGTGACAATGTCACACTCGCCTCTAATGTCCTCGGTACAATTGGCACGGTGCTTTGGTGTATCCAGTTGATTCCCCAGATCTGGTTTAACTGGCGAAGAAAAAAGACGGATGGATTTCCGGCTGCTATGATGTTCCTATGGGCGAGTTGTAAGTCATTTGATTTGAGAAATTTATCCGGTTTCCCATTAACTCATGGCTTTCTTTCCAGGTTCGGTCCCAATGGGTGCATATCTTATTCTACAGGACGTGAATATTCCGCTACAAATCCAACCGCAGATCTTTGGCTTCTTTTCTTTAGTCAGTTGGTGCCAGGTGTTGCATTACAACAAGTAAGTCGAATATCTCCCGATCCATGAATGTTTATATAAGGTCCTTGTCGTGTTGAGATAAAGCTAACACCACACGCAGTAACTATTCTGCGTTGAAAGCGTCATTGGTTTGCTTGAGTTGTGCTGCATTATTTGGTGGGATTGAGGCTCTTCTCATTCTTACTTTGCGGGTATGTACTATATCCAGCTAAATAGCGGAGTACGGGTATAAGTCTAATGCTCTCGTAGATTCCATATAGAAAAGGTATCACCTGGCCAGATATTGTGGTTGGTGTGGTTGCTACTATCCTCTTAAGCGGAGGTCTTTTACCTCCATACTTTGAACTGTGGAAGAGAGATGGTCGTGTGATTGGGTTCAGTATGTTGCAATCCTCTTTATCTCTGAACTTCGATTAAGAAATAAATAAAGAACTGACATTTGTATACCATAGATTGGGTATTCCTGTCCATTGACACACTGGGTGGCCTGTTTTCTCTATTTGCCTTGGGTATGATTCCAACAGTTTCATTGAACAGCATGTCGCTAACCTACTCCTAGCGGCCCAAGGAAGCTTCGATATCCTCGGTGGTATTATGTATATTATTGTGTGAGTCATTAATTTCCCGCTGTCCTTCGTTCTGTGAAATAAATAGCTAATTTTTGGCCATGGCAGTGTTGTCCTTGAAGGAGGGATTTATGTCAGCCATATTGTTTGGCGGATTCGCTACCGCAAGCTTCGCAAAGAAGCAAAGACGAGGGGAATAAGCATCGACGAGTTGCTTGATTTGACAAGAAACGATACAGTTGAAACTCAAGACACTCGAACAGATGTGCTAGATCCATCGAGGGACATTGAGAAACAGGAACAGATCCCACAATCATCACCACCGTGACCTAAAGGAGAGTCGGTAACTAGTGAAACATGCTAGTGATCGATCCGCAAGATTTGGAATTTCCGAGTCCGTTCACGAGTGGCTTGAATGGTATGTACAGGAGTGCATAATTGCATTGGACATATGGATGTGGCGCTGTGTTGGACAAAAAACAACAAACTGCATATGGCGATCTTGAACGATCCATTGAACTCAAGCCCTTATGGTCTAGAGTTGTTGAATATAAAACCCACCACTTAATTTCACCTTTTTTAAAAAGACGTTGAAAAAGATGTTTTATATCTGGAAGCAATAAGAAGAAGCAAAAAAAAAAACAACTAAACTTTACGCAGGGATTGGCCTGCGGTTTTGATGCCGATACCCGTGACAGATCATGTTTCGGCCTTAGCGCGAGAATCCTAGAGCTCTTGCCCAACTTCCCGGGAGATCAACACAAGTCTGCTGAGAAATCTGTGTGACTTCCCCTCTCCAGTTAACCTGGAAGATCCTAAGGCCCTTTTTTTTTTTTGCAAAAGAATCTCACTTCTACAGGTGACTCTAGTGTGCTGTTGGAAGCAACTAGGCATCTTGGGGCATTTGTCTTCAGGATTGGGGGAGGCTAAGAAGACACAACTCCCAGCTCAGGACAAAAGCTTCATACTTGTTTATTCATCTTTCTTCTCCTCAACTTATTCAGCAGGTGGAAAAACTATGAATTGAGCTCGCCGTGCCTATTGGCAGCGGTCACAATGCCAGACCGACGTTTATCGCGTCTCATCAAGTCGAAACTGCTGCGGCGATCATCAACACCCGCGGCGCCAAATCCGGGCAACGGGGCGGACCCGAGTGTCCACCACCCAATTTCAACCTCTGGTATCTCTGGAAATCCTCATCTCTTTGACTCTGCCAGTGAAAAATCCCCCTACAGTGTCGTATCCTCAGCGGCCCAATCGACAGACGACACCACGTCGGTTCCCGACGCGCACGAGGGACACGGTCAGACTCACAAGTCACGCCGCCGGGCCAAGCCCAGTAACCCATCCCCGCTGCAATCCGAACAGCAGCTTCAACGGTATCCTTCATCCGACCTTCCAACCAGCATTCCTTTACCGACCCCGAGCGATCCAAAATCTTCACTACCACCGACCCCTCTCTCTGAAGAGCTCTCTTCCCCCCTCGATAGCCCGATCCCCACCCCACAGCATTCCGACGACACGTCCCTGCAGGCTGCGCAAGTGAAATTTCGCACCTCCAACCTAGCCGAATATCAATTGGACCCGACCCTTGAAACCGTTGTTGAGACATCCCCTGAAGATCCCCGACCGCCTACATCTTTCCCCCCCACCCCTGCGGGCAAGCGACCGAGCCTTGCCATCCGCCGACAGTCTCTTCTCCCCGCGTCACAACAGAACTTGATTAGTGGCCTACTGGAACAAAGCCTATTTTTCCCCTCACAAGGCGACCCGGGCAGCAGTCACCCGCCCATAGCTGCTGCCAGTATGGTCCATCGTCGAATTTGGGTGAAACGGCCGGGTGGCTCGGCCACGCTGGTGCATTGTCTAGAAGATGCGGTGGTAGATGAACTTCGTGACCAAATCATCACGAAATACGGCAACTCATTGGGCAGGACGTTTGATTCCCCAGATATTGTGATAAGAATTGTCGCACGCGAAAACGGAAATCGACTTACAACACCAGAACGACTATTGAGCCCAGAAGAGGCCTTATCGGCTGTCCTCGATTCGTACTACCCCGGAGGTCAAACCATCCAAGAGGCGTTGCTAATTGAAGCACCCACGCGCCGGACACCAAAGCCATCACCGCGACACACTGGCTATCATCATCACTACCCTTCCGAGCCTGGCGAGCATGGCGAATATTTCCCCCTCATGCCTGCCAATACAAAGGTCCCGACCCCACCTACGCATCCTACACACTCATCCAGTTCAGGAGTCGTCCCTGCGCCATCGATTTCGATTCTTACAACAGGCGTGCCCCCGCCACTTGCATCTCCTGGGTCCCGGGCTCGTCAACACCGCCGACCGGCGCTTCAGCGTCATACGACTAATTCGCCGACCCTGCTTGGTCAAGTGCCCACTGTGACCGGTATGCATTCATTTGAATTAGTAGCACGAGAGCAATAAATACTAACACGCAAAAAGAAACAGGTGTTTCTCCTCATTCTCAGCCCCCTCCGACTACTGCCCCGCAGAATGCCCCCACACCCCCAGCGACGGTGGTTGAGTCTCCGCAAGTCAAGTCACACACTCCGCCGGCACCCGTTGCATCCCCAAGGGCCTTACGAAAATCAAAAGGCGCATCCCCGGGAGCAGTCTTTGGTGGATTAATTGATGGCACTGTGCCACCAATCAACGTTCTCATTGTCGAGGACAATATTATCAATCAAAAGCTGTTAGAAGCTTTCATGAAACGGCTAAGCGTTCGATGGAAGTGTGCAGCCAACGGCGAGGAGGCCGTACGAAAATGGCGTCAGGGTGGATTTCACTTGGTTCTAATGGATATCCAATTGCCTGTCATGAACGGCTTGGATGCTACCAAAGAAATTCGTCGATTGGAACGGCTCAATGGAATCGGTGTTTTCCCCAAAACAGCCTCCGGTCGTTCCAGCGCTTCAAGCGCCAACTCCGCCGACAAGCGGCCTGGACTCTATCGCTCTGTTAGCGAAGAAGATACTTTAAGTGATCTATCGCTGTTCCGGAGTCCTGTTATTATCGTTGCATTGACGGCTAGCAGCTTGCAAAGTGATCGTCATGAGGCATTGGCTGCTGGCTGCAATGATTTCTTAACCAAGGTTTTTTGTTTCCCCGAAACTCATATTTCTCTTCTTATGCTAACCTTCAAACAGCCTGTGGGTTTCCCGTGGCTCTCACAAAAGGTGACCGAGTGGGGCTGCATGCAGGCCCTCATTGACTTCGAGGGTTGGCGCAAGTGGCGTGGCTTTATGGATTCTCCCCGCCCCATGTCACCTCGTTTTGAAAGTGCAGCCAGTCCCATGCAAACCGGAACTCGTGATGCACCGAAGCCAGCAGAAGCACTATCACCATCTATAACTCGTACCAAGTCTAAAATCAAGGGCATCAAGCGGCCTAGTCTTCCTGATGCTGCTGAGGTATTAAGAGAGGATTCATGGGGCAGTGGCAGTGGTGACACAGGCGAATCGGCCACGAGCGCTGACGCAACACCTGCAGAATCTGAGAAGCCTGCTCAATCTCCGGCTTCACCACCCGATCAATGACTACTATTCAACACTCATGAAGCTCCGGCGCCGGATAGTTGCAGAAATATCCTCATCTGCCTGGACTACTTTCTTCTCTATTTGCATACCCCTCTAGCAACGACTATCTTGTTTATTTTTTGTTACCTCTTTGTGTTTGATATTTTTTTCTCTTGGTAGCATGGGCGTTGTGAGGTCTCAGTTTCGAGAGCATGGTTCCTACTTGATTTGCGATTAACATCGATCTGAGAGTATTGGGGCATTGGACTCGAACCTGCATTTTCTTTCAATACTTTTCTTTTTTCTATTCTTTCCTTTCACGACACGCACCCACATACACGCAACGCATTGGACATACTCGCGCACACGAATGAGATGTTCCCACGTCTCGACCGATCTTTCTACGTTTCCTTTGATCTACACTTCTTCACTGGTGGCTCTGTCCCCCTGCCATATTTATCGGGATGCTTTATACCTTCTGCTTCATCCGCGAAGCCGAATGAACGATTTCCAGTATCTAAATACCATTTGACAAGCAATGAAACAATCGAAGCAGGTCTTATCAATCGGGCCAACAATTGATTTTCAAACAAACTAGCAATAACTTGAACTAACTACTGGTCATATCACATCTTCTTAAACCTCGAAAAGAATTTTGGTACAGCTCACCCCAGCTTTCCACTCATCTAGAGCCGCGTTCGCAGAGGCCAAGCCGCCCTCCACAACCTTGACATGAGGACTGACAACCAGCTCTTTCGATTCAAGTTTCTCCTGCAGCCAATTTCCAAAAATCCACCTAGTCCTCTCATCCCTCTCTTCAATATCATCAGGTGGCAATACAAACGCCGTCTCGACACCATCAGGCACTTTCAAATCCTGTTCCACCATAGGCGCAATAGCCAATTTGGACTTCACAGAGCCCTGGCTCAACGCACTCATGACATCGACTGCCAACTGCTGAGACCCGGTCGCATGAAAACCAACCCGAATACTAACCCCATCCTCTTTCGCCGCACCAACAATCCTATCCAAAACACCCTCCTCACTGTAGTCAAACACCCTCGACGCACCCAACCCCCTAATATACTCATGATTCTTAACGCTGGCAGTAGCATAAACTGCAAACCCCATCAACTTGGCCTCCTGAACCGCAAAAGCCCCAATACTACTCGACGCCCCCCAAATCAGCACACCCTCTTTGTCCCCCTCCCCCTTTGCCTCTCCCTCTCCAACCTGACATTGATACCCTCTCGGAATCCCAGCCCACAACCATCCATTCCAAGTCGTCCAAGCCACCATCGGAAACACAGACCCCTCAAGAAACGTGAAGCTGTCCGGCAAAGCTGCAACCACGTCCTGAGAGATAAGGACATATTCCTGGAATGCACCGTAATCCGGGTTCGCATTGTAGAGATACGCGCTCGCGAACGCGACCACTCTATCCCCGGGTTTGGGCGTGTCGCTGCGCACCTCGCTCCCTACTTCGGCGACGATGCCTGCTACATCTGAGCCGCAGATTGCGGGGAACTTCTCGATGAAGACGCCGTACTCGCGTTGGTAGTAGTCCACTGGGTTTACGGCGATGGCTTTGACTCGGATGAGGAGTTCGGTTGGGCCGGGTTTTGGGGTTGGTCGGTGGACCAGGGAGAGTGGGCTTCCCTTTTGGGCGATTATGGCGGCGAGGTGGGTGTTTGGTGTTGTCATTTTCAAAGGTTTTTGGCTTTGATTGACGTGGTGGATTGTTCAAGTGAGCTCAGATCTTCTTTCTGTTCCTGTATGTTTGATTTTTTTTTTGCTCTGTTGGACTTCCTATTTATACTATACTCACGATCTTGACCCTAACCCGTCTGCGAGCACTGGAATATGCATAGTTCGGATTTAATGGAGTTAGCATTCTCGGGATTTACGTGGCTATCTCCGTCAATATTGCAACATAGAATGAGTATCTTGATTCGATAACGGCATGTATGAACCAATGGCTATACAGCTGCGTTTCAAGAACATTTGAATGCTGTAGCTAGGGTGGATGCCAAGCACTGGTTGGAGATCTGTATAGTTAATATGGCATGACTCGTGCCCAGGTGGGTGCTTAGGTGGAGACCCAGTTGCCATCCACTCATAGTAGACATGACCCCTGAGTTGCTTGAACATGATTCGCAACCGTGCCCAGGTGCTGACACAGCTCCCCAAGGAAGTAATTTGCCGGACTCCAGATGGGAGATGTTGGAATTGATTGAGGCTCTGAGGTTGAGGTGATTGTAAACATTGTGCCAAAAATGGATAAGTATGGGGGTAGAAATAGAGGTACAGGAAGAAGAAAGAAGGGTTCAAGATAAAATCTTCAGCATTCAAATGAATTGTAGGACAGGACATTGGGGAATGGCGAAGTTGAAAAGATGTTAGGAGTGGAGATATTCGGCGCTTTTAGCTCGTTAGGGAAATCTTCACGGACAAGCTTTGGACAACCACGTCCCGTCGGGAAGACTCCGCAATCTACAGAGCACCAACGTCAAATGATAATCACCTTTAACCATTTCTGTGAAATCCGAGTCCGGTCAGTGAGAATTCTACGTACAGTTTGTGAGGACTTCCTGAATCCTGATCAACAGGGGGTTGCAAAACCTAGCTGGCGTTGATCCTCTTTTTGGAATCATGCTGCGCTGGTGGTGCCTTGATAGGTCAACCTCCTGCATGATGACCCACTCCGGCCTCTTAAGATGGTTAGTAGGTCTCAGAGCTAAATGACTATCATCCCAATCAGGTGTAGACCGTGACATGTCGTCCCTGTTGAAGGCCCGAAGAAATGGGATTTTCAACAGCGCTATGGACCGCACAGTAAGCCCCCTGGATTTTATATGAAAGATATAGAGTTGGTCTAGTTTCCGCCTATGAAATTAACATTCCATTCTGAGCTCACATCCACCTTTCTTTCTCGTATTGGCCATGCAGCGGTCAGCCTCAGCCGCTTTGGGGGCTTGGCTTTGGCTGACATCCTGATGGAAAATGTACTACGTTCTTGGCCCCTCAAGTTGGTGTAAATCAAAATACAGCCAAAGTTTGCTTTCTCTTTTTCAACTTCCTCTGGATCACTGACTTTCCAAAAAAAAACCTCCAGTCTCATCCTCGACGTGCATGAAGTCTGGTGATATACCATTCAATTTTACAATTTAATACCCATACTCTCGAAACAGAAACACACCATGACGACCGACGATCGCACGTGTTATTTCCCCGAAGGCAACGTCGCGTCGGGCACCTACCCCTGCACGTCTGATGATATAACCAGTTGCTGTGGCACTGGCGGCATTTGTCTAACAAACGGATTCTGTCTCGATGTATCTCAGCCGTTTGTCGTTTCAAGAGGAGGCTGCACAAGCAAGGCGTGGGGCGATGGATGCCCAACTCAATGCCGTAAGCACCGAACACTTACAATGCATATTGCACTTTGATGAGAAAACACTAACACGTCCCGATACCGCCAGAGGATGTTACCAAATCGGAGGGAGCGTCGATAATAAACCTGTCGCTAATTAACGGTACCTCATTATACTGTTGTGGAACGCCCATCTACAACGGGACAGAGATTGTCTGTCCATACGGAGATAGCTTCACCATGGACGATGGCGAGATCATTCTAGGTCGTGCCGCACTTACCAATGCCACAACGGTGTCATCCTCGAACGCGACAAACTCCACCTCGGTGGTTTCTTCAAACTCTTCGACCACATCTTCCTCTGCCTCATCGGTACCATCATCTGGCAACTCGCATGATGTTGCGATTGGGGCAGGAGTCGGTGTGCCGCTGGGTCTAATTGCACTTGGCACTATAGCTTGGGCACTCTGGGAGAGAAGGCGTGCAAACAAGCTGAGTCAATCTCTTGTTGCACAGGGGAGCTATACCGGTAGCTCTATGATCAAGAGCTCTGCACCTACGGAGTTGGAGTCTCACCGACCAGTACCTGAGTTGATGTGATACAAACCTACTCTGCAGAGTATCAAATGTACTATATGGATACCCGGCATCAGCCGATGTATATACTGCACATCCTGCTTCAAATGTTTGGCCTGACTTGGAGTTCTTTATCGCGATAATGTATAATTGATGTATTGATCCATTGAGATACCTGATTGCTTGAATCGAGAAACGAATCCACATGTGCATGTTGTGTACGGCCTTTACATTGGATTCCAAGGGTCATTATAACCTTGGAAGGTTCAATCGCGTGAGATTCGATCAATTGATATCTACCCATGACGCTCGTGCAAGGCTACGACTTGCCTCGCTGTGGATCTTTTATCCACTTATTAGCACGGGCCTGGATCTATTCGTTCAATGTGTGTTTCAGTCTGCTAGAAATTTTTACGTCATTGCACTTATTCCATGATCCAGATGTCCTCGATTGATTGATAGTTTAAATGTGCGTTGAGGCCAGAAGGGCTTAGTCACGGACCTCTAGTTAACTAAGTATAAGGTGACAGCCATACATGTATTCATATTCAAATGTTGTTTCTTATGGTAAAAATCAAGACATTCTATTTCAATCTATCTGCACTATAAACAAAATAAGGCATAAACAAACAAAAGCAAAACGACGCATCACATAACAGATGAAACAAAGTCAGCTCAACATAGCGTGGCGGATAATTGCAGATAGTGATGTAGCAGCGGGCTCTCGAACCATCGTGAAGTGGTTGGCGTTCGCAACACTTTCAATCTTGATACCATGACCAAGTAGTTTATCCCAGCCATTGGGCCCAAGATCCGTACGATTCTCTAACAACCAAGTCATTTCCTTGGGATCATCGTCTTGCAGTTCAGGCCGCGGGTCGCTAGCCAGCTTGCACACCCCATCTCGAGCCCAAATTAGCGTTGTCCGGGGCGCCGCGTGCGCTGGCTTGAATGGGATCGGCCGCCACTTGTCCAGAGCCTCGATGAAAGCGAGGAAATGCCGAATCAACCACGGAGGAGGCTTCTTTCCTCCATGACTTCCGAAGACCCCTGCTTTCTCAAGGAAGTGGTAGAAGCGCGGCGGCAACTTATCTAGCCCGATTGGGTTGGGCGAGTCGAGTAGAATAAGTCGTGGAACCGCTTCACCTTGTTGAATGAGATACTGGGCGGCATCATAAGCAGCGATACCTCCTGCAGACCATCCTGCTAGATTGTAGGGACCGGATGGTTGGCGGCGACGAATTTCGGCCACGTAGGATGGTGTCAGATCTTGGAGAGCGCACTTAAGGTCCTCGGGCTTTTGCATGTAAGGGCAGTTGAGGCCGTAGACACGCACATCTGGAGAGATATTGGGGAGCATGGCGTAGGATGTCGAGGAGCCAGACCCATCTGGGAATAAAAACAATGTTTGTGGACAGGAGGATCTGCCCTGGAGAAGTATGGACGTTGCCGGCGGGTGACTGGTTGTAGATAATGCGACAGTAGTGCGGGGGCTTGGGTCTATCGAAACATTTTCCGTGACTCCGTAGATGGTCTTTAGGGAATTCTTAACGGCAGCTGCATTCGTAGATTCCATGAAGAAATCAGGCGGCAGGTCCAGGCCCATCTCCTCTCTGAGACGGCCCAAGGCTAGTAAAGACAAAAGTGAGTCCACTCCCACTTCGGCGAAATCTTCGACTTTGGCGAGTTCTTTGGCGCCGAGGCCAATTTCTTCGGCCAGGATGGATAGAATCATTGTGACGCTGGCATCGATGGTATCAAACGCGGTATTCTCCATCGGTCCGGTGAGTGGTGTGGAGGCTCCTGTGTCATTTTCGCTTGATTTGATACTGGGGGCGTCACTACTGACCCCAGATGAAGAAAGCCCCAGATAATCGCTCAAAGATTGAACAGATGGACAATCCTCAAATAAGGAAAGTGGTACATCAAGGTGGAACGACTCGCGCAAAGTGCCCAGGATGGTCAGCGACATCAGAGAGTCAACGCCCATGTCAGTGAACTCCACATCATTCGTGAGCTGCTCGGGGGCAATCGCAATTTCGTCCGCAATGACCTTCAGTACCTGTTTCCACAAATCAGAAGCACCTGATGGTTTCTCCTTCGGGCTGGGTGTGGACTTCGAGTTTGCGAGAGAGAGGGGTGTTGTTTCGGGGGCTGCACGTGTAGCGAGAGGCTTGGGCTTTGGCGCTGGTAGCAAAATTTCCAGCACACGGTTAGCGATACGCTGAAATGTGACTGATCCGTACTGGGCCACGATATTTTTATCACGAAGAACGTAAACATCGCCAGAAAACAAGTTATCATTGTCGCCGACAGGCTGCATCTTGACGTATGTCTGGTAAACATGATCTGCAGAGAGCGTCTCAGAGCAGCGCATAAATGCCCAGCCATGGTTGATAAAAGTATCCTTGCTCAAGTCAAGAGAGTCGTTGGAGTTCATGACAAACCCAGTGAGGTGTCCAAAGCTGTCACACCAGAATGGGTTTAGCTTGTACTTATATTGGCTCGGCTTCAGACAGACTTTAGCCGTGGCCTCAAGCCCAGTGCTGTCGAATGTGATCTCTTCGATCCCTTGGTAGGAATAATCATACTGCACTGTAGATGAGAAAAGCTTATAAACAAGACCTCGATGCAGCTTGTGTGCTGATCCTGTGTTAACACCCTTTTCAAGTACTTCAATACTGCGCTGGATGAGGTATTGCTGTCGCCGCCAGCTGTCTTTCCAAATATTGCTTTCCTGTAGATATACTGTACAGTGTGCATGGCTGATCGTTCGTTTGCCGGAAATGTCGACACTAAAGACTTCCATCCTACCGCGATGAGAGCTCCAGTCAAAGTCCAATGAGGCTCGGAAGGACTGTGGGCCACTATCTTTGATGACAAGAGCCTTCTCAACAATCACGTCTGCCACATCGGGAGTGAAGCCTTCTCCATATCCCTTCTTCTCGGCTATATATTTGCCCAAGGTGTAGGCAATATCGGCGTAAAGTGACTAAGTGAAAATAAATCTGTTAGACAAACCAGGATGTCTACTCTCAGGAATATAAGTACTCACAGAAGGGCAAAGAACAAGCCCGTTCAGTTTGTGTCCCAGAGCGACCGGCAAAAGCTCCGGGTCATGGAAGTCAGATTCAATAACAATATGCGCATTTCGATCGTTTATTTGCTCTTCAACAATCTTCTGTACCGAAGGACTGATTCGAGTAGATGTCGGAGCCGGGATTTCCAGGGGATCTTCCACCTGCGGACTGCCTTTAGTGAGGCAAAAGTTGTTCTCGTATTGAATCCAATAGTTCTCGAGATCCCAGCTGTACGAAGGAAGCGTCAGGGCCTTTTGGCTCATCGCAAAGTCTCGATGGTACTCGTTCCAATTGATTGGCACGCCAGCCACGTGCAATACACTCAATGACTCCGCAAGGGTTTTGAAAGCATCTTCATTCCGTCGCAGGGATGGGCATGATCGAAATTCCGAACCCATGACTTTCGTCATCATTCCCGTAAGAATGGGATGGGCGCCAATTTCAATTCCAAGTCCCTTGATATCGACAAGTCCGATAGCTTTGGCAGCTTCCACAGCCTGGAAGAAATTTACAGTCTCGCGACAATGCCGCCGAATATAATGAGGGCCGATGATACCCTCTTCTGTGACGACTTCTCCAAGCAATGTTGATATGAATGGAATCTTGGGCTCATTGAACACCAATCGTCCAGCAATCTCTTCCAGGTCATCAAGTATGGGATTGACTTGCGAAGAGTGGAATGCAAATGGAAGAATAAGCTTAGTGCTTCTGAGCCCATTTTGGGACAGTCTCTGGCTGGCTTTGTCAATGTCGGAACCCGATCCACTAAGAACTGTGTCCTGTGGCCCATTGATACACGCAATTTCGACTGGTAGTTCCTCAAGAACGTCACGTAGATCTGCAGGCGAGCTTTTCACGGCCATCATTCCATGAGATCCAGAAGTACATGCCTTCTCTAACAAGAGCGCACGCGAGGCAGTAAGATAGATTGTATCGCTGACGCTCAAAACCCCCGCGAGTTCAAGGGCGGCAAACTCTCCGAGACTGTGACCCAGCACGTACTGCGGCAGAAGTCCCCAATTTCTCCAGAGCCGTCCCAATGCCATTTGAACAATGACGGTGCCGAGCTGAATAGTCGTCGGTGACAGGTTTTCGATTTCAATCGAACCTGTCACCAAAGGCAGACAAGATGGGAGCCCATGAGCATGGCTTATGGCATCGAAACTGTGTATGTCTGCCCGGAAAGAGGTAATATGTTGGTACAATTGCTGCGCCATTGCCGTCTGTTGTGCCCCTTGGCCCGTGAGGAGAAATCCAACACAGGGGGACTTTGCGGGAATAGATCTGATTTCTTCCGATGCGAGTTCGAGGAGGCGGCGTTTGATATGAGAAAGGTCGCTACCAGAGACAGCCACGCGTCTAGAATGATGCATTCGACGAGCAGTGGTTGTATAGGAGATCTGCGCTAAAAGACCTGGACAAGTTTTAGAGTCGATGAATTTTGCGAGGGACTGCAGGTTCCGCCTCAGCGACTTTTCGGACCGAGCAGACACGGTCACAACATGATGGATGCGCGGGTCTTGCTGTTCGTTTCTGTCGACCGTGGCTGCATCCTCAAGCAAGATAGCAGTATTGCCTCCGGCAGCTGAGAAGTTGTTAACAAATGTGCGGCGCGTGGAATTTTTCGGGCGGGACCAGTCAGCTTCACTCAGGGCGATATGGACGTTGCGCTCATTGAGGTCCGTTGGGAAGCTATGGTTGATTTTTGTCTTGATACCACAATGTGGTGGGATGCGATTCCTTTGGAACATGAGCAACACCTTGATTAATGCCGTGACTCCCGAGGCCGATTCACCATGTCCAACATTGGACTTGACTGACCCAAGATGCAAAGGCATATTAGGTGGGCGGCTCTTGTCCCAAGCAAATGTGTCAAGAACAGATTTCATTTCCACTGCATCTCCAGCTTGAGTGCCTGTACCATGCATCTCAATATAACTGATCTCATGCGGATGGATTCCAGTCCTACTGAGGATTTGACGAAAGAGATACTCTTGTGCATCAGCCAGTGGGCGGGTTATAGAAACTGCTTCTGCTGAATGTGATGTATGCGTGCCTCGAATCACACCAAAGATAGGGTCGTTATCAGCAATAGCGTCTGAAAGACGCTTCAAAACCACAGATCCCACACCGTCTGCACGGCAATATCCATCCGCACCATCATCAAATGTCTTACAGTTTCCGGAGGGTGATAGGAAATGACCTCGATCCAAGCCGGCAAAGTTATCTGGGTTTGTCATGACGTTCGTGCCTCCAGCAAGTGCGGTGTCGCATTCTTGATTTAACAAAGCCGTACAAGCAACATTGATAGCTGCCAAGCTTGATGAGCAGGCTGTATCTACAGAAACACTAGGTCCACCAAACTTGAAGAAATAGTTCAGACGACCGGGGACGAATGCTCTGTTTCCTCCAGGAATGAAGTAGGTGTCGATATTTTGGCCACTGTTAACCTCACGCCAATCATCGCTCGTCGTGCCGTAGTAGACACCAACGCGACGGCGTTGGGTTGATGGTGTGCGATCGGGTACAAGGCCAGCCATTTCGATGGCTTCGTAAGCTGTAAGAAGAGCTAGCCTTTGCGCTGGGTCCGCTTGACAGGCCTCGCGAGGCGAAAAGTGGAAGAAACGTGCATCAAAAAGGCCGGGGTTGCGAATCCAGCAACCATGCCGGATGCGACTAGTGTTCTTCCTTTGGAGCGTTGGATCATAATGTGCTTCACGATCAAATCTATCAGAAGGGATGGGTTTGTGAACGTCAAGCCCTTCTTCAAGGACTTTCCAAAACTCATCGAGATTATCGGCTTCCGGGAAACGGCCGCTGAATCCGATAATCGCAATCTTTGACGAGTCCTGGTTGGAGGAATTATGCTCTGTTCTCACCGAATCTGTCTTCGCGGAAGGATGAGTGGTGCAGATCACTTCGAGGCCCCTCTGACGCAAGGCAGATGCAATACTGGAGCCACTTTGTGTGTGAATGGGAATCAAGTGCCTGGTTCCACCCAGGGTGTTTTCTGCGATGCCATCAATAATATGGTCTATTCGCACTGGATTGGTCAATATCTCTTTAACCAAAGTGTGTAGAAGAGCACCGAAAGTAGACTCTATCAGTACCAGTCCCGAGGCGTTCGAGATTATTGGAATCTGTGGTACTCGGTCCACTGATAAGCTTCGAGAAATTGAGCTTAGAATCTCTGTCACATCATTCTCAATATACAAATGCGAGGCGTGGTACGGTGCGTATATTGGCAAGAGTAAAGTTCTCTTTTCTTTCAGAACTGAAAAGCTCTGCAAAGCCTCTATGACATGTGATGGACCGCTAATCGTGACTGAGTGGGAACCGACAGCACTGATATAGGGCTTCATTGTAATAGGGCGCTCCTTCAAGACACAAAAACAATCAGTATTCTGCGAAGGATGCACTTCTCACGCATTTAACTTACCGAATCGTCACAACATGACTGGATTGCTTTTTCACATTCTATCTCGGTGATACCAGCCACCGTGAGACTCCATGATTTCGGGCTTGCAGGGCTTGAAGGGGCCAAGACATTGGCTTTGCGAAATGCATTCATTCCCACCCAGAAAGCAACTACCACTGACTCGATACCCAATGGAATCAATTCAGCTACCGTTCGAGAACAGCTTATAGCAGCGGCAGCAAGTGATCCAGTACAGAGACCAATCAGAAACTGGTTGGCATCGGAGGGATCAACATGTCCAATCTCTTGAACTCTATGTAATTGTAAGTCAAACATCACAGAACCGAGTAATATCTTTCATACCGGATATATTCTGCAATTTCATAGAGGCATAGCAAGGCGCTCTCTAACGCGGGATGTCGTTTTCCTTTTTTCACTGCATCGAGGAGTAGGCCAAGGGTTTCAGGTTGAGGAAACAATGCCCGTTCAGTAGCTGGAAGACAAGAAATCTCTTTTCTAATGGCTTGATAGGCCTCCGATAGAAGAATGGATACTGTCTTGTTATTACTGAAGTACAGCAACTCCTGCAGGCTGGAGTCGGCGTGGATCGTCTGGTCACCAAAGAGATAAATTTGCGGCATGATTGTCTTTCGAATGTTTGATATCTCAAAAAAATAACAAGCACTATACTTCTCAAAACCTACTAGTGTACTTTATATCAATTCTTATTTAGCTATCCTTAAATGTTCTACGCATCACTAAATCATCAACTATTCAGGTCATACAGGTAGGATCGGCCGTGTAACAGCCCCAGCCTTATGTCACACGTCGACACTGCAGGTCTTACGCGTTGACAGTCTTTGTTCGTAGACTGACAGTTGATAGTCTTTGTTCGCTGACTGAAAGCTGACAGTGTTCGCTGACTCAGCCTTTGTCTGACAAGTTTTTTCCATTTCCAGATAGAGTCTAGTTTCTGGTTCCTTACTTAAGGTTGACTTTTCTCCCCTGTTTTCTTTTCTTTCTCTCTTTCTCTCTATAGTCCGACCTAGTAAAGATTTGACCGTGTCGCAGCCACGCCACTGGCAGCCTTTCGGCTGCGTAGGAAGCCATGAGCTGAGCATCTGACGTGCCTTGTATGACCTGAGCGAGTTTCCATGCAATATAGTGGCCGTCTGCAATTCCAGTATTGGCTCCGTAGCCTCCCCGGGTAGGCGGTAGTGAATGGGCAGCGTCACCGACGAGGAAAACCTTTCCTCTGGAGAACTCGTCAGATATCCAAGCGCTCATATCCCATCTGCTGGTAGCAATAATTTCCAGAGTCACTTTTTCGGGTCCAATCGCCTGAATGATTGCTCGTTTTATCAGTTCATCGGTCCATTCGCGATCGTTGGGAAGATGCAAGACCAGTCTTTCGTTCTCGTAGGCAATCATGAATGCCTTCAAGTCAGGCTGATCAATTTTGAACTGCTTAGCCCCTCTTTTCAAGTATGGCGAAAGCTCAGGTGCCCGAAAGAGAACGCTCTGGACGGAATTGACTGGGCCATGGCCCTTCCAGGGAATTGCCAGACTCTCACCAATAGTGCTGCGATGGCCGTCGGCAGCGATGAGATACTTTGCCGTGATGCGGTCGAGCGAACCATCCAGTTTGCTCTTGGTTATCACGGTCACGGTTTCTGCGTCTTGGGCGAGGCCCACAAACTCATGGTTGTCGCGAATTTCAACCCCGAGGTCGGTCGCACGCTGCGGCAGAAGAGGTTCAAGTTGATCTTGCGGCGTAGAAGTTCCTCGATACGGAAAATATTACGGCTGCGCTAGCTCTTTCTCTTCGTCCTTTTTCCCTTGTGAATTCCATGCCAGCTCCTCATACCACTGGCCCGTCAAACTCTCGACTCGCATGCGTTGAGTTTCAAATGAATCCTGGGGCAGTTTCAGGCAGTATATCGCTGTCGATACCGAAAAGGATCGGAAAATCTCGACAGTCCTTGGCGTAAAACCATCCAACTCGGATTTGTTTGGAATTGATGACTGAATGTCGCAAGATCGCATTTCCAGGGGTTTGATTTGCCATTGGAACTAGGCAACGATGCAGTTTAAGTATCATAGATGATCGAATCTGAGAAGGAGGCAGGTAAACCGGCATTGCACTACTATACGAATATTGAAAGGACTCTGTAGAATGAATACTATACCAGTACCTTTCTGCGCTCTATTATGGCAGGCGCATTCCCACTGTTCTGTCTTCCCATGTATCATAAGATCGGGGTGAATTAGGGAACCACCGTCTTTGGCTGTGTTGCAGCAGTGTTGGTTCCTGTGCCCTTTCTGTTCTTCGTGTGGGGAACATTTGAAAACAGATCCGTGCTCGAGGAGAGTGGAGTAAGCCTACGGTTTAGGGCCTGTGGTTTTGACACTAGAATAGATTTGCCTCTTAGAAAGTTTCTGATTTTAGAATTATATTTCTTTCTCGCACTGGCCATGGAGCGAACACTGTTGTCGAACTTTTGTTTACATTTTGAGAAAGTCATTCCACATTAATTGAATGCAGGTCATTCTTAACAACTATAGTCATTTTTCTGATCTCAGGCTGGTAATCAGTGTTGCATTCGTGAAATATATGCCAAGTATTCGTATTTCCACGACTCCTCGGCAGAATAAACTTTGATAAGTGGCTTGACCAACATTCAATAGTCCATAATAATGTGAAAGCATATGCATTGAAAAGGGGTGGAGAAGAGTTAGCAAATTCGATGGCCCGCAAGCTCTACTTTAAGGAGCCTAGTAGCGCAATTCAAAATGAACTAAAAATATAATAAAATGCTATAGTCCACATTATTCTGGAATTATCAAAGAAGAAAAGGCTACATATTTTCAATTCTTATAAGGCTTGGCAATTATTCATTTACATGAAAGTTGCTCCTTAATTTCGTGTTCTCGTGTGGATGACAGTGGGTCCCAGGTTTGCAGATCCAGGATCCCCGGACTTTCCCACTGACGATCAACGAACTACACGTTCCAAAAAAAAAAACACTGTATCTCATTACCAGCCCCAGAAGACAGAATTCCTAGAGCATTCATTCAACTCAGAACGAATTCTCAACCGGCATTGAGCGGAAGAGACTTTCGGTTCGCTCCGGCCCACAATCCACTTGTGGCGTGAGGACTAGAGCGAACTGGGTGAACGCCTCTCGTCGAAACGCACAAACACGGGGCATCCTCACCCCCTTTCTGTGGCTTTCTTTTTTCCGGGCAATTCTGGCGGTCTTCATTTGGATATAAATATTTCTTGCCCTGGTGAAAGTTTTCGTACTTTGAAGAAGTCCCCCGTGGGATTATCATCCCAGGTAGGCAGATCGGAGACCTTTGGTTCGAACCGCAGATACTCACCGCCACTTTGAACACGCCGTTACCTCAAGATGGCTTCCAATGGAACGTACCAGTTTTCCGAACTGCCGCCAGATCAGCGAGTCCTCTCCGATCAAAGGTACAGAACTCATCTGTACTACGCAGCGCAGTTCGCCGTATGGGTTGGTCATCTGTACTTTGTTGTCCGCCTGGTGGCAATCCTGTCTAGCCCATCGCAAACCTGGCAAGCGTGGATGATGTTTGCGGTGGAATTGATGTTTGCTCGTAAGTAAACAATTTTTTCTTTCTCGATTTTCGACTCTAACTGGTCTGATAGATTTGGCTCGGAAAGAACAACTTCGTTCTATCATTGCGGGCAAGGTCGCGCAAAGTGGCCCGCGGAAGAGGTTGCGCCTGCAAGGCTCCGATGGTCTTCCTCGTGTAGATGTCCTGCTGCCCTGCTGTGGCGAACCAGTGGATGTCATTATGCAGACAGTGCGAGCGGCATGCACCTTAGATTATCCTATCTCACAGTTCCGAGTCTTACTTCTCGACGACGGCGGATCGGCTCTTCTCAAGAAGACTGTTTCGGGACTCCAGGCCCAGTGGCCGCATCTATCGTATCATTCACGCGGCAGACAATCTGGCCAAGTGTTCGCGAAATCGGGCAACCTGAATTATGCCCTGACCACCTTGCAGAATGAGGACACGCCGGAATTCTGCGCAGTCTTGGATGCGGACTCTATCCCCACGCCAGACTTCCTTCGCGCGACTCTCGCTCATCTGCTGCAAAATCCCACCTCGTCATTGGTTTCTACTCGTCAGTACTTTTCGAATCTTCCCAACGGAGATCCCTTGTCTCAGGCACGCTGCCATTTCTACACTTGCCAAAATGCGGAGCTCGACATTCTGGGCCGTGCTATAGACGCCGGGTCCGGTGCCGTGTTTCGGCGCCAGGCTATTGTTGACGTTGGGCTGTACCCGACCTTCTCCTTTTCCGAGGATTGGCAGCTATCTCTGGTTTTGCAAGGCTTTGGGCACCGCACAATGCAGGTCCAAGAGCCTTTGCAGTACGGCCTTGTCCCAACCTCCATTACCGGTCACATTGCCCAAAGAAACCGATGGAATATCGGTCACGCTCAGCAGATGGCTTCGATGCTTTCGTCGAATCCCCCGAATCTTCCCAAGGATCTTCGAACGAGTATTGCTTGGAATGGAGCTGGGATTGTTGGAGGTGAACTTGGCTGCTTGCTCTGCTTTGCTGCAATCCCAATTCTCCTGCTGGCTGGTAACACCGTCCCTGCCACATCGAATTTTGCAATCCAGCTCCAGTTAGCTCTGGGAATAATCTACCTTCTCTCTACTTGGGTATATGAGTTCTGTCAAGCTGCAAATACAGGCTTCCAAAGCGCGCCGTTTGCCCACCTGGAAAATAAATGGCAGGCTGCTGGTGAGTTGACACTCCACATAATCTCCCTATTCTTGAGCTAAAACTAATCATACTTACACTGTGACAGGAAACATCTACTCCATTTTGCGATTCTATCTATTGTCCAGCAAGCCGAAAGGCTCATTTGTGACGGGTAGCACGGCTAACTCCTGGAATCGTCTTACAGCCATGTCAGCATACATGAGAATCTACAAAGACTTATGGCAGAATGGCATATTTTGCAATGTGATTGTGCTTATCACGACACTGGGAGCGATATTCTACTCTACGGCAGTTGCGCTGTCTCCCAGTGACCACGATCTAACGACAAAATTGTTCACCTCAATTGCCTGGCCACCATTGCTGCACGTTTGCTATCTCACCCTTGCCAACAATTGGGTACCCGTTGCTTATCTGCTCGATCCGCCAAAGTACCCTGATCAGAAATCCGAGTCTAGGAAGGAAGAACCCCCTAGGACTAGTACATCGCAGGATACGTGGTTCAGTATGGCCAAATCAAGCAAAGCAAGCAGGGAGATGCTGCAGCTAGGAAGCAGACTGGAGATTGTTGAAGAAACGGAATTATGATATGACATTACTTCCTAGATATGAATCTACGCTGACCAGGGTATTTACTCTGATTTGGACCAAACTCCCTATCTCTATTTCGATCATATTTATACACTATAATACTATCACTCGATCACCCTAGAGATCCAGTCTAATTCTTCACATAGCGGTATTTCTTGTTTGCTTCCTCATGCGTAAAATCAGACTTCTTCAAAGACCACAAGTAAAGCTCATCAGTCCCAAAACGCATTGTTTTCACCACTTCAAAGCCACATTTTCGCAGCACACTGCCACTTGCCGGGTTACATGTCTCACAGAGAGCATAAATCTTCTCCACAAATCCAGAAGCACGATCCATATCGTCAATTTCCATCCTCGGCAGATCCCACCACATCTTTAACAACATTTGCAGTGCCTCTGTTGCGAAGCCTTTGCCCCAAGACTCTGGGAGAATTGAATACCCAATCTCCGGGCTGGGGTCAACACTATTAATGCTCATGTAGCCAATGACTTGTCGTTCAGTATCTGTAATCGATTTGTCCACGATTGCGTAGAAGAATGAACAATTCATTACCATTGCTGGTGAAGTGAAGATTTTTGAAGCCATCCATTTCTTGGTCTGTTCGATTGACTGGAATGGTTCTTTTGGGTGGCTGTTGGGTAATGTTAGCTGGAATTTCGTGAATGAATCATGGCGTATTTTTATGTACTTGGTCTTTGCTACTTCAGGCCGACCGCGAACGGCAAATAATGCTGCAGCGTCATTGTCTTCGACAGGGCGAAGTAGAAGTCGGTCACTTTCAATTGACGGCCCAGATAATGGGACCACCACGTAGAAAGGTTCACGGGGGGTCAGGTCTTCCCCCATTGTTGCAAATATGAAGGAAAGGATTGATTTAGGTTTCGGGATGTCAGGATGAATGGAACGATGAGCTGCAATCTGTGAGTGTGGATGTATTTGGAGATGAGAAGGATAGCTAGAGAGAAGGAGGGCGGGGATGGAAAGAGATGGGCGGCCACATGGTCTGACTTCTAAGCCTCAGTCAGATTTTATTTTGGGAGCGCACTAATCCAGTCTCGGTCCCCGCCACTGTATACACTGAACTTCCAAAATACTATACAATGGTAGTTCACCACGCCAAGAAGTGAGGCATGAAATCTAAAAACCCACTAGTACTTTATAGTAATGAGATTCTGCAATAAGTACAATTTCTTGAAAAGGTCTAGAACATTTCAACAAAAGGACGTGGTAATAACGGGGTGTTCTTATCTCTGGAGCTTATCACCACATTAAGTGACCAGATATGCATAGTAACATTACTACACATATTCTCATGCTATCATTGGTCGCCCTTATCGCCGGGGAAGTCACGGGACTAACCCCACACTTTGGTCTGTGTATGGGGGTGACGGGTCTACTTTCTTTTAGTGTCGCTGCTTGTCTCTTTGAAAATAAGCCACTGGAAAAGTCATGGATCATCGAAAACGAGCCGCTCGAGCGTGAGTGAAAAAAAAATTGTCGGTGGATAATGATTTCCCAATATCTAACTTCTGACAGATGTGATGAATGCCGGCGTTTGAAAGAGAAGTGTGAAGGTGGAGCCCCCTGCAGACGATGTTCTCATTATCAGCGACAATGTGAGTTCAAGGGGTTAATGGCGAGGACACGTGAGTTCCGCACATATGTACCGCGGTTAGTATTTTGGTCGATTAATCGAATTTGAAGATTAATTTCTGTATACTGATAAAGAAGCAGGGAGCGATTGGGGAAGTCCGATCTCCAGGAACACTTTGAGCGCTCCAAATACATGGAACGAATATTGAAACGAGTTGTTGAAGGAATAAGACTTGATACAAAGAGCCTGGCTAAACTGGCTGATACACTTGATGCCGATGCGTCAGAACCAAAAGAAGTTGAGGAGCTGGTAATAGATGATGAAGCCTGCACGATGGAACCTGTTGGAGATACGGTTACGCGTCAGTCAAAATCATCCATACCCTCTGATGCTATCTATGTTAACCTTGGGTAGACTTTTCTGGAGAATTTTCATATTGGAATTTCTCCATGCGCGTCAAAGATCACATTCAGAAACAGATGGAAGGACTAGGAAACAGGGTACGTATCATATCTCCGTCACGGGTGATACATTTGGGACTGACTTATCGAGAGTAAAGGATCTGCATGAATCAAATCAAGAAGAGGAATGGCCACGCGCCCGCCATCTGCGACCAGGACGCGCTCATCTCTCAGCAGCAATATCATGTTGTCCTCCGCGTCAAATCGCAGATTTCTTGGCAAGAACTTTCTTCAAGTATGCAGAAACGCATTATTTCTTTGTTGATCAGACTTGGCTTTTTGAAAAGATGAATATGCTTTATAGCGATCAAGGCACTTTTACCAATAAAGGTGGTGAAGTCACTATTAGCATTATCCTCATGATTTTTGCCATTGGCACACAATATGCCCATCTAGAATCCTCGGCACAGAATCCGTCAGGCTCCACAGACTCGGCTTTTGCTGAGGAGGATATTGGCACGACATTTTATCAGCAAGCCATTCGCTTATTGCCGGAAATCATCGAACATTCGTCTGTTGAAAGTGTTCAGGCATGCTTGCTTTTTGGCTACTATGCGCTTCCCGTCGATGCTTCTGGGCTGGGGTATATTTACATCAATATTGCCATCAGATTAGCTATGCAGAATGGCTTACATCGAAAGTGCAAGGCTGATGCTTTCGGTGCGAGGATGATTGAGACAAGGAATCGTGTTTGGTGGACTGCATATCTTATAGAAAGGTGAGATTCTTTCCATTCCGGACGCAACTTGAGCTAATCAATATTAGAAAAATATCCATATTTCATGGTCGGCCCTTGTCAATGGTCCGGGCTGATGTCGACACTAGTATACCTCTTCATCAACCGACATTGGAATTGGGTGACTCTCGGGCTAGTGTTGCGCGTGCGGAGGCTTCACTTCAACTGATTCACTTTCTAGAGGACATTTTCAATGAAGTGTAAGGATATACCTCAATTCTGAAGAAAAGACGCGGTGACTGACATTTTCATAGATCCATTCTTCGGAGCTGTCAAAAGCAGCAAATACCGAAAATTATGAAGAATCTGTCAGCCCACAAACTGGCATTGAAATCTTGGTGGAAGTCCCTCCCTGAAGAAGTATTGGTTGAAAGAAGTCGATCAACAGCGCATGTTCGGTCCATAATGCATTTGCGACTGGAGTACTGCTTGGTCCGAATGTTTATCGGACGACCATTCCTGCTCAAAAGAGAGACTTCGGCCTCAATGGGTACATCTCCACACTCGGAGACCAGTCCTTTTGAAACTCATGCAGCCAGTGATAGTGGGCTCCAGAAACCCCCCTCTAGTCGCAAGAACCTTATTGAGGATTGCATTGAGGCTGCGACAGAAGCATTGGGAATTTGTCAAGATCTGAAAGACAACGGAGCCGGTCTAGCACGAGCCTCATACATCGAGTATAGCTCATGCCGAGCATCCTTGCTTGTATTAATTGCTTACTCGATACAGAACTTCTCAGAGCAATTTCGTAAATTACTCTACAGTGGTCTGGGTATGATTCGAGAAATGTCTGCAGCCGGAGAGTCCGCCCGCTATGAGGTGGCCCTAATTGAAACACTTGAGCGTGCCCTTGCTCGTTTGCATACTGGCGCACAACAGTCTGAACAAACTGAAGATATGCTTGAACCCGAGACGGCTGTTTCTGATTATGAGCTCTTCAAGCATTGGGGTGCAAGGTTCCGAGAAGCACCGGTCATTGATACATCTGGGAGCACAACAAGCGTTCCAGCTCGCCAGATTAGAGCACCTCCAACTTCGAGCCAAATTTGTATCAATGATAATATGGAACAAATGGATTGTCCAGAAACATCATTCGATAAAGATTTTGACACTGGAATATTTGGAGCTTTTGATTCGATGATAGGCATGACTATGTTTGGCACCGAAAATTCCTCTCCATCAGCAGCATGGCCGACTTGGACAGAAACCCAAGTTCTGGAGCAATTCTTAACCAATCCCGATTTTGGGGGAGCCCATGGAACGACCTCGGGATAGAGTGTACAGATCATGTATAGTATACAGGGCCACCTGACTGTAAATTAATGAAATCGATATACTAACTTCATGTATGTACAACTCTAATCTCTTTCGTGAACATAACATTGAAATCCATTGAACTCCCAACCCCTCCCTCGATAATTCCCAAACTCACAACGAAGCAGCCACAATCTTCTTCGCCATATCAACCAAAGTATCCTCCAAAACCTCCATCTCGGCATCAAAAATCTCCGCACAAGCCTCCTTCTCATAAACCGTACAATAAGCCCCCCTAAAACCCACCTTAACCGCAGCCGAAACATCCCACATATGCGCCGCCGCAAACCACTTCACATCCTGCTCCCCAAACCTCTCCAACGCAGGCCGATAAGCCGCCAGCGCAGGCTTCGCCACCCCCGCCGAATCACACGTAATAAAGTTCTCCAACGGCATATCCAGCCCGGCCCGCTCAAAGTATCCACGCACCCGCACCGCATCCCCAGTCGTCAGAGCCCAGACCGTAAAGCCTGCTTCCCGCAGCGTCGCAAAGCACTCCTTCGTATCCGGGCGCAGCTCCAGCTCCGAGTATGCCTGCGCGCACAGCTCGCGCTCGGCGTCCGTGGCAAAGGCGCGCGGGTCCTGGATGCCCATCATGTAGAGGGTGCGGTAGAAGAGGGCGCGGATGACGTCTTTGTAGGGCTTGTAGCGCTCGGAGATGGAGAGGAAGGTGAATTCGAGCTCGGCGGCTGTCATCCAGGTGAAGCCGAAGGAGCGCGCGGTTATGTTGTGCGCGAGGAGCTTGGGGCCGATTGTGCGGTCGATTCCGGCGTAGAAGGCGTCGAAGGAGACGCAGGTGCCGACTACGTCGAAGACGACGTGTTTTTGGGGGGACATGGTGGGTTGTGGGGGTTGGGGTTTGGAGCAAGCAAGCTGAAGCTTGTTAATGGAGGGTTATAGGTTTTGTTGGGTGAAAATGTAATTTGAAGCTGAAGCTTGCTTCAGAATAATTTTTGGTATGGGTGGGGATGTAGTTTGAGTGAGTCAGAATGACAGATGACAATTGACAATGTGGGAGAATTGGAATTAGTAGGAATGGAAGCTAAAGCAGGTAGATATTGCATTCCACCAGATCTAAAAATTGTGTGTGATGGCGATAGTTCACTTTCCCCCGCACTGGCTTAATCGACAATCTAATCAGCTCCGATCCCGGGACTCTGTTTTGGCTTTTCCTATTTGGGAAGGACCGGCCCGGTCCGATGTGATTGGCTGGATCTCTTCTTCTTGTCTCGGAGATTCCCCTATAATCTCCTGAATGGACGAGGATTCGCCTCCTGTGATAACCTATGGGGTTATCGATGCCGATATCGATATGAGAAACATGGTCTTCTCGGTTTGTCAACCATGGAAAATCGAAGCAGAGGGATCAAGATAAGATAGCCCCCTTTTTTGAGGTTCCAAGGTTCATTCTTGTGTAAATAAAGTACGTAATGCACCTGGTATACATTTGAAATGTTAATCACTTGACAAGTTACCCTCCAGGTACGGAGGTACGAACCTTGGAAGTGCCAACTGTTCAAGCATCAAGCACTCCTTCCTGCCTCTTGATTTCCTTATTATTGATATTTATGGCACTTGGATTCCGTTGATGAATTTTCTGGATACATTAATGTACAGGTACCTATTGGAAATGCAAAATCTAATTCTATGCCCCTGCGTCTTGACTTTTCATTGCGAAGATTAAAACCTTGGGATATTTGATGCCAAATGAGCGAAATGGCAGTCTTCGATCAGCTATTTTGGTTAACTTTAGGGCGCATTACTTATACAAAGAGTTCAAATGTTCATCGCCCTCATGAGTCTCGTCTATAGTGCATGAAAATGATTGGATGTAGGAATACGATGCCTCAGCCTCACTCATCAGCCCCGCTTCTCTTAACTTCACATTCTGATGCCATAAGTCCAAGTGTTGTGGATCCACTGTGGACCTTCATATTCAACTTTCTTAGATAGAAAATCAGTCTCGAAAAGTGAGGGAAGAGAGGGGAGACTGCTGAGTGAAAATGTCGGTGGGGTTTGGCTTCTCTGTTGGCGACTTCATAGCAGCCCTCGAGCTTGTCGGCACTGTGATCGACGCCCTGCGCGAGTCCTCCGAGGCGACCTCGTCGATGCGATCGGTGATCAACGAACTGTATGCACTGGAATCAGCACTATTACACGTCAAGCGTCTTGATACTGGGATCAATCAGATCAATCTGACCGCACTACGGCAAGCTGCCTCACAATGTCAACTCACAATTACCGAGTTTTATAAGAAGATCCAGAAGTACCAGGTCCATCTTCAACGGGGCGGAACGAACTCGAGGATGAAAGATACGTGGATGAAAATCAAGTGGACAATATGCAAAAAGGACGATGTCGACAAATTTCGCGCCGAGATCAGGGCCCATACTTCGAGCATTGAAATCTTGCTCTTGACCGTGCAGATGGACATGACATCGACTCAGAATCAGACGCACACATTACAGTATAAAGGGCTTGCAAGTCTGATTCAGGACTTCTCCTGCCAGGTCATGGGTCGACTGAGTACGATCACCAATAGCCTGGCAGATAGCATCCAGCAAGGAAAAACACTCCTTGAATCAAGCGCCCAGGTCGTGCAAGTCAACTTGCGTGTTTTTCAGATCGTGCATGATATCCATTTAGCTATCCTGAGAATTCCAGGACAAATTCAAAGACAACAACCGATTTATCTCATTGATCCTTTGAATAGAGAAAGTCCATTCCACCTGGAGTTCGTTAGATCAACTGAGGCGCTTCTGGCCGTGCTCAAATACAACCTTAAAAGCTCAGAATGTGGTCCAGCTATGATCGATCGAGGCGAATTCGTGATCGAAGAGGCAGGGACACAGAACCCGATTGATCTCACGGCGCCATGGGAAGACTGTTTCTATCCAGGACAGAGAGTTGCCATGAGCATGATCTTCAAGCAGGACCAGATGGAGCCTAGCACCACTTGCCCCCGGTGTCATAGAGAACATCAAGAGTCAGCTGGAAACGATATTACCTGGTAAGCTGAATTGCATGCATTTCAAGTCCTAATATTGACTCTTGCAGCATTACCTGTGGCACTGTCTTTCGTCGCATTGAGGAAATTGCAGAGCCAAACGAGATAGCATCCCCCAACGATGACGGCATCGATGAACGAGAGCCCCCAGAAAATACATTGAAGAACCTCCGAAAGTTCCGGCGCGTCCAGCTCATTACAACGCCAATCATTCATCAAATTCTACGCGAGCGCTCCGAGGAAGAAGACTCGCGTATGAGTCTCACCTTTGATGGAATGAGGATTGGACGTGCCGATGAAATCCGCCCTGAAAAATCTATCGCGCGCACGGGTGATAGAAGAGCTTCTCAATATCCTATCCCTAATAGTTCTAGCCGTCAACCCGTTTATTCTGTCAATACCACTCGCACGGATGATAGGAGACCTTCCCTATATCCTATCCTTAACAGCTCTAACCGTCAACCCGTTTATTCTGTTGATGCCGCAGGCACGCGTGATAGGGGATCTTATCAATACTATCATATTGCCGATAGATCTAGTCATCGACCCGCTTACTATGGGATTCCTACGCGCACGGGTGACGCTGAAGGCCCAGTTTTAGAATACGAACGGCGTACACGCAACGCCCGCAGACAGGCGAGCAAGGCTGTCTACCATCATTATCAATAGCCTACCTACGAGCGCAACTTTGGATTTTCTTTAATATTATCTTCAAATGTTACCTAATTTTAGAAGTTGATTCATGGATACTTCAAGGTTGTTCAAATACCGGAGCGTATAAATTTCAAAACAGCGCTAATTGACATACATAATGTTGGGTATATGGATACACCTCAAGACCACAAAATATTGAGCTTTGCAAGTCCACGCTTCGGTGCTGGCTCTGGCTCAGGGTTGTTCTGATATTGCTCAATAAATGGACGAATGGGAATTTCCGCCAGTGGGATAATCTTAGATTTCATCCAGAACTTGGACGCAAAATAGACGATCACAATGAAAGGCAGGTTGAAGTAACAAGAGATGAAAGTCTCAGTACTCCAGCGACCCTTCAGGAATGTAGTGTAACCTCCAGTGAAGAATAGCAGAATGAAAACGACCAAAGAGACCCAGGTAGTGTACGGCTGGAAAGGCGCCGCCCATGGGAGTTCCTTGTGGCGATCAATACCTTGCTTCTTGCAACCATAGAGGAACCGGAGGTAAACCACGAGAATGCAAACCCAGTTCACAATCGTGGAGATGGAGACAAGATCCTGAAGCCAAGTAAACACAGTACTGGCAGAGCTTGACAGTGTCATATATCCTAATGCCATGAAGACACTGTATAAAGCCACGGCGACGTAGGGGATCGAAAAGCGGTTCAGGCGCTTGAAGATTGCTGGCGCATGACCCTGCTTTGCCATACCGTATAGGATTCGAGAACCGCCGAGCATGTTGGAGTTACCCGACGACCAGGCGGAGGTGAGGACGATGGCGTTAATTATAGAGGGGACGACTTTGATTCCTGCGCTGCGAGCTGCGATGACGAAAGGCGACTCCGATGATGTGCCGGTGGAGTCGAGAAGGTTTGGGTCGGTTGACGCCACTACAAGACCAACCATGAAGATCGTGACGACGTAAAAGAATAGGATTCGGATGAAGATGCGTCGGGCAGCCATGGGGATTGCTCGGCGAGGGTTACGAGTCTCAGCAGCAGCGACGGTGATGTTTTCGATTCCCGAGTATGCGTAGAGAGCATTGTTGAACACGGTCCAGAAGCCGAGGAATCGACCTAAAGATCCCTCATAGCCCAGATACTGAACGAAGGGACCATAGGGACTCCTCCAATACTCGAAGCCAATAGCCTTGTGATTGGGCGCTCCTCCACATGTGATGACCAAAGCCATGATGTTGATTCCAATAATCAGCATGATCTTGAGAATAGAGAATCCAAACTCCAGCTCTCCGTAAACGCGTACGAAGAGGACAGCCGTGACAATCATTAACAGTCCGAAGACGGTGATCCAGATCGCAGGGCTAATGGTGATCCAGAATTCGACAATAACGGCAGCGGCGACGAGCTCGGAGGGGATTGAGACGATGTAAGAGTAGACTTGATTCCAGCCATTGGCAAAAGCCAGAGCAGGGTCACAGAAGATCTCGGCATAACGGATGACACCACCATTGAGAGGCACGAGGGCACCCATCTCACCGACTCCAAAGACGACACTCGACACCATGAGACCGATAATTGAATATCCGAGGAAAGCACCTAGAGGTCCAGCCTCCGCGATGGCTCGTCCCGAACTTAGAAAAAGACCAGTTCCAACCGTGCCGGCGAGGGCAATCATCTGAATATGTCGCTGGTGGAGGCCTTGCTCGAAAGCATTGATCTCTTCCAATTGACCCGCCGCATTCTCCACATCCCCCTCTTTTTGCATTTCGGTGTCGTATGTTGGATATTTCTTCTCCGCCGATGTAATGTCCATTCTATCAGGAGTGTAAGAGTCCTCGGAGATGGACATCTTCGAAGACGTAAGATAAAATAAATAGGAGAATTGCTTTTTTTTTTAATTCGAATTTTCCATTTGAAACTTTCCCATCTCATTTTGTAGTTTTTCCACTTTTCCTGCATGTCTTCCCTAGACTCGGTCGGGCACCAATCATCGTGGAGCCGCGCCAGGCTATCGCGGTTAATTGGCAATTGGCAGGATTTAGTTGGTGGATACGACCGGAAGTATACCGGCATCCTGATAACAGTTGATATAAAGGTGGGAATTCCAGATAGACGCACTGACCTCACGGTCCTTGACCCCTGTCTCCTGTAAGTTGTACATGATTATGCGGGGGAGGTTAATCGGTGGGGCCTGAGAAAGTCGGTATCGGTTTCTGAATTGGGAGAAGCCGGTCCGGCGGTGACAACAGAGAGATAAAGTCCAGGATAAGAGATAAAGCATGCACGATAACCTAATTCCCCGGTAACCGGGAGACTCCGATCATCTGATAAAGTCGGTCAAGCAACTCAAGCTTATAAAAAAAAAAAGAAGCTCTGCAAGTCCCGGTTATTTGCTTTTTTTCTCTTCTCATAACCTTAGTATACCTCCCTGAATCCTGCCACAACCATGACGCAAACAAACGGCATTTCAAACGGCTACACCGCCACTGCTGGAACAGAAAGATGTCTCCCTACTGTCACCCCAGGGGAAACATTCTGGCAGACCGAGAAAGATGAGCTCCATGATCACCGGTCAACAGAGCAATTGCCCGAACACAGTGATATTGTAATCATTGGTGCTGGGTATGCTGGTGTTGGAACTGCCTATCATCTCGTCAAAGACCATGATGCCAAATCAATCACTATCCTGGAGGCCCGGGGTGCTTGCTCTGGAGCCACTGGCCGAAATGGTGGTCACTGCAGACCTGATCTTTATGGCCACATTCCCACCTATATTGATCGAGCAGGAGCTACAGCCGGTGCTGAGATTGCTCAGTTCGAAATCGCCAATTTGCGAGCACTGAAGAAAATCATTCAAGAGGAGAAGATCGATTGTGATTTTACCTTGACTCGATCTACAGATGTCTGGTGCAATGAAGAGTCCGCGAAGAAGGCTAAGGCTGTTTACGATCGAATGGTGGCCGAGAATTTCGAATATATGGAGGATGTTGTTTTTTACACTGGAGATCAGAGTGAAGGTGTAAGTCTAAGCCCCCATGCATTGATGTTCGAGGATAGCTCTTTTATTTCTTTTCGGGACTGACCCTTATCTGGTAGATTTCCGGTGTCAAAGGCGCAAAGGCTTGCGCCAGCTTTACAGCTGGTACAATGTGGCCCTATAAGTTCATCATGCACCTTGTCCGATTGATCGTCACAGCCGGCGTCAACCTACAAACACATACTCCAGCCACATCCGTGGAACCATGTCAAGAACAAGGCGGTTTTACAATCACTACCCCTCGAGGAAAGATGCACGCTGGAAAGGTCGTTTACGCCAATAACGCCTATGTGTCAGGTGTTCTCCCTCAATATAAGAAGAACATTATCCCCTGCAAGGGAATCTGCTGTCGAATCACCCTCCCAAAGTCCAAGGGAGCCTCACCCCTTCTCACAAACTCATACATCAACCGAACTGAAGATAATACTCTCTCATACTTGATTCCCCGTGCAGACGGCAGTATCATTGTCGGCGGTGCGGCAGCTGTCTTCCGAAACTCCGAACACCAGTGGTATGACAACGTGGACGATAGTGTCCTGATTGAAGTTGCAAAGGACTATTACAATGACTATATGCAGCAAACATACCACGGATGGGAGGGAGCCAAAATTGACAAGATTTGGTCCGGTGTGATGGGATACTCTTATGATTCCAACCCGCATATTGGTGTTGTTCCCGGGGCTTCAGATCAGTACATTCTTGCCGGCTTCAATGGTCATGGTATGCCTGTTATTTGGCTGTCATCAAAGGAGATGGCCAACATGGTGATGAAGGATGTTTCATTTGAGGAGACTGGTCTCCCTCGGCTGTTCCAGACCTCACAGTTCCGTATCGACCGGGCGTTGAACGGGAAGGAAGAGGATGGCGATATTCTTGGAACTGGCAAAGCTGCTGCTACCAAGCCATAACTTTGGAGATAGAATCACGATCAATACTTTAGGCGTGAATGTACATACAAATGCAATTTTTTTTATGATCAAGGAAAATCAAGGCTCATGAACATCCTGGACAATGACTCAATTGAGATTTCAAAATGTCATTGGCTATAAGAAAAGTCGGAAATATGGCGGGTATAGCCGATTACAGCCGACGTGGTGTCCCCAGTAGTCAAGACACTCATTGTCGCCTTTGTCATGGTTGCCATTGCGATTCTGCATCATTTAAAAAAATGGGGAATGGGGAGGATGGATGACAGTCAGTGGTTCACTTCCCTGCCCGGACGCGTTGCTTTTGTTTTGTCTTTAATTTGGCGGAATTTATTTTAGGTGTCAAATTTGGTGGTCAGCCCCGCAGTATACGCATTAATTTGCAGCCGTAGATGCCTTGGCGGCATGAGCCGCAATGCTTGGTCGGGGTTCGGGATTCGTGCCGTCTCGAGTCTCGAGTCTCGACCCTTAAGAAACACACCATCAGTTCCCAACTCCCATCTTGAGCCTTCAACAATTTCAAAATTATTACCAGTCAATATACACGCAAGTATAATCTGACCTCTCACCAGTATGACACACCCAGCTTTCATCTAAGCTCCATCAAGCCTCAGTGCTCACATCCGCTTAATCTGACAATTTACTAAGAACAGAACAAGACAGTGAGTCATCATGTCACAAAACACGTCCAGCACTCCAACTACAACGGAGGAAACATTCAGCAAATTCAACAAAGAGGAAGGCAAAGCGTATGCTCAAGGCCGACCTGACTACAGCCCTAAGCTATACCAATATGTCATTGATGCTCACACCTCCACCGGCGGCCAATTCAACACTCTTCTCGATGTCGGAAGTGGCCCGGGAAATGCGGCTCGATCACTGAGCCCACACTTCGCCCATGCGATCGGTCTCGATCCATCCGAAGGCATGGTCACTGCGGCCCGATCCCTGGGCGGCACCTCGTCGACCTCCGAACCAATTCGCTTCGAGGTCTCCACGGCCGAACATCTAGGCACCAGTCTCCCAAACCAGCCGATCCAAGATTCCAGCGTTGACTTGCTCACAGCCGCCAACGCCGCACATTGGTTCGATATGGCCCAGTTTTGGTCAACGGCTGCCCGCGTCCTCAAACCTGGTGGCAGTGCTGTGTTGTGGACCACTGGCAAGACGGGAATACACCCTTCAGTCCCCAATGCGGATGCCATCAACGCGGCTATGGATCATTTGGAGGAAACTATGCTGAAGCCGTACATGGCTCCAGGTAACTTCTTGACGCGTAATCGCTATCTGGATCTTCCTATGCCGTGGAATCTGGACCAGCCTGTGCCGGAGTTCGAGGAGGCTGGTTTTATTCGGAAGGATTGGGATCCGCTGGAGAATTTCCTGGCTCATTCGCCTGAGGTGAGTTTGGATGTTATGGAGAAGATGTTTGCGACTATGAGCCCTGTTGTTCGATGGCGGGAGGCGCATCCGGATACCGTTGGGACTGAGGGGGATATTGTGAAGATTTATCGGAGGACTATTGAGCGGCTGCTGCATGAGGCTGGGGTCGAGAAGGGGAAGGAGACCATCAAGGGGGCCATGCATGCTGTGGTGTTGGTCATTAAGAAGCGATCTGAATAGATCCGGCGGTGGGAACTCACGATGTCGTAACATAGTTATCGGAAACCTTGGATATGTCATTGAAATGAATCTTGGAATCGTTGGGAAAAAATGAGATTTAGTAGCGGATAGCTCACATCCGGTGTATACACTCCCTGATGGGTAGGTAGAAACCCCATGCCCACATGCAGGAACGTAAGACACCAGGCTATGCTTACTACCCACGCTTACCACTTTAACCCCTCATCCAAAGAAAAAGTCCCCTCATTTTAATTCTACCACTTCCATTTTAAGGTTGTTTATTGTCTGAAACCAATCCCCTTCATTCAGCCAATGAGAGCTCACAGCCTCTTTAGCGCGTCTGAGAATCGTCACCTGATTGGCCGGCTCGGGTTATTGACGTCATATTTACTTTTTTTAGATCAATGAAATCGGGCTTGCATCCATCCAATTCGCTTCACGTTCAAGTTGATACAAAGTAAGCGGACCGATATGAAGGAACTGTAAGAAAGTTGTGTTTAAATAGTAAGACTGTGTCTGAGTTTACATTGTTGACTTTGTTGTACTACACTCGGCAACAAAACAAACACAAAACACGAACGAGATACGAAATACAATAGTCGACTCTTTCTCTTATGTACTTGAGTCAGTCCCATATTACGCGACCAGCCCTTCAAAGTGAAAAACCCCCTCTGACGTGCTTCCAGGAAATGCCTTCATATTCCCTTTACGTCTTTCTTATCATCGTTGGCTGTGTGGTTGTCACGTTCATTGGCTACTCAGTCCACTACATCTCGACAAATGGGTTCTCGGACGACAAGTACGAGCCTGAGATGTCGGATGACCAGAGGCGATATCTGAGGGAAGTGCGCTTTCGAAATTTTCTTGCCCTCGAGGAAGCATGTCGTGCACAGGGTCCTCCTGTTCGACCTCGGGACCGTCTGGGTGCAGTGAGATATTGATGCCTGTTCATCTTACTGGCCATACATGAATTCAATTACGACATTTTTGTACGAACTCAACATCGAAGCTATGCATGAATCCAGCAACGGAATAATATTTTGTGCCACTTTATGCTCAAGATTGTCCACTTTAATGACATGAAATGCCTCCTATTGCTCAGAATTAAGTATTAAAATGATACATAGCGGTGCCAGTTGATATCAACGTTCACGGGAGACTTTTGAAAATATGACAGCTCTCGGATCTATCTGGCCACACATACTAGATTGTAGCCTGGAAAATGCAAGATGATTCGGTCTGCTCGCCAATATTACCATTACAGTGGGGACTTGACGTATGGCCATCCATTTGCCCAGCCTAGCGGATTCCAGCCGTACCTGAAGCCGGCATCGCCATCACCGCCAGCCTGCTTGATAGAGAGCGGGTAATATTGATAGTATAGGACGGGACCGAGATCCTTGTCATTGAGGACACCCCTAGGAGATTCTGTTAGTAAACGCTTCTGCAGTGTAAAGTGTAGGGAAAAATTTGTGGATCACGTACTGTCCGCCAGGGGCGTAAATCTGGTCATGGCTTTGCAGCAAAATAGTGCCGCCTGAATCCAAGCAGGGAATGCCCGACATGTCATACTGTACGAGAATCTGTCAGCGACTTATCATTGTTGTATATGAAGCACCGGGCACTTACGAAATCACCGGTTCCACTCGTGGAGCGGCACATGTGGATACGGTACTCCTCGCCTTGGGCTGGGTATGTCGCCGTGTACGAGCCAGCAACACCGCCACTGAACAGGAGATAGTAGTAATCTTCGTGGTAGAACATGAACGAAGCCTCTTCACGGTGGTTCAGACTAGCATTGAAGGCCAATTGGTGCGGAGTCGCAGAGCCGACTGTCAGCGGACCAGAGATCTCGACCTGGTAGAGATCATCCCAGTAGGAGCCGAATTGCAGATATTGCTTTCCATCAATGGTGATCCAGTTGGGGTCGATCCTGTTGTAGTTGTTATTGGCGGGAATACCGATCACGCCGTGGTCGGTCCATGAACCTGGCTCCATGGTCTCAGACGTGGCCACGCCAACTTGGGAGATCTGCGTGCCAAGCTTGGAAACCACGTAGTACATGTAGTAGATTCCATCTGCGTAGTGGAGGTCCGGAGCCTTTGAGTAACATGTCAATTAGTATCGTGCATAAGTCTATATTAGGGTTTGGAAATCACTCGCATACCCAGATATCATCGCTATCGGCGCCATCAAGCATAATTACCGAACCACCGGGTAGTGCGGGACCTAGATCGTCCCATGGGCCTTCGAGAGAGGGCGAAACCATGGTGTTGATTCCCGTCCCGGTCGAGAAACGGAAGTACATATCATCCGACTCGCGCTGGATCATAGCCGGATCATGTGTCCAGCAATTCCCCAAACAAAAGCCTGGAGGTGGATATGTGGTGGCACTTGAAGCCATAGATGCCGGGACGGCACTGGCCAGCGCAGCTACGCTGAGTAGAATATGGCTGAACATGATGGCGAAGGCAAGCCGGGCCGAGCGGGCTTCCGGGGTAAGACTGGAGGGAAAAGTCGAAAAGACCGATTAATTTTCACTCGGGCAAGGAGATTTCGCATGCGAGGGAGATAAAGTATTTATGTTAGTTTTTAGTCTTGACAGTTGAGATCTTTAGGAATGTTTCCTACAGATCCACCTTTCACCCTGGATAGGGTTTTAGGAGTTGGTACCTGTCTATCATCACATTTCTCCCTCCAGGGCTGTGCAAACCAAAATTAATAGTCAAGAGTAAATATTCAAACATTGATGCACCTGACTGTGCTGTGCATGGAGTAACGCCTAGGCGAGAACTCCGGGGACCAAGGTTGTAAGAGGAATTCCATGTTGATCTTCGACGCTCGGGGTAATTCCCGGTCTATCCCAGGCTTGGAAGTATTTCACTCTAATCTTGGAATCTTGGAAGCCGTAGGCATGCCCATGTTTAGAAGTTTGGTGGCATGAGATCAAGGCATATGCAAAAAATGCCAACCAATTAATATTGAGTGAACCCGGTGGTTCAAATGTTTCAAATCTCATATAAATTTGTGGCTTTTGGCTAATCAGCCACGGCCGCCGTTAGTGCTCCAGGGCTGTATTCCTCACTGAGAGAATACAACCAGCACTAGTGGGGAATAATTTTGATCAAGTGGACAACACCGGGATGGCTGCATGCTTCGGAATTTGGAATGTTAGTAAACAATGCTGGAGCTGTGTTCCGCTTGCAAGGAATGTGTCAGCGCTGAAGTGCTGGCATGCCGCTTAGATCAGAAACAGAAAAGAGAAAAGATCGCTCTGTATACAGAGATGAGACTGAGCAAAATTTGAATATCACTAGCTGTTAATGTTAGGTGCAGAGAAATAGATGTGAAAAATTTGAATTTTTTGGTCAAAGCAAGAGAGAGAGAGAGAGAAAGAAGGGAGAGTAAGACTAGTAGTAGTACTAGAGAGCTTAGAGGCCAAGGCGAATGGCACTAGTCCCAATCGGGAACTAAACAGAGATGGATCATCGATGTCCTGGTCGGTGCTCATGGATGATCTGTCAAAGAAATTCCGGAGTATTCTTGGTAGTCTTGGTAGTAAACGACAAGGACATTTGAAGTAGGCCGTGAGTTCTTTTTCCTGAATCATCATCGTTGGGTTTATGCCTGTATTTTATAAGATATAGGCCTTGAAACATGCAGCGCGGTGTGTTCAAGAGATGAATATTATTAATCTTCTATTCGATCGTAAAGTCGTGTATGGAATGCTATATGTACATTTTTGACATGTATAAAATCAATTATACATGCTCCTTCACGCTGGTATCTCTATAAGTTCTATCTCCATAATCTTCTGTCGCAGTGGTGACCTCAAAAGTCTGTTGAATACCAACTTCCATCTTTCTGCCCGAAGGAAGATGGGGAAGATGAGGGATTTGAGACGAGTGGTCAATGGTCAAGCCCTCTTCACTGCTGTTTGGAGTGGACGATCTTGTCCAGGTGCTTCCGAGGCCTCCCTGGCTTTCAATATTTGTCACCATAACCGCCAATTTATCGGGGCGGAGTTCGCTTCGATTGGATGCGTCCATGGATCCCAGTGGGACGGCACGTTGTCCGCTGTTACCGAGGCGGGGGTTTGAATTCCGTGGGAATCCAGATGAAGGGTAGTTTTCGGAGCGGGAGCCGAGCCAGTGACGGAGGAGGGGACGGAGGGTTGCCAGACTGCCTGCTGTGATTCCGAGACCAGCTTCGGTGCAGGACCAGATGGCAATTTGGTAGGTGGAGTCTTGAAAGAAGAGGCATGTTAGTGATGTTTTCTTTGAATAAGATAGGCGAAGGAATTGAGTAGAGTAGAACGTACAGAGGAAGTCGGGTTCCGCGAATGTCGCAACGAATGGTAAGCGGACGATGACTGCTGATGAGGCACTGGAATGGCTGTTAGTGAATGTGTCGGGCATTTGGGGGATAGATATGATATTGAAGTCACGTACATGCAAGCCATGCTCAGAATTCCAATGACGGCTAGCTTGGCATTCTTTTTCATATGCAGCTTGCGCACGAGGAAGATTGGGAGAATGCCGACAGTGAAATCGCACATTGCCGCGAACACACTGTATATGTAGGTCATGATGATAATGATGTTGATATCGATGCAATGGCCCTCGATAGATGGGTCCTCCTTTGTTCGTGTCCAGAAATAGTTGAGCGGCTTGCATTGCAGAAGCATGAGGAAGAAGAAAATCAATCCGGCAATGACGGTGAGAATCATGACGATGTAGAGAGTCCAGATATGACTCCGCTTAACGGTGATACGCATAAGGAAAATGCACACGGAGATCTTGCATCCAATCGAGGCAAAGCAGTAAGCCACTTCGCAAAACCACCAGTAGCTCATGGCGGTAGAGCGGTTATCGGGTTCCAGGTTCTCGAATTTGTACCCGGTACCATATAGAGTGCCTCCAATCATAGAAGCACAGAAAGCGATATAGAACAGCTGTTTAACGGATTAGCTTTGAGCTTTTTTCTTCCGGTTTTGTTTTTCAAGTTGGTGGAATAAGGAATACTCACAGATGCAAATACCATAGCAGCATCGTCCAGACCAAAGGCCCTTACCACCCGGGCACGGACATAGCAGCGCAGCATGACAGCAATGGTGGCGACGGGCATGAAGACGGCCGCGACCACCTGCACGCCCATCTTCCTAGCATGCTCATCGGATACCATTCTGTCAGTGAAAAGTGACAGGAAGACATGTTGAGATTTTGTGGGGCTCGAGGATCTTTTAAACAGAGATCCGAGGAGCGCATGCACGGCTGGTTTCTGGAAGAAAAGCGAAAACCGGGGATCAGGACAACCCGCGGCTTCAGGGGCGGGTTTAGCGCCCAAAAGGGCTTGACTAGACCGGTCCACCGGGCGAATGGGAAAAGGGGATCGGCATAGTAGCGTGGCGTTGTCAACGGTCGGGAAATGAGAAGAACAAACTGTGCTCCATTTTTTTTTTGGAAAGTTAGATGGGGACAAATTCAGAGTTTGCCTGGTTGATAGGCTGCATGACAGGTCTTTTGACAGAATCTAAATTGGTATCCATTTTCACATTGGTTCATGGAGGAGACGCGGGTCGACAACTACCGAAACATGATTTCTTACTAGGAGCAGGAACATTAGACTAGTCCACTACAGAGCCACTACAGGGAGGCTTCTTAGCTTCTGGTAGTTTGGTTTGACGAGTTGCTGATCCACACCATCGCCGGGCCAATCATCTAGATCTAGCTGCCAAGGCCGCTCGCATTTTTACGCTTTCAGGAAGTGATGCGCAGAGATTTTCCAGATGTTTTATTTTTGTTTTTGTTTTATCTTCCCAAGTTTATTGACAGTTCCGAGCTGTCAGGCTTGGGAGGTTTAGGGGAATTATCAATAGCGTTTATCATGGGTTCCATGGGTGGAGAAACCTTATGGTTCATAAAAACAAAGATCAAACAATCAAACAAAGAATAAACAATCAAACAAAGGTTAAAAGCAAAACAAAAGATTAAATAAAGATTAAACAAAGCGTCTTTGTTCTTCTAAAGATAAGGCTCGTATTGATCTACCGAACACTTGAAAGGGGTCTCTATACTTGTTGTATTTACCTGAAACAACAACGGTCAAGGAATCGAACACAATTGAAAAAAAGCACTCGGTATCTCGGCCAGAACTAAACATTTGAACATCTAAAAAAAACGATCTTCAGGTTTATTGTCCAGTTTGGAAAGTGAGTGTTGCAAATAACAAAAGTCCTGCAATTCCGGATGTGGCGTGCCCTAGCCCTACTTGACCGAACTAGAACTTAGTCACTTGTAATCTCCACCACAACTCCCTCCGTCCCACATGGACGAGAAAAATGGAGTTCTTCACGATGATTAGGGGTCTTCAGAAGCAATCATTCCCTAATTGAGTAAGCAACTTCGCGACAAGCCGGGTATATGATTCAAGTCCCTGGCGGCAATTCACCATGTTACTGCGGCACAAATGTTCCACAATTCACAATGGCACTTGATGCCGAATGTCCGTCCAAAAATCCGGGTCTTGCAAGCGTTCCAGCTTGTAATGTCGCCATGTCTCACATGGAGCTATAAGCACGTGTCACTCCGAGCCACGATTTCCAAGATTTTCGTCTGCCATCGAGCCTTGGTTGAACCTTATCAAACCACAGAAAATCACTAGTATTTTGCCTATTTTTACTTGTGGAGTTAAAATACGCCTGGATATCCCCCTCCGACCACAATAAAAGGGGGAAGCCGGAGAAGGTTTTGGCTGTACCGAGTATACACGGAGTTTTTAACCTAAAATGCTATCTCGTCCCAGCATTTGCAGTGGGCTCCAAGTTCTTTGGAGACTTAGGGGCTTCATGGGGCACAGACCCATGAAAACTTCAATCTGCTCCACTCCATTTCTGGCAGACTTGCCATGAGCGAAGTGGAGTCGCTTTGCTTTACTAATGCGTAAGGCGTCCAGGACTCCTTACTCCGTCAACATCTCCGTCTTCACGGAGATAGGCCCAGGCCCCGACCATCGGCTTCTTACACTCTCGCGTCCATACGAGATATCCGAGTGACCGAGCCTCTTTTTTGAGACAAGCACTATCATATCCACTTTTGCCTGATAAAGGAACTGTACACGATCCAGCGTAACCCAAATCAGAATTAACGCGTCAATGGCACTCGTGTGTAGAAGAAAAAAAAAATTGAGTATCTGATCTGTGCTTCATGCATGTGCTTGATGCTTCATAATTCATGATCTGAAATAATAGGGGTCAACTATGGAGTGAAGATCAGCACGTTTCAATTGACTACCGAGTACCAATTACTAACATGGGTCCTCTAGCTGGCTGACTCCAGTTTTCTGGTGAAAACAAGTCGTTAGCACGGAGAACGGAGACAAGTGAACAGGGTGGGATAACGCTCACTCAGTGGGCGGAAATCCACGCGGATAGGAGCGCCCCGGCGCCTGCGCTAAAATGGTGGATTCGAGGATAATTTCACCCACTGAGTACCAAAGAACGTAAGAAAAATAGAGCTCTCCATAATTCCAACCAATCCTTGAATCCAAATTGGATTCGGCAATTCGTACCTTGTGGTCGCCAAGTATTGAGGCGATGAGTATCCGTGCTCCATACATACGCGGGAGTTCGCAGGCCTTTAGCATAGGTATTTCGCTTCGACAACAGAAGCTCGCCAAACGGAGTGTCAAGAGGTTCTCCGTAGTCTAGACTTGTCTCGGGAGTTGAAAATCCACAAAGCTCCATTGATTCCCACTTGATAGCTCTAGAGGCTTGCCAGCAACGACTTTGGTCAGCAGCATTTACCCCTTTCTCTCGTTCGCTTTCCACCAACGTCGCCTCTTTACTCCTCTCTCCTCCACCCAGAGTTTTTTTTTCTCTTAGCGGGATCCATACTCGGTTCCAAACCTTTGCGATCCTCTTTCTCGTACTATTGAACAAAAGCTTAAAAAAGGCGGGAGCTACAGCCTCCTATACATTGACTTGGCCTTTCCTAAAAAAAGGTCGGGGCTCGAGCACAATCACTCGGCTTCCGAGTCCTACTTCCTGGTTCATACTTGTATTTCGAGTTCAAGTGTCTATTAGTCTTGGTGCAATCGAAGAATTGAGAAAAATATGATGGATCAGTTCAAAGGTTACTGACTGAATGCCTCAGGCCCGACACAAACTAGTCCGAATATTGAACTTTCTTGGATTCAAATGTTGCATCTTAAGCTTATCATATGAACCTATAGCTTCAGCAAATTACCACATATCCTTCCGGAGTTGACAGAGAATTTCATTTGAAGTCGTGTGTGCAGGTTGTAGCGGCGATTGAGAGGGTGATAGCACTCGCAACATTGAACTGATACCTGCCGACCTCCATGCGAGAACCACATGCGGACTTTATATACACATTCCCCAACTTTTCCTAGATGTAATTGACTCTGATTCAAATTGTTGCCACGGTTTCAACGAATATCTGTGATGAGAGGTCGCTAGATAGGGGCGGATCCGCACCGTAGTATCACAAGTGATATCCAGCACTTGAGTAGTTATTGTTGTATGCCCCTGGTTTTGAGCGAGACTCCATACATAAGCTTCAATGTTGAGGGGCTCTGCGGTCATCCACAATGTGTCAATCGGGTTATACATACACGAGGATTTTATGTATCCAGGAGTAGCTTTATCACGTAAACCAGCTTTCAAATGTCATTGGCATTACACTACGTGTATCTTGTCACTCGGAATTATATATGTATACTGGTCCCGCATGTCGGCTCGCGTGATAGGCGTGGCAGGCGTGGCGGCTACACTTCAATCCGTGCGGGAATACGGAGCCAAGAAGGCCTCGTTGGCTGCAACTCTTTGGCTGTAATGAATCTTGGTTTCTTCAGGATGACGTCGTGTCTAGACTCAGCACGGGGCACAGCAACCTCCGCTCGTGCCTTCTTCATTTTTTCGGCATCGTGAACAGACACACCATTTGAATATAAATAGAAACTCATGGTATCGTCAATCATCCAGAAGCCTCCCCTTATATCCGTTGATTTTCGACCGTCAACTCTTCCGCTATCACAGACCGACGAGAACCGTGTTTCTTTGGCCGCGTGGCCGGCGGGGCCTGCGTGGTCTTTCTTTCGGTGCAGAGAGCGTCGTTGACATGGCTTTTCCGTTTTTCTTTTTCGGCGATAGCGGGGCCAAATCTTCACTGGCGTCATCAGAACTCGCAGTCATAGGGCAGAACCCAGGGAATCACTATGGATAACATTCAAGCAATACACAACGAGATACGACATGATACCCAATCATCATGATTTGTAGGTATCTACGATGCGCCTCAATTGTGACATCGGTGGTGGCAGGTATCTCCATTGTAATCGATTTGAGATGATGTGAAATTGAAGTAAAATGTTCAATGCTGGAACAGCGATGATGTGAAATGAAAGTTCAAGAAGAAATTTCTAAAAATATAGAGTGGATGACGGTATGATTTGAAAGGAGAAAAGGAACATTTGAAAGGGATATGTCTCGAGGTTTATATATAATAGATGGCAAGATCAAGTGATAAAGTAGTGATTAACAAGCTTGCTTGATAAGTTCATTCAAAGATTCACTTCCAAGGTTCAGTGCTCTTAGATAGTGAACTTGAATGAAATATAAACGAGAGAGAATTAACAAATGCGTTTTATTGGCGATATGAGGCTAAACTGAGATGGATTATGCCAGCATTTTTTCAATTTCTAAATTTAATCTCCAGGCGCCTATCATTTCCATTTTGCAGGTCTGTATGTCTAGATACCGTTTTTCTCTTTCTCTCTCTTGAGGACTGAATTAAGAAGGTTTTCCTTCCGGCGAAAAGATACTTGGAGTTAATTCAGAACAGCTGTTGGCTCGGCTTAAATCGGTAGGGAGCAGCGACTTGTAAAAAACACTCAACTCGCCAGTACCGACAGAAACCCGAGTGAGACAAGGTTTCGTTCAGGAGCACGAGCACGAGGCCAGGCTAAGCCAAGAGATGGATAAGCTGAAGTGACCAGTGGTTCTGTATGGGACTTGCAGATCAAGGGTTAGAATGGTGTGCTTTGTATTCCTCCAGTGTTGCAGTATTTTTTTTTAAGTTGCGGGGGCAAGTCTATGGTTGGAAAGGACTCGGAGGGTCTTTTATGACCTCCGGGGCCAAAATAAGAATGAAGGGCCGTGTGTGATTCCGAAGTTCAGTGATAGAATAGAGAAGAAGTGGCTAGTAGAGCAACTGGAATGCACCTGAGCCAAGAATGAGGGGTTCAAGAAGATGTTCCAACCTGAGACCGGAAGCCCACTGAAGGCATCTGAGAGGGTCATGGTCTGGACTTTGGCAAGATGACTTTGAACGCCAAGATGAAGGAAGTTTGGCACTTGCCCAGGGCATTGGCAAATAGCCACTCACAATGCTCTAACCCCTCACATGTGCAAATTATCTGGCCTCAATTCCATAAAAATGAATCTTCACTTGATAAATTTTCCAGCACATCAAGCCTCCAAAAAGATTTCCTCCGTCCCCCGCCGCTCTCCGCGCCGTGTGGATTGAGTGTTACCACTGGTGGCTGGATTTGTTCTGCATGTCAATTGTTGGTGGCTTCCAGATAGCCTATTAATGAAGTCGAAACACAACTCAGACGGGCTAATAGAGACAGAATAAACACTCTATAGCATGCGTGTTCCGGAGACAGCGGAGAGTCCGGAACATTGTAGCATCTATGCCGTACCTGCATGATGGTCTGAGGTCGGAGAATGTGGGAGAAATTCGGCCGACTTTCCTCAATGCGGAAAATCGCCCCGACGACTACCAAAACTCCCCGACTCCCAGCCTGCTTTTGTTACACCCCCTCACATCATTTCTTCATCAAACACGCGGCCCACCATTGTACCTGGCAGGATTGGTACTAAACGGTATATGATCGCCATGCTCATAATTTTATCCCCGCTTTATTGCAGGTTCGGTAATTGAACTCTTCAGGCTTTCTCGCGGTTTGCACTGCATCAATTGAACCGACATTAAAACGACATCGGTTTTGTAGAATTCATTTGTCGATCCTGACGACTATCATCGACAATCCGAGCATGGAGGCAACGGTTATTGATCTGATTTGATCTGATATCGCCCGTGCGCACAATTCATACATACTAGTAAATGAAAGAGGGTCTCGAGCTCTATGGATTTGAGTCTGTTTGACCAATAACTTGCTGTCGTCATCCCAGCCAAGCCTCGGCCCTACCCCCGAAGTCTGCTCCCACATTCGGGGTTTAGTATTCAAGCCTCACCCGAGATGATCGTCAATCAACCTTTGCAAGAAGACGGAGACGTCTTCCCGTCTTGGCAAGTATCATCCATGGGTGGTGCAACCGGGTCCCCAGGGAATTGACTGCATATTGTACGTATATAAGGATCCATGGGGGCCCGTTGATCAATTGACTTCGCTCCATCCTTCTCAATTACCTCCTCCAGTCTGGATCAATTCAACTAAATGACGTCCTTCGTGAACAAGGGCCTTGCGGCCTTGGCCCTTGGTGCTGCCGTCGCCGAGGCTCAGCTTTGGGACAAGGTCATTCAGACCTCCCTCGGTCCTGTCAAGGGTTACAAGTACTTCAACGAGTCGACTCTTGAGACATACTTCAATCGTTCCGAATCCAATGTCACAGCTTACTTGGGCATTCCCTTCGCTGCTGATACCGGTTACCAGAACCGTTGGAAGCCCCCACAGCCCCGCGAGTCTTGGAATGAGACTTATGATGCCACTTCGTGGGGTCACCCTTGCCCTAGCAATGGTGTCGACAATATCAGCGAGGACTGTCTGAACCTGAACGTCTGGACCAACGCCGGTACCGCAGATGCTAAGCATCCAGTTATTCTCTGGAACCAGGGTTCTGATGAGACCAGCAACGATGCTTGGTGGTATGGTGGTGGTATGGCTTTGAAGGATGTCATCTTAATCACCTTCAACCGTCGTGACGATGTCTTCGGCTATCTTTCTCACGCTGACCTCAATGCCGAGGGCCTCGCGGCCACTGGCCACAACACATCCGGTAACTATGGTGTGCTCGACCAGCTGGAGGTTCTCAAGTGGATCCAGAAGAACATTGCCAACTTTGGTGGTGATCCCGACCGCGTCACCGTTGCTGGCCAGTCTTTCGGTTCCTCGCAGGTCTACCATGCCGTGAATAGCCCTCTCTTCAAGGGCTACTTCCACGGTGGTATTTCTGAGTCCGGTATCCGTTGGCCCCGCGACCCCATGCTAGCGGGTCTTGCTACCTCCTACAACAACATGTCGGCTGCCCTCTTCCACGGCACAAACTACACCACCTTCCACAATGCTTCTACCATCGCAGAGATGCGGGAGAAGTCTATGGAAGACCTTCTGATTGGCTCCCAGGACCGCGTCAACAGTACTTGGATCTGGTGGGTGACCGCTCTGTCCGCCGACTACCCCTTGATCTTCAAGCCTGTGCTGGACGACTACGTCCTTCCTGGGAAGTACATCGACTCCTTGAAGAACGGCCCTGCCAACGACGTCCCCGTCATCACCGGTAACGCCAAAGACGAGTCTGGCGCCGCCCTCTCCACCGACTACACCCTGGAGGAGTACAAGTCCTACTGCACTCTCAAGTATGGCGATCTCGCTAAGCGTTACTTCGAGCTCTACCCTGCCACAACCAACCAGACTCTCGCCGATCACGCCTGGAACGCCGCTGCTCGTGATATGTCGGTCGTTGGTTCATGGGCCTACGGCACTGAGTGGTACAAGGCTGCCACCGCGGACTTCTACACCTACTACTGGACCCACGCTCCCCCGGGTCAGAACCAGGGTGCTTTCCACCAGTCGGAGATCATGTACGCGCTGAACGCCCTCTACGCCAACGCGGATACCTACCCCTTCACCGCCATCGATTACGAGATCCAGGAACAGATGTCCTCCTACTGGGCTAACTTCGCCAAGACCCTCAACCCTAACCTAGGTGGTTCCTACCAAGGTAGTGGTAAGCTCGCTGAGTGGACCCCCAACACCGCCAACGGTACCAAGGTCGTTATGGAGCTGGGCAACTACTTCGGCAACGTCCCCATTGCCCGCGGCCAGAAATATGTCGATTTCATCATGGACTACTTCTCCCAGCAGTTCGCTTACTAAAAGGAGTCACGTTCTGCGGGATTTACATTGTAAATATAGCTTAAAGCTCTCGAAGGAAAATACAATTCTCTGTGAACATATTTATTCCAGATGTCTCATGGGGGGTCTACTTCCAGTGTTCAAATGTTGGGAAATTGAGTGCCTATGACCGGGTCATATGTACGAATCATACAAGAACATTTATGTAAAATGGAAGATTTGAAAGAACTTCAACTCGAGCACTTGAGATCTGTAGGTAGAATTCCAATGTGAGTTTGAATGAGTAAACTCAGACCCTCACTTGAGTGCTCAATGTGAGCGCCGATTCACCTAATTTCAATGTTTCAGACTCTAATCCGACAATCACTACCCAATTCATCCATCTAGACCATCTGTCGTCATGCCTGCAGAAATTATTGCATATGCATACATCAATAGTACATGGCACATGCACACATGCAGTGTGCATAACCTTCCAAGGCTGGAACATACAGCCTCGATTCAATGTTCGGCCACGCCGACAAACCAGGTGACGTCCACATGCAAAAGGTCCGTACAACCTCGGGCAGCATTTGAAGCCCCAAATGCATACTCCGTATCTGAGCGTCGGGAGCTGAACCTTCGCACTACAGTTGCGATTCCAACGTCCAATAATACGATCCAGGCTACCTGACCCCGCCGATCTTATCGATTCGAAGATCTACAGAGTACAGCTCACATCAATATTGCAGATCCGAGTGTACTGGGGTACCACGCGTGCCCTTGGGGGGTCCAGCCATTCAAAAGGCTTCCTTTGGGGGATGTGAGGCAAGCTCCTTATGCACGTGTACGGCGTGCTGGGGTCGTACATTTGCAGCTCGGTGCTTTGGGCCTTTGGCTTTGGCTGGGAGGATCGGAGTACATATTGATGTTTGTCCGCCCCCCCCCTCGTTCTTTTGGGGGTTTGTTTTCTTTTGCTGCTGCGCTTCAGGGCTTTGCTTCCAGCCTCGATTAAATCTCAAACGATTTGATTTTATAAGTGCTCGCATTCCCTTGTTTTGGGAAACAATTTCGATTCGAAATATTAAGGATCTTGCTCTTACAAGCTTCGACTAGGTAGGTGCTGAGCATGTTTTTCAAGTTCTTTTTGAGATACTTGCATGTGATTCCATTTCAAAGTCCCCTGGTCATCTGCTGGTCTTCATAGCGAGCTGTAGAGCTCGTGACTGTGCCCTTGGCCCTCCACCACCTCCCCGTTTATCAAGGCCTTTCCCCTTTCTACTTCTTTTCAAGCTTGTAAAACTAACGCGAAAAAGAACTCTTCAAATATATCAAAAAATTGAAGCGAAACAATACTGCCATACATCTCAGGCCTATGATATCCGCGGAGTCTTCGAACCCTACTAGTACAACCACAACCATGCAGCCACCCGTGTCGTCTTCCCCTCCCAGCCACGACACTACCAATAAAAATACCACCGGCGGTGATGCAACATGGACTCGAGGTTTATTCGCATCCATTTGGGGGTTCTTTTCAAATGTATCATCTGGGGAGGATTCCGAGGCTGATGCTGTTGGGGCATGGGTTGGGGTGCGCAGTGGGCGGGGTCGGGGTCGGTGTCGCTCTGTTGGGGAGGTTCGATGAAATGATCTATGATTTGACGACATCTATGGACCGGCATGATCATTGTTTGTTTCGGGCGACTGCGGGCTTTCGGTCGGGCAATGTATTAGGTACTATATCAACGTTCAGTGTTCGCTTCAATGCATCTTCAAAAATGTTCAACATTTTCTGCAGTATACCTAGTCATCTATGAAGTAATGAACAGTTCAAGACGGTCGAGGGAGAAAAGATGATAATTGGAAATGAATCGATTTCCATAGATGGTATAGTAGATACATGGGGATAATAGAGACATTCGCCATACACAAGTATAGTACAAATACAGTTCGTCCCGGGAAGACTCAATCTCCAACCGGGACTCACAGACGCTTAAAGACACAAAGGGTTATACAGAATCATCGAGTAATGGCTTAGGCCTCCACGCGAGTAGGGATCTTGACCGTGCCACGAGTGCGGTCGTTGGTAGGAACACCGTAGCGACGGCCAGGTGCCCAGTGAGCACGGCCATCGACACCGACGGTCTCCTTGGTGAAGACCGCATCCTTGACACGGTAGTCAAAGCGTCCGCCGGCAGGCTCGATGGTGTTCACGCTCTTCTCGCGGCGTTCCTGAGCACGATCCCGACGCTTCTTCTCGGCCTCCTCCTGGCGTTGAAGGCGCTGTGTGTGACGCTCACCGACCGCGCGGCGCTCATTAGGATTAGACATACGGTCACGCTCCAGCTGAACCAGTTGCGGGTGAGGGATGCGCAGATCCGCAGGCTGGAGGACCTGGCGGGCATTGGCACCCTTGCCGACCCACTCAATCGAGTGAGGGTTTTGCACGATCTCTTCGACAAGATCGGAGGGATGAGAGATCTGTGCCTTGCGATCATTCTCCATTGCGGGGGCTCCAGAAAATACTCGACCAGCATCAACTCGAGTGAACGCGCGGGATTCAGGAACGGGGTAGAAAATTTGGGAGCCAGTGGAAGGATGGACAGGAAGGTCGTTAATGGGCTCGTGGAAATTTGGACGTTCGCCCCTATCGGCAAGGGGAGTGATCGGAATCATTTCGTGCACTGCCCGAGCATATGGCAAGGCCATGGGTTTACCCTGTTGCAGATGAGATTAGCAACCATCGAAAATAGACATCCAGAGTTTAGATAAAGAATGTTGATAGCGAGCAATTCAGTTTAAAGGAAATTTCTAACCAGTCAAGCAATGCTTGTGTCTTCAAGACTAATCGATTTTTTCTTGACTCATCATATGCGTCGGAGGGAAGGGACTTCAAAACGAAGCCGAGGGACAGAAAGGGAAGGAGGAATAGAAGGAGAAAAGCTTACCTGTGATTTTTGTCTTCGCTCCAGCTCTACCAAGCGTACGACTGCTGCGATACGCTTCATATCGATACCAAGCTCGACACTGACGGCACGCAGACTCTTCTTCTTCTCCACAACGCGAACGTAAACTTCGTTCCGCAGGTCTTCACTGAGGACACTTTCACTAACGAAATTCCGGTTGTTGGGGAACGGACGTGTGGTATCAGTGAGATCTGAGTCTCGTGCATCTTTCAAGTAATTGGTCTCGCCAGGAATATGATGCTTCAAGGCAGCTCCTTGGGTGTTAAGCCACTCGAACATTTGCCGACGGAGCTTGGTCTGGGGAGCGGCCGTGGCCGAGAATTGGCGGGAGAGGGATTGTGATGAAGAGCATAGTGATGGAATAGAGGATGGTTGGGATGAGGAAGTGAGATAGGGGAGAAGTGCGTTGGACACGCGGGTTTGGATCCGGGGCGCCATCTGAGTGAGGGGGCTTTTGCCCTGAGAATTATCAAATCTGATAAATCAATGCTAAAAGAGGGTATGCAATTATTAATCCACAAAAGCAGCGGCCAACGACAAGCCTAGTGCTGCAATTGGGTGAGTTGGGGGGATTGCGGGTGTTGGGGGTTTATGTTTGTGGCAGGGAAAGAAACTTTTTCGGCGAGGGAATTCAAGTTGGCGTGGTGTGTCACGTGCCTAGCTTCCCCAGCATCCGCTCTTCAACTCACCAGTTCACAGCTCCCAGATGGTACCAGTCTGTCCTTCTCTTCTGTAGAACGAGCCTTATTTTCCATCCAAATCACTGAATCCTGTAGAAGCGGCACTACCAATTCTTCGTCTGCATCTAGTCCCTGAGCCTGAGTTACGAAGGGATGAGCGGAAGTAATATGAACGGATAAATGTTCCAGTTGTTCGAGGATGGGAATCAAAGCTTCTACTACTACTGTTGAAGCAAGAGACAACTCCCTCATGATCTACCTCCATGCCACCAAAGATTACAACCCTTTTGACCTGAGTGTTAGTAGCGCTGATGGGCGGAGAAAGTATGGGAGTGGGAAAAGCTCCCGACACTTGAAGTGCAGCGAGTTTGCCCAGCTGGGTTCTGCGGTGGCCTCTTCTCGTTTATACTGGGAAGATGACATCTGGAGGAAAGATTGGATCGAAGCCCACTTGTTGTCGCAAAACATTTGAACCCTTTCATAACCTGTGTTTGTCAAGTCACAATACAAAACAACACTATTTATTCTTACACATGTGCATAAGGCCATGAACAAGGATGTCTTACCTAGTAGGTATGGCCTCGGGATAGATGAGAACTTCTTGGAAATTGGCTCCATGGTTTCTGAGCTGAAAGTTTTCGGATTTAAAGACATGATCCAGTTACCAATCTACAGTATATCAAGTACATATTGAAGCAAGTATATCAGTATCAGGTCCACCAAGCAAGGCAGAAAGAGTGTGAGTAAATAAAGACACAAGGGGTACTAATAGAAGATAAAAAAGACGCGCCGCATTTCCTCATCTTATCCCAGACATAACAATCATAAAAGAAAGCTAGCAGACCCTCAATAGGGAGAGGGTATCATGCCTTAATTCAAGGTAGAGTGCACCTGACGAAGTAGAGAAGGGAAAGCATAAGAACATGAGGAACAAGTCATGCAAGCGAAATGAGACAAGCATGAGCGAAATGCGCGCTATGAATCGAAAACAAAACCAACATGAATGAGCCGGACGCCTTGTTTTTCTCCCTTCGCTCCAGGAGATGGTAATGTATGGAAACAGCCGAGGGGAACGCCTGCGATAATGCGTAGTCGACTTGAGTCGAGGCTACGACATTGCGTAGCCCATGCCATGGAGTAGAGAATATTAGGTGAAAAAAGGCAAAGAAAAGCCACATAAGACACCTTCTTTGGTACTTGCAAAAAATAGAACAAAGGAAGGGTTTCAGCGACAAAGATAGCAAAATCCATTCCGTTGCACACGTGAAGATGCTCTGTTAAAAGAAAAAGGGAAAAACAAGAGGAACAACAATTGAAATCAGTAGGTTAGAAATAAGGGGAATCACGGTCAAATGAAGCTGTGCAGCTTCCCAGGTAGGCCATCACATCTGATAAGATAATATTGGCCAGTGACCCAAGGCTGTACAGCTAAGAGGGAAACAAAAAAGAAAACCAACTCAAATAAAACAAGCAAAACAAGGGTATGAGGGTGGAGATGAAGAACGCGAATGGTCGACCAAAACAAATGCGCTGTGTGGGCGCCACACACCGACCAGAATAAGAGTACAAGCTCAACAATGACCTGAAATGCAAATCCTCCCAATGGGGAAAAAAAGGAATGTGAAAAAGAGCGCCCGAGTCCCCATGCAATACAAGAAAACAAAGACAGCCAACGCATATGACAAAAGCGATTAAAACAGAGGGGAAAAAACATAGTAAGAGCAGAGTGTGTGGAACCAATACTCCCGAGAGGTATGCAGCCGCCGAATGCTGATCTAGCTCGCGAAACGAAAGCAACCCCCAATGCGCCAATACCCCAGTTCATTCATGAAACATGCCGGACATCATCTCGAAAAGCAAGACTTTGGAGGGTCCCTTAACGGCCCATCATATAATCAGGGTAGAAGGAATTGAAGCCATTCATGTTTGGCCCTGGGTTGTTGCCAGCAGCGCTCCCAGGAGGCGGCGGCGACATCATCATTGAATTGCCTCCGTTAGATCGAATCCCCAGACCGGAATTATGAGTGAACTGAGAGTTGTTCATCATTGGGTGTGGGCTTCCCTGCGCGTGGGCGTGGGCGTGGACGTTGTTGCCGTTGCGCAAAGGCATGGGCATGGCAAGACCCGGAGGCGCCGCGAGACCTGGAGGAGGACCAGTTACTGATGAGAACATGTGACTGGGTACACCGCTGAGATTGCTCCCACCTGGAACGCCACCCGGTCCAGAGAGCGGGTTGGCAGGGTTCATACTGCCAGGTTGACCAGAACGCACACCCAGAGGGTTCTTGGAGAAGCTGAGACGGATGCCAGTCTTGACACTGTTGGACAATTTATAGCCATACAGTTCGTTCAGCGCCTTGCTTGCCATCGCAACTTCGTCAAACTCAACGAAGCACATGGGACCATTTTGCTTGTTCCGGAAACAGAGTCGCTTATACCCGCGCTGCTTGGAGAAAAGCGCCTTAAGCTCCTCTTCCGAAGTGTCGGGGGGAAGGTTTCCCACATATAATGTGTTGCAAGGGGGGTTGAGATCATTAGGGTTGGCAGCTGGCAAGCTGTGCCGGGGGGTATGTTGGCTACCATAGGGGAAGCTTTGGCCTTGACCATGGTTGCTAGGATAGGCGGACGATGGGCCGCTTCCACTCATACGGGGACCGGAAACTCCAGATGCATAATTAGGTAGAGGGGGTGAGGACATGGCTGTCGAGAGGGACAGACTACCAAAGCGGCCAGTCGGGATCTGGGGGTTGGTGGAGCGACGGCCGACCGAGACTGAGTGACCATTCTCCGCGTATCCCACGGGGTCTTTGAGAAGCTCTCCAGTTTCCTCGTCGGGGTCTTCATCGATCATGGACTTTCCAGTGACGCGTGGCAGATCACCAACTCCGTTGCCAATGGGGGATTGAGGAGAAAACAAATTATGCAGACGCGATCCCGACTCGGATGCCGAGGGCAAACCTTCGCCAATCGCTTGTCCAGATGGATTGGCAGCAGAAAGTCGTTCCAAGCTCTGGAAAGTACCGTTGAAGCGGGATGACTGACGTGACAGGTGGCCGTTGGGAACGCCGCCCAGCAGGCCACGCGTCGCGGTGTGATCGATCGTGTTGCGGCGCGCATTCGAGAGGTTGGATCCGACCGGACCAGGGTACATCTCAACCACCATGTTTGCGTCGTTCTTGGAATTTGGTTTGCCGTCGAGAAGAGCACGGGCCTCTTCAGCCGCGGGCAGAGTGTTGAAGCGCGCGATCGCGCTCAGGAACCCGTCATCTTCCGGGTAGTCGGAGGTCACGAAATCGGCATCCACAAAGTCCTTGGCGAAAAGGAGCATACTGCGAAGGGCTTCGCGGCTCGTGTTTCTGGGGAGTTTGCGCATAAAAATCGCGCCACCATTGCTCGCGCGCCCCAGGCCGTTGAGGCCCTGGAGGTTGCGATCGGCATCACCGAGGCGCATTCCGTTGTCGAAGCCTGAGGAGCCGAGAGGGGAGAATGGGTATGTAAAGGTGGGTGCTAGAGATGTGGGCGCTTGAGAGACAGTTGGACTATACACGTCGGTCGACATCGCATGCTGAGTCGTCGCGGGCGCCTTGGAAAGTGGCTGTTGTTTCGGCGACGAACCAGAGGATACAGACTCTGTGCGCTGAGTTGTTCCGAAAGAGCCGGGACTCGTTCGAGTGGACTGATTCGAGCTGCCGCTCATCCCTCAGGAAAATTCAAATTTAAGGATCGAAATTCGCGACACGAACAATAGTTGACGGAGAAAAGGAGTCGTCAAAGTGTAGGGGCGCAGCGCGCGAGATTATGCGACGAAGGTTTGAATACGCGTATGAAAGGAGCGGGCGAGACAAGTTAAGTCAATCGATAGTGAGGGCAGGGACGTTCGCTCCTCATCGGATCTGCGACAGGTGGCGCGCGCGGGGGGGACTCGAGTCGCTCTCTGTGGAGGGATATGGGAGGTTCTCGTTTTCCAAGTTGTCGGACTTATCGTATCTCGATCTCTCCAGAAAATGACGAACGGGGATGAAAGAAGAAGGAACGATGGATGCAGGATGGGAAAGGGGGGTGTGGATAGAGATGGAGGAGGGGGGCAAAAGAAAGGTGGAAGGGGGAAGGGGGGAAAGAAAAGAGTCCGGAACGGTCGAGTGCAAGAGCCAGGTGCCAGATCCATGGATCTGCCTTCACGACGCGACTTAACGGGGGGAAACATGTAAAATACAGGGGGAGGGAACCTATTCATAGTAAGTGGGGCCCATACATAAGCCAAGTACCGCCACCATAAATGACAGTACAGCGTTATATCATTTACCTTGCGCCGCCCTGGAACCTGGCCGCTTGCAGAACGTGGGTGTGGGTAAAGTGCGTGCCCCGAGCTGCAGTGGAATGCCCCAGTTTTTCTTGCATTTCGTTTTTCGTATTTCTGCACTTTTCCTTGTCTTTTTTTTCTTTTTTTTTTTTTTATCTTTGGATCGGTTTTTTTAGCTTGTTCTTTGTAACCCTGTTTTTTGAATTAAAAAACTAAGAATAAATACCGTATACTCTATTTTCGAAGTTGAAACTGGGGTTGTTCTAGAAACAACGCAGGTTCATGGAGTCATGCGGGTTGCCGTTCAATCCCTTAGTATGCAATCCCGCACCTCGGTATTGGCATACTATATTAGATCACTTAACGATATACCTTACAACGTACTTTTAACTGAAGCTAGTCCTGGGATAGGTAAGAGGTAGCCTAATCGTGACTAAATAGTTCGACGAGCGAATAGGAAAAGTTGAAGAGCTGCAAAGCTAGTAACCACCCCCTGTCACCAGAAAAAAAAATTAAAAACAAAGGCGTCAGCACGGCAGTCAACGGACTTGCAGCCTCTTGCCCCCGCCCAGAATGAAATGATCCGATTAACTTATCATAGATCGACCTATAAATCCCCAGGTTTGAGCAAATCCGAGCGATATGTGGGGGTTTATTGTAATATAATTGAAGGAGATTATAAATCCAAGATCTAGAAAATCTAGAATCCACAATTCGAATTACCTAAAACCAAATTAGAAAACCAAGGGAATAAAAAAGGAAAAAAAGGCGCAGAGTTCAAGCTAAGAATGGCATAATCTATCCGCTCGCATTCCTCGAAAAGTCTGGAGTAATAATGGGAAAGAGGAAAAGAAGGGGAAATCAGGCTAGCATTATTTTGACCGAGACACACTCTTTTTTTTTGCTCACACACGATACAAAGAGAACCAAGAGCGTCAGGGCAAATCCATGGAATTCCGAAAGTCGACAAAGTCAAAAGTCGGCGATCCTCCAGGGCGGCTGACCAATCGCCATGGGCTGAACCCGGATCTGCCATCGGATTGGCCAACGCAGTTGGATTGGTCTTATCGCGGATGCGTTCGTCTGGTTGGGCCGTGGAGAGAAGCAATCCTGGTGGTTGTGCGTGAAAAGCACCGGTCATAGGCGCGTCACTTTACACTCAGGCTTGAAAGGGGATTGTACTACTAGTAGATCACGCGTCAAACTACTTTGTCTTCGGCTAATGTATAATGTATGCACCGTCGAATCGGGTCTTTGTCAAGGGATCCGACAATGAATACCCGTCCACTCATACGTCTTTGTCGCCAAAGGCTTGTTTTGCGCGTGTGCGGATGCTCTTGTTTCGCATAGTATAGTAGTATACAAAAGTCCATGAATTTACAAAAGTACATGGAATATTCGGGGGATCCATGTCCACCCTTAACCGGCTTCCCAGAATGGCCCAACTCGCAAGAAACGCCTCAAATGCCAGAATAAAAAAAAAGAACAAAAGAGTACATGGGGCGATAATCGACATCCCCGAGGACTGGTCTCCCCAGGGTCTTTCTGGTAGATCACAGAGGTGTAGTCCAGCCCCCATCTACCATCAAAACTGCCTCTCCGTGAAATAAGTCGATTTCCAGAGAAAAACAGCTCTGATCAGAACAGAGGCATTTATGCCTTGTCGTAGGTGGTTGGCTTCTGCTCAACAAGACCGGCCTGCGATACCAAAGTTAGCCAAAGTTCTCGGTATTGACCATCAAACTGCCACACGTGCAGTTGTCAGTTGACCACAGAAGAAAAGTCAGACAGTGACTCTGTCATAATAGATCAAAGATGCACCGCGATTCCATTCTATCCCCATGGCGAACTCCAAATTCAAGCTCACGTACCATGCTCATCAGCTTCCACACTGGGTCACTTGGCTGCGCACCAACACCGAGCCAGTACTTCGCACGTGCCCGGTCGAGCGCGATCTCCTTATACGGACGGGCTTTGGCGTTCTCATCGTAAAGGTTCGTCGGGAGCTTCGGGATGGGGTTGTATGTGCCGATGACCTCGAGGGGTTTGGCGCCACGGGCGGACCTAAACCATCAATTAGCCTCACCGAAGAATTATGGTTTGCTTTCTAAGTCTCATATTCGGACAATAACCTCCTTCCCAAGCTGCGAGACGAAAGGCATGGGTGTAATTGACGGAGATATTGGGCTTCGGGAAGAAAGCAGAGGATGGGAAACGCACCGTGCCTGCGCCACGACAATGTTGAAGAAGGGGCTGTGCTTGTTGCCAAAGCGCGCCAATCGAATTCGGACAACCATATTGTCGGTTGTGAGAGGGGTTCGCAATTAATGGTGTTCTGCAATCGATCTGGTGGACGTAAAATGGACTCTCCGCAAAAGTTCAAGGAGAAGCGGACAAATGGTTGATCCGGATACACCTAATGTGGATTAGCGTCGGTGGGGGATGAATCGGATGATGCAATGCGATGTATAGTTGTCAACGGACGTCGCTGTAACTTGCAACTTTTAAAGCTCCCAACTTCAATTCCTCCAGAGCTGTTTTCGCTGCATCAAACGCTTAGCTGCGGCATAATTACCTTCACTTGGTTCCTTATAAGATTTTATTAGAAGCATACATCTCATAGTGACAAATAGCTTGTCACTTGTATGTTGAGCTCATTGACAAGACGGTTCCCATTGCCCAGTGTGCGACGCTACAGCAAACTAATCACAATGTCTCTCAAGGTATGTTGAGTGTAGCAACTCTTCCATATACACACAGCTAAGCGGGCACATTGCCAGGCAATTTCTGCAAAAGATGCCGCTTCCCTTGACAAGGATCTTATGGACATGGGCGGCTGGTCCCTCGACCAACTAATGGAGCTAGCAGGTCTTTCCGTGTCCCAGGCTGGTCAGTTCGAATCTCCTGTGGCCTATTTATCAACAAAACTGACACTGAATTTCAGTATGGAAAGTACACCCGCTCAGCGCAGGCCCAAATGTACTCGTGGTGTGTGGACCCGGCAACAATGGTTAGTATGCACAGGAGCCGGTCACCTTCGACAAAGACTCCTATAAGTCTGCTACTAACAGCACGGTATAGGTGGAGACGGTCTCGTAGCGGCCAGACACCTTGCACAATACGGATACAAGCCATCAGTCTACTACCCCAAAGAGGGCAAAAATGAGCTATACCAGCGTCTGAAAACGCAACTCCATAATCTGTCCGTCCCCTTCATAACAGATTTCGAGTCCGCTCTTAAAGGAACAGATTTCCTCGTCGACGCAATTTTCGGCTTCTCGTTCGGTGGACCACTCCGCGATCCATTCGGATCTATCATCTCACAAATTGAGTCCGCCAACGTTTCGGTGCTCAGCGTCGATGCGCCCAGTTCATGGGATGTTCAGAGTGGTCCGCCGAAGGAGGGCCCCGGTGCGAAGTTCATGCCAAAGGCACTGATTAGTTTGACGGCGCCGAAGCCTTGTGTGAAGTTTTATTCAGGGAGACATTTTATTGGCGGGAGGTTTTTGTCCAAGGATATCACGGATAAATATGGTTTGGATCTGCCCCCGTATCCCGGGATTGAGCAGGTTCTGGAGATGAAGGTCGATGCAGAGGGTAGACTCTAGCCTGGGTAATTACATGCATAGCTAGGCCAGCAATAGGAGCAGAAAGTGAGTGCACAAGTGAAGTGTGTTGTTCTTGTTTCCCAAATAGGAAAAGTAGGGGAGGTCACTTGTTGCGTCCCCCGTCCCCCCGTATATATTCCTTTTCCTCTCTCCTTCTCTTCCTCTTCTTCTCCCTCTTCTCTCCCCACACTCCCTCTCAGCACCTCCACTTTCCTTCTCATGAACCCTTTCCCCGAAAATTCATCTGGAGATTCCCAAAAACATCTGCTTGGTGGTCTGGCTTCTGCTGCTCGCGAGGTGGAAGCTGGCTGCATGAGTGTTTGTAATACGGATTGACTGTGCAGGAAACGAAACGCTAGAGGTGTTTGTTTCCGTGTGATGACATCTTTGCTACGAGATTTCTAGGCTGTCCAGGCTCTTTTCGTTTGGGGTTCTGGATTCTGGGTTCTAGGTTCGCCCTGGGACTTGGAATCCGCTCTTCAAATAGAAGTTGTTCCTGGGTCCCTGTAATGAAACGTGCCGCTGGTTGTACGTCCCTCGATTTGCATCCAGGCAAAGTGCTTATGTTTTGGCTGGGGCGAAACAAGCATTGAAAAAAAGATCTGACGGAATTCACACAAACACCTCGCGTGACACCTTTCCCTTGACATCCTTTCCCGAGTACCTCAGCCCTGCTAACATTACCTCGATGCCTTTCTCCTGTCCTTTACTATCCTTAAGACCTTTCCCTTGATATTTATTTCCCTCGTGTCTTTCACTTCATACTTTATTCTTGACATCCTTTCCGTAAACCCTTTGTGATATCTTTTGTTTCCATTGCCCCTCTACACTTGGATGAGACTTTACTGTACCACACTTGAAGATAGAAGGCATTATGAAAAATTGTATTGAAGCATTGCATCATGGTCGTTATGAAAGCGACAAGGGAATCTAAGTTATGCGCTTAAACAAAGGTTACTGCATGGCCCATTAAATGGACATGTCTCGAATCTCCCCGACAATACCCTTCACTCTGGGCTCCTTTCCGGCAGTCGACCCAGAAACCCGTGCGAGAACATTGTTAAGTTCGTAGATCTCCTTGGCAGCACTTTGGATTTCAGCGCCCAAAGACTTCACCAAAGTACCCAAGGCAACGAGTGCTCGGTAAATGACCTCAGAATCCTTCTCTCCAGCTATGATCTTCGTAAGCTCGTCGAGAAGCAGCAGACCCCGCTCTGCGGATTCGGGATCATTTTCCCTGCCGTCAGAGGTAATATAGACAGCAAAGTTAATGAACAATGTGGTGGTGGCGACAGTCAGGTTTCGGTTTGGAGAATCCCCACTGTTGGCCAATGCACCTTTAACGGCAGTGACGATCTGATCAAATGTGCTCATGGCCAAATCCCGACCTGTGTCTGTCTCAAAGAGGTTTGCAAGCATCCGAATGGAGAGCATCGCGTTATTCACATTCAGAGGGGAATTGAACACCCCACTGGAGATAATTCCGGATACAAGGTTGTTGCCGTCATATTCCGCTGACGCGGTTAATGGCGCAGCAGCAGCCAGCAGACGGAGAAGATCCAACCCAGGAAGTCTGGTAGATTCAGGCCAGGCAGTTGCGATTCTGAAAACCAATGGAAGTCCAGATTCCACAACTGTTGAGTCTGGAGCCTTTGAGGACGACTCTAGCTGGTTACACAGAGCAACTACGGCTTCCATCTCAGTCGGATCTAAGGCGATATCCTTTCCAGCTTCAACCTGAACCTTGTCATTCAGCTCCTGCAGCTTCTTTGAAATGACTTTCAGGTTGGCTGAACGGATGGAGAGATAGGCCTTTTGGGGTAGGACTTGGGGGCGTGGTTCGGGAGCGGGTGGCGGAGCGTTTGCTGCGGCTGAAGCATCTCCGTCGCCGGGGCGGTATCGTCGATCTGAACCCCAAGGATCTGCGCCCTCGGTTGTGGGTTGTTGGGGTTGGCCAAGAGTGGCGCCTTGGGTATTCTGTGTAATGAAGTTCGCGACCTGATCGAGGTATGAAATGGGCAGCTCATTGTCACCAATGAACTTATTCGCTGCTTCGTAGGGGTTCTGAGAGACGTTATAGGGGAGCTTGAGCGGAGGCTTGCCGTCTTCGATATCAACATCGAAGACATAGTCATAGTCTTGTCCTTGATATTCTGTTTTGCGGCCACTGCTTCCCGCCGAATCAACAACTGTACCAACAGCGATCCATTCTTGTGTCGCAGATGACCAAGTATGGGCAGTGATACTACCATCTCCCTGGTGGATCATCTGTACTTGACCCTCCTTCGTTCCTGACTTTTGCTGGAGGAATTCTGGGCCGGGAAGTTGTTCTTTGTTAACTTTACCGACTTGCTCCGCCGGAATAGCTGATTCTTTGACTGCTTGGTCAAATTGTTGAATGACCTCGGGTGCTGCGTGTCGTTCTGGGTTTCTGCTGAAAACGCGGGCAACGCGGTCACTGGCACCAGTGACAATGTCACCGGTTTCTTGACACGCTGCCACACTCCATACTGAGATAGCGGGATGTGTAATGGTCTGCACACACTGAGATCCATTCCAGACACGAACGGTTCGGTCTTCTCCTGCACTGACGAGTTCGCCCGAGGGCAATGCAGCAAGAGAGTAAACGAAGCTTTCGTGACCGTGAAGTGAAGCAACTAAGTCACCCTTGATAGTGTAGAGTCGAATAATTCCATCGTTACTAGCAGATGCAAAATGAGCTCCACTCGGGTTGGACGCAGGAACCTTGCATAGAGCCCGAACAACATCATTGGAGTTCTTGACACTTCCGAGGAGTGTTCCTGAGGTATTGAATACGCGAATCATATTGTCGGCACAGCCTAAAAAAAGCACCAGAATGTTAGCGTGTCTCCTGATTTATTTCCGCAAGTTCTCATACCGGTGATAATGGTGTCCTTATCATAAGCTAACACAGCCCAAACACTGGCTTCATGTCCTTCCAGCACCACATCGGCTTCCCACTTGCCAACCTGCCAGAGGCGAGCTGTAGAATCCCAGCTACCACTCACGACCCACTTGCCATCTGGAGAGACATCTAAAGCGCAAATATTGTGCCCATGGCCCAATAACATGGCATCTGCATTATCATCCGCAGTCTTCCCAGGCTGCCGGGCTTCGATAATGGTATCTTGACCACCCGATAAAACCAGACCTTCCGGGTATTCAGATGATGGTGGGAGATAAGCTAAAGCGTTGATAAATGCCTGACCGTGGGATGTGATGGCATAGTCATAGGTGGGGGGCGGAGTTGAAACGAGCTTCCATAAGCGGACTGTGGCATCACGAGAGGCGGAGAAGACTGCATTGGGGTTTGGGAAGGCCACAGCGCGAACCTAGAGTCAGAAAAAAGGAATAAATCAGTAAGCTTGCCAACAAGATATGATTTGGAAGCGCGAGAGTTGTCAAGAGCCTTACATCATCGCCGTGACCCTCAAGAGAAGCGGAGATCTTGAAGTCAGGCATACATACAACCAAAACAGAGGTGCGGTGGAAGAAGAAACACAGAGACGCGAAAGGCAAGGGTATCAGTGATCGATAAGTGATGCTGCTGCGACGTGAGAGTTGTTGTCCTTTAGTCGTTCTGGGGTCCCCGCCTGCGCATCATATCACGTGGGCGGTGGTGTTGCGCTATGACGAACCTGCTAGAACTGTCTTGCATTACTAACGGCTTTTGCTTAGTCGGATCCAGAAGTCGAGGTCAACTTGACAACAGGCAACAGTACCATGTAATTGTTTCTACAAAACTATCACTTCGTTATTGATTTAAGCTTGCTTTGCTTCAATTTTTCACTTTGTCAGCAATTTTGATCACTGAGTGTATCAGAAATCATAGTGGGGCATAATGTGATGACTTGGCCTTGAGTCAATGAGAAAGCCTCCACCTATCTTGGAAGGGGATCTACAACACTACAATCCAAGTGTCTTAAAGATTTAAAGCAAGGTAGCTGCCCAAGCAGCAGTGGAATTGGCGGTGAAAGGAGCCCCTGCATGACAGTCTTCCAGGAAGCTAGCAATTGGATGGTTTAGAAGGGGTCTTTGTAGACAATGCGATGTGTTTCCCACCAGATAAGATTCACTCTGAAACCACATGTTCCACCAATAATACACTATATGCAGTGCCTACAAATCACAAAGGAAGTACTCCTCGAACTCATATAGATCTTCTCACATTCTATCAAATACAAACGCACGTGTTAAAGCGGGTCTCGCTTACCTCATCAAAGTGGGCTGCAGGTGACCCGATTTACCTAAATCATTGAATATCGAGTCCTCAATTTCTCCCAAACTGCGTGGGCAGTCATCCCACTTCGGTCCTTCTGTCCTGTATTCAAAACCGCTTCATGACGTGACGACTCTGACGAATCTCTTTGTGTCCTTATTCTAAGCCCGAAAGTTCAGCCTAGCTCGGGTCTTTTACGTTGGAGCAAGCCACTGTCAAGCGCTTCTTGAGTGCCTGCGACCTTTTTTACGTTTCTCTTTACTCTCCCTACATACTTGAGGGAAATTTTTCCTCTCACACTTAACAATGGCTGCCGGTCAGTACCGTACATGGTGTGAAGAATATCATCGAGTCGACAGCCTAACTAACCTACCCGTTTCAGATATCCCCAAGGTCGTCCCGTTGACCTGCCACGGGCACTCTCGCCCCGTGACGCATTTGAGCTTTTCTTCAAATCTCGAGGATGAGCAGTACTATCTAATCTCAGCTTGCAAAGGTATGCTTCCCGTATAGCTTCAAAGGGGCAATCTCCCAAAATAAGCTTAACACAAAGCTAATGAACCCCCCATTATAGATAACAATCCTATGCTTCGTGATGGTATCACTGGTGACTGGTATGTTTGACATTTGAAATGAAAACCACCTTTATTCCTTGACTTTCATCCTATCTAACACTCCTCATTTAGGATCGGCACATTTCTAGGCCACAAAGGAGCTGTGTGGCAAGCCCGGTTATCCGCCGACGCCGCCATCTCCGCCACCGCAGCAGCCGATTTCTCCGCAAAAGTCTGGGACACATACACAGGCGAATGCCTGCACACATTGCAGCACGCCCACATCGTTCGCGCAATCGCTTTCCCCATTCAAACAAACCCGCAAGTTCTCGCCACAGGTGGCGCAGAGAAGAAGCTGCGCATCTTCGACCTAACCCGCGGCGGCTCTGCTACCGGCGGAGGCAGCGGTAGTAACGGGTCAACACCACCTCTCCCAACACCCAGCAGTGGAAGTGGAGGAGAAGCCAACACAGATACAGTGACGAGCTACGAGATCGGGCCCGGTGTACACGGCGGCACAATTAAGTCTATTGTGTGGAACCAGGATTACAATATTGTGACTACCGCGGCTGAGGATCGGAAGATTCGATGGTGGGATTTGCGGTCCCGGCATCCAGTTCTGGAGTACGCGGTTGACGGCGCAATTGGGTCGTGTGAGCTGAATAGTCTTGCGACCCGGCCTAACGATTCTGGTATCTTGACCGTTGCTGCGGGAAAGACTGTCTATCTGTTTGATGGGCTGCAACCTGGTCGACTTTTGAAGAAAATTGATTTCGGATACGAGGTCGCTAGTGCTGCGGTCAATAGTGAGTCCGGACGCTTAGTTACTGGTAGCGCGAATGATACCTGGGCGCGGGTATACGATCTGAACACAAATGAAGAATTGGGTATGTTTCATTCCTTGGGATACTTTGCTCAAACAGCTGCTCCATCTGGCGAACAGAACTAACTATTCTTTACAGAGGTCCAAAAGGGGCACCATGGTCCTATCTGGTCCATCAGCTTCTCTCCTGATGGCAAGCTCTACGGTACTGGCAGTGAAGATGGAACTATCAAGTTGTGGAAGGCTTGTCGTGAGCCATATGGCTTATGGCGGTAAGCTAGGATTCAAGGATATCATACCTTTGAAATTCCGCTATGTACATCAAAAGGTTCAAATAGGGTTCCCGTCTGCCATGCAGCGTATCTTGAAATGTGATCCCTGGAATTTCCAACTTAATTTTTCTCGTTCTCTTGTCGTAAAGTAGTGGGTTTGATATTGTTATAAGCCTAGGCTGGGCCTTAGTTCCGCCGAGTTGCTAGATAGGTAGCTGGTGTGATATTGGATGAAATGTTTGAAAATTGAGTGAAGTATTGGATTCGAACTAGACACAGGCTAGCTAGATCTTGAGACCAGAAGAGATTGGAGCAAAAAGGCCAAGGCATCAGATGACAATTTCATATCGGCGGTAGAAAAAAATTACAGGTCCCTGCCGCAAGCCTTCCGTTTGCGTGGTTGAGCAAGCTCAAAGCTACATCTCAATGGACCTTTGGCAGAGGTCAAAAGCGGCAGAGGTGCAAAGTACACGGGAAACGATGAGAATGAAAAATAAGAATGGCTTGAGGTAATGGGATCAAACAATATGCTTATTTTGCCGTGTTCATTCAATCATGTCGATGTCATCGTCGTTCACAGTCGGGGCTGAGGCTGCAGGGGCGGCACTAGTGGTGGCAGGAGCGGTCTGTTGCTCTGCGGGCTTCTCAGCATTATCTGTGCCGGCATTGCCACCCCAGTAATCTTCCATCTCCTGGTCAAGCTCCTCTTGTGTCTTCCGGGGACGAGCATTGCCTCGACGACCTCCTCCGTTCTCGTTTCGGGGCTCGTTCCGGGGCCGGTTGTCGCGGCCACCTCGTCGACCACCATTGCGGCGGGGAGAACGGTCTCCGCGCTCATTACGCTCACCAGGAATGTAACGATCGATATTCTCGGGGGCGGGCTTCGAAGTATCGCTGCGGCGGACGCCGCGGCCACCACGACGGCGGCCCTCTGATTGATCACCACGACCACCTCCGGGGCTCAAGCTACGGGCATCCCGTCCATTGGGGCGCTCCACGCGATCGAAGAGGCTCTTGTGTTGTTGTTGTTCGCGTCGGCCTTGCACGAGAGTCAGACGGATTGGTTGGCCCTTCGCGTTGGCGCCGTCGAACTCCTTGACCGACTCGTGTGCGTCTCTAAGGTGTCTGTATGTGACGTAGGCTACGCCCTCGGAGCGTCCAGCGCGGTCGTAGACGAGGGTGAGCTCGGAAACGGGGCCAATTTGGCCAAAAAGGTCCTGTCATGTGCCAGAGTTGTTAGACAGCGGATATCAGCTTGGCTTGTCGCAATACGTACATCCAGATCGCTCTCGGTGATATCGTAGTGTAGGTTTTCAACGCGGACTTTGGTCAGCATAGGGCCACCGCCACTATCTCAGATTAGTATTTGCAGTGACCATGAGTGCTAGATTATAATCTCATACCGATCAGGCGAGGTTGAACGACGAGACCGACGACCACCACGGGAAGGACGGGCTAAAGAAAGTTAGATTTGGAAACCTCATGGAATCAACAGCAAAACTCACTATCTCTGTCATCATCATACTTGTCGTGTACCCAATCACTAGCAGTTGAACTGCAATTAGCGTAAATTCTGACCGGTTCGGCATGGTATATTCACAGGTTCAAATCCACACGATCTTGGGAATAGGGCTGTTGTATTCAAAAAAAGAGACGAAAGGTTAGCTAGACGTCAGAGTATGGAGCATAATTTAGCTCGGTTTCCCAAGTTCGCCGCGGCTTTTTTCCTCGAGGGCGAGTCTCCGGCCATCCAGAAGACTACTGGCCACGATTGTTTGTCACGACGCAAGAAAAACCGGTACTAGAAGAGGAGGGCGGACCTGCAAGGAATTGGAAAGAAGTTAGCGCGGGGACCTTTTCTTGCGCGACATCCGGCATCGAGGACTCGAGGGTCCGAGTCCGCTCGAAGCAGGCCGTACCTTTCTAACGCCATCACGGTCGCCACGACGGCGGCCTGGGCCTGGGTTGCGACGTCCACCACCACCACCCCCACCGGATGGTCGGTTCTGAGTGCCCTGGATAAGTGTAAGTCGTTCGGATCTTGGTGGAAGTGTTTCGAGCTCCAGGCTAGATGGCGCCTTACTGTGTCTTCGCCAATGATTTCATCCAAGCTGCGATCCATGTTGTCCACGAAATGAAGCACAGGGATAGGTGTCGAAGGGAGGAAACTGAATTGCAAGATATGTTGTATAAGCAGTAGGTCGGTTTAATTGGAAATTGCAGAATTGAATGATGCGAAAGGGGCTGAATTCACCGGTCGGTGTTCATTGAATACTGGGCTGTCGGCGTGTCGGCGAGACACATCACGTGAGGGGACAGCGATATCATCATTGTCATCCACGGGCTAACCGAGCCACGAGCCTCAGTTGAAAAGCGAGAACATGTCAAATTCCCTGTGAATTTGACTATATCTAGTCAAGATTTGCTTTGATGAACTTACCGGAATTCATGTTTGCTTTTCTTTGCGTACAGAGAATGTGTACAATACCAATACCGCCCGGGCGACTCAACGCAAGCATTTATGTATGTAGTTATGTATATGTAGTAGTAGTACTCAAGTGCTAGGAAACATATAAGTTTATGTACATACAGTGCTCAACATTGAATTGATGTCACCTCTTATGTACCTACTTTCACATAGAAATTACGATCTATATCTACATATGTACATTGAATTTTTGATGGTCAAACAAAATTAATACTGAAAATCTGAAGCTACTACGTGCTGAATTAATGAAAAGCACTGGAGTGCCGGTGCCTAGTATTGATGTACATATGTATGTATCTCTTGAGTACTTGAGTACTATGTAGGTAGTATACACATGCATACGTGGACAGCCCTTCAGTGCTGGCAACCTTATGCACATGTGATTGACCGAAGGAAACCGCCCACATGTGCAGGCACTTCAATGTTGAGGGTTGCTACATAGTGAATGTGTAGCCCTATCTCGTGGTTCTATGGAGGCTCCCTTGAACGTTAGGGGCAAACACCAAGCACTCAAGTGAGTGAATGTACATGTGGGTTGTAAATTTTATGTCATTGATGGTATCCTGATCGAAACAAAACTTTCAAAGGAAACATGTGAGCACATAGAATATGATGGAAGCCGAGGGAGAACCGCCGAACCCCAAAATGCATGCTGGATATTAGGAAAAAAATAAAACAAGAAGCCAAAGCCTTCAAAAAAAGGCCATTGACAAGAAGACAGGAACACCACCCCATAAAATCAATCACGGCAACACCCTATCAAAGCAGACCCCCATGTATAACCGGCGACGCTGTGCAAGGAACAACTGGAACTACCTCTCACCTTCAGTCTTTTCCATTCTTTTTCTGATCCTCAATCATTTTCTCCATGAAGCTGATGTAATCGAATTTGGTCAGATCACGGTCCTCGAGCAAGTCAGGACCTTCATGCTGCGGCATGGTCTTCATCAAGTGTTCGATAACTTCGTCTGGGATGAGCGAGTGTTGGAGATCAAGTTCCGTGACATAGGGCTGAGGCGAAACGTTAGTATAAACAAGATAGAACAATGTAATGACATGAGAGTTAGATTTGAACGTACCTTGCCATCAGCAACCTCCCTAAAACTTTGGAATACTTGCTCGGCAGTGTTTTGGTCTTCAGTCACGCTGACCATGAAGCGAATGAACTGCTCAAAGCTAACACCGGCATTCTGGGAAAGTCGGTTTTGTCCACAAACCTCCACATACACTTGATGCATCTCATCCTCATCGTAGACCAGTCCCAGACTGGCAAGTGCGGCGGAGAATTCAAGCTCGTGCAGGGTGTTGGATGCGTCTCGGTCAAAGTGGCGGAAGACTGATTCAAACTCTTCCAGTTGGATGGGGGTTAGATTGGTCATGTTGCGAGCCACCATCTGGTTCTCGAGGAAGGCCAGCTTCTTCGAAATACTGGATTTCACCAGACTAAGCTCATATGACAACTCATCCAGGGTATAGGTGGTGAAATCGTTCTCTTCAATATTGGCTTCGGCACATTGCTCTTCTAATTCGGCGATGGTATCGAGGAAGGCATCCAGCGGGGGGAGGTTATCGTTCAGTCTCTGGACATGGACCAACTGGTCTTCAACATCCCCATCCAGACCGGAAATAGCCAGGGACAAGGTCTTCAGTGTCAAGGCAAAGTCGTTCGCCTTGTCTGCAAATGATCGGCGTAGGGCATTCTTGATATCTCGAATGGTCTCGTTGATCAATTGACTGCGCTGGTGCTCATCTCGGGTTAAAGATTCCCACTCTTGATCGCAAGTTTCCAAGCTTAGCTCCTTAGGCGGCTCATAGGCTCGCAGTCGATACGTGCCCAATTTTGTTTTAATGTTGCCCAGCAGAGCAGCTAAATCGGACTTCTCTGCCACCCACTGGCGCTTCTCATTTCGCTTGTACAGTGCAAATTTGGCAGCCTGCTCCTTAACGTCCTTGTAGGTTCCCTCGAAGGAGGAATTCTGCCATTGGTCACGCTGTGCCCGAATCAATCGAAGCAATTCCTTCATCCGGCGCTCGTATCCCGATTGCATATCCCACGCTCCGTGCATGTTGTTGACAAACTTTTCGACTCGGCGACCGGCATTCTCAACTCTCTCCAACTGCGAAAAGGCATGGAACCAGTAGGCGATGTAGGTCATCAGGGAACGCTCGTCGGGCTGGGGTACATCGCACACATCATCCACATCAAGCAGGTCGGGAATGCCGATTTCGTTCGAAGCAATGTCGAACGCGAGCTTCATATTTCCACGGTGGTCATTCTTGTCCAAGGAATCGAAGTCAATTAGGTCGGGTCGGTGGATATCGAGAAGGGCGCAGAACGCTAAACCATCGTTCCAGCTGGAGGAGAAGTTCCGAATCTCAACGTTGTCGTAGCATGCTGTCTTTCGTTGACACCACAGTAGCAGACCTTCCTTGGCGGTCATACCCTCTTGATTGATGTCGCTAATGGTGAACCGAAGAATCAGTGTCCAGATCAGACCCAGAATGATTTTGCGGTTGCCATCGACGATATCCTCCGCTCCGATATTGGTCATTTGAATCCTCCTCCCCTTAATGAAGTCCAGGCCTTTGTTGACATTTTCGAATCGTTGCACCCGTAGTTTGGGCTTTGACGCATATCGACCGAGTGACTCCCCGCCGAGGATCTCGAGAAGGTGGATGAGGATAACCTGATAGGCCAATACATATCAGCGAACGGCATCTTGGTAGGAGGTGGACATGGGTGCAAGATCTTAGAATCGTTGCGGCCCGACTTGCGGGAGATCCATGGTAGAGGGAGGGGGCACTTACACCATCCGAAAGATCAGTGACCAGGTCCTCGATCGCCAGACTCCTGGCCTTCAGCTTATCATTCAACCTGGTAGAGGTGAGTCAGGTTAGTTTTGAAGCTAGATCTTTGATGATGTTCGACCAATCCAGGGAGAAAATCCACAAACCATTTGGTAAAGGTCTTCTGCTGCACATTAACCCACTGCTTCTCGACCGTCAACATTGTCGATCAGGAAGGCATCCAGGGCCGATTGGCAAGATTGGAAAATTAAGTGATGTGTGAGCCACACGAATGTCGAATTTGGTTTAAATTAAAAAGTAGAAAAATTGCCGATTTGGACTAGGCTCGGAGAAGGAGATAATCCTGGATGCAGGGTGTGAACTGTCAAAAGATCGAGTCTCAAAGTCGATAGGGGCGGGGTGTTTCTTGTCTCCCGCTACTCCGCAAGTCACCCTAGCAACCACACTCTGTTAATTTTTTTTTCTTTGTTCTCTTCTTGCAAATTGAATCGAGTGACTTGGTAAGACAATGTTGGAATTGTAAAGCTGTTAAGTGGGAGATTGGTGGAAACAAAGGTTTTGTCAATAGCAGAGGGGTTGGGGTTGGAGGATGTGCAGGTGCAGCCCATAAGCGCCTTATCCCTGGCGATCGCTCCATTGTCTTGTCTCGAATCCAACCAATCACCATACAAGGCGCTTGGTTCAAACGAGATGACTATGTCAGGAATTGAGTCTCCTTGAAGCATTCACATGTTACTGGGACTGGTTTCAAATGAAGAATAATTATAATTTGCCTGAGTTAAGGGTGTGCAGGCTGAATACAACTATTTCCAAGGTGACATAGTTAGTGTAGTAGGAGGCACATGACTCATAATACTGAACAGTACTGGGATGTGTAGTATCTACTATAGAATGTATATAGTAAATCACATAATCATCAAAAATCTCGAATGGTGCAATAAACTTGACAAATAAAATCCCTTCTAGACCACAACATTGAATGGTGTGCTCAAAGTGAGTAATCATCGAATGATATCATTCGATCCGGTTCCGTAGAGCGGGGCGAACATTTGAAGGAATGTGCCTTTTACAATCGGAAATCTTTCCTTGTCGCAATCCCTCTCCTCTCCTTCAAATAGCTGTCAGCTTTTTATCTTTCCCTCCAAACTCCTACAGCTAGACCTCCAACAATATTTCAACATGTCCTACCTAGGCTCCATCGAGGACACCATTCCCCTCCCCACCTCCGCCTCGCGCATTCCGCGCCTTGGTTTCGGTGTCTACCGCTCCCCAACCCACCAGACTGTGAAGTCGGTACACAAGGCCCTCGAGGTCGGATACCGACACATTGACACAGCCCAGTTCTACGGCAATGAGCTTGAGGTTGGCGAGGCCATTCGCTCCTCCAACGTGCCTCGCGAGGAGGTGTTCGTCACAAGCAAGATTCTCAGCCCTGCGGGGTCACCCGAGACTACATACGAGAAGCTAGTAGAGAGCGTGGAGAAGATCGGCGGACCGGGAGGTTATGTTGATCTGTTCTTGATTCATAGCTCCAAATCTGGTTTTGCCGGTCGGAAGCATCTCTGGCAGGCACTGGAGAAATTGCAAGAGAACGGCAAGGCCAAGTCCATTGGTGTGAGCAATTTCGGTGTGCATCACATTGAGGAGATGAAGTCGTATGCGAAGGTGTGGCCGCCACAGGTCAACCAAATTGAGGTATGTCTTTCCGCCCCGTTCTTTATCTATTCTTGATATTTGTTTGGTTACGCTCTTTTTTTTTCTCGTCTTTGATTTGATCCAATATGTCTGACTCCTGCTTGCTATGTAGCTCCACCCCTGGTGCCAACAGCGCACAATCGATGAATACTGCCAGAAGCTTGGCATCATCGTCGAGGCCTACTCGCCTATTGTGCGAAACTATAAAGCAAATGACCCCACGCTGGTTGAGGTGGCGCAGAAGTACAACAAGACAACCCAACAAGTCTTGATTCGTTATGCGTTGCAGAAGAATTGGGTGCCACTACCCAAGACCGATAACCCGGATCGCATCGTTGCCAATGCCGACGTTTTCGACTTCAATCTCCGCGCAGAGGATATTGAGCTGCTGGATTCATTTGATCAAGGGGACGCCGGAGCTATCGTTGAGGCCGTGGCCAACGAATGAGCACCTGCACTATAATTTTCTGCAGGCAAGGACAAGCCTGCAGTAAAGAACAATGATTTCCGGCATCAATAATCCGGAGGTTGCATCAGGAAGGCATTCACCGACTGCAATGTCGAGCGAGAAGGATTCACGTCATGTTTCGATGACACGATCCACGCGAGACGTTGTCGGATGAATGTCTTGCTAATCGTGCGTTTGCTCAAAGACGCATCGAATTCACCTGGGTTTAATTTTGTTTTAGTTTTGATTCGTTTATCGTGATTCCCAACACCGTTCTCATCTAGCGCCTTCAAAATTCCACCTCAAGCATTCATGAGACATACCGTTATCATTGTAAAATTGGCAGACAATGGCCAGAATTGCTCCCGCCGAGAGATCCTTGCCCGAGTCACATGTCACCAAAATTGACTGCGACGAGTTTGATTCAAGTTGTGTATGAACAAAATCTCGCACTTTATCCAATGACTTTCGTAGATCTCGACTTCCCAACTTGGCCGACGCACAACCTAAATTGAGACGTTTTGGATTCTCCTGCACGGCAGCAGAGTCGCCGTTGCAGTCAATGACAAGATCGTACTTGCCACCATCGTTGACACTAGGATCTGTCGGATTGAGATACAGATTCTTAGTCGGGGAGATAAGTGTCGCTTCCTGTTCGCCACGCTGCTGCTGGTGCTTAGTGATCAATTCCGCAATCAAACCGGGCAGATTCTCCTCGGAAGTCCGCTTCAACACCGCGTGGTTCGCCCAAAACACCGGAGGCGTCAGCCCATGCGCCCAGCCCTCACTATCATCACCGGCGCCTTGGATGTATCCACCCTCGGACATCTCGGCGCCATGGACACGCTTTGAGGCGGAGCACAGGACGAATAGACACGAAGCATCGTCTTTCTGTAGATCTGTTGGATAGAAGTACTCCGGGTTAGCCCAAGCCACCCGAATAGGCTTTCCGAGTTGCTGCCGCAGCTGATCTAGATCAAGTTTGAGAGACTAGGCAGTAGTAGCATGTTAGTCTATTCGTCCAACACAGCCTTTGTCGCCCGGGTGAAGAGGGGTAGAAATGCAGAAATGGAGAGGAATGCATGAGAGCGACGCACCTTGAGAGAATGGACGAAACCATCAATGCGGGATTCAATCTGCGATTCTTCCGATTTACCGAGGTAGTTAGGTGGTAATTGGACAGTGTGATATGTGGTTTCCGTGGGGAATAAGGCACGGTTCAGCACTGCACTCCAGATGGGGACTGTTTTGGATAAGGCGTCGGGCATCACTGGGTATCGTCAGCGGGGCCACATTGCACACCGACCAGGATGCATTTTCCCGAGTCCACGGGTTTGAATGCGGGATATTGAGCGCACGTACATTTTCCTCGGCGGGTTGAATCCACGATTACACATCTGTATTGCGAATATAAAACAAAAAGGGTCAGTTTGAGAACATACGACCCTCCAAGGCAATCGACCAATTGGACGAAATGGAGAATCCCGAAACATCCAATCAAGAAGTATAAGGGGTGGTGCCAATGGAGAAAACCGGTGAGTAAATTGATCCAGGCACCAATCACTCCAGCTTCAACTCCGGCAAGAAACGGAGTAAAGAAAATGAAACTATACTAACCCGCCATGTTGGTTTGCTAACGGCAGAAGCTGCAGGTTCAGCCTACGAAAGCTAAAGTCCCACTGCCCCGTATGGCCATCTGTGCTCTTGAAGTAGGCACTTCCCTTCTTGGCATCGGGGGATATGTACCAACTGCCACAACGTTCATTGGCAATGAGGGGGAGGTCATATTGCTCAGCCACCTCCTCCACAAAGGCAGCATCGGCCTCAATGGACGCCAGCCGGTTGGAAATGGAAAGAGCCGATCGACGCAGAGACGAGAGTGTCTGTGAGATAGATACCTGTGCCGATGGGAAATGCAGGTCTTCTAATGTCGGAAATGAGCCTGACGATCCCATTTTTGCTGCGGCACTGTCGAGTATCTATACCCTGTCGCCTGTGGTATCTTAGGGTAGCACTGTCACTCGATTGAGCCCCGTGCTTGATTAAAAATTGGAGTAGTGGTCGATTAAAGGTGAATAGAGATTTCTTCTTATCCAATCTCAATCGGAAATTGACAAAAAAGACACCCCACCAAGACTGGGTTGATAATCTTGCGGAAGCTTGCCCAATATTGAATTGTGAAAATAGCTGTTGCGTTCGCGATTAATTGCACACGCCGCTGTGCGACCGGCCAATCATGGGCTGGCAGGGCTGCTGCAAAAATGTGGGGACGCATCCCGGTCCATGGCGATTCGCAACTTCGCAAGACAATGTGTGTGGGCGAGAAGCCAGGGTAATGGTTTTAGCCTTGATATATCCAGCACTTGAGGGAACTGGTGCACATATGGCAGAAGTTGTTTAAGAAGCATGTTCTATGCATATGAAAGAGGTTTAAGTGAAAATGAATTGATATTCTGTACACAGTAGTAGTATACATGGATGTAGTACCTCCACACATCATACATAATACTACCTACAAATAGGTGCTCATACCTATAGGTACAACAACGATGCAAAATTCCTCCATTGGACTAGTTGGGATTTTATGTATGTATGGTGAATTGTCCAATGAAAGATTTAAAGATATGCACGTTCTCTGTCTTTTCAGGTCCTATGTACACAGAAGGGAAATCATGACCTTGAGATCTGATCTAATGGTCTTTGACTAGAAGCCCTCGCATCTAGAATTTTGATTAAATTAAAGAACACGGACGCAGAGCAAAACTTGCAAGAAGACTATAGTAGTACGTACTGAAAACGCCCAATTTTCTGCGACTTTCCATGAGAACAATTGAACAAGCTATTCCTAAATGAGTTTAGGGAGGGGGAGCGACATGTGCTGACTCATCGGCATATAGAATCTGATTGGTGGAGACTGGGCCCTCTGCGGCTTTTGGTGTTCTAGAGTATCGGGTACTCGGTCTTCGTACCGTAACTGTATGTAAATCAAGGTACCTTGTACTCCACGCTCTATCTCAATGACCTCAGCCCCGCGATCCCGCTGGGGCCCGGTTTATTGGCAAAGTGTATGCCGGCGTCATGCTTTCCCGTAGTAATGGTCGTGCCCCTTGAATTAAAAACAACTCCGGTCATGACTTCCCCCGGCACTCTATTTGTCCCTGTTTTTCTTTCTCCTTGAACACCACGCTCTTCCATCACTTAGATCTTCCAGATCCCAAAGACTCCGAGTTCTATACAATCTTGAATACATTCAAGTTCTCACGTCTCACCCCCGCAAAAACATAGCTTACCTTCTCCGCTACTTCCCAGTACTGAAACCGTTTACCCCTCTTCGCCATGCCTCAGGTACGAAACAAAAAAACCTCCCTTGTTTGTTGACATATAGGGGTCCACCCTGCTGACCATCACCTTGCAGATCACGGAAATCTTCCTGGATTGCGACAACACCTTGGTCCTCTCGGAAGAATTGGCCTTCGAGGCCTGTGCTGATCTGGCCAATGAGATCCTCGAGAAGAAGGGTCTTCCCGACCGCTATACCGGCGATCAACTCATCAAAGACTTTGTCGGCCAGAATTTCCGTGGTATGATGGGCTCTTTGCAGAACAAGTACAACTTCACGTTGGAGCCTGCCGAGCTTGAGACCTATGTCACCAGGGAAGAAGACGAAGTGATTGCCAAGCTGGAAGCCAAGGCCAAGCCTTGTGTCGGTGCCAGCGAGCAATTGATCAAGCTCTATGAAGAGAAGAAGTATGGTCTTGCTGTGGTCTCGTCGTCTGCTCTGCGTCGGGTTCAGGCCTCCATCAAGAAGGTCGGTCAGGACAAATACTTTGACGACGACAAAGTGTTCAGCGCCGCCACTTCTCTCGACAGGCCAACCTCCAAGCCTGACCCTGCCATCTACCTGCATGCTCTTAACTATGTAAACAAGACTGCTGGTGAGACCGTCACTGTGGAAGACAGCAAGTCCGGTGCTCTTGCCGCTATTCGTGCTGGTATCTGGACGATCGGTTATGTCGGCAGCTATAATGGCAAGGAAACGCAGGAAGAGATGAGCGCGCGGCTGAAGGATCTTGGGGTGCACATAATCATGAACGACTGGTCGGAATTTGAGAGCTGCCTGGCTTTCATCGAGAGCTTGCCCCCCAAGACCGACCCCCAGTCTAGCCTGTAAGGAGGTTTACTTACAACTATACACGCTTCTATGATGTTATGACAGCAAGCATATGGTCGTTTCGGAGCTTTCTGAGAATGACCTGGTGTCTGTTTTATTTTTCTTCTTATTCGACCTTGTGCCAACTCACTCCAAGGACAAGGGCTCAGATAATCATGTCTTATGAATCCTACATCATTCAGCTTCTTTTGATGCTCATTTATCTATCTCCCGCATTACTTTTGTGGTATCGATACTCGCGATAGATATAGGTCTTGTGCAATGATACTGCAACAGATGCCACGGGCTTCCAATTATATTCAAGATAGACATCTGTTCTAAATAAATTAAAGCGATTATTTCATCAGCAAAAGTAAACAATGATGCATCAAACAGATACCTGCAGCTAACAATGAAACACCAAATAGCTCCGATAAGATGCACGATAAGCGAGCCCCACTGCAGCCACTGTTTCTCCCCTCACCCTCCACTCTCCTCCATCTTTCTATCCAACATTGGGCTTAGTCTCGGATTAATCTCGGAATACGATACTTCTATCCTCCATCTGGAACTATACACCTCGCTACTTTCTTCCATCAGACATCCATCAACATCATTCCTTCAAGCCACCATGGTGTCACCCTCCAGTCTAACAAAGTCCAAGCAAACCTCACAAGGACCTCTGGTATGTTTTGCTTTTTTTTGCTTCATTTCTGCGTCCACAAATCCATTGCATCCTTACAGCGAAGGCAACGAATGAGACCCCAAAAAAGCATCAAAAACTTTATTTTCAATCTCACTATGGCAACACATAATTCTGACCGTAAATACAGGACCCTGCGGAGGCCCGCTGGACTCGATTGGTCAAAACAACTTACGTTGACCCGCTGGGCGTTGAGCGAACCTGGGAATCCGCTGAGCGACAGGTAAGATCTACCCTGCCTCACTTTTCGGGCCCCATTGCACCATGCCCCCCCAAGTCCCTGCGTGAATACCCGCTCCACCCCCATACCATGATCCAATATATCCAGGGCCATCATAAAGCCCGCTCGTCATTATTCACGAGATCACCTCAGCCGCATCGCATTTTTAATGCGCGGAGTACCGAATACTCCGTATAAGAGTCCCGATATGTGATGCCGGTAGCATCCTTCCAGCATAGACTTACCTTATCCGGCTGCTCGGTCTCATACTGGGTGGGGTATATTTACCATGTTAAGCCATGATCGGTTGCCTGCGATCGAGATTCCGGCTATTTCTGGACGTATCGCTCACCCGATTTCCCAAAATGGATCATTACATCGGCGCCACTTTATAACCACCTCATCGCTGCGTGACTTTGGCTGTTGGAGACCGTCACTGACGCGCCTTTTATTTTCTAGACTCGTCCAGCTACAGCCGAGATCGACGGCGTGGGCATCGTTTGTATCTTGAACAAGGCTACTGGGCCGGAATTGCTTCTCCAAAAGCAATATCGGCCTCCGATTGACAAGGTTGTTATCGAGGTTCCGGCTGGTCTCATCGATGCTGGGGAGACTCCCGAGCAATGCGCGGTACGCGAGCTTAAAGAGGAGACGGGCTATGTGGGTGTAGCAGAGCAGACGAGCCCGATTATGTACAATGGTATGTTTCCCTCGTCTCTTTTGGTATTTTGTTTGTTGATGTATTGTGCATTTTTGACTCATTATGTGGCCTTGCTTGGCTTTTAGACCCGGGTTTCTGCAACACCAATCTTAACATGGTTCACGTGAGGGTGGATATGAGCCTGCCTGAGAACCAGAACCCAAAGCCCGAGCTTGAGGAGAATGAATTTATCGAGTGTTTCACTGTTCCTTTGGCTTCCTTGTTTGAGGAAACCAAGAAGCTGGAAGAGAAGGGCTATGCGATTGATGCTCGAATCGGCACTCTGGCCGAGGGAATGGAGTTGATGAAGAAGTGGAAGCTGTAATCGCCACGAAGCAAATCGTCACATACATACTACTACTCAGAAAGACTGCATTTGAGTGGTTGATTGGTATCTAGAAATTTTCCTAAGATAAGGCAAATCGATTCTTCCATTTAACACAGATCATAGATCAATAAAATCAGAACTCTAGAACATTTGAATACAAGTCTCATATTTTCTGGTATCTTTGGTAAATGGCTTGAAATGTTTGAACGACATCAGAATCCATGATTCAAATCTTGCCCTCCTTCAACAGCCCCTGATAAAGAGCCCAAGCAGCCAAAGTCTTCCCATCCCGCAATCCCTCTTTCCACAAATTCTCCAACGGGACAACCTTCAGTGTAATCTTCTCCCCTTCATCCCGCTCCCCAGTCAACTTCCCCTGCAGCTCCTCAATCTCCTTCCTCGGCATACGCTTCTGGCACAAGAACAGTGGAATAAACTCATCACTGCCCCCAGCAGATGGATAGAACCCCTTTTGGAGTACCTCCCCGTATTCTGGCTCCGGCATTGACTGCAATGCCAGGGCGGTCATATCGATTAATTCACTCTCTTGTACAACTAGACCCGTCTCCTCTTGGATCTCCTTCGCAGCACCACCGGCAAATGTACCATGGTCATCTAGCATTCCAGCTGGAATTTCTGTGAAAGCCAAGGAGCCCGCTGGAATACGAGGCTGGATGGTGAGTATGGCCCATTTTCCTTTTTCCTGTGATACAGGGATGTCGTCTGGTTGGAGGATGAGCTGGGAAAGTAATACGGTCAGACGATATAGATGAATAATAATAATCTCTAGGGGCTTTTCCCCCATCAATCTAGGCTTTTCAATCCCCTTTTTTTTCCAGCAGAAAAAGGGTAAGAAGCAAAGAGAAATCTAAGAAGGGAAAGAAATAGAGCTTCGCCCAGAGTAAGCGGTATAGAACAACAACTCACCAACATCCCCACACTTCCACCTCGTAAAAACACACTCCCAGGCAAACTCTCACCCTGGGCGTTAGACACCTCAGCTTTCAGCTTGACGAATCCAAGTCTACTCCCTCCGAATCGATCAACGGCCTGGACATCGATCGAGCGCAAGACATATGGATCTGCATGGAACTCATGACCCGGGTTCTGCTGTCGCGCCAACGAGCGCTGCAGCGTTGAAATCCAGACCTTGAACGCCGGAAAGCCCAGTAGATCCTTCTGGGAGAGATCTGCCGTGCTATTGATACTGACACGTGTCTGAGCACCTGGAAGCGTAAAAGTCGACATGAGTGTTGACTGTATTGTTGTTTGTGTACTAATGGCAATGCCAAGACTGGATCCTGATCCAGTGGTGCGGGTGCGGGTGAGTGTGGGTGTGGGTCTGTGTGTCCGGGTCAGTATTGCATATGGGTGTTTCAAATGCCGCGCGGTTTGCCTGAGACTAGGGAGCATGGGGTTCGAGCCGTGATAGGGTGATAACTGATGACCACTTGTCACTTGTGATCTGTGCAGCGTGCTGATGATCGGGAGGCGGTGAGGTGACTTTGGAGGTACACAAGATCGGAGATTCGGAGAATTTCCGATTTGGAAATTTTGTTGCTGCGCCTCAATTTGCCTTGTTTTCTTTTCAAAGACTTGCTTTGGTTTTTAGTGGTGCGCACTGATTTAGTGCCAATCGGTTGTATGATTTTGATTTGGCTTGAGCCTTGGAAGTCGATGACGTAGACTATCTAGGGAGAGTTTTAAGGGGGGCTGGGCCCACTAGTAAACATGTGTCCATACTGGTGTACCGTGTGGTTTGCACTGCACACTTTTTTTGCAAGGTTCTTGTACTTTGTATGTACTACTCGATCGACTGCAGTCTGCAGCTGGCATCTATTATGTTCCGCATGCATGTGTAATTTATGTGGGTTGTTGTTTTCCTGCATCTGCATACGAAATAGGAGCTGGATGCTGAAAATGATTGTGATATGTCTATTTGTCCAATATGAGGCGCTTGCAATTTTTGTGATTGGCTGATGAACGGCTGATCGCTGATATTGGTCAAGAGCCTAGATTGATTGGTAGTTTTGATAAATGTGATAATTGCACTATCACACCAGGCGGGAAAGTGATATCACTTCGAGTGTTTCTTTTTCTTTGGGTAGCGCAGAGGGTTCGACTATTTGTCCTTGAATGAACAGCTGTCATCTATACCGAGTTATCTAGTAAGCACGCCTAACAATCCATGTTTCCCAGCAGATGCAGGCGGGGCCTTAGCGTTGCATGAAAAATGGTGATTGATAAGTTAGCCTGCTTAGATCCGAGCGTCAATGCAGTGCCCATCCACAACAACGGACCTGATAATTCGGTCCAATAGAATCCTTCCCCGCACGAGAGAGGTGGGGTGAATCCCATGCATTGAAAGCACGTCTAGAATTGCAATAGAACTAAGTTAATTTCACCCGGGTGAAATATACGCAAGCCTCCCGTCCGCCCTAACTCCTCGAGTCCTCCCTGTTCTCCCTTCCCCCGGGGTGCCTTTTGTTGATGTAACAGACCCCAAAATAACCTTGGAAATCGACGTGAATGCTTGAATGAAACGTTGTACATTGTACAAGAATAAAATTAAAATTAACAAATCAAAAATTAGAAACCCAAGAATTTAGAGACACCACGCGAATTCAGGGGCCGGGGAATCAGCGTGCATCTCCCGGCGTCTGATCTGCTATACCCTACTACTTCCAAGGCTCTTCCCAGGATGCTGTTTCACCCGGGTGCAGGAAATCGGGTCCGCTACCCCACTGTGGAATGTTCCCTCGGATGCTTGATCCTTGCACAAGTATTTTTTCCAAGGTTTGCTTAAAGTGGTCTTTTATTATCTTCTTGCTAGGGGTATAACTGCAGTGTTGCATAGAAGAGAGACAGGGGCACAATTAAAGAAGATAGGACGCAGCGGGAAGACAGTTGCCTGAACCCTAAGATTGCGACCCATACCGGGGCACATGTGCAGCTCCAGCATTTGAGCCTTGGTTCCGTCTTGGAAACTTGTCTTTCGGTATTCCATGTGGGATGTGGCCCCGGTGACATGGACGTAGTACAGCCTCTTGCATGTGGACAGTGATGCAGTGATGAATCATGGTATAATACCCACTTTTCGAGGTGTTTATGCCTTGTAGATCACTTCTCTATGTACCTACTGTACCTACTATGTATGTATGTGCATGCATGGGCGCGTCAATGGATATCAAGAAATACAGAAGCATTGAGATATTTTGGAAGTGACCTTGGTAGTTCCGAGGTTGCTGTTGACAACTGGCATTTGCTGACAGAAATCAAAAATAGATGTTACTCCAAGTTTGTTTGTTTGTGCACCATGCATGGCCTAAGGCTCCCCGAGCCTGGGTTATTCAAGCGAGGTGGCTTATTGCCTGGGTGTTGAACCCAGACCCTAGTAGCTAGTAGTTGACGCTGATATTACACACGACCAAAAGAATTTCTGACCGGGGAAGATTGTTTGACGCTCTAATTTAGTGGCCCCCTCACCGGCAAGCTAGGCAAGGCTGCGTAAATGGAGGCTAGGTATCTTGTGGATTTTCACCCGGGTCCCCGAGTATACGACATAGGTGGAATAACTTAGCTCTACTGCATCAAGCCTGGTCTTGTCGGGAATGTCGAACATTGAAGGTATCAATTGCTTGACTGGAGATTGCAAGGGCCATGAAACATGCGCATGGTTACTCCGTACATTGTTTGAGTTCTATCATTGGCACTTTCAATGTTATTGATTATCTGAGGAGTCATGGCATCATCCACGTGTAAATCCTGATCATTCGAGTCGCTCAGTATTTCCGTGATCTATCTTATAGCCCCCAGCTAGCCATCACAGGAATGGTCAGCTGGAAAATCGATGGCGTGACGCTGGCGGCTGGCGGCTGAAATGGGAGTCAGTGCCTAGTGTCAGGTTCCCTCAGATCCACAATTATAGTAAGTCCGATAAGCCCAAACTTTAGTTCCCGTTCATAGTGAACGGTATACGAGCACTTGATACCTGGGAACTTGGTTTATGATTCAGTGCTTTGTTTTTGCTCCAAACAACATTGAAAGCTCGCACTGCCAAAGTACTATCAGCAACGTGTCCATGCATCGTAAAATATCCGGAAATATGTATACTGGGGCCATCAATTTGGACAAATCATGCTACCTAATCATCAGGCGACCTGGGCAGCCGCCAACCCAACGGCCCCATGATCGCGCTTCAAAACACCTCTAGGGCTGTCCCGATGAAGTCAGGCCGAGATGTCCGTGTGCATTGATCAACCAGGATGACATGAGTAGTTCGGAGAATCATTACCCGAAGTTCTCATTCAGATGCAGGGCAGCCCGATAAGAGCGAGAAATCGTAGCCCGAAGCCCGCTGGTGCCCTGTCCAAGCATAGTATGAGGGTTAATAACGTCAGAAGTTGACTAGAAGATGAGACGGACATGGCTCAAGATCGTACTCCGCAGTCGGGAGCGGATTACATATCCGTTTCAGGTGGGTTCTTAAAAAAACGTGGTCAGTGCTGCCCAGGTCCATTTGGTGGAAAGAACGGTGTGGGATTGAGCGGTGACGATATTCAAAGTCACCCAGTTGGATGCAAGGGCCGAGAGAAAGAAAAATCAAAGAAAGAAAGCAAAAACAAGCAAAATAAAAATAATACGACAAATGCCTCATTATCTCAGGCCCCTATGGTTTCAATATTGAAACCTAGAAGTCAACTGTGATACCCAGATGGATTTGGGGCTGGCAAGTGTAACACTTCAAGGCGTGTTGTTTTTCCCTTTCTAATAGTTGAATTGCCTCTTGGTTTTTTTCTTCTTTTTCTCTCTCTTTTCTCCGGGAACAAGATAGATAAATAGCACTGATGTTTTGCAATATAGATGACGAGGAATTCAATGTAGAGTTGTAAGCATTACCTAGGTGGGTGCTTCTTCACACTCCGAATGCGCTTAGTCAAGGCATATACAGTTCCACCCAAAAAGCCTTTGACATCATGTTTCAAATAACTAGTTAGTAGTTAACTAGTAGTTATTGTGTGGCATGACAAATAGCCATGGATTTGATACCGCACATACATTTGATGGGCAAAAGGAATATATGGGGAAGGGGGTTTTAAAGGAGAAAAAAGAAAAGGAAAGTTGAAAGTATAGATGCGTTTTCAAAAGTACCAAAGATACATGACATGTTTCCACACCGAAATACAGGTTGCAAGGCAGCCACTAGTAACGGTACATGTTGAAACTCTCCCTCGTCCCTACTTACCCGCCTTCCTTTGCGGGAATCACGGATCTTGTTTTAGTGTCTTTGTGGTTTGGTAACTAAGTTAGGCAATAATTATTAACAGTTGCCTTGGTGAGATCACATTTGAATCTCAAACTACAAATGCACCCCATACCCCCATAAAACCCGACGGGTTTCCAAGACATGGTGATGAATGTCAGTATTTCCACTCCCCCTTGGTTTCATAACCCTTTTTCCCATGCACAAAATTCTCCTGCGCGTCACCGCCATTTTGGAGCTAATTCCACAGCCCCATTCCACTTCTCCCGATCTAGAACACTAACCAATAATCGATCAGATTATACTCAATACTTGAATCATACCATGGGTGAAACTCGCAAAGCTTCAATATTTCGGACCTCGCGCCCTAATTACGGTGTAAATTCAGGCACGCGCTTGGAACACCAAGCTTGGAAAGCTACTAGTGTCTCCAGCCACTCCCACATTAAAAGGTAATGCTACCGATTCTCCGATCTACCACCATATACAACATCCAACATCTATGAGTGGGCGCTAAATGCCTACAATTTTTTTTTCTTTTTAGAACAAATACCGGGCAGCGCTCTGAAGCTTTGATTTCTGTGTCATCATCAATGGCGAATGGCATGCCTGCATCAGCTAGCTTTCCTCCATTGAATGGTCGGTCAAATTCCACGCCGGTGGAAGACGGTACCTTAGAGAGGCATAGTACCAGTGGTCCGCGAAGGATCAAATCACCTCGTGCTACTGCCACGCGTGCCGAGAAAATTCGACGCAGAGGAAGTCCTCATATCACCAAAAATCAATTACCCGGAGACTCAAACCAGAGCCTCGATCATCGTCGCCATGTGGCTGAGATCATATCCCAAAGAGCGCTGGATGCAGGATATACGCCGACGGAATCGCAAAACCACATGCATGGGGCTTCGCGCCCAGAATTGAATCGACGTTCCACGAACCCCAAGCCTCTGACAAGCCAATCTGCAAATGATATGAATGGTCGGGGGAGCATGCTGAATTCCGGAAAGGCATCAAGTGACCTAGAGATGTTCGACCAAAATTCTACACCAATTCCCACAGAAGAAAAAAAGACCGAATATGAGGGAATGTTGAAGCAGTTGGAAGTCAATAATATCGAGTTGAAACAATTGAAAGCAGAAGTGAAAAATATTGAAGGAGCTCTTAAGAAAGCCGAAGAGGATTGTATTGAGAAGGACAAAGAATATGCGGAGACAAAGCAAGATTTGTCGAAACCGCAGTGGCAGGAGATGGTTGAGATGCATCTGAAGTTGCTTTACGAGCACCATAATTTTTTCTTGGCTTCACATCACCCCATTGCTGATGAGGAGCTTAAGCAGAAAGCTGCTGAAAATGCCATGCCATCACGAATGTGGCGCTATGGAATTCACTCATTCCTCGAGCTCTTGCGACAGAAGCTGCCAAAATCATTGGGTCACATGCAAAAATTCATCTACAACGCCTATCCGATGATCACATTATTATTGGAGACTGTTCCGAAATTCCAAGAAACATGGATTGAGTGCCTAGGGGACTTATCACGATACCGTATGGCTATCGAGGAGTCTGACATGCGAGATCGAGAGGTCTGGGCCGGAATATCTCGGTACTGGTATAATCTAGATGCAGATCAGAGGCCTGACGTGGGTCGGATTCAACATCACCTTGCAGTGTTGGCTCGACCAGACGGTCTGCAGCAGCTTTTCTACTACACCAAGGCTCTGGTTACTGTGCGTCCGTTTCATAATGCCCGATATAGCATTTCTCTTCTCTTCAATCTCTACAGAGGCCAGCCAGCCATTCAAAACACAATGGTTCCAGCCTTTATTATGACACATGGGGTTTTGTTCACACAAGGCACAAATGAGCAATTTTTCACCTTTGCTAATACCTACTTATCTCTCTTGCGCCGAGAAATTCATCTGTTGGATCGTCAAGGACAACAACAACAACATCAACATCAACATCAACAACAAGGGGTCTATATTTCATCTTGCAACTTTGCCTCGATCCTGCAATATGGTGAAGCTGATGGGATAATGGGACTGGAATTCATAAAGAAGGAACGCAAAACCACGGCTGAAGCACATAGATTTGCACTTTACTGGACTTCGAACCAAACATCGGATCACAGTTCCGCAATTATAAGTGGAATGTCGATTTCAACCTCAACCTCAGACTCAGTCTCTCCAATCACTTCTCGCGCGAGCTTTCTCACTTTCCACACCCTGGCTCTCTTCCTCGAGCAGATTGGCGTTGAAGAAATATACCCAGCCATTCATACCTCTCTGGCTTTTATTTGGTGCTTGTCCCTTAAGCCCATGGCCATGCAACAACTTGAAACAATAATTCCATGGCTAGCCATTGCAAAATTCCTCAACACGCTTCTTCAACAAAAGACCAACTTCGACAAGATTGAAAACGAAGCCTTCCCCATCGGTTTCAAGGAAGTCAAATTGAAGCAACTTTCAGAGGACTTTTTGATCCGCGGGCAGCTGTGGAGTCAACTCTACTACCCAGAAGATTTCTTTAAGGATGCACCCTCCGTTGATGACAGACCAGTCATTGAAGAGGAAGCGACAAGGATCCCAAGACAACATAGGTGCCTCTGGTTAGGCGTTCGATTAGCAACGGTTTGTACTCGTTTCGAACAGTTTGATCAATGGTCCCAGACACACAGCTAACCTTCACACAGTTTAATCGGTGGATGACATATAGTCGTACCCATGGATTCGTACCAACGCAGCTTGCACATGATTTTGCACCTCTTGCAGGATCTGGCGGTACTCTCAACAGCAGAGCAATTGTTCCAGGACCAACGACAACACCAGCACCAGCACCAGCACTTGTACCAGTACCAGCTGATCACGACATGAGCGGAGCCTGATTGGCATACCAACGCCAGATTTGAGAAATTCAGCCCAGGGAAACCTTTGACCGGAAAGACGACATTTTGAATATTTGAAACCTGCATCAACTACAGGTTTTGGTAGAATAGAGAACACGGGGCGTTTTGGATTTTCGCATGTTTGGATCTTGATTTTTTTTATCTTTGGAAGAGTTCTTTTCCAATTTTCTTTGATTCTACTAGTACTTTCTATCGTCTGTGCCTAGACGAGTCCCTGGAAATGGAATCCGCAACTTGAAGCTAAGCTTCTGCGACAGATGACTGTTTCAGACAAGCCCTCAAGGAATGGACTATCCTGGAAATGGAGCCCTTGGCCTTAGTCATCTCCGAAGCTCAATATCCACATACAAGGGAGACAAGTTTCACCTGCATGTTTATTCCAACTCGGAGTTTCGGATCTTGTGGATGTCCTTTCCATCGGATTCCGGATTTGACTGGCACGCAAAGGCGAATGAATTCGACGAGACCCACGACTTATCGGAATGGAATGAAGTTGAGTGAATCCTTTCACTTTTGGACGAAGGCCATACTGGATTTTTTCAATACCCCGTCGTATTGTTTTGTTAGCGATTCTTTGGATATCTTTGAATTATGCTGGGGAGAGATAGTGAAGAGAGAGAGAGAGATGCCTTAAACTGACCGAGATGCGTGAGATAGCAGCTGCGCCGGCGACGAGAAGTAGAGGTGGATTGGCTGGTTCTCTTTTGGTGTTGGAAAGAATGAACTTGCCACTCCTGAGTCCTGACCTGTACCACCAGAAGTTTTTTTTTTATCAGTAACCACGGTGACATTGCATGGAAAGTAGATTGCGGCTTGCGACGCGCCATCTACGTAGACAACCCCCAAAGCAACCGGAGTTAAATCCCACATTTGAAGAATAAATCCGTACTGACGAATCAGAAACTGCAGAAAATCCTTTTTGCGGTTCTGCTTAAACGTGGGGACCCGCGCTCCACTCATAGTTTATTTCGGGCGAGCTTGCGCGTTGCCGATAAAAAGGCCAAGCTGGCGATTACTGCCAGTGCTAATCAATATTACCTCCGATTTCCGACCTCTTTCCTCCGCTTCCCCTCCCCTCGTCTATTCTAATGGAGATTGCATAAAATCTTCCATGAGTTTAATTTAATTGCGCATTGCATGGGGTGATTGCCTTCTTCATTCCTAAGGCACGAGTTCTCGCGATTCGATTCGCATCTCCGAGTCCCAGCAGCCAGCTCCGCACGCCTCAAATCACCCGCCCACCATGGACGCATACTGGGCTGACATTTGTCGCCAATGCATCACTACTGTGGGTGACGTACCACCTGTGATTTTACTTTCTGCTTTCCTTGCTACTGCCCTTGGCCTGTTTGTTCTGGTGAGACCGTGTCCCCCGCCTGTTCCCGCAAACGCACCCTGATGACACCGCACGCATTTGCAAGCTTGCTTGTCGCTCCTTGTTGCCAATTGAACTCGAGAATTCGAAGACTAACTCATACTCTCGTTCTACAGTTCTACTTATTGCTATCCCTTATCGCCCCCATCCCCCGCGCTTCCCTGCCAGAAGAAAAGAAGTATAGAACCCTGGCGAAAGATGGATCTATTACCAAACCCGAGCCCCTACCTTGCTGGAGCGAGACCCGAGACCTCGAAAAGCGAGCCCAACCCACATCGAAGAATCAAATCGAAGAAGCAGAGCTATTCATGTCCGTCGTAGTCCCAGCCTACAACGAAGAGGACCGACTCTCAGGCATGCTCGAAGAAGCAGTCGACTACCTAGAACACATGTACGGCACACTAGCCAACGGAAACAAATCTGACGCCGTAGAAACCCGCTCGATGCGAAACCGGAAGCCGAACGGTTCGTCCAATGTCCCCGCTACAGCATCCGCGGACCAGGGCTGGGAAATCCTCATTGTCTCGGACGGCTCAACAGATCGCACCGAAGAAGTAGCCTTCCGCTTCGCAAAGGACCACCAGCTCTCTTTACACCCCAAGGGCTCCGCAGGTCCATGGACACCACAGGCGCAAGAGGGCGTGCATATCCCGCCCGGCACGATCCGTGTGGTCAATCTCACACACAATCGCGGCAAGGGCGGCGCGGTTACACACGGCATGCGTCATGTGCGAGGAAAGTATGTTGTATTCGCGGACGCGGATGGTGCGAGTAAGTTTGGAGATCTCGGAAAGCTGGTGAAGGCCTGCTCGGAGATTGAAGATGCCCAAGGGCGTGGCGTGGCTGTCGGATCGCGCGCGCACATGGTTGGTAGTGAGGCTGTGGTGCAGGTACGTTGAATACTGTTTAGGCGAGATGCTTAAAATTCAGACGGATTCCATTCAAATTCAATACATGTCACTGACATTGGTGGGTTCTAGCGGTCTAAGTTGCGCAACTTTTTGATGCACTCGTTCCACTTGATTCTGTGGCTCATGACACCTCCTCGGACGGCCACTGTTAAGGATACGCAATGTGGATTCAAGCTTTTCTCCCGGGCTGCGTTGCCATATATTGTCCCGTATATGCACTCCGAGGGCTGGATCTTCGATGTCGAGATGCTCATGTTGGCTGAGTTCGCTGATATTCCCGTCGCCGAAGTGCCGGTGGGATGGAGAGAGGTCAAGGGAAGCAAGTTGAATGTCCTACGGGATAGTATTGGTATGGCCTGGGGCCTGGCGCTTCTTCGGGCAGCCTGGTCGTTGGGCATCTATAAGCAGACGTGACGTGAACGCATGTAAAGCAACCTAGAGCTTCACTGGCTGATGTTCTGGGGGGTTTTCAGTGTCTTTGAAGTTCTTCAAAGTCGAATTTGGGGTCGGTCCTCATTCCCAACGGGACATAGCCAACCGTTATTGCAAGGGTAAATGAAGAAGTTTAAAGCTCCCAAGTCCTATTTTTTTCTCAGTGCTTGTTTCAAATAATTCTAGACACCTAAAGCTAGGTTAGATTGATGCGCATGGGCTTCCCTTCCATATCAGTACACTCATATACTTTCGGGGGCGGATTTAGGTTGCTACCAGGTGGAGCCACTTTGCTCGGCTTCCCGAATTCCCGGCTCTGGCTATCAATCGCCTGACGCGGGCCTTGAAATCTTGATCCTAGAGAAGACGTCACTCCGATATGAGTATTTCTGATGATCAATCATTGCCGATCTCGCCATGTCGTTTGTGTTACCATACTTTACCCTTGGACCCCCTTGATGCCGTAGTGAACTGCATAAGTCAACCAAGTAAAGATCCGTTCTATCCTGAAGGGGAAGGTAACCGGGTCGGCCCGCGAATGAGAACCGACGTATTATTATGGTTGATTCATCTGTACTACATCTATATGTACCATGCCGATCATCTTCTCGGCAATTAGGCAATTGTTGGAGGATGCATAGTACCCGAGGGCTTGGGTAGATATGATAAGGTGAGAAGATTCTGGGTTGGTAGGGAACTACTCAAGAGGTATCACGATTCACTCTTCAAGTTTAATTATTGGAATGCTCGATCTACACCTGGGCACCACAACAACGCATGCGTTGATCTTGAAATACACCGCTTCTTGTCCTTGCGCATGAATGGTATGTGAATAGCGCTGAGTACCATTGTTCCAGGTGATCAGCTTCATTGAATGCCCGATCTACCATGATTTGCATCACACCAGATGTCCTAATGCGTCCAGATGCCTAGTAGCGACGAGGATCACAAACCTCAACCAGATATTTACCGAATTGGAAGACTCGCATATCTACCATAGTCACATCGATCGATCGATGTCAACGGATTGAAGGATTCAAAAGATATGATCGGAAGCACTTGATAGAAGGAGCCCATGACGATCAGGCGCTAGTATGTTTACAACAAAATCCATGGATTGCATGATAACAGTATTTGTTTAACCGGATCCCCACTCTCATCTCGACTGACCACCGACCTTTACGTTCGATTTTCTTCAACCATTGATCAAATATTGCCGTGGATGATTTGAAGGATATTCCAGTTGACTCGGCACTTCACTATACTTGGAACCTTGACCTCTACTACTACAAAAAAACACAACATTGTGGATCCGGGGTTTCAATATACACTGGTATACATGACGACATCTGCACCAAAGAGCAAGAACTGAATTGAAACATTGGAAACAAACATCTGAATACCTCAATCTACATAAAAGTCTTCAGCATTGAAAGATCTCAACCATCTCACAGCAAACATGGCACCCACCCAACCCTCCAATCCACAACCACAACCACCCTTCATGCGTCTCCCCCAGAACTCCGTCTAAAGATATACCAATACGCCTTGACAACCCCAAACACCTACATAAATAAACCCCTAATAGTCATCCACGACCGCGGCCCCATCTTCACATCCCGAGCCCGCTACCGCGCCCTCTCAATGTGTCCAACCTGGGAGAACACCGACGGCACAGCGCGCGCCCTCCTATCCGTAAACCGACTCATCCACACCGAAGCCGAATCCCACCTCTACAGAACTCACACCCTTTTCTTCCGCAACTCCTTCGACCCAGACCTCATCCCAGCCTTCCTCAACACCCTAAGCCCCACAGCACTCGCCAGCATCCGCAGCATCGGCTTCGAAGTCTTCTTCTTCGTGCACAATGATGCGGGCGTTCCAAAGCGCCCGCTAAGGCAGTACGAGCATGCGAGGGAGTTTCTTGCTACCAAGCTGCCTAACTGGAAGAGTGTTCTCTGCTATCTGGACCCAAGGTTCTATTACCCGGCTGCGGGCGTCGGGGGCCGCGAACTTGCGGCGAGGGGCGTGCTGGATCTGGCGAGGCGGTTCGGGGATCGTGAGTACGGGGTTAAGCTGGATGTTAGCTTTTATCCTTGTCCGTTGCCGGATGGTCAGCGTGCTGTTGGTGTGGGGGTAGGGGAAGAAGCTTGGAGTGGTTCGCTTGGGCGGACCGGGCCGGTGCTGAAGGTGAAGGGTGGAGTGAAGATGGGCGTGCGTGGCGAGGAGTTGTCGTCATTGTCGGGACATGGCAAGATGAGAGGGGGGGATGCGGGGAATTATCCGATTGCGTTGGTAGGGTAAGGTTTACAACTTGGGTGTTTTCGATGACGGGGACTGATTGGTTGATCTTGAATACTATGTATATTGGTTTTTCTTCAGGCTTCATGTTGCATGATTCGGACATACCAATTGTGGCGGGTTGCGTCGTGGTGGTGTGAAGAACTGCAAGGTGACGTCGCTGTACAGTCTTGATTGCATGACGCGAATTTGAGAGATTTAGCCCTTACTTCCAAGGTTACAAGGTTGAATCTCAAAGAATCTGAAAAGATGTATGAACTACGACCTAGTAGTTCGATGAAAGAAAGTGTTTGGAGCTTTTCAAATGTTTAGCATAGGCAGAGGCCTGAAGTTTGAGGAACTTTGGAACTTAGAGTTGACATGTATGTTATCGATCTTCGTCGTTGACTTCCTTTCTGCATGCTGTATATGTATATGATTCAATGGTTGTCACCAACATTGAGACGCCGCCACATGCGATGCGAGCCTCAGGCACCTCAGGTGGAGCTCATCTGAGTCATCTCCATCAAACTCACAGGAATCAGAATTTACACAAAGGGTTTCCACTGCTCCTCACACCACTCCCAAAATCGTGTCGGATATCCAAGCCCCCCATCCTCGGTGGAAGCCATCGCCGTGATGATATCTCGTCGTGGGCAATCCTTGTCCGGTCGGATCCTTCCCCAAGGAATAACATAGGCACCGTTCTTCTCAAGGGTGATCTCAGGTGATATGCCGGCGTACAGCTCTGTATACGCCCCAAACTTAGCCTCATGAAGTAATGGGCTAATGAAAAACATGGCAACTGCCCCAGTCCCTGCATAGGAGCCAGCATTTAGATTGCCCGGGTTCTGTACCACGCTCACAATGTTATCTTGCTCAAGTTGGGATCGTCGGGCCAACTCCCGTCCCAGCATCCAGGTTCCCACCTTTGAGACAGCATAGTTATGAGTGCGATCTTTGGTTCCCTTGTCTAACGCCGCGAAATTAATCCCGTTCGCTGGAGAGGCGCCCTCTGCTAAAAAGCTGGAGGTCCACACTACGCGAACGGATCCACGAGGTGTCTCGGGTGCTGCTGCGGCTGCCCGTAGCTGCGGTCGTACGAGTTCGGTAAATAGCAAAGTCGCGATACAGTGCATCCCCACCATCGCCTCAAATCCCTGGGCTGTCTTCGCACCGGCTTCCACCAGATTCGCTCCAGTTCCCGCGTTATTCCAGAGAACGTCGAGCCTTGATTCTTGTTGAGCGAAGGTAGTGGCCGCCTCCTTAACTGATTCTAAGTTGTTGAGGTCGAGATGAAGGAATTTGATCGTGCCGGGCACCTTCGGCGCGGGTTGAGCCTTCACAATAGATTGAATCGCGGTTTCAGCACGCTCCTAGTTGAGAAGCGTGTTAGCTCATCAGTAGGCTCCAGAGCTCAGAGGGCCATTTACCTTGGATCTGGATGCCATATAGATAGTGGCCCCAGAGGTATATAGGATCTTGCATAATTCAAACCCAACGCCGGCATTGCCTCCTGTCACAATGAAAACCCGACCCTGCTGTAAAGGCAGTTCTTTCTCGGTAAACGCCGCCTTAGGCGGGAACCACTGGGTGCGAAGATTGCGGAAGGAGGTGAGCGCCATGATTGGATAAGTTGATTATTTCTGATGAGTAAAGTAAAAGAGAACAAAAGCTCGGTGACGAGGTGAAGGTAACTGTTAAATCCACGGGCGGCGGCGTTAAAGAATGCAAATGACCACTCTCTTCCACACGGTATTCTGTTTTCCCTCAAGGGCCTCAACTTATTTCGTAGAGTAAATAAGTCTGCGTGACTGTCTCTGTCCCGACGATTTATATAGATTCTCGGCCCCCACGGGTGGGGTTGATTTGTTCTTTGTTACCCCTGCACGCTCAGCCTTGGTCGCTGACACTGCATACATCAATACATACCGCTGGCGAATCAGTAGCTTCCACTTACAGGGATCATCCGGAGATGAGACCTCCGTCCGGCCGATAACCCGACCAGGTACACGGCTGTTCCCCCGACTCGAGGGCTTTTCAACTGACTTTTGTTTTTGTTTTCAAAAAGAACCCACCAGTTGTCATCTACGAATGATTGATGTGAACGATCGCGTCAAATCGTGCATCTATCAAGCTAGAAGAGCCTTGTATACATATACTAATAATCTTCCGAATAACGAAATAGAACGGATTGCCTAGCATATTGGAACACTGAATGAAGTAAAATTGAGGAGAAAGAAAAAGACTTATTTATGTTAAAAGTTAAACCAGCACTTGAGGCGATTATTGAAAAATTCCCATCTCCAGATGTCTCCTCGTCTGTACCTAAGTAGCTTTATGAACTAGTCGCTTTTGCTACGACCTTCTCGCAAAGAGCGATCAGCGACGAAGCATTAAGAATATCCAATGTAGTTACTAAAGCCCCAAGCTCGGCCCGAAGCCAGTTTCGCACTTCCACAGCAGCCAGGGAATCAATGCCGTAAACAGACAGAGGTCGTCCGGTATCGATGGGCTCCGAGAGCCGAAGGACTCTCACAAAGCACTTATTGACTACCTCCACAGTCGCTGCAAGCTGCGCTGCGTGATCCGGGGATTTGGATCGAAGCAGCAGCAGCAATGCCTGAACGTCCTTCGAACCACCCGAGCCGCCCTCTCCACCGTCGGCCGCTGTGCGCCCACTGGTGGTAAAGAGACCGGCAAATCGGGCGTCATGCAACAACTGCGAGTTCTCGGGTTGGGGTACCGGGATACCAGTGATCACTTGCGTGTTGGAGAGTATTGATAACGCATCCGGCTGTTGCTGCAAAATTGAAAAATAGAGGATGCGACGCAAAAGACCCTCATTGATCCCCACCCAGATGCTGGTGTCCAGCTTCTGCTGCATGCCATCTCTTTCGTGGATGTAACCCACATCTTCAATCACTCCGAGGTCGACAGCACAGGCCGGTCGGCCTAGGCGACGGCGGTAGCTGGCGAAAGAGTCCAGGAAAGCATTGCCGGCGGCATAGTTGGCTTGACCTTTTTGGCCGACGACTCCTGAGATGCTGGACAACATGGTGAAGAAATCTAACTGGAGGCCAAGATTTTCAGCGGCGTGGTGCAGGTTCCATGTTCCTTGGATTTTGCATGATAGTGCGCCGTGGTATTCATCGACAGACATGGAGGAGAAGGTTCGATCCTAGATGTGTAAACCATCAAGTTAGCTCTCCACCTTGGCTTGGGATTTAACCCTGATATAATATTTTGGGAATCAATCGTCTTACCCGTAGCACCATTGCACCTTGAACAATACCTCCAATGGGCACCGCAGTCTGACTGAAAGCTTTCTCCACGTCGCTCATGACTGAGACATCCGCCGAAAGAAGATCAATCTGGCACCCCAAAGCCTGGATTTCTCTGACCACACCCTGTGACTTCTCATCAGTGTGACCGCTACGTGAGATCACTGCCAAGTACTTTGCACCGCATTTGGCCAGATATACAGCGAGGGAGGCGCAAAGACCCTTGAGGCCACCGACAATCAGGTAGCATGCGTCATTGCGCAAGGTCAGGGCTTTGGGCGTTCGTCGGACCTGAATGTATCAGCACGGTAATTCCAAGAATTCTGGAGTACGCAATGAAAAAAAAGGTCTTACTGGAACTTTGACCACGGCCTCTGGTCCATCCGAGATGACAATCTTGCCAATGTGTTTCCCAGCACGTAAAAACCGGATAGCGGATGGAATTTCCGCAAATGAAAATTGATGGATCGGTGCGATGGGTTTCAAGTGCCCTGCCTCGATCAATTCAAACAATCTCGACATCAATCTATAGGAGGGGGTCATTAGTTAGCGTATGGCAAAAAAGTCAGAGACTGCTAGAGCAGCATGAGATTCTTACCGAGAAACAAGGTGATCCGGGGCTCGCTCATGCGACATATCCACTGCTCGGAAAGAGATGTTGCGATCAAAAGGCTCCATGGACAGGCCATTCCGATCCAGGATGTCCTTTTTGCCAATCTCGATCATTGTACCCCCATCGGCCAAGATACGCCATGATTCGTCGAGCATATCACCTGTTAATGAGTTCAAGATAAGGTCCACTCCCTGGCCGTTGGTGACATTAGATATCTGGTTAGCGAAGTCGGTATTTCTTGAATTGAAGATTCGGTCATCCGAGAGGCCGAATGTTGATTTGAGAAATTCTCGTTTCTCGTCCGTTCCGACCGTGGCAAATATCTGTGCAAAGTTAGATTGTTCCTGAAGCTCACTTTCCCACCTAGACATTACTCACCTCGGCACCTGCATATTGACATAGCTGGATTGCTGCGATGCCAACACCACCGGCAGCAGAGTGAATGAGAACGCGCTGGTCTTTGACCACATTCCCGAGATCAAACAGGGAGTATATAGAGGTCAGGTAGACTGCTGACAACGTGGAAGCTTGTTCAAAGGTCATCCAGTCTGGAATACTATGAACCCGCCCTGGGGTCGTCTGCACTCGGTTGGCAAACGTTCCCTTGTCAAACACGACTACACGTTGTCCCACGGCAAATGAAGTTACTCCTGGAGAGACCCTAGTAATGAGACCTGCACCTTCGCCTCCAAGAGTGTGTTCATTACCGGGAACAATTCCCATCGTGACCACAACATCCTTGTAATTCATGCCGGCGGCAAAAATTTCAACTTCAACAAAGCCATCAGGCAAGGCCAGAGAGTCCGCCGCCGGCTGTTCCCAATAATGCACCGAATCGATGTTACCTAGTCGTTCAGCACTCAAGCGGATGCGCGTGTTGCTCGCATGCAGGTCGAGCGTTTCTGTTTTCCGGGCGCTAGGATCTTCATCTTGAAGGCCGGTGAGTGTCGCGTCTGGAAGAATTCGGTTCACATGCAGCACACCCCCACGCTCCACGAATTCGCTCTCGATCGATTCCTTGGCCTGAGGCTCTGCCATGAGAGTGAGACAGGCTTCGATGGCTGTTACCGTGGGAGGCTCCGATGGCTGCTCGACATCTAAAACAACTAGGCGGAGGAGAGGTTCCTCGGCACGCAACACGCGGAAGAAGCCACTGATGGCAGCTTTGGTCGGATCAGTGACATTTATTTGGGCGCCAGAGGTGACCCATAAGATTTGGCATTCCTTTTGAATAAGGTGCTGCAGGATTTCCCATTGTCTTTCGTCCAGGCAATCCATTACCGTGGTCGAAAGTTCATCAAGGATGAGAACAGTCTCATTGGCGGTGATGTTGCTCGCCACATCCGTAACGATATCAACATTCCAATTTTCATTTCGAAGAGATTCAATGATCTGTGAATGGGCTTCTTGGGCGGTTGGCAGAAGACTGACTTGCTTGATTATTCCCCGCTCAGGTATGTTGTTCCAGTCTTCCTGTTGTTCACCGCTGACGAGCGAGCACAGATAAACTTTATCGCCCAACGTGTGGATATTGCCAAAATTGGTTTCGGACAAGACAGCTTGAATATCCACAGTAGGCGAAAATGTCTCTTGGCCAATCACCAGGACCAAACTATTGTTGTGCATAGAAGAATACACACTGGCTACAACTGCCCTCGCTTCCTCCGTCGATGCGGACTGCGAGATTGCTACTATAGCCAGATCAAATTTCACGCCATCAAGGATTTCCGTGGTGACGGTTGGGCTAATCATGGTAAATTCTGCATTAGGGGCGCGGGAGGAATACTGATTCTGCGCGGCGACGAGGGCTGTTGAATCAGTTGATGCAAAGTGGTATAGTGAGCAGGCATCTCGAATCGAGTTGGATGGTAGTGAGTTACTTTGAAGCCAAATGCTGGTCGCATCTTCTGGGCCAGCCTTGACCTCCAAGATTTTCAACTTAGGACACTTGTAAGCAACAAGATCCACAAGGGTTTGAACAAGTCTTTGCTGTCTGGTTGGGCCAGATCCCTCGGAATCGACTGGATTGAATTCAGATTGGGCCTCTGGCATGTTCTTTTCAAGGACCTGCTGTAAGGTGGCTGTAGGTGCGGACAGCAAAGTTGAAATGTCTGCATTCCAGCACGATCTAGTGAACACATGCTGAGGTCGCTCATCTTCACTTGTTTCCAGCTCTCGGAATTGAAGTCCTTTCATCTCCAATAGTAGAGATCCATCCTGGGGGTTGTAAACAGAACAATCCGTTCCGTAGTTTCTAGGGGTATCATTACGTCCGATCCCCAGATAATGTGCCGACGCAACGGAGATAGCCTCGCTTGGGGATTGTTCTTGTGCGGTGATGACAAGACTGCTGATGACAGCCGGCACCAGGACAGCTCCGACAGTTGTTCGATCGCCTCCCCATAGGGCTGGCGAAACAGTTTGGAAACATCCATCAATGCAAGCTGGGTGCATGGGATAAATGGACTGCCCGTAGGATGACTCTGGGGGTTGCAGAGAAACTGTCGACCTGCTCCTCCTCTGACCAGTGATCGCCTCCACTTGTAAGTGTTTCTGGAACGCGGGGCCAAAGTTGTAGCCAACATCTGCCATCACTTTGTACCAAGAACGTGCTGAACTGGCGAACTTCAGTGTGTCGACAGCACCCTCTGGCGCACGCTGGTCACTGTATTCCGTATCAATCCGCACAAGGCCGACACAGTGTTCAACCCAAGTAGCTTCTCTCAATGAAGAAACTTTAAATTCAAACCAAGAGCGCGTCGAGCCAGGAACAGGGGTCAAGGCAAGGATAATTCGAGACGTAACATCAGGTTCCAGTACTAGAGCTCGGACTAATTTGACGTCTCGGAGCCTATATCGGTACCGAGCAGGTGGCTCGCCTTTCCAACTAGTCATCCAGGCCGTCTGGTACATTGCCTCAACGGCCATGGAAATATACCCAGCGCCTGGGAACACGACCTGGCTTCCTAACTTATGGTCCACGAGCCAAGAAACATCCGCTAGTTTCAATGTTTTCTTGAATACCGGGGCGCTCCAGGCAGTTCCAAGTATTTTAGACCCAAGCAGATCGTGGCTGATAAACTGCTTAAATCGCCAATCTGTGCTCGCCGTAGTTTCGTGCCAGTATTTAGTGGAGTGATTCCAAGAGTAATTGGGGAGATCAACTATGACTCTGGGGGCGCGAGGTGCGTTGTGGTGGTTGACTTGTTTCAGTGAGACAGATCCACCGCTGACAAAAAGTGATCCAGCCACCTCGTAAAGAGCGACGATTGAGTCAGCTCCTCTCTTCAGCGCTGTAGTATACTGTGCGTCTGCTGCAGCACCCGAGAGGGACTTCTTGATCTGCGTAACCGGACCGGCCAATGCGTTGCTTGGTCCGATTTCCACCAGGAAGTTCGAAGCGGATTCGCTCTGTAGTAGCTCTGTTGTGGCTTGAGCAAAACGGACCGGAGATATCATGTTGGCTTTCCAATAGGCGGCATCTGGTCGTGTGATCATCAGTTGACCGGTGACAGATGAGAACATCCGCACAGCCTCCTCGTTCGTCTCCTGGGTGACAGTGACATTGTCCTGCCGTAAGTCTTCGTCTTTCAGAAGCAGCGCTTCATATTCTTCTCCGATTTGGGTCATGTATTTGGAATGGTAGGCGAGGTTGACAAGTAGCATTCTGGCAAAGTGACCATCTTCTTGTAGATGATCTCGAATCATCTCGAGAGCTGAGGCTGGGCCTGAAAGTGTGAGGCTAGACGGGCTATTGTAGCAGGCAATCTGTACCGTGCCGTCGCCTCTATCTAGATAACCTCCCACCTCCTCTGCACCAATGCCCACGGCCAGCATACCGAGAGGGACCTCTTCCGAAACCTTTTTGGCAGCATGGCCGCGGTAGTATGCTATCTTGATGGCCGCTTCCGGAGTGATCAACCCGGCCGCTGCCGCAGCAGCAATTTCGCCCGAAGAGTGGCCGACGACACTAGTGGGAACTATGCCCCAGCTCTTCATGACTTCAAGAATTAACAGCTGCAATGCTGTAACAAGAGGCTGAGAAAACTCAGGTTGCCGCAACGCATCCCCACTTCTGGGCTTCGTCAATTCATCCCAAAGAGTCCATTCTGGTGGTGATAAAGACGTTTGCAATACATCATCTAGATGATGGATCATGTTCCTGGCGACTGGGAAGGTATTCAACACTTCTAGTCCCATCTGAGACCATTGCGCTCCCTGACCGGTAAATAAGAACCCGATCTTCGGCGGAGTGCCCTTGTTCTTGCCAAAGATAATACGTTCTTGCGGAATTTCCTTTCCCCGTGTCACAAGAAATGCCCGTTGGTAGTGTCGGGTGCGCCTTTCGGAAAGGGTGTATGATAGATCACCCATATCGAACCTTACACCGGGGCTCATCAAATGTGCGGAGATTGCCTGAATGTTGTTCTTCAGGGACGGCTCGTCATTGGCGGAGAATACTAGGAGCTTAGGCTCGGAGCTCTGTTCTGGCGAGGCATCCTCCTCCTCGTTAAAGAAGTCAAGACCAACCCTCTCTAAGTATGACGATACATGAGGCGAGTTCTCGGCTGATTCCAGGACAACATGGGCATTGGCACCTCCAAATCCAAAGGAGTTAACACTGGCACGACGCTGTGTCCCGACAGGCCACTTTATCATGTGACGAGTTGCCCGCACGCGTAGCGCGTCAAAATCGATATTGGGGTTTGGTTTCACAAAGGTCGGATTGCCGGGGATCATTCCTCGCTCAACCGCAAGAATTGCCTTGATCAAACCAGAAATTCCTGCAGCGGCCTCGGAGTGGCCGATGTTGCTTTTGATTGACCCGATGACTAGCTCCTGGCCCGGCCCCCGACCTTTAGCAAAGACCGATGCGGCACCCGCCACTTCGACCGGGTCACCGGCTAACGTCCCGGTTCCATGGCATTCCAAGTATCCCGTGTCGAGGAAATTAGAGATTCCCGCATTGGCATATGCCGCCCGGATTGCAGCAGCCTGTGCCTCAGAGCTAGGGCTTGCGATTCCGGGCGTTCGTCCAGCACTGTTTGTGGACGTTCCACGGATCACAGCACGGATAGGATCACCATCTCGTATCGCATCAGAGAGTCGCTTCAGGAACACGGCATTAATTGCTTCGGCTTTTACATACCCATCCGCCTTTGCATCAAACGTATGGCATTTGCCCGAAGCTGATTGGGTTGCTCGCATCATGCCGGTCTCCTGGTTATGCTCCGGGTTCAACCACATATTGGCACCAGATACAATCATTCCATCTGCTTGGTTGGTATCCAGGTAGCGACATGCCACATCAAGGGATACTAAGCTGCCCGAGCAAGCTGTATCGATAGTCATACTGTGGTAAAGTTGACCGATGGTCAGCATAAGAGAATATCAAAGACGTGGTGGAGCTATACTGTACCTAGGGCCTCTAATGTTCAAGAAATGGCTGATTCGATTGCTCAAAATAGCTCTTGCCACTCCAATTGTGGCAGAATCTGGCCTATCCTCTGGATCTCGAGCTTGGATAGCTTCGTAATCTGCCAATGATCATTAGACTTGCTGCTCATTTTGCCTATGGGAACTTGAAAAAAAAGTTTCCATCTCAAAACATCGACTTACCAACTGCATTAGCCCCAACCAAACAGCCAATGGCTTGTTCACCGATCATCTCCAAGGTTATTCCTGCGTTCTCCAAACACTCGTAGGTAACTTCTAGTAGTTGGCGTTGTTGCGGGTCCATCGCAGTACAGTCAACTGGACTCATATTGAAGAATCCTCCGTCAAAGACTTCTGGATCCACGTCTTCCATGAACATACCTCCAGGTGACTTCATGGTACGAGGCCGTCTGTGCTTGTCAAAGTGGGCATCGAGATTGAAACGTGACGCCGGGGGTCTGTTCTCCGCGATACCTCCCCGCTCAAGGAAATCCCAGAGGGCCTTGGGTGAATTAGAGTGACCAGGCAGTCTGCAGGCCATGCCAACAACGGCGATAGGCACCTGTGTAGTGTTGGTTCTTGGCGACTGGTTTAAAAAGTCATTCCCAGTGCCATTGCCTGCATGCATCCCATTGTCACTAGAACACTCGCTGGTGATACCAGAATGGGCCGGAGTTAGCTGCCCAGATGAGTTGTCGGTGCTAGGGGCAACCTGCTGGAGGACATGAGACTCATCGGCAGAAGTCATTACTGCCGCGATATTGTGGATAGTACTCATAGTAAGGATAGTAATCTAAAAGCAAAAACGGTGAAACCTTGGAATCACACTTGCTCTAAAAGGCAGACCTGGAGTATGGGGGTTTCAAAAAAGGGATTGCATTATATTTTCCAGGCAATTATGTATGATATGGGCCTCCTGTGGCGGTAATGGTGCGATAAGTTGGCCCCCGTGTCTTGGTACAGTCGTCAGCTAGCTAGAACCAGGACCCATACTCCTGTGGGTCATTATCGGAGCCTAGGTAAGCAACTAAGCCATGATAACATGCGCGGTCATCTCATTTGCATGGTGGTCTCGCCTGCATAGAATAGCATAGCCTTCTGTGGGTCGCGAGACACTAGCAGTGTAGCCTCGTGGAAGGGGATGTGGAAAAAACCCCAATATCGACTTTCCATTGGTAGATCACTATCAATCCGCATTATCCACCTTGTTTTGAGCTTCAGGCCAAAAATGTGGCATAGTAACTCAACTGTTGCCCACCCATCTATCTATATGTGTGAATAGAGCCTTCGGTCAGTTGAACTGAAAGCCGTCGTATTTCCACGGGACCAGTCTCATACTTGTGGTTGAATAAATTCTTGTCGGCCCAAACATCACAATGTCTCACCACGAGGATGTTGAGTTCAAGACAATTGACGGTCTTACCTTACGAGGATGTCTCTACCCTGCGCCTCAAAGAGCCCCGGCAATTATCATGACTCCTGGTGTACGATTCCATGTCCATCCATCCCCATTATTTTCGCAACCCCTCAGGGTCAATGTGCATAAAATGCTTACACTGTCGACAGTTTAACTTTACAAAGGAGATGTTTGTTGCTGAGATTGCAGAATACTTTCAGCAGGCGGGTTTTACAACACTCACCTACGACCCTCGATCGATAGGGGCAAGTGATGGATCACCACGCAACAATATTGATCCCACTCGGAATGCTGCCGACTATCACGACGCTCTGAGCTTTCTCAAATCTCATCCACGCGTAGATCCCTCGCGTATCGCTTTTTGGGGATTTTCCTTCAGTGGAATGGTGGCCTTAACTGCGGCTGCCCTTGATAAACGGGCTAAAGCGGTGATCGCTGTCTGCCCACTGAGTGTGTTTGAATATCCCCCCGAGAAATGGCCCGGAGTACTATCCAAGGCCATGAAGGATCGGGAGTCACAGCTTGGGGGAAACAAGCCCTTTTACATCCCAATGATCACTGATACCGGTGAGAATCCCGCAGGCTTTGGCTCGGGAATCGACCAGGAAGGCTTCAACCTAATTATTGGGGCCAAGTCCCTGGTTCCCAACTTTGAACTTCCTACCACACTTGAAAGTTACTATCACATCGCCGCCTGGCAGCCCTTGGGGCTGATGCCATTCGTGTCTCCAACCCCTGTTATGGTGGTGACCCCAGAACTCGACCACGTTTCTCCAGCAATCAAGCAAAAGAATCTAATCTTTGATAAGTTTCAAGAGCCCAAACGCCATCTGGTAGTGTCTGGAAAAGGGCATATGGATGTTTTGAGTGGGGATGAGTTTGGCCCTGTTCTCGATGCGCAGGTGGAGTTCTTGCGTGGCATTTTCAGTGCATGAAACTCCAGTGCCCAGGTGGAGATTCCAAATATATTTGACTTCAGGAAATCTTGCTGTATAAGAAGATTCCAATGTTGGGAAGCTGGCATTTTGAATCCTTTGATGTGAGCACTTAGAATAAAACATACTTGTTGGTTGGAATAAATGTTTGAAGACCAGCTGTTCAAATTTTCAAATCCACATGCACATGCAAGTCACCTGGCTTGTAATCAACAGGTTTGTGAATATACTCATTTACGTAAATGTTGTAGTACTTACCTAGTAAGCTTCAATGTTAGAACAATTCTAAGGCCCTCTCACATATTGATTAGCACTAGTATACAGTGCTAGGTATCTACATACTACATACAAATTAGCTTCCATAGACTGCCATGTCTGGGTTTCCGGCTATATGTTATTTATGTACCGTGCTAGATCTCTCAACGTCAACATCAATTGAATGGAAGCACTTGAGTGCTAGCGATTTGCAACATTTGAACCACGAATGTTTACTCTGTTTCCTACATACATGTACAGTTGACCTGGATACTACATACATATTGAATCCTGAAAATTGGACTGGAAATATTACGACCTAGCTAAATCAATGTCTCTTGACATCAAATCATAGATTGAAACACAGTCTGATCTACTATGAGTCCCTTGTGGGTCAGAATAATAGGCCACAGTCTCGAAAAACGCCATAGAGCCCGTAAATAGAGTAGAAACATCCAGAATCCAAAATTAAAGCTTCGAAATTTCCCGAAAAAATGAACAAACATTGAAGGGATATTCTCGCAGCCTTGTCAAGAAAATCCTACAGTGACTCCTGACTTCCGCCTCATTATGGTCAATACCCGGTAGCGCTAGTCCTTAGCCTCGGAGTGGGACCTCATGCAAGGTAATCAATCATGCATCATGATTAATGCAAAGTCAGCTGCTAAGGATCAGGATTCCGGTCTCCGAACGTGTCTTCGGGGCCCATAATTCAATGTCGGCAGTGGCCACTGGTCACGCATCCATGATCGCACTGATGGCCTTTTGAGGTGATGGAACACGTGGAGTCGCAAACAGCCCCCAAAACAGCAAATAAGGCTTCCGGAATAGTTCAACTTCGAGCCACATTTAAGGAGGAATTATTGGCATATGTAATAGGTAGTGCGGTAGTTGCAAAGGTTCAATCTATCTGCACCGCGCCCCTTTCAGTCCTCATGGCTCCTCATCATCTTGTCCCAGCCAAATGGGCTCTCTTAGCTTTCCTTTCCGTGTATCCCGACATTTCGCTAGCTAAGGCTGTCCCCCGTGGCTCTACCTCGTGTCGGTACATCCCGGGCGATGCGGGTTGGCCGACGGTGAATCAATGGCAGGCGCTGAATGCAAGCGTCAGCGGTCGGCTCATCGCAACGAACCCTATTGCGCATGTATGTCACGATCCAACCTACTCTGAGGCCGAGTGTGAATATCTCCAAAAAGAATGGGGTATTCCAAGTTTGCAGTACGTATCAGCTCCCCCTCTGATATGTTTGTTGCATAAAGTCATAAGTTGATAACGGTAATCCTATCAGAGTGCCAGAGCCAGCCGAGATTCTGGCTCCATATTTCTTGAACCAATCATGCGACCCCTATACGACACAGTCCCAGCCCTGTGTGCTCGATAACTACGTGAGCTATTCGATCAATGTCACTGGAGTGGCCGATGTGGTGGCAGGAGTTGAATTCGCGGAAACCCATAACATCCGCCTAGTGATAAAGAACACTGGTCATGAGTGCGTCCCCTGTGAAATATTTTTAGTACACCTGGATCAAGTCACTAATATCTTTACTATTCCAGCTTCCTTGGAAAGTCCACCGGCAAGGGTGGTCTTGCGCTGTGGACGCACGACTTTAATGACATTGAGCTTATCACCAACTATAGCAGCAGCTATTATAAAGGTCCGGCATTGAAGGTGGGAGCCGGCGTCATGGGCGGTGATGCCTTGCTGGCAGCCAGTGAGCAGGGCTATCGCGTGGTAGTCGGTTCGTGTCCAACCGTTGGAATGACAGGAGGATACACGCAGGGAGGAGGACACTCGCTTCTGTCAGGGTTGTACGGACTGGCTGCTGACAACGTACTCGAATGGGAAGTCGTCACTGCAGACGGAACTCATTTGATCGCTACGCCCACAAGCCATGCCGACTTATTTTGGGCCCTCGGCGGTGGAGGAGGAGGTACCTATGGTGTCGTAATCTCCATGACGGTCCGTCTATTTGAGGATGGTTCCGTAGGCCGTGCCTCGTTGATCTTTACCAGCACCATCACCAACGGGACAGACGCATTTTGGAACGCCGTGGACGTTTTCCAGTCCCATCTGCCAGCAATTGTCGATGATCATGGTATCGTGGTGACATACGTGGTGAGCAATGACACTTTGGACCTCTACGTAGCGACCGCGCCAAATCGCACAGCAGACCAAGTAGCGGAGATTTTCGAGCCAATGACTTCGGCGTTAGCCACGCTTGGACTCTCGGCCAGCGCCATTGACTTCACCACCGCCGTCGCCGACACCTACTATGACCACTATCTGGCTACTCTAGAGCCTGTGCTAGCCTCGGCGCAGTCGGACCAGATCACGTCCGGGCGCATCGTGTCGCGTGAGAATATGGCAACCAACGGTTCGAGTGTTACGGCGGCTATGCGCACGGCCACGGCTGGTGGCTCTATGGATCTGCTCTGCTCAGCCATGAACACTACCAATGGTGTTGCTTCGGTCGGGAACACGGCCATCCAGCCCGCCTGGAATACGGCGCTAGTAAGCTGCGTGATATCCGAGACATGGGATTGGACGAAACCGTGGGACTATATGCTTGAGCGACAGGCATACCTTACCACTGTCGTAGATCCAGCCTTCATGGCCGCAACCCCTGGATCAGGAACTTACCTGAACGAGGCGAACTTCCAGCAGGCCGATTGGCAAACGGCATTTTACGGCACTAATTATGCCCGACTCGAATCGATCAAGGCAAAGTACGATCCAAAGAGCTTATTGTATGGCCTCACTGCGGTCGGCAGTGAGGCCTGGGAGGAAGACTCGTATGGGCGACTTTGCCGAACAGATGCATGATCATACTACTATTACCTCAATGACAGAGTCATGGTTCTTGTAAATTAGACGCAGTCTAGCTAGATCATAGTTTTCTTCTGCATTGAATCACCTAGATGAATTAGCCCTTGAAATCTATCTACTGTAAAATACCAGATATCCTCTGTTGCTTGTGGTTTTTCTGAAACGTTGGAAATATCAATGTGCAATTAACATGTTACGTATCTTGGCACTCCCCATGTGATTCCTTCAACATCGACAGAAAGGAACAAACCCCTTAACAGCGGGCTCTCGGAGAAACAGGCCCACTGGATAGTGTTGAGAGGGGGAAATGAAAATTCGCACATATCATACTCATGTGAGTAGCGGAGGGGGAAGGGAAGAGAGGAAGGAGTCTGAGGGCGTGAGGCTGAGGCTAAGCCGAATCAGGCAAAAGCAAGCAAGGCTGCAACTTTACCTAATATAACCCCGCACGGGCCATATCTCAGCGAACTTAGTGCCTCGCCCTTCAGGCATAAAGCAAAATGACACCAATGGAATTGGCCGCAGGTGATAAGGTGGGTTTCTTAATTTCACAACAGTGGTGTAGGTCCATGGGTGGTTTGCATCGGTCGGCCCGGCCAGGCCGCCAGGGGTACATCACCAATTAAGCAAAGCGTCCGAAGCTCCGGGCATGCAGGGCCCACACAGGCCACGTAGAGGCCAGCACTAGCTTATAATGCATATATTCCTTTGCTCAGCTGCGCCTCAATCAAATCATTTGCTGACTCGCATTAGCAGCGTATGGATTACCTGCATGGTCAACGTGGATCCTTTCAGGCGGGTCGGTGTCATTGTAAGAGCTGAGGGTGCAGAGAGGAACCTTGAAATCGGTCCTCTCATTGTCCAATCCCGAGGTTCCAGCAGCTCACCAAGAGCAGTCTTTACTGATCCTCACTCACATAATAGTATCTTTTGATATACTATATGTATGAGAACAAGCAAGCATTTGAATGGCTCCGTGGTGTTTCTTAACTTGATCCTGTGTTCTTGGAATGCTACTAAGATCGCATCCCTGTCACTTCAAGTTGTAAGCTAGCCATCCAAAATGCAGAGTCCTGACGCTTTCCACAGCCGGGTTCTGGAATGGGTACCCCTGCCCAAGCTTCTGAACGGGTGGACACTCCCTTGCCTATTGCTCGGTGCGTGGGTGGTCTACGGCGTTGGACTGGGGATATACCGCCTCTTTCTAAGTCCTTTGGCTAAATTCCCGGGTCCAAAGCTCGCCGCCCTCACGCAATGGTATGAAGTCTACTTTGACATGGTCAAGAAAGGTGGCGGCCAATTCCCTTTCGAAATCAAGCGCATGCACGAAAAATATGGCCCCATTGTTCGCGTAAATCCCTTCGAGCTTCACGTCGATGACCCAGACTTCTACGATGTAATCTACGCGACAAATAAGGCATATGACAAGATGGAGCATTTCCAACACCGCTTCAATGTGCCTCTGGCTACGTTTAGCACGTCCGACTCGGATGATCATCGCATTCGTCGCGCAGCCATCAACCCCTTCTTCTCCAAGAGCCGGGTTCGAAACCAAAATGAACGCATCCAGCAGCTCGCTTCCACAATCTCACAGAGACTGGCTACTGAGTATGCTGGGCAGAATAAGCCTTTGGACGTGGCTAATATGTGGGGTTGCTTCACGGCGGATGTCATTATGGATGTTGTCTTTGCGCGCCCCAAGCACTTTTCCCGGTACCCGGACTTTGAGTCCCCATTCACCCTCGCCATTCGCAACATGTCGACCTGGGCTCATTTTACATTGCATTTTGGCTGGGTTTTGACCGTCATGAATCAAATGCCAAATTCAATTGCCAAGGCCCTGTTTCCCCCATTCAGGCCAATCATTGAATTCAGAGAAGTGAGTACTAATCCCATAAGTAGTTGCGCCTTCAAGGGAAGTCCCGAATGCTGATGGGTGTATCAAAACTACAGGAGATGGCCAGTGAGATTACTGATATCTTAGAGGGTCGAAATCAAGCTGCCAAGGACTCCCCTCATTCGACCGTCTTTCACGACATCCTGTCCTCGGGCTTACCTCCCCATGAACTACGACCGGAGCGTCTCAATGATGAGGCCGTGGGTCTGGTAGGCGCAGGAACTGAGACCACCTCGTGGAGCTTAACGATTGGAACATTCCATGTCATCGATAACCCGCATGTGACTCGAAAGCTGAAGGCCGAGCTGACCGAGGCGATCCCAAATCCCAATGAAATGCCATCCTGGTCAGAGTTGGAGAAACTTCCGTATCTCAGCGCAGTGATTAAGGAGCGTAAGTTAATAATCTTTTCTTCTTACACACTTGTCCCCTTCGCATGAGTCTTTTCCTATTCAAGAGTAAAGAAACATCGAGAAGAAAAGCAACGATCCGCGACTAACATGGAAACTCCGCGCATAGTTCTTCGGATCGCGTTTGGTGGCGTTGAACGCCTCCCTCGTATCAATAAACATGGGATATGGACATACGGAGACTGGGAGATCCCCGCGGGAACCCCCGTGGGTATGGATCAGTTCCACATGCACATGAATGAAGACTTATACCCTGACCCGATGGCTTTCCGGCCCGAGCGATGGCTGGGGAACCCCAGGAGCCCCAGCGGTGAGAAGCCCTTGACGCATTACCTGACGACATTTGCGAAAGGCACGCGCATGTGCACAGGCCTTAACCTAGCATATGCAGAAATTTTTGTCGGGCTAGCCACTATTTTCCGGCGACATGATTTTGAACTGTTCGAGACGAGTAGGCGGGATGTGGATTTTTACGCGGAGAACCTCAAGGCGTCGCCGTGGCCGGGAAGCAAGGGGGTTCGTGTTTTGGTGAAAGAACTAAAATAAGATGGGGGCGATGGTGGACAGAGAGAAATTTTACTGGAGAATGAAAGTCGAATATTGGGTGCTCAAATCTAGACCAAGAGTTAGAAGTACAATCAACTGGTATCTGGGCACAAATAAAAACATCAATCAATCAATATACACAAAGTCTTTTCTGGGCGCCGGTATCGGCTAAGTAGGTAATGAAAATCCAGGCATTCTAGTGTTATCCCAGAAATCCTTCAAAAGGGCCAATTTCTATCTAATATTAGTGCGACATGCTGCACTGTTTTTCTATCATGCCTTAACATTTACTCCGGTGACTCAGTATGATATCCACGACAATAGTATACCCTGCACTAACGGCCAAAAACAGAGGCGACTTCCCATCCGCATCACATATCTCGTTATCAGCCCCACTATCTAGCAACAAGCTGACAGCTGCGTCGTGGCCCTGCTCGGCTGCTAAATGCAATGCCGTGCGTCCCTGTGCGTCGCACTCATCAATGCCCACCCGGTGGTCCAATAGGGTCTGCAGCATACTGCAGTTACCGTTCCGAGCTGCGACATGCAAAAGAGGCATGAGTGGCATTTTGGCAGTTCGTGATTTTTCATGATGCTGTGGATGCTGTTGATGATATGTTTGACTCAGACTGTGTTGGGAAGAAGCTGCTAGGGTGGGTTCCCTAAATGAGGCCGCTGGTGTGCTGCAGCTTCTTTCTCGATGGAAAGTATCGCTCATGAATGGAGTGGGGGGAGAATTAGATGATGGTGGCGCCAACGTAGCACTTGCGCTATGTTTATACAAGGGCGGGACCATGAGGGGTTTACGTTCTCCCTGTGAAATCACACGGGAGAAGGCATTTGGGCTATCAAGCGATGCTTGTTCACCATGTAGGGGTTTGGCCAGGTCTGGCCAATCAAGAAATTCCGTTGAATCTCTGCAGGGCGGGAAGTAACTTTTTCTGTCTCCCGATGGGCTTCTCGGGATCATAAATGGGTTCATGTCTTCCCATGCAGAGCTATTTTTGTGGTGGTAGAGATTGTTTGCCGTGCCATTGAAAGCATTACTCGGCTCATGGTACCTAGCTTGGATTTCAGATACGCTCCTGCTGGCCGTTTGGGTCTCAAAAGCCGATTTCCCGCTTTCTGTGTAGATCGGACAGAGATCTATAGGTTCTTGGTTCCAGCTCCAAATGTTTTCGCTTTCTTCCTTTCGCTTCTGCTCCTGTTTCTTCTCTATTGGCGAATCGAAAATCGAGAATCAAAAATCGGTTCTATCTCAAAAAAAAATTTTTTTTGGTTGTGGCTCCCCGTGAATTTGCTTACCTCGATATCTCCGTTGAGCCAGCCTGTTTTGCATCCGACGCCGCTCTGTGGTTGTGGAAGGATCGAAATACAAATCCATGAGCTGCAATTGACCAAGTTCCATGGTAAATTCTTCGCTCCGGCGTGTGCCCCGTCTATATGGCAACGATCGATGATGACGGCACCTGAGATTCATGTGACAATGACTTCGCTGCAATGGCAAGGCCGCAACATTTATATATTTACCATGTGGAGCTACCGACTCTGATCACGTTAAATCATGTTATCTTGTCCGCATTTTGTCATCCGCTAGTTGTTAATTGAGGGATTGATTGTTATTTCGCTATCCAGGTCAGAATTGACACAAACACCGATGCTAGGTCCTTATTGGCAGCCGAGTTAGGCCCCCAATAGTGAGGCTGCCACCAAATACAAGGCTGTCTCAACTTCATTCAATCAACACCGGACGGAGGTAACATTACAAGTGATTCGTCTGGGGCTGAAACATTTGAATCCTCCGCGTATTTCAATGTTTGATCCTCCAATCAGAATGCCGCGTGTTCTCCATGTAACGCTCGTCTTGCTATCCCCTTACATTCTACTTACCGGTAACTCTTCTTGGTCTACTAATTCAAAATTACTCTACTTTCATGAAGGATTCTCCCTATTCTTGACCAATGGAAACTCCAGCAATATCAGGTTGAGTTCTTGTATAGGAGAAAGAGGGGGTCACGCCGGCCCCGGGGGCCAGGCTGCGCGGGGGTACAATCCGTTCCAATATTTGAAAAGGATTTATCCACCTTCATTTTACCCGCAAAACAACATAATTTTGGATAAATTCAGTACATGTAGTAGATATCTCAATAAATTTTTATACAAAACATTGAACGTCTTTTCCAAACAAGCTGTATCATGAGTAACTAGGACTTTCAAATGTTAATTATCTGGTCCTCTACTAGAAACATTTGAATATCAGAATACTCATTTCTTATATAGATGTTAATCTTAGAAAGTATATATGAAAGCGATTGGATTTGATCAATTAGCCCATAGTAAAGATAGAGTTCTATCAACTTATAAATTGTCTTTCGTGATAAAGTTCTTGAGACACTTCTCATCAAAACATTTCTCATCAATTGATCAAAGTAGGTGAGTTTTACTGTGGTATTTGCGGGAGGAGATTGAAGTGGGTAAATATTTTTGGAACCGATTGTATCTACGTATACTGAAATCCTGAGGAACTTGAGGTCTAGGCCTGTTTTTGCTCTGACTACGTACTTTCGTTCTCTTTTCAATTGTGTTCCGAGGTTCGCAATGGGTATTAGTAGTACATAACGCATTTCACCCCTAAGCGAGCCACCCCACTCGGCCGGGCCAACATTGAACCCAAAGCACATCAATTGAGAGTAAATGCGATGAACTACAACATTGCTTCGTATCTCGGAAACTAGAGCTTATATTATATTATTCTTACAGAAGGTTACTCTTTGGGGTGGCCCGGCTGAGTGGGTTGGCTCGCTTAGGGGTGAAATGCGGTGGAAAGTACTTAACTAGTAGGCACCTAACGTAAATTGAATCCACACATGCAAGCGAGCAGCCCACATGTGCATAGGCCGTAAGTCTAGCCCCATGCTATTGAATCGAAGCTCAAAACATCAACTCTAAGATATATTCAAATGTTAATAACATGAGGAGAACGATAATACACATACAAATTAGTGCCTATAGATGTAGATCTCTTAAAAGCCATTGATCGTGCTCAAGTGTTTCAATTTCCATACGGTCTCATTCAAATGTTTCAAAAAAGGAGTACTAGAAAGGTTCTGGAATATAGGGATCTTTATTCTATGTATTGCCGAATTGATTTTCTTTTTTTCTTCTTTTAAACGAAATCTATAGAAAATGAATATTTCTAGTACTCTACCATGAAAATCTCTTAGAAGAGTTAGCTTAAAGTTTTTTATAGTATTTTGATTGAGTAGTTAGTCCAGGGGTGTAAATGAGGTTGTTGTTTTCTTCCCACATGCAGATTTGGATTTTTTATTACTTCAAATAAATGCCGCAGTCCACCTGGGCAAGAGTCTTTGAATAGCTTTGTTAAAACATTCAATGCCGTATCAATTAATACTAATTCGACAAGTTTTGTTCTTCGGACCGATCGAGCACTCAAGATGATGAAGCCATTTCGAGATGGGGTTAGATTGAACTGCAACACAACCCGAGGCCAGCAGACGTTTGTGATCTTCATGAGTAGTACGCATTAATCAAGTTCAATGTTCATGAACACTATACTTAGGTCGTGAGTTCTAGATAAACGTTTTTATATTGTTAAATTTTGAGGAAATATTGATCTATACGTTGTAATTTCAATAAGAACCTCGGACTCAAGTAACCCCGCAAATAACCGTGCGGGGAAAGCCTTGAGTGGAGCTACGTTACAATAGACTTCCCCGAGTCCCCGACACAACCGACACCTTGTGCATCACGCTTTTTGATTCCAACCTATCAATCCATGGTCGGAAATTAAAGCAGTGGCAATTTTATAGAGAATCGGTTGGATGCAAAGAATACCTTGAACAACGCCTACCATTCGCTTTGCTCATCACAAGTTCACAACCCGCCCTATTTTGAGAGTTTTATACATATTACTCTGATATACATTTTACCCCCTCCCCCCTTCCCCGCGCTTTGGTTGAGCCGACAATCCGGAAATTTGGATACATTTCACAATGCGCATGCGTACTCAAGCTCTTGGGGGTCTATGCCCTTGGAGAAGACTTGGAGTCGCGCCCTTTTTCAAGCGAGGGCTGTTAACTCAAAGCTATGCTCGAGGTCCTTCTCAGGTGAGTTCGAGCATTCAAAGATGGATACCCATTCTACTTGAATTATGGGGGTTGAAAATCAGCTAATTCAGCGCTCTTTGGCAGCCACCTTTGATCGAGTCAACCATTGGAGATCACTTCGCAAAAATCGTGGCTGAACACGGTGATCGAACAGCGTAAGGAAGCTGGGGCCAATGAGAGCTGAATTTGAGTACTAAAGAATTGGCTGCAGTGTTATTTCCAAGCATCAAAATGACCGTGTCACATATGCGTCCCTCGATGCTCGAAGTAATGCCCTGGCTCGGGGGCTTGAGTCAGTGGAAATCAACAAGGGGGATCGGGTTGGCGTTATGCTTGGAAACTCCATGGAATATGCAGTGGTATGTCAGGCTGCATTTAGTCTTTGAAGCCATTCTCATTATTCCAGATAACATATGCTTTGTTCAAGCTTGGAGCTATTCTGGTAAGTCCCATCTGTTCGCCGATAATGTCACGTCTCAGACTGTACCGTGTCTCTAACCTTACGTAACAAGGTCCCACTGAATCCCTCCTTCAACTCGGCACAGATCGCATCAGCATTGGGGCACCTCGGAGCCAGTCATCTTATAATCAGTGCAGAGTCTAATCTTCCCCGCAAAGATCCTCGCAGCAACATCCCGTTGCTCCAACATCTGGTGGAGGACCTCTCAAGCTCAAAGCTAAGCTCGAGTTTGGTCCCCACTTTGAAGCAGATTATCCTCGTCGACAACTCCGCCGGTCGCATTGATATATCATCTCATAAGAGCATCATCCCATACTCATCCATCGTATCCGAATTATCAGCAGACAAGCAGTCACTAACAGAACGAACCCTTTTTCCAGACGAAGTAGTAAACATTCAATTCACATCTGGAACAACAGCTATGCCCAAAGCAGCATGCCTCACCCATCGTTCCATTCTTAATAATGGCTCTCAAGTCGGCGACCGCATGCTTCTCACCCCCCAGGACGTGATCTGCTGTCCACCACCCCTCTTCCACTGTTTCGGATGTACGCTAGGGTACATGGCGACAGCAACTCACGGCTCGTCCATCGTTTTTCCATCAGAGTCATTCAACGCCCGCGCAGTACTAAGCGCAGTCAAAGAAGAGAAATGCACAGCTCTCTACGGCGTCCCAACCATGTTTTTGGAGGAACTTGGCCTCATTGAATCGGGAGAGATCTCCGATGATGGATTCCAGTACCTGCGAACAGGAATTGCAGCTGGAAGTAGCATTCCTTCGGAGCTGATGAAGAAATTGCACCGAGTACTCAATCTGACCGAACTCACCATTTGCTATGGGATGACGGAGACTAGCCCTGTCTCTGCTATGACGCATACAGATGACCCTATTGATAAGCGCTTGAAATCAGTTGGGCGCCTTATGCCGCATGTTGAAGCAAAGGTTGTGAATCCCGCAGATAGGAATGAGATTCTCCCCATTGAGAAACGAGGCGAATTGGCTGTCAGTGGGTATCTATTGATGAAAGGTTACTGGGGAGATCCCGAGAGAACAGCAAAGGAAATGTTTGCGGATGAGATTGGGAAGCTTTGGATGCACGTAAGTCTGCACTTAAAGAGACAGGCTCGGGGAATGAAGGCTGATTTTCATTGCAGACTGGCGATGAAGCGTCGATGTCACCAGACGGGTACATTACCATCACTGGTCGCATTAAGGACCTTATTATTCGGGGTGGCGAGAATATTCACCCATTGGAAATCGAAAATTGCCTGTTGGCACACCCTGGTATCGCCGAAGTGTCTGTGGTTGGTGTTCCAGACGACCGATACGGCGAAGTTGTTGCCGCTTTTGTGGTTCTTCGAGAACCAGATTCCGTTGGTGCTGAGGAGATCCAACAATGGGTACGGGAAAAGCTGAGTAGTCATCTTGGTGAGTATTTCGAATGCAAACGTCATTTGGATTGTTGTTATCGAACGCGAGGCAAGCCGAGGCTGACATATAATCTTGCAGTTCCCAAGTATGTTTTCTTTCCTGGGCCATCGGATCCTTCCCCGAAAACAGCAAGCGGGAAGATCCAGAAGTTTAAGCTTAAAGAGCAAGCTATAAAAATTCTGACCGAAAGAGTGAAAGACCCCAAAGAGGCTAAACATTGAAGGATGTATAATTTATACAATTTATCTAGTACTACCTATCAATAATCAGTCTGGGTTGAACAACAGTCCTCGCGACCTCGGGAGAACCTTGGAAGATCAATGATTTTTAGATAGTCTGATCTTTTGACTTTCGAGTTAAAGCACATTCTCAGCCCTGAAGATATTCAAAGTTTATCGGTGTTTCACATTCATTGAAATGTATTTGAGGGTCAAACTAGTAAATGTAGAAGTTATTTTGAAGGTTCAATCCGTTGAAGGTTGAAGCGTTGACCATTCCAAGGTTTAACATGCCATACATGTGACGCTGGTAAAGGGCAAGCAATTGATTATGTTCCAGTTCCTGCGACAGAATTCACAAAGGGCGAGCTGCTAGAGTTCGACACGAACTTCCGAGCGCATTTCTGGGCGTATTGGAACGTCACGTACGGGGTCATCGTTCTTTGAATATGGCTCGATCACCAAGCGATGCACTGTTCTTAAATATCGCCGAAGTCCCGTCGACCTCGACCCAAAACAGTCATCTGTCATGTTCCGGCAAGTGTTTGACATTGCGCTTTGTGGGTGACTGCCACAGCCAATGTACTGGGGAGCTTGTGAAGAGGATTAAAAGCTGAAAACACCATGCCAGCTCAAGTCCAGCAGAAGCGTCGTAAAATCCCAACTCCCCCATCGTGTATGGTGGAGATTCCTGTATTCCTGTATTCATTCTTCAATCAGAAGTCCTGAATGCCAGTCTCACCCTGAAGCTGCGCTCTGGCATTTTCGCCTTGAATTTCATCACCGACCACCCACTCCGGCTCCTCATCCTCAAAGTATTCATCCTGCAACTCAGATAAATCATCGTACTCTTCATTCTGATCGACAGTGGTATAGTCAAAATCATCATCATCGCCTCTCATAAAGCGCAGGCCCATCTCCCACTGCCACTGTTTCTCGCCCTCCTCCTTGCTGGAGGGGATATCATCACGGTCCTCGGCCAAGATTTCGCCGTTGGGGCCACGGGTATAATTCAACATGGAATGGGGATCGGGGTGCGCTAGCGCGTCCATCTTCGCCTCCGAACGCAGCAGGTCGGCCTGCAGGACGCCCGAGAATCCCTTCTCGCGCCCCTGCGCTTCCCGTTCCTGCGGAGTCTGAAATCGGCGGATGAGACGATCGTACAATAGCGGGTCTAGAATGGTATACCCAACCCGGTTAGCTTGTCAGGTTATTATTTCGCTGCTGTGGTTCTCGAGGCCACTGGAATCTGTGTTGGCAGCTAGGGAAGAGCAGGCGGACCGGCTAGCTCGAGCTCCGCCGAGTAGTATTCTGGATGTAGGTCCAGGTACCGCTTTCGACGGTTCTTGATTTGGAGTGCAGGATTTTGCGCGTCGGCAGCTTCATCTTTGTTGTGGGTGGTTCCGGAATCCATGGGGAAATGGGGCATATTGGTTGTTTCGGCTCTTGTTTGAGAGTCGTCAAGGCGGGGTTGGACGGCGAAAGTTGTCACGTCTCACAGCTTCTTATGCTGGGCTAGTGTTCCCGTTTGGGTTTAGTGCTTCAGCATGAGGAACCGCCGAACGGCGCTAGTCCGTATTAGTAGATATACTAGTCCACTCTGGGAATAAGAGCTAGCTGCTGACATGTGACCAATCAAAATCCATGATCTACCACAAAGTAGTACCCACTAGCCAAAGGCCAAGGGATCATCCCGCGACTTGACACAACTCGCGATTTGAGACCCTATACTTGAACTCCATTAAATCACAAATAGCACTCTTCACTATCATATTTGCACTTGAATTTCACTTCTTTGTTGGGCTGTGTATCGGCTGCGATAGATTGTAAATTTTTCAAGTCGCAGATCGGACAGAAAGGGAGTGCGGTGTGGATAGGCAGAATAGGTGAAGTCAATATTTCGTTTCAAGTCTGTTTTTGTCTTGTATCTCGGGTTTCATGGGAATGGGCCACTAGTTAATATTCTCTGAGTAAATTTGGTTCGATCTCGAGGCATCAACCACACCAGACATTCATCATGTCGATTGGGCAATTTGTTCAGAAGATCGATGCCTACCGGCTTGGAACCGGTGTGGCATTGCTGTTCCTAGCTGCCTTTTATTCCCCTGTCATGGTGATGGTGCTATCCCCTGTCTTTGGCTCTCACCCCGTGCATCTCTTCCACAGCTACGGCGTGGCTATTGTTGGTGCTGCTGGATGGTTCGCAAAGGACCAGATCCAAAGACGACTGGGTCGTCTTGCTGCTTATATGCTTCCTGTCCTGGCATTCTGGACCCCCACGTTGCAATATTTTGTGATGCAGCAGAGCTCTCAACTGGGAAATCCGATTGGTCCAATTGTCACTGAGCTGTTCGGCTACTACCCCCTGTTGGTGTTGACTGTGGCCATCGCTGGTAAGCAGATCCAGGCCGCTTTGAACCTTGAGTCGCATGGAGAGGTTGCGGCGGAGCACATCCCTCTCCTGGGATCGTATCTCATCTACTCTGTTTGTGAGCGCATTTCCCACGCAATCTTGGCCCGTGTCATCGGTACTACCGTGCTCTTTACCCGCGCTGGTATGCAATTTGTCATTGCTATCTTCTATGCGGTTGTTGTTCCTAAGTCCAAGCTCCTGCTTCTGGCCATTCCATCCGTGCTCTTTAGCATCACTGCTGATGTCCACTTGGGTGGAATTGGTGCTGCAAACTCCGCCCTCCAACATGAGGGTTACTCTCTTTTGGCTCGTCAGGAATCCTCTACGGGATATCTTTCGGTTTTGGAGAACGACCACGATGGCTTCCGTGTGCTGCGTTGTGACCACAGTCTTCTGGGTGGACAGTGGACAAAGTCTATCCCCGGATACCAGCCCCAAGTTGAAGATCCTATCTACGCCGTCTTTGCTATGCTCGAAGCTGTTCGTCTTATTGAACCTGATAACGGTGTCCACCGCGTGGACGCAGACAGCAAGGCATTGGTGATGTAAGTCATAACAGCCACATCCGCGATTTCTAGAGACTAACTCACGACAGCGGCCTTGGAATCGGCACTACTCCTTCGGCCTTGATTAAGCACGGCATCGATACCACAATTGTTGAAATCGATCCCGCTGTGTACAAGTTTGCAACTGAGTACTTCAATCTGCCATCCAACCACGTCGCAGCCATTGAGGATGCAACAACATTTGTCAAGAAAGCACAAAAGACTGCCACTCAATACGACTACATTGTCCACGATGTCTTCACCGGTGGTGCCGAGCCATCCGAGCTTTTCACCTGGGAGTTCTTAACGGATCTGCGCGCACTGCTCAAGGATGATGGTGTCATTGCTATCGTATGTTCTTTCATCCCCACAATAATCATTATTTATCTTCATTTCCTAACTCGGTCCATTTTAGAACTACGCCAGCGACATTGCCCTCTACCCCACGGGCCTGATCGTCCGCACTATCAAAGCCGTCTTCCCGTCCTGCCGTATCTTCCGCGAATCAGAAGCAAACCAGGACGACGCGACCTCTGACTTCACTAACATGGTTCTCTTCTGCAAGAAGACCAAGGACTCGTCTTTGGACTTCCGCAAGCCGACCTCGGCTGATTACCTAGGCAGCAAGGCTCGTGAAAGCTATCTGCTGCCGAGACATGAGATCGATTTCTCCTTGTTCGACACCGTTCCCAACAAGGGCAGACGCTTCCTTGTCGCGAAGGAGGTCAAGCGTCTGGACAAGTTCCAGGATCGAGCTGCGCTCGAGCATTGGGAGATTATGAGGAAGGTTCTTCCTGCTGCCGTGTGGGAGAACTGGTAAACCTTCAATTTTCAAACAAACAGAAAATTCTGTTCTCTTTTGGATGCACTTTGCTATTTCTTTTCCGGTACGTCCTGTGTTTTTAGAAGATTATTTTATTGTGGGCTTTGCATAAATTGGTGTTTCTCAGTGATTATCAATCTACTGTACCAAGCTGAGTCTTGTTGTCTGTTTGTAATGAGGGAGATTGATTGGATTGTATATCTACATACATTGATAGCACTTGAGCTATTTTGAATTGAAAATAAATAAGACTTCATATTGGTATCATTATCTAACACCCGCAGAAAACCATTGGAGTGTCCTAAGAAAAGACTATGAACAGACCAAACCTTTCAAACAATCCAAATCCTCTGCCTATATTGAAAGATTTTTGCCGTCACCGAGGCCGACGCGCCTAACCCGCTCCACCGCACAAACACACACAATATGTACGCTCGGAGAACTAGAATACAACACGGAGAAGACACGAGACAAAGAAGGAGAACTACTGTGATGGGCTGCCTCGAGGGCTGCTGCCGGGCTTCTTGACGAGACCGGCAAAGAAGTTTGCGAGGGCTTGGTTGTGAGCCTTCTCGTCGCCTGGATTTGGCGGGCCCTCTTTGCGTTGGGCACGACTGGCCTCGCGATCCTATGTGTCTAGTTAGTAAAGTATTCGTTAATCGTAAGATAATGATATTTGTGGAAACTTACCCGCAGCTTTTTCAACATGTCATCTGCATCGACCTGGATGCCACCCATGTTGAACTGGACAGGACCAATGTGCTCGTTGACTCGCCCCTGATCATCCATTGGCGACATCTCCAGTGTCGGCACCGGCTCGTTCGCACGATCCTTTTCATCCTTGACCTTAAGCTGTTCGAGCATCTCAAGCTGTTGTGTAAGGAACCCTTGCAAATCAGATGTCTCAACTTCAATCTTAGTTCCATTGCTTGTTGTGCTCGGGTGGGCGATGGTTGTATCGCGCTTGGGATCCTTGATGGTCTGTTCAAATACTGTGACTGCACTAGTCCCATCCTCTTCCGGCTCATGTTCTTCATTAGGCTGGCTAAGAGGCTCGGGGGCATCTTGGATCTCAATTGACCAGGCTGTTGAGGCTCCTTCCATATCGAATCCTTCGCGAATGATCCGAATCTTTCCCCATGAGTCCCAGTTCGCGGGAACGAGGATCTTATCTCTGTCGATCACATTATGTTTTAAGGATTGTCGTTTCAAGAGAGAGTGTATACCCAAGGATGAGTGAATTAGGCTCTGCAAAGAGTTGGCATGGAACGGTGTTGTATAAATGAGCGATGCGCCGTCTGCCTATTGTTAGATGAATCGAAAAAAACGATAATTGAAGAGTTGGAGGTCCTTACGCTTTAGCAAGATCGTTCTCAGGAACTGGAGGATGAAATCGAATTGTTCCTCATGCCAGCCGTGATCCTTCTCCAATTTCTCGATATTATCAGCCTGCGAGATAGATTTTGGTTAGCCAATGGAATGCCGTGAAACTTGGAGCTTTGGCCCACATACTCCCTGACAAACCACACACATTGGGACTCCCAGCCCTTCGTCCCATTCACCGGGTCCCAAGGGTATTGTGACTGGGCCTCCGGAATTCGGCAAGCTTCCTGCAGCTCCCGCGCTGGCATCCATTCCTCTTTTACGATCGCGCCATTCCGTCATGGTCTCCTCCATCACGATCTTTGTATCATCATCAAGGGAAACGAGAACAGAGCGGAGAAGGCGAACCCATTCTCTTAGTCGCCGGATCCAGGTCCATGGATCAGACCAGTCCATAAGAATGACGACCAACGTTTCCGGCACAGATTGAGGGGTCAGGAGAGGTTTAAGAAGAGGTGCAAATGATGGAGAGGGTTCAGACAGGAGGTAGGCCGAGACACGCGCCAGAGTATCTTGATGCACATGTTAGTATATTTGAGTCCAAAGAGCATACAAAAGCTTGATTGTTGGGACACATACCTTCTTGATCAGCATCGAGAACATCTCGATATGTGTATCCGAGGGCAAACTGATTGGCAATTGGAGGTGTCTTCCCCTTTCGCTTTCCATTTACTAAGTTGGGATCGGTTGAGGTATCGGCTGAGAAAGTATCTAAAAATTCTCTTTGACTTTCAGGTGTACCACCTTTGTATCCAATAGTCAGCTTCCATTTTCTATTCACACGAAGCAAGAGCTCCGACGACCCCACCGTCCAAGAGCATATATCACGTAGAATGACGTACCGAGAATCAAAAGGTTCTTTTCGGGCAAGCGCTTTCCATTAGCGACACCATCAAGAAGAGAGGACCAAATGTTCTTTTTTGAGCCATCTTTGCTTGTTGGGCGACTATTATTGCTGGGGCCCTTAGACCCGCGATTCGGACTGGAGGACATCCTCTGGTCTACACCCACCATGCCTCACAGAGCATGTACCATTCCAACCAGTGGAAATAGCGTATGTGTGTCTAGCGAAACGCGTTCAAAAAAGCGTCGGAGTCGGGGGCGGAGGGAAGTCGAAGCAGAACGCGGTCAGGGGAATATGGAAGTGGGGATGGGACCGATATTGACTAGAGCCCGCGGTAGACGAAATCGGCGTGATTTGCGGGAAAGTATCTCAAAAGATAAGTATCGAAATCTAGGAAGCCTAATAGTCCTCAAACAAAGGCGTCGGCGTGGCAGGGGGGAAAGGGTGTTCTTGCGTGAGTAAACAATTGGTGATTTTACGGTTCCGCAGATGGCTCCGGGTGGAACCCTTTTCTTTCCTCACGAAGCTTAAGGTTCCTCTCTTTAACTACCCCCAACCACCCACCATGAACTCAATCCGCCAGGTGCAGGCGCTCAATAAGCGTGAGCTGGAAAATGCTATGTGAGTGAAGCTGGAAATTGAATTTCTCTCACATATCCTCGCTGTTCTATAAGCTAACATGGTTCTTGTCTTAGACCACCTGAGGCCTCATGGCATGCGGACTACCGTGACACAGCGTATATCTACATCGGCGGACTTCCCTTCGATATGACAGAGGGCGATATCATCACAATCTTCTCTCAGTACGGAGAGCCGGTTTTTGTCAAGCTGATCCGCGACAAGGAAACGGGCAAGAGCAAAGGCTTTGCGTTTCTCAAATATGAAGATCAGCGCAGCACTGATCTTGCGGTGGACAACCTGGGCGGTGCAACGGTTCTAGGCCGTATGCTGCGAGTCGATCATACCCGATACAAGCGACGCGAAGACGAGGAAGAAGAGGATAACGTCGCAAAGCTGATGGGTGATGCGACAGTCAGTGAGAATAAGCCTAGCGACCAACATGCAGTATCTGGCAAGACAGAGCGCGAGGAGAAACGGCCCTTACTAAAGGAAGAGAGGGAATTGCAGGAGATGATTTTGAACCATGACGACGAAGATCCAATGAAGGAGTTCCTTATTGAAGAAAAGAAGGAAGAGGTTGCACGTGCAATCGAGAGATACAGCAACAGTGAGAAAAAGTCATCCCGACGCCGGGACGATAGCAGAGAGCGGTCAAGTCGGCACAGTCGTCGGCACCGTTCTCGCGAGCGCGAGCGAAGACACCGAGACGATCGTTCTCCTGGTCGAGAGAGGACCACCCGGCGGCGCTCGACAGATCGTGAAAGAAGATCCCAAAGAGACCGAACCCCGGTTGGTTCTCGCGATCGCGATCACGATGATCGCTCGCCCGCTTATGAGAGAAGACCGAGGCGTCGGTCACAAGATAGGTCTAGGAGAGAACGGACGCCAGTGAGATCACGTTCGCCAGAGTCACGGAGATACCGAAGTGACCGACACCGAGACCATCGTCGCTGAATTTGATCAAATTCCATTGCTGGGTAAGGTTTTAATTCAATTTCGTGTCTTCCCTTACCAACCACCTCCTACTACGATCATCCTTTGATTCGTCTCAACCAAGACATTGTGAAAGCAATATCTACGTCACATCAATCCATGGCCCAAAACGAAAAAGCAGCTTGGAAGTCCGACTTTGGGGAAATTAATGCAATCCACGGGGGATAAATTACTATGTACAATTCATAAGACGAGCAAGAAATCTGGAATGACTATCTGTTACCGTCTTCAGCCACCAAGATATCGTTTCCACCCATCTCTCATACAATATCGCCTTCCATCGTCGCCATCCCGAAGAACGAACTTCTCCCAGCGGCATTCTCTACCCGAGCCAATGACCAAAATGGTCCGATCATCCTGCCAGCCGATGACGCCTTTGGGTGGTCGACCCAACGATGACCGCAGTCCTGGTACTGACGGTGACCCTGGAATTGCCGCATCACCCATCTCAAAATGTGCACTCGAAAATGAGTACACGTCTGAGAATACTCGTGGCATGAGGGGCAATTTGCTCAGGATTCCCCACTTTTGATTTGAACCCTCTTCTGTTGCAGATATCTGAGATCGGCTGGGGCCCGCAGCATGGTTTGGATGAGGTACATCGAAGATGTGCAGGGTAGACTTGTCGGATGTCACGGCCAGGAGGATATTGTTGGGTGAAAAAGATAGAGAGAATATCACTGCATGGTCCACACCTCGGCGAAGCTCCGCCAGTTTCGTACAGTTTCCCGCCGAATACACTCGAATCAAAGTGCCCTAGTAAATGATTAATGAATTGTCAAAAGGGTGGAACATGGTAAAGGTCTTACTGCTTCACTCGCTGTAGCTAGCACTTCTCCGTCAGGACTTAAAGCCATTGCACGCAAGGAAGAGCTGTGTGCCGGTATGATGCTGATATTCCCCGTTTCCAACTCTATCAATTGCACCTGTCCTGGGGACCGACCGGGAAAAGCGAGTACCTTCTGGCCTAAACAGGCCAAGCCCAGTGGGTTGTCTGATGTTTCAAAGACGGATAGCTTCTGCGGTGGCGTCGAGAAGGCAAACATGTGAATGCTGTTTAGCAGTGCGACGACGATTCGGGACTTCGATAAGCGAACTCCGAGGACTGAGGTGCGAAATTCGAGGGTGATAGCGGCTTTTTGTTTCGCATCGTCCCAGATTATGAGCTGTTGGTTCAGAGGATCAGTATGGGAAGTTAGAGGCGAGGTAAAGCCATGAAGCTGACCTTGTTCTGAGGAAACTTGGGGTTTCGTCCGCCACCAACAATGGCGAGGTAGTTCGATTGGCCAAGCATCTCAACTACGCCAATACCAGCGTTGAAGTCTATGGAAAAGACGAATAACCTCATGTCAGTCGCAATAGCTTTAAGTTGAGGTACGGGACACGCTCACCTCTGGATACTTTTAGCTCACATGGATTGGCATTGAAAACTATAGGATGAATGTCAGTATCTGTTGTTTGCTCCCAAGTCTTCTGTTACTTGAGGTAGGTTAGATAAACTCTTGTCGGGTCTCTGGCCGGCCTTACCACAGAAGCCAGTGTCCAAACCCACCGAGAAGCAACTGCTGTCATGGTTGAATGTAGCCGATAGTGAATATGGCCCGACGGACTCATCGATAACTTGGCGAGTATTCATGGTCGCGAAAACATGACGTGAGAGGGTGAGAACTTTTCAAAGTTGTTGGTTGTATGGTATTGAGAAGCTGGGGTTAGGAAACGGGGGAAGCTCAGGTGCGGATCAGCGATAAGAACCAAGATGCGGGCAGCTCCATACTTATCGCGTCCGCGATTAACAGAAAAACCCAAAAAAGAGATCCACGGTTGCCTCAGGCGCTACAGGCGGAGTGCTTAGGTAATGCTCCGGCGGCCAGGAGCGACCCACCATGACTAGCAACCCCTGAGTGTTGATATTCGTGGTTTATGGGCGCATAGAGCAAAAATGAAGAAAGGTATGAGAAAGGCAAGATTAGAGAAGCTGGGATATAGCTATAAATGATTCAAAAACAAACGAATTGGGGTTCAATATAAGTAAGCAAGAGGTAGTTCGAAGTACAAGCTGGAGAAAGAGGGTGTCCCGTGATTGGCCCGCACCCCAAAGGGAAAGGGGGAAACACGAACTGTCTTTCCTTCCCCCCCCTACGACTTAAACAATCCAGGACTTCAGGAGAGTTTCACCCTTTCCCTTTCTCTTCTTCCTTGCTTTGGATACCCCCCATCCTATTCCTTTTTCTTGTTCTTTTCTTGTTCCTTTTTAGTTCACAATGTCGTCAGCCCTTAACGCGGTATGTGTTTCCCCTTTTATTTCCCATGGGAGACCCCGAGTTCAATGGGGGAGATATTCATACCTCTCCGCCCTCAAGGGAAAAAATTAATTGCTTAGTACCCAAAGCTGACACAAGTCCCCACCGTGGGCAGATGAAGATCCGTCGCAAGAAGAATGTCAAGAAGGGAATTCAGTTCTGTTTGATGGTGTGCGGTGCCAGCGGAACTGGTATGCTCGCAATCCTCCCCCCGAAATCGACCTCGCCAATTGCCCACTGACCATTGCTCCTTTCAGGTCGCACAACCTTTGTGAACACTCTCTGTGGCAAGCAAGTTCTAGAAGGCAAGGATGCCGACGATGCGGAGAATGCTCATTTGGAAGAAGGCGTCCGCATCAAGCCCGTCACTGTCGGTGAGTACCCTGGAACTGGTTCATATTCTTCATACCGGAATACTTCTGGGATGGTCTGATCTAATCCTTTTTTGTGATATGAACAGAGCTTGAATTGGATGAGGAGGGAACCCGCATCTCTCTTACCATTGTTGATACCCCCGGTTTCGGTGATCAGATTGACAACGAGGCCAGGCATGTTTCCCATTACCTTTGTCGAAACTATGGATCCCGCCACTAACCAAAATTTGCAGCTTCGGCGAGATTGTTGGCTACCTTGAGCGCCAATACGATGATATTCTTGCTGAGGAGTCCCGAATCAAGCGTAACCCCCGCTTCAGAGACAACCGTGTGCACGTTCTGTTGTACTTCATTACCCCCACCGGACACGGCCTCCGCGAGCTCGACATCGAATTGATGAAGCGCCTGTCTCCCCGTGTTAATGTCATTCCCGTCATTGGAAAGGCCGACTCTCTCACCCCCGCAGAATTGGCCGAGTCAAAGAAGTTGATTATGGAGGATATCGAACACTACCGCATCCCCGTCTACAACTTCCCTTATGATGTTGAGGAGGATGATGAAGATACCGTTGAGGAAAATGCTGAGCTCCGTGGCATGATGCCCTTTGCCATCGTCGGCTCGGAGGATTTCGTTGAGATTGATAACCGCAAGGTCCGCGCCCGTCAGTATCCATGGGGTGTGGTCGAGGTTGAGAATCCTCGGCACTCGGACTTCCTTGCCATCCGCAGTGCTCTTCTTCACAGCCATTTGGCCGATCTGAAGGAAATTACTCATGACTTCCTTTACGAAAACTACCGTACCGAGAAGCTCAGCAAGAGCGTGGATGGTGTTTCTGGGTATGTTTGCTCTTTTCGCGGTATCATTAATTATGGCGCTAACTTGTTTTCCAGAATCCATGATTCCAGCATGAACCCCGAGGATCTCGCCAACCAGTCAGTCCGCCTCAAGGAGGAGCAGCTCCGTCGTGAGGAGGAGAAGTTGCGCGAAATCGAAATCAAGGTGCAGCGCGAGATTGCCGAGAAGCGGCAGGAGTTGCTGGCTCGTGAGAGCCAGCTGCGGGAGATTGAAGCCCGCATGGCACGCGAGGCAAGCCAGAGCAATGTCAGCGAAGCCAATGGAGAGGCCTAGATATACCCTGTCGACGATGCGGCTTTTTTCAGCGGGGCGCCGGTTCGCTAAGTGATACCGTTTGTGCCAAAATCATATGGACTTCGTGGCACGAAGTTGGTTTTTGTTTATGGGGATAATATTGACTGTTTATTCACGTTAATAGCTTTTTTTTTCTTGTTTTCTTCTACTTCTTTCTCTCTTCCCGATTTCTCTGTGGAGATGGGCAAAATCTCAACATAGTGTGCAAGTCTTCAGCTTTCGGCGATGGGAAATTGCATTTCGGTTTCTGAAAACCAACTCATCCATGACTCGGTTTTTGATTATACCCAGCTCCAGCTTTCTTGTCTACTTGTTGGATGTCTCCATTTCCAATACACCAGACCATCTGGAGAAAAGAAGAACCCACCATCCTTTGTTTACTTTTTGCTACCTTTGCCCACCTCACTTCTACTTGAAGTACGAATATCTGTCATATTCCCCTCCCCTTTTATCTTTTGCCCCCAGTTTGTTTTATTTGTCCCTGGGGGGTTTCGTTTCTTCCTGTTTCGATTTATCGTCGCCCCTGGCACATTGTCTAAAGTCCGCAGCGCAGATTCCCTCCTCGTTTTGTGTTTTGTGAGCTATCATCTCTATCCTCCGTTTTATCCGTCATAGCTTGGTAGTGAATGAGAAAAGTATACTGGTCCTATTCCTTTCTTTTTTTTTGGCAGGTCTTTGAGGGCGTACCTAGACTAAATCTATATGCATGGACCGCCACATTTTGACCTAAAGCATTTGACAGTACATACCATCCACCTAGTACCACTTATTAGTGCATACACTAGGTAGGCAATTCAAACATTGATTTCCTGGCCCCACATCCGGAGCCGCTGCTCAGGCACCGCATCCATTGATATTTACCCGTACCTACTAGTACTCCACCAGGTAGGTGGGAATTTGTTGCAAGGCGGATCGGACATCATCACAGACTTGCTATGAAAGTCCCACCCTCCTGGACTTCAGAGTTGGTCCGAGATCAATTTACACCTGGGCAGTTTGAAACTTCAAATGTGTGGAAGGACGCAAGTGCAGGTAGACTGGTCACAAAATGGACTGTTTTTGCCTTTTTTTGCTTTTTTTTTCTTCTTTGGCTGATCAACATAATTGATAACTCACGTATTCCAAGGTTGCAAAGAGACGCAGTACTTTAGCCCTGGGGGTGATTCCCATGTGATATGTCAGCATCCTCTCCTGACCGTCCTCAGAGCCTTCAATATTGGAACTGCAGGTGGGCACTCAATACTTCAAACATTGGACATTATTGCTTATGTATACACATTTACTTGTACCTGCTGGCTAGTACACCTCAGTGATTGGAACATGCCTACTACTTAGTGACAATGAAGATTGATCTATCTGGTGACCTACGCCCGCTACTCCAACCTCAGATGTTTGATGGGCCGGTTCGGGAGGTACTAGGTCCCCAGCTGAGCATAAATCCATGGGCATGGATAGTATACTTAAAATGTTTCAATGTTCCGAGGCCCTTCACTCTATGTAGGGCTCAACAACTTCCTTCAAATGTTTGAAGGTTGGGAACAATATTAGAAATGGGCTTGGAAACATTGAAGGCAATCATCGAAAATGATTTAAAGCTGCTATGCTCGAAAGCCTATAAAAGAAACACGTCCTGATTGATGGCCTAGAGCAAGTAGGCCGCCATGCACTGCACTGCGACAGCTCGGTCGAAAATCAGGAGGAAGCCATAGTGCATCTTTGCCGTTCAACTTGACCCACTGCCCCGAGCATTCAGTGAAGATCTCTAGATTTTCATGACTCGAGTTTGAAGGCTGCTGAATAACTCCAGGCGGAATGTGGTGACGCCCATTATTGCTCATTATATATGAACCATCATTAGAAAATTTAAGGTATCTGATTCCGTCACCCAAATCACTGAAAGCATGTAGCAGGATGGTTGTTTTGCACACTGCTTGATCACAGGAGCCAGACGCTAGCAACCGGCCGTTAGGCGAGAAGGCCATCATATCAACCTGCGACGAATGGCCCACAAGCCTCTTCTGCATCGGGTTCATTTTTGTGTCCCAGAGGCGAATTGTCCCGTCATAGGAGCTAGAAGCCAGTTGGCAGCCATTCGGCGAAAATGAAACCGATCTGACACCATCTAAATGACCGTCGAGCGTCTGCTGGAGCGCCCCAGTTGATGTATCCCAGAGACAGACTGTCCTGTCCTCGGAGCCAGACGCTAGCATCTGGCTCTTAGGTGAGAACGCCACTGATTTGATTGGACCCGAATGGCCCTTGAGTGTCTGCTGGACCACTCCAGTAGACGTATCGCAGATATACACTGTCTTATCATGAGAGCCTGACGCCAGCAGCCTGCTATCTGGGGAAAAGGCTATTGGTCCATCTAAGAGGTGGGGTTTCAACAGCTGCCCCTCGCTTTCAAATAAGGGCATTATATCCCGTCGCTCGCTCGGATCCCAACGATCGCAAACGACAGTAACGGAGCCTGATTGGATCTCAAATCTCCGCTGAAGCGTGCCCGTCGGCATGTCCCAGAGGTTTGTAATCATGACCCAGTCCCCTTCATCCACATGCAAGACGCTCGTGTCTATATTCAAAGTACCATGGGTGTAGGGTAAACACACCGGCTCCTTCATACCATAGAGGCAGTTGTCTTTCTGAGCTTGATAGCCGTATAAATTACAATGCCAGGAGCTGGACGCCAGCAATCGGCCATTTGGAGAGAAGGCTACTGACAAAGTCGGACCTAGTAAGTGGTCTTCAAGCGTCTGCTGTAGCTGTAGCGCCCCTGTTGGGATGTTCCAGAGCCACAGAGTGTTATCCCGGGTGCCAGCTATGAATTGACCATCTGGTGAGAAAGCCACCGAGCGAGTCCAGATTTGGCTCTTAGGAAACATCTTCACGCCCGGTACACCCCCAGAGGCCATGGAAAGTGAGAGATCCACTGAGTCAATCGAAATTTGATGGCCCTTAATCACCTGCCGTAGGGCCCCGGTCGCTGTGTCCCAGAGGTACACCGTCCCATCCCTGCCAGCACAAGCCAATAACTGACTATCTGGTGAAAATGCCATTGAATCGACTGGCTCATTGAGAGGATCCCCCCAGCCAAGTTTGCGCTGCACAACTCCTGTCACTGTGTCCCAGAGGAGGGCTGTATCATCCCAACCGGAGCCCGACGCTAACATCCGACCGTCAGGCGAGAAGGCTACGAAGCAATGTGAATATAACTCATCTGTAGCTTCTTCAAGCTTTTCTAACTCTGGACTCCATTGTTCCTCAACTTGCGGTAGCTGATTCAACCAAGTGGGAATGTCTGCTTCAAACCGGGTTCGGATTATTGACGTATGGGGGGTGAAAATAAGCCCTGCGCAATAAATCTGAAGAGGCGCCTTATTGGCCATATAGTGATTTCTGTGAATAAAACGTCTGGCATCCCGAAGAAATTCCGATAGTTCTGGATGTCGCTCTACCTTTTCAGGCATATCTATTAGTACAAACATTGATTGGGCCACCTTTTCTCTAACTTACAGATATCGCCATCTGAAGAGTACTAATAATCCCTCCTATTTCCGACGCAAAGCCTAGTAGGCTCAATGCTTCTACCCAATGTAGGAAATGCTCTCCAAGGAACGACAATGCGGTATTCATAATACCATGAATATCTGTACATTGGGCGAAATGGAATGCCCAGTATCGACAGGCATATTGTAAATCGAGAGGTAGGTATTTGTTGATAGTCTGGCGGTCAACCTCTGCCCGTTTGGTTCCATCGCTCTGTAATTCACATATATTCTTCCGAAGAATCTGACATAGTACACGGAGGCACTGGATTGTCATTGTGTGGTGTGCTTGAGACTTGTCGACCCAAAAAGGAGTCTTGCTGCAGGTTTTAGGATCAAGCATGAAATTCCGAAATGATAGGTGAAAGAGTCGCACTGGTGAATCTTTGTCGTCAGGGATACTCAGTACTGAGTGTAGGGAGTTAAGTCTGAGATAGATGGTCCTCTCGGGGACTTCAATAAGTCTTGAAAGTGAGGTCACTGAAAGTGGGTTCTCAAGTATCAGGATTGCGCCCACTATCTTATGAAATTCCTGTACAAGCTGTTGCCTTTGCTTTTCTGATTGTCTCCGAAGAATTCGATTCAGCACAGGAAGATATGTGCCATCTAGTTTGGATTCATCATGCTGATAGGCGAGAATTTCCGGAAGACTGTCCTGTGGGTCCCAATCAGGGTCCTCAAATACGCGACATATTGTAGCGGCGAAGATGAAAAGTGGCATAGATAGTGCCACTAACTTTTGGAGGTTTGTAACTCCAGGCCATTCAATGGGGAGAGGAGGATCCCGCTCTTCTCTTATATCCGATAGTCGGTGACGGAAGAATAATGATAAATCATGTTCGATAGCTTCATTCGAGATTTCATGGAGGACTAGGTTGCGGCTTGTGAGCTTCCTGAATCCCAGTCGAATTGGTAATTCGGGCCTGCTAGTTAAGAGAACTTGTAGGCGTATACTAGCTTTCTGTATTTGTAGCTGTGGCAAAAGCTGTAGGATAAGTTGTATATCCTTTTCATTCTCACACTCGTCCAACGCGTCAATTATTATCACCGAAGTCCGGATTGGATGATCAGGTGGCACGAGGGCGAGCAGTGGTTGATGAAGTAACTTGTCAAATTGTTCCTTTATCCCCTTGAATGCAATCCTGGGGTCATCCTGTACTGCTTTCTGCACACCGGGTTTCAGCGTTGGAAGGTTATTCACTAGCTGCCCTGCAATTGTAGGAAAGAGTTTCGTCGCATTCCCTCGATCCCCCTCGCCGCTCTTGAAAAAGAAGGTTGCCCCTAGAGTTTTTGTTTCGCTGAAGAATTTTGCTGCTGTCCGCGAGATAGTCGATTTTCCTGTTCCAGCCATTCCATTCAACCAAAAGATGCATCGCCCCTGCGATGGCTCTGAGAAAGCCCACTCCCTAATTTGGTACAGGACATCGGTCCTCGTGCCCTGGAGACACTCATCTTCATGCCGATTCTCCAATGAGTCAAAAGCTGCTGCATGCACCATGGGCAACTGTTCAGCAAGGTCTAACTTAAGTCAGCAAGATGCACTCTATGCAACGACTCCTCGACTAACTTGAGGTAGCATAGAACTGGTTATTAATCTGGCCGTGATTGATTGCGACCTGCGATCCAGAATTCGATGCACCGAATGCTATCGTTGGATCCATAATCACCGCGACAGACGATGTTAGCTAGGTTTAGAGAGGGAATTGTGCGGGGTACTGGAAGATGAGCTGGCAACCTGGACTCCCATCAGGTGACGTGCTTATTGCTGTAAGATCAAGGCCATTGGAATCATAGGGCCCAAGTAAAAAGAGAAGGAGAAGAGAGTAAAGGAGGTTAAGTGATTTAAAGCGAACCTATATGGCTTATCACATATTCATTTCTATGAATAGTTTGGACTGAATGACTACTCCCTAGAGCAACTCTGACAATAAGCCACGCTGGGGGCCAATCATTTCCAAGGCTGCCCAGGCATCCATGGATATACTACCATCAGGATTACAAGCAAAGTGAAGCTAAGAGGAGAGAGCAAGCTGGTTAGAAGATTCGAATCAGAAAATAACCTGGACATCACGCAGGCCATGCAGAATAGAAAAAGTAACGAGGAAGAACTAAGATAAGAAGTAATGAAAGAAATGAATAAAATTTTAAGAAAAGGCGAAGAAGAGAAAAATGCAGAAGATGTAAGGGGAGAAACAGCGAGGTGAAAAGAGAAAAGCAGACACGCAAGAAGTGGTATTTGCGCTCCATTGTACACACATAAACGAGACAAGAGAGGAACATCTTACTGAGGTTCTTTTGAGAAAACAAGTTTGAGAGGATGTGAGGTTGAAAGGTGAGAGATGGTGTGGACCGGACATTTGTCAAGACCTAGTATACACCACCAGTGAATACCGACAAGAAATGTGTTCGGTTGAGGTAAAACACGGGGGGAGAGAGAGAGAATTACGGTGGTAAGCCGAAAGGTAGAGAATATGGCGATGTCAAGGACTGGCAGAAAATCTACTTTTTTGGCTTGCATTTTGGCTTGGTCGCCATGGTCTGCCTAGTCCAGAATACCCAGGCCAGCCAAAGAATCCAGGACCCTAGATTCCCTGAATGCCAGACTCTTTGATCAAGGAGGGCCGAAGGAGAGAGGAGAACAAGAAAATTGCAAATATTCTTGCCAAGGTGTGTGTGAGACTGGCTGTAATTAAACCTGCTGAGGCTTGCTCCAAAAGTCCAAGCTGGCAACCACGTCTTCGCCTTTCTCGTCTTCATATGCATAGATGATCTAGATTGTAACGTCAGTAAGTAATAACAACAAAGTTTGGTTTAGAAAACATACTTCTCTGGTGGAAGAATGTAGCATCCGGATGTTTCTCCCAGTCATGATGTGAATCAATTCACTTGTTTCAACATGTCGGATCTCAACAAAGTTGGGCTCAAATGCCAGGATGTATGGGTAAGAGAGTGCGAATGCATTCGGGTTGCCCTCCCAAGAGATTCTCCAGTCCGGACGAGCTCGCCATCCATTGCGGTTGACAAAGAACGAGAAATCACTATAATTCAGCAGGAACTCTCCGTTCATGCGTTCAATGTGGATAGGCTTCACGTTTTCCTTGCGTGCAACGAAGTCAAGGGAGGTATCGGCTTGATCCAACAGGGACTGGGTCTCCGTAGTCTCGAGACTGACAACCTCAAAACCACGCGCGCAACCAACACATAAAGTTGAACGCAGGAAATGGATTGACGAAGATTCAGCTGGGATATAATATTCCTTGAAAGGCTTCAATGTATCCTGGCCACTTTGGAACATTTTGCTCACGGCGGATTTCTTCTTTCCCTTTGCCAAGTTATCCATTGGTTCGTAAACCTTGATAGTGCTGGACAAAGCCGAAGTCTTGACTGAGCAAACAAGGTGTCGCCCGAGACCAATACCTGCTTTGAAGAAGTTTGCATGGCCCTGGATCTTTTTCGGGCGCTTGGCCATGGCATTCTGACCCTCGGTCAACTCAAGAGCTTCCATGGGATAGGATGATAGAGTCTTATTTGCCAATACCAAGAGCAACTGATACTCTTCCAAGATGTCGATTTGCGTAACCTGGCTGGCCTCCAGAACGCGACGAGGTTTGGCCGATTTCTCCTTAGGCCAGCGATCAGATAGGTAGATACCGCTGTCAGTACCATAGACCAACTTCCGACCTCCATCTGTTGAATAGTTAGTAAAGCACAAGACTTGCGGACGTTGGGACTGAACCTACCAACTGGGACAAGACAATTGACACGGTTGATAGCAGAGAAGAAATTCTCGCAGAGGACTGTCTTGTTGTAAAAGTTGCTATTTCGCTCCCAAAGCTTTCTCTGTTGTTCTTCCACCATTTCGATGAACTTCCGTCTCTGAGTTGGCGATGTGGCATACAGTGTCTGTTCGTAGCCTCCCTTTCCGAGATGCCTGAATGTGATTGGCAAGCCACCATCCTTGGCAGGAGGGGGGTTTGGCGCGGCTTTGTTGGGCAACAGGCTAGATGAGGGGCGTTTCGCAATTCCCAGACGTGGAACAACTTCATCCATCTGAGCAATCACCAGTAGCTCAAGAGGGATGGGCTTCTTGTAAACTCGGTACTCTTCCCGCTTGTTCACAATTTTGATGCGAACAAGAAGAACTGCGTGATCAAATAGATAAGCGGTGACTTCTGAACTCTCGGCAGTGGTCTTCTTGAATGCCATCTTCGAGAGCATTTGACGATTTTCCTCTGTGAGTTTCAAGTCCACATAGTCGCCAGGGCCAAACTTTAGTGCAGCATTCAGCTGCACCAGGTTGAAATGATTTTCAGCTTTACCACTTTCAGTGTTTACACGGGACAAGAAACTCTTGATCATCTTCACAGCCTCGGGAATGTCTTTCTTATCCGGGTTGTCATCCGCGGTATGTTTCAAGACCGACTCAAGAAGGAGGGGGTATCGAGCCAGACGAGTTGTGGGTTTGGTGAGGTAACCATTCAACTCCAGCTTTCGGGACTCCTTAAGACGCTCGGTGTCATCAACAAATTTAGAAAATGGCTGATTTGATGCCTTTTCCTTTTCAAATTCATACTTTCCGTAAAGCTGATTGGCACCATATTTGATGAAAGGATCGAATCGAGGCACGTGTTGAAGGAAAAGATCACCAACGGTTTGAACAATGTGGCTCTCCTTTTGCCGTGCGTTCAAGGCTTCACACAGGCCACCATTGACCTTCAGAACTTCCAAGCAATTTCCAAACACAGTTCGAATAAACTTTTCTCGCCGGTGCTCCGGAATGGGGGACGTTTGGTTCGGACCTGCAGCACGCAGGGGTCGCATCCAGAAATCTCGCAAGTATTCCAGATCCTTGACGAAATCGCGTTCGGTATACATAATCTCAAAAATAATCTCTTGCCGCTTCTTCTCACGGTCATCCAAAGTGTCAGACACCTCCTTTGGAACCATGTTGATCCAGAGTTTTTGGTTGTCATTGTCATCATCATCGTCGATGTGCAGACTGCCTCTAGAGCCAGAGGTGTTCAATACCGGCTGAGGCTTCAGGTTTAGCCTGGCCTGCTGTTCCAGTCGCCGTGGACAGGCAATAGAATAGCAAAGACTGTCTCGATTACAAGTTGGAGAGTAACACTCGGTGAGGAGGGTAAACACACCATTCACCTCCGAGCTTAGAGTATCTTCTCCCATCGTCTCCTTGAATTGATACACCTCACCGGGGGCATCTCGAAGACGATGATCGTAAGTAACATCGTGGAAAAACTTCTGAGCATCTAGCGCACGACCCAAAAGAAGGGCAAGGTTGCGATCATTTGTTCTGACGATCGAACCAATCAAGTCCACGGCATCTGTACCGGAAAAGGCATTCTGGTACGATAAGGCATTCTTTTGGCGTTCGCCGAGAGTGATCTTCTCCCTGAACACATCAGCAACCCGAGAAAGCAGAGCGGGGTAAACCACAGGGACTCTGCGTTGAGAGCCACTTGTGACCTGCAATGGCCCGGATGGTGGGGCTGTTTGGCTTTGAACGCTCATTGTGCGATCAGGGATAATAGTGGAAGCCATAGACATGGTACGAGATCGCGTTGAAGCATCACTAGGCGGGCGAGAATTCATGTACCCTTCGCCGACATTTGTTGGCATGGAATCAAATCTTGGCGGTGCCGCTTGTTCATGACCAGATGGCGGTCGTCTATGGGGGATTTGTCGACCACTACCCATGATGTGGGCATGATCTGGCGCCGACGCATAGCTGGTCATCGACATGGCTCGCTCACTTGCATGTCTTTCTGGGACTGGCCGGCCTAGTTGAGTCATTGTCGGGGCGCCAGCATGGTATGGCTCCCGGCGAGAAGCGATCGCCGATGTATGATTGAAATTGCTCGGCGTGGGCGGGGCCTGCTGAAACGGTCCAGTCAACTTGGCCATCGAGCGTGATCTTCCGGCATCGGAGTTCAAGGCGGGTGGAGGCATAGGGCGGCTGAAATCACGAGGGTCGGGGTACTGTGGCGCCGGTCCCTGTCTAGAGTCCACGCGATGGGGTCGAGGGTACACGGGGCGTCCTTGGTATGGCTGTCGCGCCTGCGGCTGTGAAGCCATGGGCGCGCCTGTTGGATTATATGCCTGGTAGCCAGTGGGAGTGGGTGGTGCAGGTGCGTATCCATTCATTGGCGGCGCAGATGGCGGTGGTCCATACCCGTTGGGCATTTGTCGTGTTGGCGGGGGCGGCGGCCGATGAAACTGGGGCTGCGGCACTTGCGACGACATAGTGTGAGCACGACCCTGAGGAAGCTGGGGAGTCTGTGAAGTCATAGTCTGAGAGCGTCCTGGTGGTGGCGTGCCTCCAAAGATGTCAGAATACGCAGCATCTCGCTGTGTGGATGAGGCCGCGCCATAAGGCCGGTGGTTCCGGTTACGCTGGCCCCCCAAATCCGCCATGTTCCCCCGAGAATAATACCGAGGCGAAGAGTTTCGGTCTAAGTATTCGGATACAGCAAGAATACCACGGTGGTATGTGTATGAAGGTAAGGTTTTTCAAAATAGAGAGGGGAGGGTGGTATCCGAGTCGATCGTGGAGAGCGTTCAGGGCGTCGCAAGAATGGCTGATTCAAGATCGTAGACAACGGAAGGACAAGTGGAATGAAAATAGCAATTCCCTCAAGAACAATGGATGTGATCCGAAGTGATAAGAGTCGTAATTTCTGTGCAAAAGTAGAGTCCTCAATATGCCATCGCTACCCTTCAGTTGATTTCTAGAGATTGGGATTGAATTGAGAATGGCGAGATTCAATAGCCGGGGAGCGCCAGGAGCCGTGAGCGCAACAAAGTCAGGGCTCCTTGGAATATCATACCCTCAGCATCCTCCAGCGAAATGCCACCAAGAGCTGAAGAGCCGACGAGAAGCGGAGAAGGGGGGAGGGGGGAAGACGGAGAAGTGTTGAGACTGGCGATAGGACTGGGGGGTTATGGAGGGACCAGGAGAGAGAGGATCGAGGTTGAAGGTGAACGGCCGGTATTGTGTAATGAAATTACCCCTCGTATCCGTTGATGAGGATTTGTACAGGAGTTAGGCGGAGTTAAGGAGGACTTGATCGTCTACCAGGCGGTAAGGTAATGTCACGGTCGGTCACACCGAGGGGGAAGCGCGAGAGGTGGCTACGGCGGACCAAAAGTGACAAACCAACACCAAACAGTAACCGCAAGAGTTAACGACGTCCTGCCCTTGTCTTATCACCACACCCACCTCCATTGTAGTCTCGTCTTGACGGGCTCTTCATCCGTCCCTTATATTTTCTTTGGTTATCTCGCAGATACCACCCATCATGGCCGAAAGCGAGCTTGCGCCCAAGTTTGCCCCGTTCCTTTCCTTCGTGAGTATCCCAGCGTACAGGAGCTTCGAGCTTCAGACTTCCGAGCCTTGCGCTTTGAGCTTTGAGCTTTGACAAACAATAAACTAACAATACTTGTCCATAGGCCGGCGTTGCTGCTGCAGTGAGTTCCAAACAGATAACCGAATCGTGAAAAAGTCGCTAACAGCTCCCCTTCGAAGATGATCTTCGGATGTACGTGGCTCGACAAATGACCTAATATGATCGGAGACTCACAGCTTACCCCCAACAGGCGCAGGAGCAGCATATGGCACAGCCAAGTCTGGCATCGGTATTGCCGGTGTTGGTTCATTCCGACCTGACTTGATCATGAAGGTAAGTCTTATTCGTCCCCTTGGTATGTTCCTACTGACTCGGGTCTTTTAGTCCCTCATCCCCGTCGTCATGTCCGGTATTATCGCAGTTTACGGCCTCGTCATTTCCGTTCTCATCGCAGGAGCTTGTCAACCCGAGGCGAATACTAGCTTATACAGGTGGGTTGGGTAATAACGAAAACGTTCCCTGACCGGAAGCTTACGGTGCGAATACAGGTCGATTATGCATTTGGCTGCTGGTTTATCAGTTGGTCTCTCGGGTGTGGCTGCCGGATATACAATTGGTGTTGTCGGTGATGCGGTAAGGATGCGAGGCGCTCTCCCATGGGAATGTGTTTGATACTAATGGCGGTACCAGGGTGTCCGGGCATACATGCAACAGTCCCGCGTCTACGTGGGCATGATCTTGATTCTCATTTTCGGCGAAGTTCTTGGTCTGTACGGGTATGTTTTGCGACTAGCCAATCTCATGCAGCGGCGATTTTACTAACGTAATGATTAGTTTGATTGTTGGTTTGATTCTGAACTCCAAATCTTGAGCGTGTTGCTTTTGCAATCACTTCATGCGCCTTCTCCCTCAAAGCATTAAATGATCGCATCATTTTCCATCATCTCTTGCTCTAACTCAAAAATGTATCCGATGGCTCTTCTGGGGAGGCCCACGCGTCACCAATCTCCAGGATCGAGATCCGGACCAGCTGGCTTCTGAATCGCATGGACTCTATTCCTATCTATTTTAGTTTTCGGGATGTATTATAAACATTGAGGAGCCTTGTTCACATATAGATTGGAGCTTGGTAAATGGACCCCCTTTACAGTTCAGTCCGTGGCTGATTTACTGAGACACCACGGGCATTTGTACACATGCATTTGTACTATATCTATCCAGTCCACCTATAAGTAACTTAATATAGGCATGGCCCACGCTAAGCTTACACCACATGCATCAATGTTACTATGTATACATATATCTCACGATGATATCAACTCGGGGTTCAAAAAATAAAAGCAAAAAATGAACGAATGTCAGCCCAATGAAGGTTCCGATTTATCACCGTACTTCTCCGTCCAGCCCCGCCCCCGTGGGATACGTCAGAGCTGGCAGAACTTCCTTTCGCAACTTTGCTGCCCCGCGTCTTGTGGTCGAACGCCCGTGTCCCCATTTTCATCTGTTGATTTGAACTGGCGTATGTTCTTCGCTTTGATCTAAGAACTACCAAATCCAAGACTGCGTTTGCTGACGCGATCTGGCGTGGCGCGCTAACGGGGTGGACTCTATACTTTTTTTTCCCTCGACCCTCTCACCCGCGACGAAACGGAGATGCTTGGTCATTCCAATGGCAACCGGGACAATCGAGCATACTGCACCATCTGAAGTGCGAATGAATCCTTTCTCTTCTAGCAACAACAACATGCGGACCCACGATCTCCACCAGACGGAGAAGAAGCTGGTCCAGGCCTTCCGCGCTCCGGCGCGAGCCTTGAACCCGTTTCTTATCACCGAGCGCCAGGACGAGAAACAACTGTGTATCTCGTCAAGAAACCTGCAAGTGAATGATTTTACTCTTATAAAGACCCTGGGAACTGGTCAGTCCGTCTCCTACTTCCTGTGCGCTTATCGCGACTCGTACCTTGAGATCTGACTTTTTTTTTCTCGGGGGCTTCTAGGCACTTTCGCACGAGTATGGCTCGCGAGATTGAAGGACCAGAAAGACAAGACCAAAGTTCACGCATTAAAGATCCTTCGCAAGGCCGATGGTGAGCGCTTTTTCGTCTTATAGTTGCAGGCGTCCGATTCTAACGCTGGGAACAGTGATCAAGCTGAAGCAGGTGGAACATGTGCGCAACGAGCGCAAGACTCTCGCGGCGGTCGTCGGTCACCCTTTTATCACAACCCTCGTCGCATCTTTCTCGGATGAACAAAACTTATACATGCTGGTATGGAAATTATGGAAACACTCTTCTTCTACCGAGCTTCTTTGCAAGATATTAATCCGGGTCGCAGTTGGACTTTTGCCCTGGAGGTGAGATTTTCACATACCTTCGACGTTCGCGCCGGTTCAACGAAGAAACCTCAAGGATTTATGCCGCCGAAATCACCATGACGATTGAGTTCCTACACGATATTCACGGTGTCGCCTACCGTGACTTGAAGCCAGAGAATATTCTCCTCGACGCGGACGGACATATCAAACTTGTGGACTTTGGTTTTGCAAAGCAAGTGGACAATCGTGAAACCTATACTCTATGTGGAACACCCGAGTATTTGGCTCCGGAAGTCATCCATAATAGTGGACACGGACTTGCAGTGGACTGGTGGGCGCTGGGGATCTTGATCTACGAGTTCTTAGTGGGACAGCCTCCGTTCTGGGACCAGAACCCCATGCGCATCTACGAACAAATTGTGGAAGGCCGATTACGTTTCCCACCGAATATGCCCCCAGCTGCTCAGAATATCGTCACTTTGCTTTGCAAAACAAATCCTTCAGAACGACTGGGCCATATTTCTGGTGGCTCGACTCGTGTGAAGTCCCATCCGTTCTTTGCAGATGTTGCTTGGGATGATCTCTTTTACAAACGCGTCAAGGGTCCGATTATCCCCCGTGTGTCTCACCCTGCCGATACTGGCAATTTCGAAGAATATCCCGACATTGATACCAAAAACCAGAATCTCTACACTGAAGATCTGAAGAAGAAATTTGAGCCTCTTTTCAGTGATTTCTGAGAATTCCTTCACTTCCAGGTCTTCTTTTGTATGAGCATACTTTGTTTCAACAACCTTATAACGCGGGTCTGTCCCAGGAAGGAATTCCTTGTTGCTCTCTCCTTCTGATATTCATTCAGACTGAACCAAAATGGCTGGTCATGCCATCTTCAAATCCGTTGGACTTCACATCTCGTTGGCATTAACTGCCTGGGTCCTTCTTTCCCTCGAGTACGATCCCTACAGGTGGGCTCGAGAACATCATCGCCTGACTCTGGTCCGTGAAGCAGGCCTCATTAACAACTTCGACTTTTGGTTTCCGTGACTCACCCCCACGCATAGTGGGGGACACGGACGATCCAAATCTGGCTCTGGATAACCCTTTCGTCCCATGCAGGGTCATCCGCTCGCCATAGCCCGATCATCTGACGTCAGGCCTCGGACCCTTTGATATCCATCTTCCCCCCACTCTGATACCCTACATGTTTCCTCCACCTTGATTTCTGGCATGTTTTCTTTTCTTCTTTTTCTTCTTTCACCTCTCATTGTGGCTTTGGAGGACATAGCTTGATTTACACGAACGATGTGCTCCATATGGTCACTTCTAGCCTTGAAATCCGCTTATTCCTGGCTGAATATGTAGCACAACTTAACGATTTTTGTTTGCTTCAATGATTGGCGGTTTTTTGGTTTCATGTTTATACTTTATATTTGATTCGCTCGACAGATGAGTACATATACACTGAATCAAGCATTTCGGGAACCTAATGTTGTTGCTACCCTTTACGTCCACGGGTTCGTGCCCGTGCTAGGAAGAGAAACAGCCCCGGAAGAATAAAAAATCATGACCGTGAAAAAGCATCAATATATAAAATTGCAACAAAGTGACTCAAAGAAGAGCTAACGGGTATAAAGCGGGAACCGAGATTGCCAGGGTAAGATGATCTATGCATGTCGTCTCCAGAGGGGACGGGAAAGGTCATGGCTTCATGGCCTCGTGGCTAGGTATTTTGGGGGGAAATGTGGTTGATATGAAGGAAAAGTAAAGCAGGCGGAGTATTTCATAGAGATGGATCGGTTTTCCACGAGCCTATGAGTTTAAAAAGTCAGTGATCACGATACGATCATAAAGAGAACCATTAGATTAAAGAGTGGACATACCATCGAAGTTGTGCTTCACAAAAGCCATGGGATCATCAACTTCGTGTGCGCCCATTTGTCCAACACCGGGACTGAAGCTCGTGATTGGCAAGATGATCACATCACCCACTTTCCTCTCCGTTGTTTGTTCAGTGAAGTCTTCATATGTGATGTTCTTATCTCCGGGCCGGATATCGAAGTAGTCGGGGTTGTTGAAGTAGCGGAAAATAGCATCGGTCCAAGCACCAGGTCCCGTGAACTCCATGACAGTCTTATCCATACTTCCCACCTTGAGGATGCCAGCCTTCTTCATGCGCAAAGTCTCCTCGGTGATGTATGCAACCATGTCGCGCAGAATGGGATGACCAGGCTTGGAAACGATAGTCCATTGGCAGAACTGGATACGACGGGAGTACCACTCGTGCCAATCCGGGCGATCGGGGTCCGCTTCAATTCCCGCAATGAATCCCACAGTCGACCGATCAAGCTCCTCGGGTAGCCAGTAGCCAGCCGGCTTGAGCGCCATTGTGTCGATATCACTGTAGATTCCACCGCGCGCAAGGAGAACCAGGTATCGGAAGAAATCGGCCTTCATGACAGGCAACGGCAAAGAGTCATATGCCTCAAAGACATCCGGGATAGACCCAAAGAGGTACAAGATCAAATGGCGCTGCATGTCATCGGGGACAAGCTCATGCTGAAAGCCCGGGTGCAGCTCAGTCCAGCTAGCCTCCGTCCCGCGAAACTGGTCGGCGAAATACGGCGAAGAAGTATCATATTTCCACGTCTGCCAAATGTATGCGGGGAAGCTTTTGCGGATATTGTAGGGGAATTGGTATCGGAGGCGATCGCGTAGCGGCGCGGTCGGTGTTGCGCCAAGGGGAAGCTGGCCACGACCACTGCTGGCCTTCTTAAGCCTTGATTGCTCCTCGTAAGAGTCTTGCTCTTCGTCGGAAATTGCCGGGACAGGTCTGTAGCCCGGCGCGCCGGGAAGATCTTTGATATCGCGATAGCGGACGAGCTGGACGAGGACGAAAATAGCGATGGCGGCGAGTAAGACCTTGCGGAATGTTAACTTGAGCATGGTGGGTGGTTTTGCGCCAGTCGGCTTGCGCGCCCGAAGCCCTGGTAAAAAAAAATTAGGACAAAAGGGTAAATGCCACGCGCACTCGGTGCGACAAGGTCGACTCCGGAGTCTCCCACGTTCCGTCGTCGCGAGGCTTGGCTTTCTGGGCGCGGGTCTTGGCTTGTTGGGTGGAAGCTTTGACCTGATCGGCGTGTTCGGGATTCCTGAGCAGACAATCGCGTGGCGGTGTTGGAATTTAAGATTCACGGGATTGGGGGAAATGGCATGTCAGAGTATTTCCGAAGCTGGTGAATGCTCGATCCGTCTGGGTATTGCAATGCAACTCCCCGGCGGTCGGAGGAACGTAGTAGGTATGCCGCAAACAGAAGGTGCAATGCCTTATAAAGATGGCCTTTCAGCCCAGGATTGAAAGAGGGAAAAAGCCGAGAGGTAGGGAATTTATTTAGGAAAATACAGAAAGAAAAAAAGAAAGATTAAAGACCCGCGCGGGGAGCTGTCCTTTCAATATGAAGAACCTTGCCAAAAGGATTGCGTATGCTCACCCAAGCGTATCTACTTTGGGAGTGGAGCTCCTTCACGTGGGACCTGATTCCCCCCTTTTCACGTTCGATATAGAGTAATGTGTGCATATCTTCATCTGCCGGATAAATTCTCGTATATCTTTCCTTCACTTCGTATATCTTTATCCATGTTTATTCAAATGTCCCCGCATTTTCTGGCTGCTGAGAATAATGGGAATGATCGCCCTAAGAAACTCCCCTTGAGCCACCCGAAACCTAATGCCCGCAGCCCGGATAATCGGACTCGTCCGGTGGATCTCGGATGTGGAAGATTATGAACGGCAGTTTTTTTCATATCGCTTCATAAGGTTGTGTAATTGTTTGACATATTCATATGCTAATTCTTAAAAGAATTCAACATTCATAAAAATTCCGGCAACTTGCTTCTATGGATCTGATATGATCATCTCTCCACCAAAAAATCCTGGCTTGGACGCCTCGGGCACTTCGTCTGTGTGGCCTCGTTTTTCCTTTGCCCTACGTTTTCAAGGTCAATTTTCCCGAGCCAGTCGGCTACCTGTTTCTACTGGGCAATTTAAGCTCCCAGCGCTGGTCAGACTATCGGGTAGCACACCAATTCTTATCTTGCACAACCAGGTTACATCTGAGGCCGGGCACGCACATGGATGCAGTGTGACCAATACATATGCGCCTTACCCGTACAGCACCCCAGCCCAGGAGCCCTAGAGTGCATTCAATTTGAGATTTCGGAAACGAAAATTCACATATGAGCTTTCATTCACTTTAAATCAGCCAATGTCGGCTTGCTCATGGGCTGGACTAGCCGCCTTACAGGCGATTTGGAAGTAGATCGGACCGAATACAAATCACCTTTTTGGGCAAATTGATAATTGATACTGGGTTGACGATCTGCATCAATTGAAAAAAAAAACATTTCAAGCACCTTTTATCAATGTATTATAGTATTTTCAGAGGTGTACATCATCTCCGATTATTTGACAGTAAGTGGGGAGTTTCAAAATTAAAAGGTATACTCCGTATGCTTTGCCTAATCGGGCTCTTCAAACAAACATTGAAGATCCTCGATCAATTGATGATACTTTAATGCTGGAAACTAACAACCTGAATTGCCGTCTAGAACAGAAGTCACTAGCATGGAGAACATTGACTACTGAGCGAGGGATTTAACTCGCAATTCCACCCAAATAGAGAACTTGAAGCTTAGTTGACCATTGCATCGAGGTGAGGTCATAACATTCGAGAAGTGGCCACCACGAGACCTGAGGCAAATCAAGTCCGTTGAAGAACCTGCAACAAACTTCCCATAACCCAAAGCCCCCAAAACCGCCCTCGAAAAATACCAACCAACATGTCAACCAAACCAGAGCACGAGTTCTCCGGGGCCGCCGGCGAGAATATCCAAGTCTACCTCTTACAATGCAAGCATGCCTGGACAGGAGTGGGCATGTCAGAGGAAGAAAAATCCGAGGCACGAGCCGTAACCGTCTTCAAGGGCCTCCGCGGCGATGCCCGTCTCTTTGTGAATTCACTCAGCACGAGCGACCTGGTGGACTTCACCCAATTGTCGAAGCGGCTGACGGAGCGATTCCCCGTGCGAGCCACGACCGAAGAAGACGACGCCATTCTCAAAAAGGTTTCTGCGCTCAGTCAGAAGGGGAAGAGTCTGTCGGAGTACATTGCCGAGGGTCAAGAGTTGAAGGTTATGGCGCATGGGCCGATGCAAGAAACGCTTGCTAGGAAATGGTGCCAGGGCCTGAATGATCACCAAGTGGCTGCAGCCATTTCAATCAAGATGGCATCGTGGAAGAATGAGGGCCATCTTCATGTCGATTCTGTCATTAGGGAGGCCCGGGAAGCGCTTGGCTAGTCGAGGTTGGGCCTTATATTGGAAGCTTGGCAAGAATGATTCAATGTTTGGAGGTGCGAGGTGCAAGTGCACTAAAATGCCTACAAGAGCCCATGAAAAGCCTTGGCTTCAAATGTTGGTTTCATATTCATCGAGAGTTTTTTTTCGCATTTGCCGCTCGTGAGTCTGCCTGTCTGATTGTTTGGTCGTTTCTGGTTCCTCTTCGGAACATTTGAAGGGTCGCTTGAAAGACATTGTCAGATTAAATATACATAATTCAAAGCTCCAGTTTCTTCATATTATGAATTTTGAATGGACACAGAGGTGGCCTGATGTATTCCATTCTCGGTTGAATACACGTCGCCTCAATTTTGATGAGGTGGAATTGAGGCTATTCACGCTCTGGAGGCTTATAATTTCTACTATACGCAGTACTCGATAAACAATCCAAGCTAGAAAGATGAAAATTCTCGCTTATGGTTCTACGGGTCGGATCGTGTTCGGCAATTAATTTACTACAAAGTCCACATATAAAACAGTGCGCCAAGGAAATTTGTTCTTGAATCTTGATGCGCCAAAAAAACCCCACGTGGGCGCGGAGTCCAGTCTGTGTGGCTCGGAACTCTTGGGAACTTGGCAAAATCTCTGTTCGGTTTCACTCTGTTTTACCTCACGCTTTTGCATACTAGTATCCGGCGGAGTAAATAACTCCGTTCCTTCCATGATTAATACCTCACAGTCCAGATCTCTCTAATATCCATGGGATGCAAGAATACAAACATGATGAATTATGCTGCCTGGGCTTGATCTGGATTTCAAATTGGGTGGGACTCTCGTGTTTTCCCCCACATTTCAGTGGAACCGTGAAACAGTGAGACCCCACGGCAAAGAATCCACATTCTTCCGTGTGAACGAGCAGACGGAGACCATTCTGGACCCTCGCTTGAAAAACAAGTGGTTTATGGTGAACACTGCCTCGGGAAATCATGCACATCAGATTTGCTCGGGGCAAAAATACTGCATAGAAGCGAAAGCGAGGACCTTTCGCCGCACTTTTTGCAGGGTCCTGAACGGATCAACAGGGGAAGGGGCTACGCTATACCTGAAGTAGAAAGCGCTCAGCTGACAGTTCAAGCGCACTGATTGGTTCCACTAAGCCCTTGTCTTGTCAGATCCAAAAGCTTAGCCTTTGGAAGGACACCGTTCCATTGCGTCCAAGGCCTCAGCCTCAGACAATAGGGATCAAGGGTCCATGGATTCCTGCCCGTATCCGTGTGCTTCCTTGTCGTTTTTGTCTTGATATCTTGATGCTTCACCGAACCACAAAGACATGAAGCGATCTTCAAATTAGAGTTGGTGAAATTAACATCTCTGTGTGATTGGGGGTGTCTAGGTGCCACCACAGCCGAAGGGGATCCCCATCTTCATAGTCTGTTCTATGGGTCTGCCTACGGAGTACTCTTTTTCCCAAACCTTAGACCCCGTGGGCATTCAAATGTTGCCCCAACTGCAGCCAATGGGTGGCGCGTCGGCCCTTATGACCCATTTTGCGGCACTTTCTCCCGCTAACTTTAACCGTCAGCCGTGTCTGCTCTGTGCACTTTGTATAAGTAAAATAAAAAAAGTCGCCCGCTCACTTTGCGACACAGTTTTGGAACTTTTTTTTCTCACCATCTGTTTGGCCCCCAGGATCGACAAAGACCCTATAGGTGGAGACATGGATCGGTAGCCTTGTCAATCCGCAGCCAGATCTATTCATAGTCGGCTCATATTTTGTCAAGCTTACCCCCCCATCAGAGCTTTTGCTCATTTATCATTATCTCAAGACGTTGAAATTTTCGACTTTGTTTACTCAAAAAGAACATTGAATTTCTTTGATAGCCATGAAGATTCCCGGTCTTTCATTTCCTGGGCACCAGAATGACCCTGAATCTACACAACCACCGCCATCCCCTCTATCGACTGAAGGAGAAGCAAACAGCTCTATAACGAATTACACGGGCTTCGAATCGAAGCCATTGCAGGATATTGAAGGCGGACAGAAGAAGGGATTTTTTTCAAGACCATGGACTCCGCGGCGAATTGCGTTTTTCAGCGCCCTTGGCGTCTTGGGATTAGCTCTTATTGCACTTGTGATTGCCCTTCCAGTTGTTCTCACGAGGCATCATACCAGCTACCCGGGGGAGTGGGAGCCAAGTGGGTCAAGCCATGGCTATACCAGCTATACTATCAAGGAAAATGCACCCATTTACGCGATTCATGACTTCCCCGACCCGGGCCTTGTCGAGCACAATGGAACATGGTATGCATTTGGGACAAACCCAAGAAAGAACGACCCAGATACAATCCACATACCCGTTGCCACATCGACAAACTTTGTCAATTGGACTCTACACGAGGGCTACGACGCGATGCCGACCGTTCCCACTTGGCAGAGGAAGGTGAATACCTGGGCTCCGGCTGTGATCCAACGAGTAAGTCGTTATACTATAATATGATTCTTCAGCAAGTACTTTTCCTGACATGCCACTCAGGACGATGGTAAATTTGTTCTTTATTATTCAGGTGAATCAACAGAGTTCGCCCCACACCACTGTATCGGAGCAGCAGTCTCGAATGGAACCGACCCAGTAGGACCATACACGCCCGTCAATGAAACATTCGCTTGCCCACACAAATACGGCGGTGCTATCGATCCTTCCCCCTTCAGAGACGCCGACGGCAAGCTCTACGTCGTCTACAAGGGTGATGGCAATAGTGTTGGATCCGGAGGTGCCTGCGGCAACAGTAACTCACCCAAAAAGCCCGTACCGATCTTCTTGCAGGAGGTCGAGAGCGACGGCCTGACCAAAGTCGGCGACCCGGTGATCATCCTCGACATCAACAAGACAGATGGACCACTAGTCGAAGCACCCAACTTGATACGCCCTGACAACGGCACTTACTACCTCTCCTTCTCCTCCCATTGCTTTACCTCTCTGGGCTACAATGTGAAGTATGCTCATTCGAAGTCGATCAAGGGTCCCTACACGAGGGCGGATCGGCCATTACTTCAGACGGATGACTTCGGCCTAAAAGCACCTGGTGGTGCAACTATATCACCTGATGGTCAGCGGATGGTCTTTCATGCAAACTGTGATGGTTGGCGGTGCATGTACGCTGCAGCCCTGGATATTCGTTCTGACAATGACACCATTGTTCTGTCGGCGTTGACATACGAGACTTTGGTGTCCACGAACTCGACAAAATCCACCAATTCTACCGCAAGCTCCTGAAAAGGTTTAAAGGCTGCCCCAATCATGAGTTTCTTTTTTATCTGCCTTACTGCATTGGCATAGCGTTTTTCAATTGTCTTTTTTTTGTTCTGCGTATCGAAAAGATACGAACATGTCATTAGCGTTCAACCTGCAACCGAGCGAGGCGTTCCGGCATACCATGGGAAATGAATCGATATTAAATCAAAAAGACTGTTATATCAAAAGGCTTACCCAGAATTCAATTAAAAATATTTCATCGGGAACGTACCTTGGAATCACATCATATAATAAGCGACACCGAATCCTTCCGTGATAAAGCTGTATTAGGTACCATTGCAAGCCTTGGTGTAGCAAGCAGCCGAATAATCATCTCCATAAGCTTGACTTCATCCGTAGACCATACCAGCCATGTCTAGCAGGCGCACTTGTAGGAGTCACTAGAAACCTTCTTAAATTGGGTTTTCGCAGCCTTTTGATTTGAGCTGGCGCCAACCTCGTCTTGCAAGCACCGACATGTGAATGGTACGCAAAATCAATTGATTTGTAGCTCCAACTAGTACGTTTCTCGATGCCGGTGCGGTTTGATTCAGTCAAAAATGATGGTTTACCACCAGTATAGTAGCCATTCACGTAGAAGTCGTCAGCACGGATTGCGCTGTTCCAGAAGTACCTGGGCATTGTTGGCCCAACGACCAGACTGCCCGTTGAATCCATCAGTTTGGAGATCCAATGACATTGATTCAACGCCAACGGACTCGTCTTCACGCTTGGTTGTCTTGATTTAAAGTATACTAGACTCTTTTGTGATCTCTTTTTCTGAACGCAACACCATTAGAGCGCACCGAGGTCTGAATTGATTTTAGTGAAAGTGTTTTCCACATACATAGGCAGGATACCCTTAGCGTAGAGTAGACACGCGGCCCTTAGCACTGCGGATTGACTTACTATATGCGTCTGATGGCCGGCATTAGTCCTGGTCTTTTGAGCAATCTGTTTGATTTGAAGAGCCAAAGAGAACTTTGAATGATCCAGAAGATGACTACTTGTTCGAATAATCGAATCCACATGGTTGAGTGCCCTTTCTAGAAGACAGGAAGTTAAGGTCATTGATGTGTACTAGATAGCTAGGTAGTGGGCGGTGGTTATGCCCTTTATCAATTGAACTAAGACTAACTAACTATGCCTTGATTATAGACCCACTTTATAAGCTAGAGATCTTAGTATAGAGTGAACACGCGGCCCTTGGCGCTAAAGATTGGCTTATGCGTATTTGATAGTATTAGTGCCGGGCTTCTGAGAACCGCTTTTTGCTTTTAAGAGCCAAAGAGATACTCGACTGTATCATAGGTATAAGAGGTTTAGTCTTTGGAAAAGTTGAATTCAGACAGCTGAGTACCGTCCTAGAAGACAGAGTGTTATAGTCATTAATGTATGGACAGCTACTACATGTAGGTACCTAGGCAGCGCGCCCTATGTTTGTTTAACTAATCGGGACTACAGAGTGCTCTGATCAATCGGTAGACCCCCTCACCAGTGGCGGGATCCACTTGATTCACCTACGTAGCTTTGTTTTCACGGAAACTCGCCGTCAACCGTCCGAGGCAAAAGGAAAAAGAGATAAAGATATTGATTGCTTAAATATTTGCCGTTTCCTTCCGTTGAAATTAGGTCGTTCCAAATACCATACCACACAATCTCAGCAAACCGAAGGTCATTCCGCAATCACCATAATGGCCAAACGCTCTTTTCTCGAGTCGTAAGCACCCAAATATAACATTGAACATGCATCATACCAAGGTACCAAAGCTAAGCAGCTTCGCAGAGTTCTGATTATTGCCAATTTCGTCATATTCAATAAGGAATTCTTCCTTAGCTGCACCTTTGCATGGATAGTGGCATTTCTTATCCCTCAGACACGCCAAGTCCTTTCGACCATTCTACTCCGAGTGTATCGCTATTTTCGATTATACCCGATTCGATTCTGGGTAATATTCTACTGCTTCGCGTTTTCATCGATATTTCTTCTTCTTCATTTTGGTGTGGTGTCTGCGCCTCCTATGGCAGAAGTGATTTATATTAAGCTCAATTCGACGAATGGAGCAGAAACTCGCATCACCCCCCAGGAGTACAGCAGTCTATCGTCACAGCAGATGAAAGCAAGTGGATTGTCGGAGTCTGAATGGGCTAGAGCTCAAGCTGAAGAGATCTCTGCATACCGTGCCTCTAAAGATTATCATCAGGTGCATCATATGTCGGAGCATCCTCAAACATCTACGATCCCTACAGCAAGAGTGGACTTTCTGCTATAGGCCCCAGGTGCCTGAATACCAGCACTCAAGTGCTCAAGTCAAAGCCATTGTTCAGTGTTACGCCGAATGGTCTGCAAATTTTGGAAGAATTCAATGTTTAACATAAAAAATTTTGGATATATTGATTTTTAGCACCAGTGGTGTTGGGGTTCCTCGTGTCCAACGTAGATTGGCTCGCTTGGAAGTCCTTACTACCTGTTGTCTTCAAATGTTGCTGCAAATAAAAATTGCTATCTACTCAGTCATGCTCACCCTTTGTATGACCTTCTTGATGTGGAATGTTGACAGGTCTGATTCCGGTTTTCTGCGACCAGTTGACGCGATATTGATTTTGAACGTAAATCCGAAAAGTGGAGGGCTTAGAAATTTTCTTCCTTTTCGTTCTGAACGGGTTGGCTCAACCTGATGTCCACCAAATTCCAGCCCCTTAGGGCTTTCCCACCGACATATCTTTTCACACCTCGTGTGTATTATGTATACTCCGCTTATAACGAAGATCGAACTTTCACTCGCATTACCTGAACCATAATCAAGTGCGGTATGAGATTCGGAAGACGGCCTCGGACAGAGGCAGCGGGGGCGTGGAATCTGCGAATAAATGGTGAGCAATCATGGAAGCCCTGGGGTGTTGGCCTTGAGCGCAGGCTAAGAAGAACAGAAAAATGGTACCGCTCGCGTCTTCTTAAAGTGAACCTGGACGACAAGGAAATCCACCGCAAGGTTAAGGAGATCTTTGAGAATCGCGACCAAATTGATCTGGATGGATGGATCGAGGTCCCATTTGCTCATCCACTCCTATCGAGTTTCCATCGCTCAGTCACTATCGACCTGGACATGGATATGATAATGGTCCGAGTTTGGAATGCTATCCAAGATGGGCCCCGGACGATGAAAACCTTCAAGGCTCATCTTACCACTGTCTATAACAGTCCTATATTTTCCCTTGAGGATTGGAGCCAAGAAGCTCCTCAGTTCCCTCAGCTGGCAAGTACTACCTTGAACAAAACAACTTCCATTGTCACGAAGGTATTATCGCGCCTCAACATAGAGCTTCCCACTGCTATGTTCGAACTTCAGCAGCGATTCTTTATTGATTTTGTCCTGATATGGAGGGACTGGATTGATGATCCTTTGACTTGGAATCTTGCCAACCCGGCATTTTATGCCTTTTCGAGGGCTTTTCTTCACCTCGCGGCTTGGGACTTCGAGATATCGCAAGATCCAAGGGGCCACCCAATAAGGCCAGAGTCTTTTCCCGAGTGGAAATATCCAAATGCTGACATATATTGGTTTCATGGATTACTAGTGGTCCTAGAGGGAGACGTCCGCTCTCCTGACTCCGTTCACCTAGCTATTGAGCGGGCTAGGATGCTTCTTCCCAACGCCCAATTTCAACACCGACGGAAAGTCCACTGTGTTCTCCTCTCACCAATGGATGTTGTTCTTATCGAGCTTTCGCAACACACGATAACTAGTACAAGGCCGTTTCCGATAGTCACCAATCTCGCGGCCTTGGAAGGCTCCCCTGGATTTCGGCTTCTAGCACAAGTATTCTCTACAACGCGCTGGAAAGAGGACTACAATTTCAGGGAGAATTGGGCCTCTCGACTTCCGCCGGAAATTCTCACTATTATCCTGGATCAATCGGCGCCAAAGGATACTGTGGCACTTGCTCAAGCTTCATTCGCATTTGAAGAATCATACTATGCATCATTACCGCAACTGTCTTACATCAAAGGGATAGAAAATATGTTTCTTTCTGTCCCTTGCTGCGAGAAACGCGCTGGGCTAGAAAATGGACTTTTATGTTCCCAATGCTTGACATGGCAGCATCGAGGTTGTACTGATCCTAAATACCTCAATGACGACGATTTCATTTGTCTATCCTGCCAAGTGGAACCTACTGGCTTGAAACTTGAGCCCGGCGGAATTCATCAATCAAGTTATGACCTCAAACGGAGACTACATTACGCCAGAACTAACAGCCGGTTAACGGCACCACGCTTATGTTTTAGAAAGGCTGGGGGATGGTACTCTGGCGGGTTCAATTTTGTGATACGCCATAACGGGATGTTTTCAGGGCTTGCTTATCTCTACTACCCCCATGATAAACAAACATTAGCATGATATAGTTATAGGATTGATTGATTGATTATTCATTCACGGATCTGTCATCCGCAAGGCCGATTTGCCGGCAGACCTCTATAGGGCAGTCGGAACAACTACTTACATGACACGATGCAAGAACAAATTAATATCCAGCGCTCGTCTTTCGCTGCCATTCTCCCCCTTCGAAATTCTTTATTCAAAAATCATATGCGTAGTAAGTGACCGGTGTTGTTATAACCACATGAGGGGCGGGGGTGTTTGGGAAAGAGGCTTCCGAGTGTGTTACTAGTTACTAGGCATACATGGCAACCCCGCCAGAATGTGCCTGATCCTGGGTGTTTCGAACCTTGGAAACAGGACAGCTGCACCACAAGAAAGTTTCATATTGACGAGGGTTTTCAACCTCCTTAGTTAAATACCTCTGTAATTTCGAAATGGGTGTTTTTATCGCTATTCCGCGATTCGTTACTGTTTCCGACCGATAACAGTGTATCTGGTAAAGGCCAAGTATGATCCATCTCGTGTCTCCTTGGCAGCCTGGTTCAGCATTTGCTTGAACATTGCAGCTACATCTTTGTCGCCTTCCTTACTTCTTGCAAGGACTTCCGTAGCCAGCAGTCCGCATTCATGCCAGGATAACGCTAGGTGTGGTGGGCACTCTTTAGCATCGCATTCAACTGCTTCAAACTGCTTCTTGGCGAACAAGCCGGGGAGTTTAGGTACCCAAGCCGGACGAAGTCTGTCATCATTACCCTGAAACATTTTCAGCAACTTGAGCTGTGCATCGGCCTCAATCTCTGGCCTGATTTTCTCCAATCGACATGAATTTACGTCCATGTCTGTCCATTGCAGGTATCCGCCCGGTTCTATATAGATGAGGTCAACTCAGCTCGATCGAGAAAGCAGAAATCCAAGGCTCAACTTACTGAGAAGCTTAGCCAGATTGTCAAGGACATGTTCTAGATCTGGCTCTTGAAGAACAAAGGCGAAGAATCGGACATGAACCACATCGTAGACGCCAATTAAGTGCTCTGGCACGTCTTCTTTAATATCCCATAAATTAAACTTGACATTGTCCGGGAGCAATTCCGGCAGCGGTGTAGCATCAAGGGAGATATCCAATCCATCTAGTCTGACCGAGCTTGGAAACTTTCCGACTTGATCTGTGAGCCATGTTCTACAAAAGATTAACAGACTTCTCGGCGAGCGAAATAAAATCCCGAATGATCTTACCCAGTACCTGTGCCCACATCTACAATGCTCAAATTCGTTGATTTAGTGGGGATTGATGGATGAATGTGATATCCGAAGAGCTGCACAGCGAGATAGTGCTGTAAATTAATTCTGTACATTCTTCTTTAGTTTCCATGTGTTTGATCACATGATCTGTGATTCTGTACTCTCACTCCATCTCTGTAGATAGCTCTTCTCTTCCTTCTCTTCTTCTTTCTCTCCTCGCACCACTCAATACTATCGCATTGCGTTCTTGCCCTCCTTTCCCTTGTAGACTCGATTCCTCGTGTCTGTTCACGATGTTGGCTTGCTTTGGAGTTGGATGAGTTACCGGTTGTTGTCCAGGTAGTCCCTGGTAAAGACGTAATCTTTTGCAGATGACATTGTTCCTTGCTTGGCGAATTACAAGGGAGTTGTAGTTTTTAATAGACACGGCGGATGGTTTAGCGACTTTTGTTTTCTTGACAGGAGCGATCATCCAATATGCCCAAAAAAATTCAAAAAAATTCAAAAAAATTTAGACCCAAAGAACGAAACGTTAAGAGAATAAAACAGAAGGAAGCTTTATTTATAGCACGATCAGGCCGTTCAGCCTTGTGCTTGACTACTATGTATATGAACCTCAAAGATCTGCGGGGTATTGACGTAACACGTTGGTGGCTTGAGGGCCATTTTCTTCGTTCAAGCTGCTGAGTGGTGAATTGTAACATTGAACTGGACCCAAACAGATCCTTGCAACTCGGCTCCTTTTCCAATATTGATTGGTTCTATCATATCTCATCTTACATGAATTCGCGGCGCTCTCCGGTCTGAAATTTGCGGACCTAGGTCCACAGCCTTAGGTCTACGGTCACCGTCTACCCAAGCTGTCAATTCGTCATATTCTAGATGTAAATTAGTAATCCACTGGAGCTGTATAGATGTGGGCCCGGGGAAACGGCCAGTTTCCGACCAATCAGCGCAAATAAAGATGACGCCATGCCGGTGACCATGCCTGAGGCGATAAGATCTTCTCTCCGCCTGCGCAATCGGGCAATATACTATGCGCTTAAAGAGCTGCCCGCGGCGAACAGTTTCTTGCTCACATCAAATCCCTAATATTGCTGCAATGCGTTCACTTCAGAGCGCTGCTCGCTCAGCCTCGCGCACACTTCGTGCCTCACAATGGCGACCCAGTGAGTCGACATCGTTGCTCACCGGCGCTCGTCGGCCGTTATCGGCGCATCCCCGAATGCTGCATGCCGTGTCGCCGCGAAAGAGCCCATCAGCTACAGCGAAGGACTCGTCCAATCCCGCCATGTCGTTCCCGTGTCTCGATGCCCAGGAGGCAAAATCCGCTATGCTTAATGCTCGATCCCTTGAATCCGGACCCGAACCTTCGTACACTACCGGTCAACATGAAAGCTTTCATTGTGACCAGCCGCTGCTTCTAGACTGGGGCGGCGTGCTGCCGGAATTTGACATTGCCTATGAAACATGGGGTCAACTGAATGGCGATAAGAGCAATGCGATCCTATTGCACACTGGATTGTCAGCCTCGAGCCACGCCCATAGCACTGCGTCAAACCCGAAGCCTGGCTGGTGGGAGAAGTTCATTGGACCCGGTCTGCCTCTGGACACCGATAAGTACTTTGTCATTTGCACAAATGTGTTGGGAGGCTGCTATGGTAGCACGGGACCTTCCTCAAAGGATCCTTCCGACGGCGAGCGATACGCAACACGGTTCCCAATCCTCACGATAGACGACATGGTACGGGCTCAGTTCCGTATTCTTGACGGCCTGGGTATTCAGAAGCTGGCTGCCTCTGTCGGATCCAGTATGGGAGGAATGCAAAGCTTGGCAGCTGGTGTGCTGTTCCCTGAGCGCGTGGATAAGATCGTCAGCATCAGCGGCTGTGCTCGCAGCCACCCATACAGCATTGCCATGCGACACACTCAGCGACAGGTATTGATGATGGATCCCCACTGGGCCCGTGGCTTCTACTACGACGCCATCCCCCCGCATTCCGGTATGAAGCTGGCGCGTGAGATTGCCACTGTCACCTACCGCAGCGGACCGGAGTGGGAACAGCGATTCGGCCGTCGCCGTGCCGACCCCAGCAAACAGCCTGCTCTGTGCCCCGACTTCCTCATTGAGACCTATCTCGACCACGCTGGTGAGAAGTTCTGCTTGGAGTACGACCCCAACAGTCTTCTTTACGTATCCAAGGCCATGGACCTTTTCGACCTCGGCCATGCCCACCAAACTGAAACTCGTCTTCGTCGTGCAGACGGCGAGACTCGCATTGCTCAGGGTGATATGTCATCGGGTGTCATAGATTCCTCTTGCAGCTTGACTTTGCCTGACAAGCCATACGAGGAACAGCCCGAGGCCACTGCCTCCGTGCCGCCCGCTGATCGGTCCGTTGCCTCGCAGGAAACTGAAGGACCTCCTCCTGACCTGATTGCTGGTCTATCGCCGCTGAAGAACCACCCTGTCCTTGTCATGGGTGTTGCTAGCGACATTCTGTTCCCTGCATGGCAACAACGGGAGATCGCTGAGACCCTTCGCGCTGGCGGCAACAAGAACGTTGAGCACATTGAGCTTGGCGAGGATCTCTCGTTGTTTGGCCACGATACCTTCTTGCTTGACCTGAAGAACATTGGCGGTGCACTTGGACGCTTCCTGAAATAGGTTGTCTTATAATTCGAGTATTGAATGGGGTTGCGGTTGCCTAGCTTCGAGGGTGGAACAACATTGGTGCCGTTATGATTTTCCTGTATATAGTCTTGCAGCGTGCGATGACCACAAAATGCATTAGCGGGCGTTCTTTAGTGTGCAATAATACACTCCTCTACTTTTAATTCAACGCCTGGCAGATTGGTTAAGCCCAGCTAGGTTGGGACTTGAACAGTCACGTCTTTGTATGCTAATAAGGTGCACATCGGAAGACTTCAATGTTACGATCCTTATACGCACATGCATATGGCAAGAACCAACAACTTTCGACCAAAAGAATGGATATGAAAAATGCAACCTGAATAAATGTAACAAATAGTTGAATTGCTTTAAGACCCGATAAATACAAATTGCAAGGAGCGAGATGAAAAAGAACATGAGAACGCATCACGACAATCGATCAGTTTATAACCCTCAGAAAAGCTCTCGTCTCGTCAACAGCATCCATCAGAATCTGAAAATCATAAGATCTTCAAGACAGCGATGCCTGCAGAATTGGCTTAATGTCCGTCTAAGACAGACTCATCACTGGGCAAAACACAAATACAAGAGCAACCATGCCGTAACAAAGACCTCGAAGGGTTGAAAAACATCATTCAGTACCCACACATCCAAAGGCAGATCAGACAGGGGTACTCGATCGACATCTGCGCGGCTGAAGCGTCACAAGGACGAACAACCCCCCCCCCATCTAAAAAAAAACCTCAATATCTACGAATGGCGAAAAGGATCAGGATGCGTTCCAAGGCTAGGAAGGAAGATTGCGAGGGCCGGGGACATCCTGAATATAAGTCCGTCTGACTTGTCTCTGACGATTCCAAATGCTTGAATGTCCAAAAATGACTCTTTTGATGTTGATTAGTAGTTTGTTTCACACGCTAGATTGTAAAAGAAGAGAAGATAAGAAATGTCAATGTAATTCGATTGGGGGAAATACAAGCCTCTAGTATTATGGCACACCCTCAGATTGAAAACTACCTATTGTCACTCGTCATCGACTTGCTCGACGCCGTTGCCTTGAGAGGTATACAGACGGAGCATAATATACGTAGCCTCGGAGTGTTGCGACGGATATTGTCGTCATTGGGTGGCAATGCAAGAGGCGAAGTGATTCAAGGAGGTTTGAACAGCGTTTCCATCGGAGAACGCAGTTGGGATTGACGAAAGACATGATGCCAATTAGCGGTGACTGGCAAGAAATTGGATCACGTATCAAGAATAGTGAAGATATGTCGATTGCGTAGATCTGTAGCGTAGATTGCGGTTCTGTTGTATGTACATTTGGTGTTAAACAAGATTAGCAGGTCAAGTTGATTTCAAGCCAACACAACGAAGGCGATGGCAGGGTATCAAGAGGCCAAAAAGGGGGGCAGTCTCTAAGATCTCTGTTCATTACTCAGTCATTTACCCAGCAAGTGTCTCCTTCCACTTACAGTTCAGACAAGCTGACTGAGGGATGGAGTCCACTGCCCCAGGTTCCCGGGCAGGGTATCGTGAGAAGCTCTTGAATGTGTGGGTTATCATCATTGAGACAGGGAAATAGAGTTTTTAACTGGGCTCTTGAGCATCATGATCTTAGACCTGCGACCGAGGCTACCCAGGGCTTCGAAGATACAATCGCGCCGATCATGCCTGCGCTCCCGTGTGGCATTTCCGATGCATCAACCGGCAATGTCTGACCCATCCAGTCGATCATCGGTCAAAGCTCCCTCAGCTTGCCGAGTAGGATGTGGGATTCGTCGAACACAAAGTGATCAAGTTATTGTACGCCAGGTTGGCGGACCAGGAAGTTTTCACCACTGTGGCCTCCGGGGGTGACCGGGACCTTCCAGTTCTGTCACAGTGCGCGATCAACAGGAGCAGATCGTGTTCGACGAGCGCCACATTTTACTCAGCGAACATAAGTTGTGGGTGTCATGATGGGAAAAACAGCGAGGCGATCGTGCTGTTGCCAGCTGACCTGTAGCAGCCTTGCGCTAGAGATAGCCGGACAATTTTCTGAACCGGGGTTAGTCAAGGAGCCATTCTATGGCGAAGTTGAGTCCTTTTATATGAAGATTGCGGTATAATGGAAAGCTGAGCATAATTGCTGCGTGAAGAGGCACGCGTCGCAGGAGGAGTTGCTGGTGTCGTGTAATTTGGTGTTCGCGCGCGCTGACACGTGACCAAATTAGTAATCCACGGATTAAGACCTACGCACCCAGCCTATCAGTGGAGAATGGGTCCGACTCCTGATTCTCAGGTTGATACAAGTTACAACTACTATCTTTGTTACAAAATAATCTCCGCTGATCCTTGGCCATCGGCTTGGTCATTGAGTGTTTACCTCAATTCATAAAAACATCGAACATACTCCAGCACCTAAGCCAACAGGTCTTTAGGCGGAGTTCATTCAATTGTTGAACTTATTTCGACTGCCAGACACAATGGAAGAGATGAGCCAATATCGCCTCGATGATGCATCAGTCTAATGGGCACGAACCATGGGAACAAAACTCAGATTATGCGCCAACACCTGGCTATTGTGGAAGCCCATACGGAGCGATATCGACCCGGAGCACTCCACATAGAGCGCAGTTGAGAACAGTACCGAACCTACGATTAAATGCGCCTCACGCGCACTCAACTTTCTCTGGCCATGTGGCTGCGAAAGCGGTAAAGCCTACGACGAGGGCCCACCAACATGCATCCACTGACGTATGGAATGGCGAGTGACAGTCAATAACAGGGAGGTGTTATAGAACCCTTAGTAGAATTTGGTATCAGGCGGGAGTCCCTCAGCCTGGTCATCTCTCTGCATTCGTCAGTCAGCACATTAAATACTTCCAACATACTAGGGAGCAGTGGAGTCCTTACCAGTGCTTCTCCTAATCCCTTCACAAGCGCAATTTCGTGGTCACAACGGGCCAGCTGTTCAGGTTCAAAGTCGGTGAAGGTCATTGCAACATCAAAGTCAATCCAGACCAGCCTATCAGGGTCTCCACGAACAAGGAGAAGATTTCTCGTGTAGATGTCCTTGTGGTGAACGCCCGCCCTATGTATCTCCTTCATGCCCTCAATTGCCTGGGGAAAGAGTGCATCTGAGTAGTTAATGCAATTTAAACTCTCTGCATTTGGTAGGTACTCTAGCAATATTGCTCTCGGTTTGAGCTTGTCTAGAGAGAAATGTTGGAAAGCAGGATGAAATTCTGCGGGATCAATTCGATTGATGTAGCCGTAGAATTTTGGAACGAAACTGCGCGCACAAACACCAGAGGCGAAGAGCTTCTTATATGCATTGAGTTCGCAGCGAAAGCGGTTCAAATCACGACCTTTGTCGGTATAACCAGGGTCGCCGTTGTCGTGGAAAAGCTTCAAAGCATATTTTTGTCCATCCAGATCTACCTCGAATATTGAAGACGCATCAGAGCACGTAATCTCCCTGATAATATGAATTTGGGACGGATCCATGTCGCTTAAGGACGCACTTCTTAGATGCATTGTTGTCCTGTCGGAAAGTTACATCTCCAAAGAGGTTGAAGCAGGTCAGGCAGCAAAAAATGGACAGGTCTTGGTTAATAATGAGGTTTAATCTAAGCACCCCTCTCATGCTGCTGGCGCTCTGTTGATGCCTCCGAAATCAGGCATGAAGCATGTGCAAGTTATGCTGAGCTAATCGGCCTCGGACCGTAAGGTTCCACTAATGAGCGCATCGGGCTTGCTTGTAGCTTTGCATACTCGAATTATAAGAGGTCAGCTGCCCAGCTGTTGGACTTGGTAAGTAAATGGTTACCTCGATATACAGCCCCGGTAGAATCGATGGCATCAAAAAACACTAAATGGTGGCAATCGCCTGATGAGGACGACCTAGACTACGGATTTGATTCTGACTTGGATGCTAGATTCAAATCTGAGCGGAATCCCCACCGCCCTCGCCCACCAACGAACGCAACGAACGATACACGGACACGAGAACAAGAACAAGATCAAGAAAAAGAGGAGCAGGACAAAGGCTTGCTAGGGAATATGGCTTCTTGGCTGCACCGTCAGGCTGGGTCTAGCAATTCGCAGCTCACGACCACCGCTGTCTTGTCTGGTGCTGCAGTTGCGACTGCAATTTTTGGTTACCAGGCTTACAAGAGGAAAGAGGCTGTTTATGATCTGAAGGCTTCTATCCCAACTGCTGACGAGCAGCATCCATCCGGAAGAGTGAGTGCTTGCTGGAATTAGAATTATACCTACACCATTTGCGCCAAGCTCGAGTTTGATAGCTAACTGGATTGAAGCTTACGGATTTTGGTGCCGCGGAAAATAGCATCCCACTGAGCAAGGAAGATGAGCGCAGTGCTGCGCTGGCCCGGAGAGCGCAAAAGGGAGACTATGATGATGGTGTGCAGAACTGCTTTGGGAAACTTCCTGCGTGAGCTAGCTAACTGGGTTTGCGACCAGATCTGATCCTCGAACAACTAGCCCGAAACCGGGTCTTCCTCACCGACGATGGCCTCACCAAACTCCGATCCTCATTTATTGTCGTTGTTGGCTGTGGTGGTGTTGGATCCCATGCCGCTGCCGCGCTCGCTCGCTCCGGTGTGGCGAAGATCCGACTCATCGATTTCGACCAAGTCACCCTCTCCTCTCTGAACCGACACGCCCTCGCCACACTCGCTGATGTGGGAACGCCCAAGGTGCACTGTATTCGGCGACGACTGGAGCAGATTGCTCCTTGGGTGATGTTTGACTGCCGCAACGAGCTGTTTGGAAAGGACGCGGCCGATAATCTTCTCGGTCCGTGGACTTTGACGCACGATGGCGAGGGTCGCCGACCCGATTACGTGCTGGATTGTATCGATAACATTACTTCCAAGGTGGATCTGCTGCATTACTGTCACTCAAACTCGCTGCCTGTAATTTCGTCTATGGGCGCTGGCTGCAAGTCCGATCCAACACGAGTGGTTGTGGGCGATATCTCGCAAAGTACAGATGACCCGCTTTCCCGCAGTACCCGGCGCCGATTAAAGGCAAAGGGCGTGACCACAGGTATAGCTACAGTCTTTTCGACTGAGAAACCCGGGCCTGGCAAAGCAACTCTGCTTCCGCTTCCCGAGGAGGAATTTGCTAAGGGCCAAGTGGGCGAGCTGGGAGTTCTTGCAGACTTCCGAGTTCGCATTCTTCCAGTTCTGGGCACGATGCCTGCTGTTTTTGGCTACACAGTGGCCAATCATGTCATCTGCAGTGTGACAAACTACCCATTGGATTATAGCATAACAAACAAGGGTCGTGACAAGATGTATGAATCTGCTCTGGGCAAGCTCCAGGCCTATTCGGAGAGATTGGTCAAGCAGATTGCTGGGCAAGATCCCAACAGTCTGCGCATTCCCGTCAGCAGGGACGACATTGCATTCTTGATGGAGGAGGTCTGGCGCGGAAAGAGTGCCATCTCTGGTCTGCAAAATCGTCTCGTATTTGTCCCTTGGGAGACCCCTGCCAGAGGCTGGGGAATTGATCCCACTTGGCAACAAGACGGCCAAAAGCTTCTACCGCTTGAGCTGACAAACTTGGTGTGTATGACCCTGGAAGAGTCTGCCTACCATGAACGTGAGGTCCTCCAAGCCGGCAAGAAGGTCGAGGAGGTGTACGATGAGTTGGTGTTGCAACGGGTGACCCTGCGCCTAAAGGAAGCCGGAGACTACGAACAGTATCGGGGATAAATCCTTCTCTCTGAATCTCATCTCTATACCTGTAAAAAATCAAAATGTTCAAAATTAAGAGACCTGCTGCAATTGTTTACTGTAGTTTTGGTACGAATACGATGCAAATCATAGATCGCTAAGTGGGGAAAGACTAGTTTAAAGTGGGCCGAACCAATTTATTTCCGGACGCGGCCTCTGCGACTCTTGTCTCAATCCTCCTCCAATGCCAAGGGTCGGCTTATTAGCGCCAGCAACTCTCTCCTTCCCCAGAGGGTGGCTTAAGACGTCCTGGATCCTAGGCTACTCCATTTTTTGAATACCATCATTCTCTTTCTACCTTCGTTTTCTTCCCGTGTCAAATACCCATTAAATAGTCTCTCCGGTACCACGAAACATGGCATCCTACGAGTCAGATTATGATCTCGACGATCTCGACGAAACCGATCACCTCTACCAAACCGGCCCCTCTTCCAAAAACTCACGCTTCTCCCGAGTCTCTCGGCCCCTAATCGATTCCGTTCGGAATGCCTGGCAACCCCCGTCTAATAACAACTCCGTTTCCCCCGAACATGACAAGCACCCGCCGTGGCTACAGATGGCCCTGTCCATCGCGGCCGCCCCAAGATTCCGCCGCTATGTCGTCGTATACATGATACTTTTCCTGCTGAGCTGGTTCAGCTGGACTATGTTTCTCTACCCTCGCCTAGAGGAGCGCAGCGCCTTGCTCCATTCGTTAAACCCCGCTTCTAAAGTGGAGGTTGGGGGGTGGTTCGGGTCCAACTCGTTACCGCGATTTGATGATTTGATTCAGATTCGGACATTAGATTCGGATCTGCTCCCTGAGGCTCGATTAGAGGGTGTGGACGCTGCTTCGTGGAAGGAGAAACGGCTGATCGTTGTAGGTGATGTGCATGGCTGCAAAGAGGAGTGTAAGTTCTTCTTCGTTCCGATGTTGCCGGATAATTTCTTGGCAGAATTGGTGTCGCTGACTGGTTTGGTTTTCGATTAGTGGTTGCACTTCTCGATAAAGTTTCATTTTCGAAAGCGAACGGCGATCATTTGATCTTCGCTGGTGATTTGATCAACAAGGGACCCGATAGCGGCGGTGTCGTGGATTTGGCACGCGAGCACTCAGCCTCTTGCGTGCGGGGAAACCACGAGGATCGGGTTCTTCTTCTCCGGCGTGAGGTTGTGTCCGCGAATGCCATGACAGAGGCTGAGGAAAAGCAGAGCCAGATATTTTCGGAGAAAGAGCTCAAGGAGCGCGCTCTGGCTCGTTTGTTAACCGACGAGCAAGCGCAATGGCTGGAAACCTGTCCAGTCATTCTGGACGTTGGTTATGTCCAGGGTATGGGCCAGGTTGCTGTCGTACATGCCGGCCTTGTTCCGGGTGTAGACTTGGAAAAACAAGACCCATCTACTGTGATGACCATGCGTACCATTGATTTGGATACCCATGTGCCGAGCGCATCGCATGATGGGTTGAATTGGGCCAAGGTACGAGCCAATTCGCATTTCACGTTGAGGGTCATATGCTAATGATATTCCACTAGCTGTTCGACAAGCACCAATCTATCCTATCCAAGAGTATCAAGCATTCCAGTGGAGAGGATCGCAACTCTCAACCAACAACTGTCATATACGGCCATGATGCCAAGAAATCTCTCAACATCCGCACTTACACCAAGGGCCTTGACACTGGATGTGTAAAGGGCGGCAAGCTGACTGCAATGGTCATCTCGAATGGTGGCAAGCAAAAGCTTGTTCAGGTCAAATGCCACACCAACTACTCGAAAGAGGAATGATCTTGTTTTCTATCTTTGCTTCTGGTCGTTTCATTGGCTTATTGCACATTGCATACGGTGGAGTTCTTGTTTAATCCTTGGGCATGGCTGTTTTCTTGGAATCCTAATTGCTGCGTTGTCAGCTTGTGCTCACATTCACCGCTAGTGTTGTGTGGCGTTGGACATATCATTTGTGTACATAGTGCTATTTATCAAAAGGGTCTCAATCAAGGCCGGTAGGTTTCTTGCAATTGTATATGTATGATTTAACATAGTAGGCTTTAACGTAAACACAGGTTACATGTGTTTGTAAACCGCTACAATACGTGTTGGACATCGGAGCATCCGGTACATAGTATCCAAAAGAAACATTTGAAAAGTACGTATATATACTAAGCCATAGGTTTTAGTGTATAAACTAGAATGGACTTGAGAGTAGACTTGAGAGCAGACTTGAGAATAGACTTGAGAATAGACTTGAGAAGGGACTTGAGAAGGGGTTATACTGCACATGTGAGATCTTACTTTGAAGATTCAAAGTGCTTTCCTAAATACATACGCAGCTGGGCAAGATGGACTCAAGTGCTCAAGTGCTGTGATAGGTACTCCACATATGCACACATGCGCATACTGGTACAAGCACTCCATGAGGGTTACATACATAGCCCTCAAGCTGTTGACTAGTATGTACGCCTGTCGTCAAGTCCTCTTTACGTGCTACATCCTCATCGCATCGTCTTTCGTCTCAGGTCACCTGACGTGGATTGTGCTTCTTCCAGGTGAGTAGCGCCATATCATTAGAAGAATCGAGCCATTCTACATCACTTTGCGTGTCCTATGTAGGAGACTCCGACAGGCCCGGAGCATTTTCAGTGGTTCGCCGACTGAAAGATCAGGTCAATTCAGTCGATGGTGTACGAGACACGGATTGGTTGCAGAGAATGGGGCAGGATGGGGCAGAATTTCCGACAAACGCGTGGTGGAGCTCACAACTTTGAAGCGAACCTCCCAATGGCTGAGGACGAAGCCAGTGTTAACGCCGCTGGAATAGTATTTGTTGCACCTGGGCACCCTACTCAACGGCTCTAGGGTTCAATTCAACTCGGAATCTCTCGCACAACATGCGGGTGGGACTCTGGAACCTTTGAGGTGCTGATTTCGAATGGTTCTCCGTCAAATTTACTGATTGAAAGCACGAGTCTACCACCTACTGGATATAAATCGGAATTTCAAAATACTCATCCATCATTCAGCGTCCCTTCCTTCCCCTCCCTATATGTCTCTAATGCTATCGACCGACATTGACCTTAGACAGTAGTACTTGCACATGTGTTTCAACATTCATGGATCTAGCCTTAGAATGTTTCCCATTCTCCCAAGACTTTTCTATCAATTTCACGATGTTCGACGCTTTACGTGAAAAAGACAGCAACGAGGGATCAAACTCAGAAACAGATTCACCAGAATCTCCTAAGCGAGACGCTAAGTTCATGAATCTCGAAGACGCACTGGTGCGAACGAGGAGACCAAATCGTTCAATGGGTTGCAGACAAAACAGTACTTGACTGTCCCATTCCACAACATACGCAGACCATGCAAACTCTCCACGACCTTGCAGATCGGTTAAATAGCGAGCCACTTGATAGAGGCACTCTTGCACATCTCAAAAGGCGCATCTACCTCCCGCAGCAACACGACCGGCAGTGTAGCAACCCCAAGCAAGCTCGCATAAATACAGCGTTTGCTCTTGTCGGAATGGTTGTGGCGAGAGCGTCGATTCTGCTTCAGAAAATCAGGCGTTCTTCCAAAGTACTGCCGCAGCATTCGCATGTTTCGGACATCATTTTGACATATCTGAAAAGCTGTGCTGTGTTCTGACGGATCTGCGCCACATTTTTGTGGATATGGTTTGCAACCGGCAGACGATGGCACTGGTCAAGGATCTCATTTATCAAAGACCTAGGAAAGTTTCCGAAATAGTCACTGGTGTGAACAAGGATCCGGATACATATGATCATGGTACGTTTCATTATCTGGAGATCATAGGAACCGTCTTGGGAGAACCGTGGCAAGTATTGCGCTGGCTGGCTTTGAGCGAGGGACGAGAAAAATTGTGCGCGTCCATGTTTATGTACAGAGTGTATGTGTATGGTGAATTGGGTCTCTGTTTTGACATTGAGCCAACTTCAAATAGCCATCTAGTTACTTCCACTTCTCTATCTTGAACCCAATTTGCATCTATTGATGGCCAAAATTGCTTCTGCAATCCTGCACATGTGGTCCACGGAATTTGGAACTACTGCTGATGCAAATATTCAATGTTTCATTTGTAGTACTTGAGGAAGCAGATAATTTTAGATGCATGGTGCATACGCGTGGTGCATGCACGCCTGAGCTGCTGAGCATATATGATGTTATGTACAAGATGCCAAGTGGATATGGTGACATCGTCTATATGCTGATGGCCTCATGGTATGTACATAAATAGCGCATCAACGAAATTGAAAAGAAAAGAAAACAAAGTATAACAACCTCCGTATTTGTACACAAAATTTTTCAACTTTCCGATTGTCCAAGGAAAGCCAACATAATCTCTTATTCCAAATAGGAATAATTCCCACCCGGCATCCAGGTTGCCGGATTCGAGAAATCCTCATACCAAACACCCCCGAGCGAATTGAGATGCACATACCCAAACCGGAAATACTCAATTGCATTCGGGCGAGCTCTCGTCCACGGGAAATCAGGGACGCCCGCCTGATCTTTCCCTTTCAGCTGCTGGAACCGCTGGACGTCATTCACAATAACACTGATCCCGTCTACATTCGCCGGAATCTGGGGGAACGAGAAAACGAGATGGTCTGGACCCACCATGGTGGGCGGGCTGATGACCGGGGCCACGGTGCCGAGCTTACCACCATCTAGCAGGGATGCGGGAGTTTGGAGGATAGAGTCAAATCCCCAACGAGCGATGCCGTTGATGAACAGACCAATCAGGATTCCCTGGAAGAGAAGACTTGGCCGGGTTTGCAGGGTTGTTCCTGGGAGGAAGACGAGGGCGAGAATGTAATGGTGGATGCGGAGGTTCATGTGCGGGACAGCGATGAGGATGAGAATGATCAGGACGAAGAAGCCGTATAGTCTCAGTTTCGACAGTAGGTTGCCTTCGCGACGGAAAGCATGCGCTTGGAGGAAGAAGACTGCGATAAGGAATCCGACTATCATGACAAGAGCAGTCACAGCGCCGGGCTGTTGCTGGATGTCATGTGGCGTGAGACGGGAGATGGGGATCCGGTCGAAGGTATTGGTGTTCAAAGCACCGACCCAGCACCCGCCGAGCCAGAAGATAGTCTTATCGATGTGAGCGTCGAGATTCTGGAGAGTGTGTCGGACGCAGAAATAGTATAGGGCGAAACCGACAAATGCGCCTGGGAGGAAGCGACCCAAGCCCACGGAGACGAGATTGTAGTACCCCGATGTTGGCGGGTCAGACGCCATGGCAACCTGGAACCAAACTATAAAGTATATGATGCTGTAGAAGACCGGGGCAGACGTGACGGTCATGGAGAAGACGACCGTTGTCAAAACGGTGAATGCGAAAAGCGGCCAGCGGATATCGGAGCACTCAACCGGTTTCGCGGAGCTAGCTCCTGACGAGGAAGCCTCTTTGCTGAGAACAAATGACATGGGGAAATATGACAAGAACTCAATGCTCTCGATGCCATTTTGTACGAACGATTGGAAATTATCCCGCATGCCCTGGCGACGCAAAATGCCACACCCTCCCTTTGCATCACTGATCATGCCTGCATGGAGGGCGGATGCACAAATGGACGAGTCACCGCGATAGATTCCACTATTGTGACCGTCCAATCGAAACGGCTTACCACCAATGACTAGCGGACGATAATTATACTCCTCGCCACCGACATAGTACGGCTCCAAAAGCATTTCCTGGGCACAGCCCGCAGGACAGCGAAAAGCAAATGATTGAGCGTCAAATGGTTGGCAGAGATCGCCATTGATTCCGCAGTCAGTGGCATTATTCCTGGAGAGAGGATCAGCATGAAAATACCTTACAAGGATTTATCTTCTGAAACGAAGACGGGAAAAAAAAAAAAAACACCACAAGCGGTGATTACAAGACAACTTGACCGGCTGTCCATAGCCCAGAACCTCTTGGCCCGCCACAGAGGCTTTAAGCGACGAAAAAAAAACGACAATCCAGAACACCAGCCCAAGGAAAAGCAAGCCGATTTTGGCTCCCATGCGCGGAACCAATCGATCAATCAACCGCGTGGGCGCAGCATGCCAACGTGGAAACCAAGGGTTGATATGATAAACATGTGGCGGCGAGGGCCCACGCAGCCAAGCACAGAAGCCCGCAAACGTGCATGAAAAAGGCGGATCGCGCCTAAACTGGTGTTCATCCGCCTCCTCAAAATCGAATTCCGAATCGCTGTCTTCGAAATCATATTCCTCGGCAGGGAGCAGCGGAACATTACCCAGCTCTATGTCTCGATTTACTAGATCAAAGCTGCCGCCATTGGCCTTCGCGGCGTCTGCCTCCAGCTCATGCCGCGCGTCAATGTCGTCCTGATAAGGTGGCGGGTATTGGGGCCCAGAGTTTGGGGGCTTCTCCGACGACTGGGGCGTATTCGTACCGGCGCTTTCGCTGGCACTCCCTGGATTGCCCATTATATGTTTTTTTTTTCTTTTCGTCGACACACCAGATTGGTGTGGGAGGTGTCCTGGGATTGAAATTGCCAACGTGGCGTTCGAGATAACTAGCATGCCAAGCTTGGACGGGGTCTTAGTAATCGTTTCGAGTGATGGTGCGATTTTTAGGATCTACATGTTCGGCGTATCAGATTGGAGTAGGGAGACAGGGCAGGGATTTCATTCGGTCGCTGTATTGATGGACCAAGGTTGATTGGTGAGGGAAAAGTCTTCAGATTGACCATGCTGCATGATTCCATGGCTCGGATAAGGCTCGGTACGGGGAATGTGGCTGCGACAATGCAACCGCGGATAATGTTCTGCATCAAATTTTATTCATTTAACGAGTGACTGTCACTAAACACCAAAAGCACAAGGTCATGAGTCCAGTACGGGTATCAAAAATAGTCGTAATTCGTTTGCCCTGTGATCGTGACGAGCTGGAGAATGCGACATGAAAGCCATTGATATCATGAAACGACCGAAGTTCACTATTGTCGAGAAGAGCACAGAGTCGTGGGTCACTGAGGACCATTAGCTAACAATGACTCCATGAAGGAGTCAGTGATTTGACCAGCTCTGGAGGCTCCACGATATTAAGCCCTCTATACTGCGGCGGTGGTAGTCTCGACTTTACGATCGCGACCCCAGCGACGGCGGGGACTGTTGATATAGTCAGTATAAAGTTCGCAAGTTTAGATTTGAGTTGCGCAACAATGACGTTTGTGCACAGCTTGACATACGTGGTAGTAGCGGCTGTAGTGTCGCGCTTGCGGAAAGTAAACCAGATGCCCTGCAAAGTAAGTTAGAATGGATTACATCGTTAATGAACTCATAATCGCCAATGACGGCCACATACCACTAGACCAGAGACGAGCCAAACAATCGCGGACAAGAAGCTAAATGCCTCAGCGGCTTTCCAGCGACCGCAAACAGAGTCACCGCGGAACTCCCATGACCAGATGCTACCACAGGGCAGGTGGTGAATAGCGTCAACCAGAATACCAAAAGCGGCGAACCAGGCGAATGAGATGAGAATGTCCACTGCAGAGGTAGCGAGTCAGTATATGATGAATATTTGGTAGATTCATCCTTGGGGAAACATACGGGGCCAAGAGAAGAAGCCAGAAGAGAAGGGAATCAGCCAAATCAGTCCCAGCAGTATCGACAGTCCACCAATGACTTCAGTATAGATCCATCGTGCCTGAGGCCAAGGCTGAATGGAATCAAAAGATGCAAGATAATGTCCAATAATACCCACAACAACGGCCGCGAATGCGATTTCCGCGATGCGAAGCGGGATAGACAACAGGCGCGAGATGACAGGCATGGTGTGCTGTGAATCTGTGATATGAGATATGATAAGTGAGGCCGGTGAAGGCGATATTCTAGTATTCAAAGTTCAAGCAACTTGGAAGATTCCGTGATACTGTGTGGAAACACCTTTCCTGGGGGATCGACGAGGTATATAAAAGGTATCGGGGACAGCGTCACACAAAGGCTAATTCCGAGTAACCAGAGCAGAAAAGCCGGATCACCAAGCAAGGGTAAATGAACAAGAGACACGATATTGAATTAAAAATCAAGAATAAAATTAGCAAGAGTTTAAATTCGCTCAAATTGTAGCTTTCATTTGTATACAACTGAGACCCACAGACCATGCAAGAAGTTTAAAGCACCTGATATTGTCAGATCATTTCCTGACTAGTTCAACTTCCGTAGAGACTCATTTCCTTTGTCTTTGATTTCCATTGAACACTGTTTATCCTTCGTGGCCCAACCTAAACAACTTCCCCCCCCCATTGGATTTTGACTCGGACCGCCGCTGATGCACTTTGTGGCTTGTTTTTGCGCTTTTGTCCTCCCGATCGGAGTAAGGAGGCTGCCAAGTGGCGCTCCACCCTGTCAGGATCCCTGGAGCTAGGACGGACCCTAGTAGACCACGCAATCCGGGGCACAGGGCAGGTTCTGGAAGAGCTACGTAACGTGTTTGTTGTCCATGGAAGCCTATCCCTGTTTTCGAGACACTTTTTTTTCTCTTTCTTGGACCTTCCTCCGGTCCAGTGACATGTGATCTCGCGTGTTATTCGAGGGATGTGTTGGCTTTCCGTTCTATCCGTGGACGTGTCGCTCGTATTTTGGGAGGTGCATTTCTTCATTTCTTGGGGGTGTCAAAGTCCCGTGGACAACGTTGTCGATCTTTGTTGATAGTTTGCCAATCATAATGGCGGGCGTGGATTTTCGTCATTTTGGACTTTTGGTGCGCGTATCCACCTTGGCGATCATTGTCTGTGCTTGGGCCTGCAGAAGTGTCGGGTTGGATGATGCAGGCTCGTGGGGTGATGCCCCGTCCAGGTAACCTCCATTCTGTGTTGGTTTCCCTCATATCCTGGGTACTATGTACTTGGTAGATTGAAACTGCCGAAAAAGATACTGAGCTATCGTATGTTCCTGAGAGTAAGGTCGTACAGCCCTTGCCTTGGTCTATTCGTTCTCAGCCCTATGACGTAGGGGATGATTTACTTAGTTCATGTCAGTGGTTACACTCAAGTGCTGTAGACACCTGGGCATGTATAGGCAGAAACCTTTCGTATTTGTGAGCTCAAGCGAAGCGTATAACTCCAGGGTGAATGATTGCCAAATGCCTAAATCTGACACATGCAGCTTCTCCAACTGCAGGTGCAGCCCCGATGGAGTCCCCAAATGTGATCCATACATAGACATAATCACATGCCGTTGAACCAGGCAAGACCCTACTACATTTATGAAAAAGGAGACTAGAAAGGTCATGGAATTCCATGCAACTTAATGATATGATTCCTGATTAATATTTCTCTCGAGGTTCCGAGGTAGGTAGGATTAATAATATACAGTGAAGACAAAAACCGCATCACCAAGGGGGTACCCGACGCCCCATCAGACACGAGACACTCCAAGTCAAACAATATAAGTGGACAAAAACGAAGGGAAAGGAATGTGACATCATCCACGCAGTTTTAGACATGTCTGTGATCTTCCTTCAGGAACCAAGCCATGACATCCTGAAACACCCCCTTGGCACCCTTCTCGACCACATCTCCATGGCAAGGAATGAGCCGATCAAAGTCCCACCGAATGATCCGGCGCATGGATTCCGTGAACGCAGCCCGGTCGTTTGCCAAAACATACCAAGCGAAGCGCCGGTGCCCCGTCGAAGGTGTCTTCACACTCAAGAGGGGAAGGACCATTCGGGTCAAGAAGTTGGCAGTGCTGCCCTCCTCAGTTCTCGAATATTGCTCAGTAGCAGGCAGGTTGAAAACAAGGTCGGCCTCGATGACAGTGCGCGATGGCTTGTGGAGAACGACGATCTCGCGTGAGCCATGCCCTTGCACATACTCGACCTCGAATTCTGCGTCAAACTCTTCGGAAATCGAACGCGCTCCATCCTTGTACACATACTCGAAAGGCGTACTTCGGAACTCGGGGACCTTCTGTCGTTTCTCCCACAGACCATGCGGGGCGAGGATGTGGGCCTCCGGGAAGGCGTTCTTCCATGCTGTGATGTGCAAATGATGCTCAAGATCCGGCGCAATGATGTACTTGACGTTGCCGCCCTGCGTCTCAACTGTCTCACGCACTTCGGGAGTGAGGCTGACGGGGGAGAAGATGGCGAGGGAACCAGTGGCAAGCTTGACTAAAAACGCAAGGCATAATTAGCTTTGGTTCCCATGACCCACACAAGGTCTCATGGTCTTGCGCCCTGCTTTCATCTGCAAGGGCGGGGGTTGATGTATACTCACTTAAAGTTCCTCGAGCGCCGAAACGAATGATACCGAAGCGCGCGAATGGCAGGCTGAAAGTGATAATTTCGGGTGTGACTGCGCGGATGACCATCGACGACGATGGGTCGGTCGGGAAGAGCTGAGGCATCGTGAAGGTGTTGGATGTTGGAATGTGTCAGACGGTTTCGTATTTCTGAACCTAGGTAACTGGACGTGCTGCTGGCGTGGAATGAATGTCTCGGGTGGTAATCGTCCCTTGAAGCGTGCAGTGATCGAGGGGTATCTTGAGAGTGGCAAGTAGAAAGTAACAAAGGATCCGAGAAGAGGCAGGTTACAACCAAATTAGGCAGGGGCGACTGGGTGAACTCATTCAATGTTTCTTGGTAAGAACTTCGAGTTACCTGAATTTATAATTTATAGGGAAGAGCGGATGACGTGCCTAGCCCGAGATTTGGACCAATTGCTTACTCTACAGCTCCCGGTCTAGACCCCCACTATCCACCATGATCTATAAGCTGATCAGTGGAGTTTTATCTTATTTTCCGTTCTATTCTCCGAAATGTACGCATAATTTGCACAAAACATTTCAAGCTGGAATAAAAGGGAGCCAAGAGAGACATGGTTTGTGAGAAAAAATTTCACATTAAATTAACATCAAAAGTAAACAAATTGGCCTGGGTATCTTCCTGTAACAACATCAAGTACAAAACACCGAAATTATTCTCAACTCCAAGTGGTGGCGGCTTCCTCTGTACTTTCATTGCGGTGCGGTATGATCGATGATTCAATGCCAAATACATCGACCAGCTGCTCCCAGGTCTTGAAATCTAAACTGAAGATAGCTTGACGTTTTACAACGCCTTGAGCTTGAGCTTCACTTGGCAAATGTGGCGAGGAGGTATCTATTTCATAATCGGTTAGCTTTGCATCAAAACGGACTGGAGACATGTTACTCACGTAGCGTTGGTAGCCCACGGCTATCTACGGAAACACCAGCACTGCCATCTCGGACAAGGAAGCTAACATAAAACAAATTTTCCACGCTTTGACCAAATGAGCGCGGGTTGATACAAAAGCGGAACAAAGGAACTCCGCCATCGTCTGCAACATCATGCTTTGCCATAATCCTCTGCATAGTGTCCTCGTCAGGGTCATCCATTTCACTGAGCACCCTGTCCACAGTATCTTGTGCCTCTTCCTGGACTTTCCCCAGCAGCGTATTAATATCTTGACAAATGGTTGTCAGATTCGCGTCATCTTTCCCACTTAGATCTTCCTGCCGCAGTTCATTGGGGTTTTTGGCCTGCGTCGGATCGAATTTCTCAGCTGGAGCGCGCTGCGTCAATTGACGCGTGCGTTTTTGCAAAGAGAGCGGTCCCAATAACCACCCCGATACTGTCGGGCGCGCATTATAGGGAAGACAGGCAGTTCGAGCCAGCCAATCCCAGTTCATCGCATCGCCATTATCCCCATCTTCACCCTCGTCCGCGTATCTCTGGGAGGCACCAGTGCGTCGACGTCGACCTCCCCCCACGTTCTGGGTTACAGTCGACATATCAGGTCCTCGTCGCATGTACGAAATACATTTAGTAACAAAAACGTCGACGTCGATACCGGCGGTCGTGTTGCCGAGGGCAAGTTGTGCGGTCCTTTTGTGCGAGAGATCGGCTGCGTTAACGAGGAGGCGCGAGTCGAGGGTGGCGTCAGAAGTCTGCTTGACACCGACATAGAGTTGGTTGGCCTTGTGGATTGTTTTTAAAATTCCATCATTACCGGCTTGCATGTATTCGGTGCGTGAATCTGCAAGTAAACGCTTTGTCAGAACACGCGGAATCTCATCTTGCATGGAACGCGCGACACGTAGTGATTGTTACCGTTAAAGTCGTGGGTCAAATCTCTGATGCCCTTTCGAATACGTCGCCTTTCCTCGGGATCCTGATCAGGATCATAATATTTGCTGGTGTCATCGTGCCGTGAAGAGGACATTTGCGACTGTGAGTTGATGTTGCGATCGGTGAGACGACGACGTTTGGATGCGCTTGGAGATGTCATTTGAGCCGTGTTTCGTTTATTTAGACTCGGTCGCGGGTTTTCCTTGTCTGAGGAGGATGAAGGTGATGCAAGATTGGAGCTGGGTGCAGTGGGTTCATCCAGCTGGGAGTGGAATATGCCGGCCATATCTCGAAGGGTTTCTTTGAGATTAAGGATGGGTGAGCAAACAAAGGAACATCAAACAATCAAAGAATGAATGAATAGGGTACAGAGCCAAAAGGACCAGAGTTTTTCTTTTTGGTGTGGAAAGGACGCTATTATTAAACCAGTTGCAAATCCAATAAGTTACAACCTCACTTATTTCAAGTCAAGTTGATGCATCGATTTTCCTAATTTCCGAGGCGCGTCGCGCGCTCCACGTGACCGTGTTGGTGGGGCTCAAATATTCCAATGCGTGACTTTAGTATCACTCCTTATCTCTACTTCGGTACGAGCTCCATTTTTGATAAGCCCGTGTCCGTAGTATAAGTTAGTCGAATTTTAGGTTGTTCTTTTTTTTATATCAAAAATAGCTTGTTTCTGTAGCCAACTCTAATATTAACAAGTGAAGAGCGCCGCGCGTATGTAGTGGATATCTCTAGGTCCAAGTTAGGTACATAAGTAGCCCTAGACGTATCCAACCTTGAAGTTTACTAGTACTACTACTTTTAGAGAGGGATCAGGTGACCCCCACTAGATATCCAGTGCTTGCTTTCTCCCTTTTCCCTCCTTCTTCTCTCTACCCCCATCCCCCGAGAGATTTGAAAGCTACTCAGAAGAGGGACTACACCATGTACGGCATGATGACGTATGGGATATTCTTCTGGTTTTCAAAGATCTCGCATGATTCTAAAGTAAGTTCTCTGTATTGCTTCAACTTCTATTCGGGGCTCTGACCTTGGCTAGGTCTCGGATTATTCTGTCTCGATAATGGGAACTGGTCAATGCAAAGTATACGCGATCCTCATCCAAACGTTAACACAGGTGGCGATGATGTCGCCTCCTCATTCAAAGGAGACCTCGTCACAACTAGAAGAGGACGAGGAGATGATGGATTCATAAGCTCGAAATGCTGGCCCCCTTTTATTGTATATCTTTATTATTATCTTTTTGCTCTTTTAGCTCCATATAAGTCTTACGTATGCGAAAAGAGCTTGGGGAGTGCAGCTGCTGGTAATACTAGTAAGTCTTAGCGTCCAAATATAAGCAATATGATTACAGGGTTCCTTATTAAGGATATGCGCGCAATTAATCCTTTCATCCTAACTTTGCCCCAACTCTTGACCTAAAATTAGCCCTGAACCATAACTTTGCTGTTACTAATAACTTACTATCTTTGTTACTAGTTAGTTTGTTGTCAATTGACCAAACGTTCCCCACAATTTTCCTATCACAATCTAAACTACCCTTACCGCCTTGCCTGGCAGAATCTGGAGGTGACCTCCACTACTGTGAGTCTGTGACCCGCTCTGTGTTGTCTTGGAATCTGGAGAATGCCCCACGAGCATGGAGGCATTCACTTTTGCGCTCTCCACACAGGTGGATTTGCCAGTATGCGTCAAAATGTAGGGGTTCCACCTAAGCCCCAGAACAACTCTTATTCAAACTAACAATTCACAGTGGCTCACTAGAAGGCAAACAAAAGCAGATACCGTTCTCCCGTCTGCTTCAGAATCCCGAATTGCGATACCTTGGTTCAGCCCAGAACCCTTGCTCTGATCTTTTTGTGACCTCACAATTATGGTCAGACTCAAAACCACTCGGTGTTCCCCTACAGACCTCATACAAGGCTTTCAAAACCACTCGATCGTGGAACGAATGGCTCCAAATGCCCATGTCCATCAAGGATGCCCCGCTCAATTCCCAATTGGCAATCACGGTCTGGGATTTGTCCCCGCTGGCGGGTGATGGGTCACAAGGCCATGACGTTCCATTTGGCGGAACGACAATATCATTATTCGACCACGAGGGCAAGCTGAAGATGGGCCGGCAGAAGTGCAAGCTTTATCGTCACAAAGCTGCTGATGGTTTCTCGTCAACGACCACTCCATCTGCCCCTCCTCCGAAGCGACGAAAGACCAGCGCTCGTGATGCGCTGGCCCCATCTCTGGAAGAGATAGAATTGGAGCGAATCGAGGTTCTGATTAAAAAGCATGAAATGGGCGAGATAACTCGGATCGACTGGATGGATCAGATGGTCTTCCGTCAATTGGAAAAGCTCAAGCTTCAGGCAGAGGAGGCTGCACGCAAACGAGCTATTCATCTCAAGAATACAAAACTCAAGAGCAAAAATGCTGAAGATGACAGCTCCGACGAGGAAGAATTAGACGACGAAAACTTTGTCATCTATGTGGATTTCCCTCGTTTTGATCATACCATCGTTTGGGCCGATCACCAATACCCTTCAGCGCCGATATCTTCATACCCTCAAACTGTGCCTGCCAATCCGAACTCCACCCTAAAGCCTGTTCCGGAAGTCCGACTCGGTCCGGGGATCGAGGGCGGGGATGGCGCGGGGGTGGTACGAATCTATGACCCAGAAGTTGGACAGACCGGAAACCCATGTGAAGACAAGCACCGGCGCCTGATCCGTAGCCATCGGACTGGTTTCATGGACCGTGAACTAAAGCCCAATCCCAAGAACCGGGATGAACTGAATGTTATTCTGTCATACGAACCAACCCAGGATCTGACTGCCGAGGAGAAAGATCTTGTTTGGAAATTCAGGTATTATCTGACCCGGGAGAAGATAGCTTTGACCAAATTTGTCAAATCCGTCAACTGGCGTGATGACGGCGAAGCTCGGCAAGCGGTAGAGATCCTTCCCAAGTGGACTGAGATCGATGTCGATGATGCTTTGGAACTTCTTGGTCCTACATTCGATAATCCAGCAGTGCGCTCGTATGCTGTTGCGAGGTTACGCAAAGCAGACGACGAGGAGCTTCTTCTCTACCTTCTACAATTGGTACAAGCTTTGAAATATGAGGAACACTCAGAAAACGACGCGGATGAAGCGGCTCATGATTCTTCACTCGCCAACTTCCTGATTACGCGTGCCGCAAATAACTTCAAGCTCGGTAACTACTTGCATTGGTACCTGATGGTTGAGTGTGATGACGCAGGCCCGGGCACGCTTTCTAACCAGCGCCGCCTTTTTGCCCGAGTTGAATATTACTTCATGAGTGAGCTCGAGAAGATCAATGCAGAGCATCGGAAAATTCTCCTACGACAAGGCGAACTCGTTGCTGTGCTCTCAAAGATTGCCAAAGATATCCGCTTTTCTCGGGAAACACGACCTGCAAAAATTGAGCATCTGAAAAAGCTGCTTCGAGATCCTAAAAATGATATTATCAATATCGACCCTCCGTTGCCGCTTCCCCTAGACCCAGATGTCTTGGTGGTTGGCTGTTACCCCGATGAATCCAATGTCTTCAAATCAACTCTATCCCCACTACATATCACGTTCAAGACCGCCGATGGTCGCCGATACCCTCTCCTGTTCAAGGTGGGTGACGATCTTCGTCAAGATCAACTGGTCATCCAAATCATCATTTTGATGGATCGGTTACTCCAAAAGGAAAACCTGGACTTGAAGCTCACACCATACCGGATCCTGGCAACGAGCTCCACAGCAGGTGCTGTTCAGTTTATACCATCAACCTCTCTTTCTGCCGCCTCGGCCAAATACAAATCCATTCTTGCCTATTTGAAGGAGCACAATCCTGATGACAACGAACCTCTCGGGGTTCGCAAGGAGACCATGGATACATACATCAAGTCCTGTGCCGGCTACTGTGTGATCACTTACCTTCTTGGCGTGGGTGACCGACACTTGGAGAACTTGCTCCTGGCCCCAGACGGCCACTTTTTCCACGCTGACTTTGGATTTATCCTCGGCCGAGATCCCAAGCCTTTTGCACCTATGATGAAATTGTGTAAGGAAATGGTTGAGGGTATGGGTGGTACCACCTCGCCACATTATCTACAGTTCAAGCAGTACTGCTTTACTGCGTACACAACCCTGCGCAAATCAGCAAACCTTATTCTTAACCTGTTTAGCCTAATGGTTGATGCCAATATCCCAGACATCCGTGTGGAACCAGACAAGGCTGTATTCAAGGTCAAAGAGCGCTTCCATTTGGAGATGTCTGAAGAGGAGGCTATCCGCCACTTTGAACAGTTGATAGGGGATAGCGTAAACGCTATCTTTGGCGTCGTGATCGATCGTCTGCATGAATTTGTGCAAGGCTGGCGGGCATGATTCTCTGCGATCTCTTCGTATTTTACATTTTACATTTTCTAGCATTGGAACTTGCAGGAGTTGAAGTTATGCATACTATACTACAGAACAGGATACCCAACTGAAATATTTACAACTTTCAAACGTTTCGTTATCAATATAATCTTCCAGATCAAACAAACGACTCATTATTAAAACCTTCAGTATTTTCTCAGGCCCGGCATAAATTGGAATTAAATTGGAATTCGGGTTTGGAGTACTCGGTAGGAAATCGTTCCTGATGTTTGAGATCCAGGACTTTTGCCACACTGTCTGGCAATATTGCCACGCCCTGGCTTGAAATTTGGCAGAACATGCGCACTCTAGAACGCGCACAGATCGATCAGCATTGGTCTATTTTTGTGCCCCCAAAAAATCAGCGTGGAATTAATGATCAGTCAGTCCAATGATATGTTCTCACCGCCTCGTGCTCTGACCGCCTTTCAGTCCGCCCTGATGCAACGGCAATTTTTTGTTTCTGTTGCGACAACTAGCTCGATTGCGATCCTGGAACTTGCTTTTGCGAGTCGAAATGAGAATCTATCTTACTGTTTGACTATAAACTCGCTTCTCAAGCAATGGCGCAGTTTATCCCACGCCCGGCTTTCCCTCATTATGGCGCCATCCCGAGGTCTTACTTCCTAGGACATCACCGGGCTGGATTGACTAAGATGAAGAGCATGCTCTCATTAATTGACTACGTTGTCGAGTGCCGTGACTACCGGGCACCTGTGACATCAATTAACCCAATGTTTGAAGAAGCTTTGGGAAAGATTCGGCGACTGATTGTCTACACAAAAAGAGATCTTGGAGGCGTTCTGCACTCACCAAAGCAGCAATCGGTGAGTTGCATATCATGAGATTATATAGCCTTAAGAATTATCGCAAGCTAACTGATTCCAATCCAGTTAGAAAGAAAAGTCCGGAGCTTCGACCCGACCAGCACAGTGTTCTTCACCGACTCATCCTCCCGTGCAGATCTGAACCGGATCATTAAACACCTCCGCGATGATGCCGCAATGCCTGATAAGCTGACTGGGTGCCGTATAATGGTTGTTGGAATGCCCAACGTCGGCAAATCAACATTAATCAATCACTTGCGGAATCATGGAGTTGGGAAAGCGAAGGCCCTGAAAACTGGTGGTCAGCCTGGAATTACTCGCAAGATCGCCAGCCCCGTCAAGATCATTGAGAGGGAGAGCGGATCACATACATACGTGCTTGATACCCCAGGTGTCTTTATGCCCTACGTGCCGGACGCGGAGAATATGCTTAAGCTGGCTCTTGTCGGGTGTGTGAAGGATTCTGTCATATCGCCCGTGACTCTCGTGGACTATTTATTGTATAAGATCAACTTGCATGATCCGCAGGCGTATCGTCGTTGGTCCGAGCCCACAAACGAGGTCATTCCTTTACTCGAGGGATTTGCCCGTCAGACTGGGTTGCTCATGAAGGGAGGCATACCCAACGTGGATGGTGCTGCTCTACATTTCATATCGAAATGGCGCTCGGGCGATGTCGGGAAATTTATTCTCGACGATCTAGACGCTGAGAAATTGCGTATGGAGGGCCCTGACGAGACCCAGCGCATGAGCATGTCTCAAGCATTGAAGTTCGAGAGGGTGAACCGAAAAAATAAGCCAGATGCTGATACCCCATCTGAATAATGTATTGTACAAATATAACGAAAGAATATTTTGAATATAAAATTTTGAATACGATGTGTATCTTTTGAAACCCGAGTTGACATGAAGCAATAACAATGCTTGAGATGTGAATATTTCGTAAAAGCATCCGTAACGCCGACATGGAAAGAAAGAAAACCACAAAACCCCTTGACGCACATGCAGTACATGCAGCACAGTAGCTCAAGAGATCTTGTCCAGGAGCCGTCTGCGCCGACGGTCAATCAGCTCCTCTTGAACCTCTTCAAGTGAAGGTAGTCGCCATTCAACTCCGTCACCAGCATCACCAGGTAACGGCTCCCACCCATCCTCCGCATCGTCTTCGCCTTGTCCACGCAGATGATCAACAGCCTCCTTCTCCTTCTGCTTCTCATAAGCAAGCAATGTTCCATCTTCCTCATCAAGTCCATAACCGAAGTAATTGGCATCAACCTTCCGGGTAGCAATATCTCCACCCCGACCAGCTGCACTCTCCTCCTCAGAAGGACCCTTCGACCGGCGAGCAGCGTTCTCAAACATCTCCTTCACACCAGGCAACTCCCTAGCGCGACCGAAATATCGATATCCCTTGCCACCACCAGGAATCTCTCGCCCTTCGTCATCATACACGCGACCCGACCCACGCATGTAGTTCGGCCCACCCAAGTTCCGAATCTGCATCTCCCAAGCCCATTTCTCCCGCATAAGCTTATTGATCTCGTCGTTCAGATCGCGGATCTGGAAGTCGCTCAAACTCGGTTCTTGAATGCGTGATACTTTGCGGGAGACCTCTTTTAACACCTGGCCGCGCCAGCGCTCGCAGGTTGGGACCGAGTCGATGCTTGTAATGGCCTTGGGGCGACGGGTTCGGCCAAGGTCAATGATTCCCATGTCCGCTGCTTGTTGCGCCCGGAAGCGGAACAGCATGGACTGCGCTTTTTCTTGGTTGCGAGCCTATTTTCATGGTGAGGGGTGGGCCGTTAGCAAATTCCGCTTTTTACGGTGTAGATTTTGGGGGGTTTGGAGGGTTGGATTTGTTCATAAACGGGGGGTGCCGCTTACCATTTTGAAGGGTTGGACCTGGTCTGCGGCCCAGGTTGTAATGGGTAGAGGCCGTGGGAGGAATCCGGAGTTGAAAAGTGAAGCTTGACAGCTGCGGATGAGGTCAAGCGCTAATATCTATTGCCGCGCTTGGCGCGCGTTTATCACGTGCGCTCTTTGCTATTGAGTCTTGGCGCTGGCATCTGAAGCCTGTCTTTGATCGTTCTTTCCTATTTTTCATGCATCAATGCTAATTCTGAGCATAAACAAGACAAATCCTCCGCCTTGGATAAATTTGGAAAGAGCTTGGGGGTCGCTCTTTCCCTATGCCGGGCTCCTAGCATCAGTCCGTGTCCCCCGTGGATCATCATCATTCATTCGTCATAACACAGCATGCTATCAAGATATAATCGGCTGGTCCAGGAGAGATTAAATTGCGCATTTCAAACAGCTATTTAGTACGCTACACGATAGAGATTTGATCCAATGACAAAACTGGAAACCTCGACAGATTTATCTCCGCAAGTCTCACCACATGTGAAGTCACTTTTTAGACTCCTTGCGGCTTTCTCACCGATGCCCATTTTTACCCATGCTTCGATAGTTCGAACAAAGCTCTACACCTTCCCCGCGTTTACCCCGGACTACGGACAGCTGCCCGTGATATAGTAGAAACAAAGTGCAGGTCATTCATGCACGAGAGGGGGTCCTGACAATGCACAACTATAACTATTCCAAAATGCCCGCTCCCCTTTGGCCTTCGCGAGTGTCTGAGCATTCTTGACGGATGAGTACGTAATTATCATCAATATTGAGTATGGACAACATTGACCAGACTAAACCCGACGTTGAGTCAATCGAGGTGGTGAAGCCCATCGCACTGCAGCAACTTCCTCTGCCAGAGGAGTTGGCATCCTGGGAAAGCAATGACCTGGATAACCTTGAGAAAGGTCTTGTGAGAAAGCTGGATAGCTGCTTGCTACCTGCGGTCATCATTCTCTTTTTGATGAATATACTGGATCGGTCAGTCTACTTTAGAATAACGCACCTGAGCAAGCAGACTAATTTTTTTCCAGGAACAACATTGCAAATGCAAAGATTGTCGGATTGCCCGAGACATTAGGGATCTCAGACACACAATACAACACATGTCTGATGATCTTCTATGTTGGATGTACGTTCTTGAAGTTTCCCCATTTATTCTGAATACAGGCTGACAAGGCTATGTAGACATCCTCACCCAGCTCCCCTCTAATCTGATAATTACCAAGGTGAAACCATCTATCTATATTGGCGTGACCACCGCCGCATGGGGAATTGTCTCCATGTGTCAAGCCTTTACACACAATTTTGCAGGGCTTTTCATGTGCCGCTTTGTCCTTGGACTAGTGGAAGGACCCTTCTTGCCTGGCGTGTTCTTCTTAATGTCATGCTGGTATAAGAGGTCTGAACTTCCGCCTCGAATTGCTCTACTCTATGGTGCGAATATGCTTGCGACTGCATTTGGTGGCTTGATCGCGGCGGGGATTGTCGCTCGCATGCAGGATAAAATGGGCAGACCAGCATGGGTAAGTGAGCTCTGGACTTTGCAGGATCCAAGGATGTGCTTGAGACGTCGCGGCTAATTATCCGGTATTTTCTTCGCCTAGGAATGGTTGTTTATCATAGAAGGCTCTATGACCATTGCAATTGCCCTGATGGTCATTCCCTTTATTCCGGATTACCCGGGTTTTACCAAGAGATGGTGGCTGTCGCGTGAGCACCAGTTGCTAGCAGTAAGTGATAATAAAACACTTCTCTTGCATGGTTTATCTCTTCTAGCCATTTGAGCCAATCTCTGATAACGGACTGACTCTTTGAGCGACTAGGACTGGCGACTGCGTAACGAAAATGCCGGACTCGTCGACGATGATGCCGACTCTATGCTCTGGGGCGTCAAACAAGCCTTCCTCGACCCAAAACTATACATGTTCGTCGTACTACAGATGGCCCTTATAACAGCCCAGTCATTCAACAACTTCTTTCCATCCATTGTCGGTACCCTTGGATACAACGATACCATTACACTCCTGCTCACAGCACCCCCATACGTCTTTGCGTTCTTCTGCTCTCTAGCAATATCATTCCACGCTGCGTACAAACAGGAACGTGGGTACCATATTGCGATTCCGTTGATCTTCGCATTAATCGGAAACTTGATGGTAAGGGCTCAGAACATTGATTGAAGCTGGTTTGTTATCGCACAATTCTAATCGCGACGTTTAGGCTATGTTCGTTCCGAAAAATGGTGCGAGATACTTTAGCATGTTTCTGATGACAGCCGGTGCTTACTCGCCATACAACCTGTGCGTGTCGTGGCTGAGCTCTTCTCTTCCCCGCCCCAAGGCAAAACGTGCGAGTGCATTGGCCGTTGTTAACCTAATGGGAGCGGGTGTTGCGCATTTCTACACCTCCTATATGTTCCCTGATTCTCAGAAGCCGAGATATTATGCTGGCGGGGGAGTTATGAGTGGCGCCTGTGTAGTGTGTGCGCTGATGGCACTTGGTATCAAATGGCATCTGAAGAAGCAGAATATGGAGCTTGAGAAAGCTGAGTTGGAGGAAGGCATACTGGCTGGTTCAGTAATTGCTGGGTCGCGGTATGGGCAAAGGTCAGATGGGGTTGTTTCTTTCCGATATGTGCATTAAGGCTGGTCTGGACCCGAGGTCGATATGCGACGTCTCACCAACGACCTCACTCATGGGGGTGGGAAATTTTGAAATGACCATTGAAGCAGGTAATAATGAAGACTACAAAATGATAAGTCAAGGTCCGATGTTCAGGTATTAATTCAATCTTGTAAGGCTCCTCATAATATGAACAAAAAGCTAAATAGACAACCTGCCAAGAGTACTGCAAGAAGACCGGAGCATGCCTCTCCTAATACACATGTGCGCCAGTGACAAAAAGAAACGCAAAGAAAAATCAAAACAAAAGACCCACGAGTGCAACTCCGTAATCCTTAAACCACATGGTACACATCACATCTCAACTCTCAACCTTTATTCACAGGAAGCCTTTAGTGTTACTAGGCTTTCGCTGGGGCATGTCATTAGACCCATAAGCAGCACTGCCTCGTCGACTACCGACATCGCTCATGGCAGCCATGGGCAAGCGTCCGATGGTGCTGGTTCGTTCAACTCGTAAAGCTTTCCACCCTTCCAATTCCCTTTCTAGGCGCAATGCCTTCTCTCGTTCTTCGCGAAGCTCCCGCTCAGCACGACGTGCCTGCATCTGTGTGTCGGTGTCGGCTTGCTGGAGTTCATCAATGTTGCGTAGAAGTCGCTCGATCTTATCACGACCCTTATTGAGCTCTTCATTCAACTGGCCGTTCATCTTTTCGCGTCGGTCAATCTGTGCCTGCAGGTCCTTGACTGTGCGGTCGACATTGCGAAGAGAACGTTGCTCGGCGCTATTCTTGGTCTCTTGGTCTTCAAGATGAGCCTCCAACTGTAGAAAGATACCTTATTAGCATGAACTTCTCTCAAAAGGGAGCTGGTTTCAATTTTTGCTTACCTCCTTGATTCGCTTGTGCAAGAATCGCACATCTTGGCTGCCAGAAGAGTAGCTCTTGGTCTCAAGGTCAACGCATCGAAGTTGAATCTCCTTCAGCTGCTTCTCCAAGCCAGCCTTATCCTTGAAGAGTTGACTGTTGGTTTCACGCTCGGCAGTGAGCTCCTTTTGCATTTCGGTAGCCAAAGCATCCGCGCGGCGCATCTTGCCAACAGCAGCAGATGAGACATCCTCTTGTTGCGCAAGTTTGGACTTAAGCTCCAACAGTTCGCGGTCCATGCTGGCTGCGTTTCGCATAGAGGGACTTTCACCCTTGGCGAGGTCTTCCAAACGTTCGCCAGCCTCAGCCAACCGGCCCTCAAGCATCTTCTTGTCCTTCAGAAGGAGATCACGTTCTGCGGTCGTATCCTCAACGGAAGTACGAAGGTTCCGTACCTGGGATAGGAGGGAGACAACCTTCTGTTGAGCTTCGTTATGGGCCTTGCTAGCCTCGTCTCGGGAGGTAGTGATATCCTGCACAACCAACTCCATGCGGGACTTCTCTTTCGACCAGGTTGAGCTGTTAAGAACTTCGTTGTCCCACTTGCTTCGCAGGTCCTCCAATTCTTCTCGCAGTCGACCATTTTCGCCCCGGACGTTCAGTAGACGCTCTCGTTCGATCTCCAGCTCACCATTAATGGTGGAGAATTCCCGTTGATATTTCTGTCTGGTCTGTTCCATAGAAGTTTCCTTGTCTTCAATATCAATGGCGCGTTGGCTTCGGTAGTCTTCGAGCTCATTCTGAAGACGTTGCTTGGCTTGCAAAGCGCCCTGAAGCTCGGCAGCCTGGTCCTCCATCCGAGCTTCTAAAGCCTGTGTTTGACGTTGCAAGTCTTCCACAAGATCATCCATTTGTTTCCTCTCGGACATGATCTGAGCGTAGGTCTCTTCAGCCTCTTTGCCTTGCGATTTGGCGAATTGTTCTGCACGGTTGGCCTTGAGGACACTGATTTCCGCCTGTTCAAGCTTACTGAAGTACTCATCAGCTCGGCTCTTGTACAGTATAAGGCTTGATTCAAGATCAGCCGTTCTTGAAGTCTCGGCGTCGAGGCGGATCTGCAAGTCTGAAAATTCTTGCAAGAGTTGGTTCCGGCTCTGAACATCCTGGTCCCGAATGTACTGCATCTCCTGAGTCTCAGAACGGGCATCGCGCAGTTCAACTTCCAAGACGGCCTTGCTTCGCTTCAACTTCTCAAAGTGACCCTTGGCATCCCCAAAGTCAGCCATCGTGTCATTGTGAACCTTGAGCAAGGAGCGGCGAGATTGTTCCTGGGAGTTGATCAGGTCGTATAGCTCTTCGTGTGACTTAGCCTGGACGTCGCGGAGTGATAGTTCCCCGGACCGGATGCTACGCTCCAATGTCGAAAACTTCTTGGCAGAATCATCAAGTTGGTCATGAAGACGTCCATTTTCGCGCTCCAAGAGGTGGACCCGACGGATTGACGGACTGTCGTCCTGCCAAATGTCTTGAGATGGAGTGGACTGGGCAAGCTGGCTCTGAAGATGCTTGTTCTGCATCTCAGTCATTTGGAGCTTGTTCTGGAGCTCCTCAATTTCAGCCGCGGCATCCATCCGGCGTTGGTAGCCCTGGGTATCGACTGTCTTGTCTGATCTGGCAGAGTCATTGACCGCATCGTAGGCATTATAGCGGCGGTTGGGTGTGGTCGGGTTAGACATCCGTTTCATGGCATTCTCGGAGTTCTTGCGGAAGTGTGCGGGTGAGCGAGTGTTGGCTACCTCGTTTTGGTCAATCTCTTCAAGCAAAGCACGCTTTGATGAGGAGTATTTGGCATCCAGGTCCTTCATCTCATCTCCGTGGCGACGACGCATCTCTGCAAGTTGGCTTTCAGCCCTAGCATATTTCTCTTCTGTGACCCGAAGTCTATGCTGTACAGTATCAAGAACTTGCGCCATATCAACTTGTTTAGAGAGATGAGGCTGAACTGCCTCCCATGACTGAGCTGGCTCAGTTGCTTCTGGCTCAAAGACCCGGTGCAAAAGAATAAGTTGGCGATGCAAGTCCTCGACTTCCTTGTTGGCTCTATCCAGAGCACCTTGAGTTTGCCGAGTATTCGCCTGAGCCTGACTTCGCATTTGCCGTTCATTCTCGAGAGTGCGGTTTACCTCGGCTAGTTGAAGATTGGCAGTAGAGGCAGCTTTCTCAGCATTACGGCTTGTCTTGTGTTCGCGGTTAACTTCATGGTTGAGATCCTCCACGTTCAAGGTCAGCTTCTCCTTTTGCTTCTCCAAAGACGTGATGGTCATCTGCAGATCTCCCATCTGGCGACTGATATTCTTGTTATCTTCTTCCAGCTTAGCCTTCTCCTTCTGGAGGGTCTGTAGGCGCAATCGGTTATTATCACTGGCCTTGGATGTGGATCGAGCGATGTCAAGATTCTTCTGCTGAATTTTGGTTAAAAGGGAGCGGTTGTCATTCTCAGAGGCCGTGAGTCGGCCGCGTAGAGTCACAAGTTCTCGTTCCAGACGTTCCTTGTGTTGGTCATGGCGAATACGGAAGTTATCAGATTCCGAAATGGTATGCATCAGCTCTTGAATGCGAGCAGATAGTTGAGAACGCTCTGCATCGACCTCTTCAAGCTGGCGAGCCTTCTCGTCGAGATCGTTGCGCAGACCCATGATATGCTCCTCGGCTTGCTTCTTGATCTTACGTTCGGCTTCGGCGTCCGCATTTAAGCGTGCGCTCTCTGCATCCGTAAATCGGTCGCGAAGCTTGATCAGTTCGGATTGTAAATCCTTGCGAGACGCCTCGGCAGCAACACGAGCCTCGGTAGCACGACGAAGACTATCCTGTTGAATGTACATCTCTTTTTCGATAGTAATCTTCGAATCATTGAGTTCTTCGTACTTTTTGGACAGGTCCTTCAGGTTGTGCTCGGCGAGCATCTGAACATCGTCTCTTGACTGGCGTTCGCGGCTGAGATCTGCTTCGGTTTTGAAAAGCTGATCTTTCAAATCATGGACCTGCTGTTCAAGCAACTTTCTGCTCTGGCCCGCTTCTGCATCTTCAGATCTCTTTTCCTCCAGCAGCTTCTTGACATCTGCAGCTTCACGCTCTAGCTGGGCCTTTTCAGAGCGCATAGCATCTCTTTCTGCCTGGACCTCTCGAAGACGACTTTGCATGCTGTCATGACGGGTCGCAAGGGTTTTCTTCTCCGCCTCGGAGGTTCGCTTATCCTCCTCATACTTCTTCGCGTCATTGCGCAAAATTACCATGTCGCTCTCTTTTCGTCGAAGCATCTCCTCATAGCCAGTGGAGGTCGTCGACAGCTCGGATATTTGCTGGCGAATAGATCTGTTCACATCTAACAACTCCCGAACCTCCTTCTTCGACTTGTCAAGTTCTTTTGAAGTGTTGGCAAGCTTGATATCAAGGTCTTGGTCCGTCTTAAGCAATTTTGCCTCCAGGTCCTGAAGTTTCCGATCCTTCAAACCGAGGTGGCTTTGAAGCATTTTGATTTCCTGATCTAACTCTTGGATTTGAGCGTCTTTGGCGGTGAATTGTGCGTCAGCTTCGGAAAGCTTTCCATTGACCTCCTCTAGTCGAGATTGCAATTGATTTTTCTCTGCCTCAAGTTGTTCGATGATTTGACCCGCTTGCTCAAGCTGTGTAATTCGAAGATCAAGTTCGTCATCGGTTCGCTTCTTTGCATCGACTAGCTCGTCTAGTTGTTCCTCGAGGGACTCCTGGTCGGCGATCGCCTCTGACAGTTTCTCTGCAAGTTCTCCTTCTCGAAGTTGGAGACGCTTGAAAATCTCCTCCTTGTCGAGAGCCAGGGCACGCTCACCCTCCAAAGTCTGCTGGATTTTATGAATCTCCATCTCTGTGCGTCGCCTTTCTTCGTCGAGCTTCTGCCGGTCAAAAATATCTTGAGTCATCTTCGCTTCCAACTCCTTGATCCTGTCATCTCTCTTCTTGACTTCTTTCGCGTTCCGGGTATCGCCAAGAAGAGGCTTCATTGTTGAGAACAGTTGCCACCAAGGACTGCCTTTCAAGTCAAGGTAAGAATGGAAATTTTGTTGGATGATACGAGTTGCCTCCGCTCGATAGAGACGCTTATTCGAGATGCGTCGTTGGATAAATCCTCGGGCTACAGATTGGAAGCGTGACATAATGCTCCGAATGAGTTTATCACGCTTTTCTTCCAAGTCAGCGAGGACACCAGCTCTGAAGAAAACTTTCGTTCGGCCGACGCGATACCATGCCCGATCCATGCCAAGCTTTTCTAGCATTATTTGCGCAGCGGCCTGGCCCTCCAGATAGCCCTTGGGCATGTTCTGGCAAAGCACTTCATAACGCTGGCGGAATTCAGCAAATGGCAGGCGGTTAGGGAAACCAGTGCGGGCAATTCGAATTCCTTCTAGCACACCGTTGCAGCGGAGCTGGTCCAAAACCAATGGAGCGTGAAGCATTTTTGGTCGCTTTTTGTGATTTGGCAGGATGCATCTCACGAAATGTGGGTGAGTAGAGTGGAGTTGGGTCATCAAGCTGGACAGCTGTTCCTTGTGCCTTTGAGCTACTGTTCGGAACAACCCCTTCTTCACCCGGCTTCTTGGATTCTCACTTCCCTCCTCGGGGTCGGCGCAGTCTGAAAATAAGTTTGCAACATGTGGGTGATCAGATGTGGCAAGAAGGCGAGTGATGTTGTCATTCATTGGATCCTTGTTCTTTTCAAGCCAATCATGTGTGCTGTATTCCACCTCGGCCGCATAGTGGGTAAGAACAAAGCCTTGACTGAGGCGAGAAGACCGGTACTTAGGGGTCTTGCGGTCCCAAAGAGAATGCAGCTTCTCAGTAAAAGATTTGTCCGTGGCCTTGGGCATCACACAGTCTTCGTCAAGACAGGAAAAAATGCCAATGGGATTCGTAAGCTCGATCAAATCAATGGTAGGTTGTAAGTCTTTGCCAAAATCAATAAACTGCCACTCAATTTGCTCCCGGGCATATTCCTCTTGCTCAAGAACAAACATGTGATGGTTGAAGAACTGCTGCAGTTTCTCATTGGTGTAATTAATGCAGAGCTGTTCAAAGCTGTTGTTCTCAAAGATTTCGAATCCAGCGATATCAAGTACACCGATAAAGTAATTATCATCAGTCAAAGAGCGCCCTAGTTGCTTGTTAATCCGGGCGACCAGGTCGCCGAATCCACGTTCATAGATACCCTTTGATAAGGCATCCAACGACAAGCGAACCTGTTCAGGTGTTTGGACTTTTTCTACCCACTCGCGACCAGCCTTGACCTTTGGGTGCAGCAGGCCCTTGACGAAAGATTCTGCGGGAATGCCTAGAAGTCGGCATGCCATCTCGACACTAGCATACCCATTGGGCCCAATGGCGGCTTGATCGGCTCGTAGGCTCTCCTTGGCAATGGTCACATTACCCAAGTGGAGGACAGCAGCAATTGTGCGTAAGATACACAGCTGGTCGTCCTCAGAGAAGTTCATGACGTGAAAAGCTTCAATCAAGGAGTTCCATTCATCTTTATCGGATACACCTACAATGGAATCATTGCCGTCCCGAGTGTAGGCAAAATCTTCGATTTCAAGGTCATTCAGGAGCAATTTTTCTCGGGTACTTCTGTCGGCACCCTGCAATAGCTGGTAAAAGATGTGATAGTTGCGTTCGTTGGAGTTGGGCTTCACCACTCGAGACTTCTCGAGCAGATACCAGTCAATCCAAGCACCAGAAATTTGTCCAGATCTCGAAAACTCAATCCGAATGAATTTACCAAAACGTGAAGAATTGTTGTTTCGAACCGTTTGCCCGTTACCGAAGGCTTCCAGAATAGGATTGGCTCGCAAAATTTGCTGAGACAGATTGGATATTTGTTTGGTGCCTGAACGCGCATATGGGGTATCGGAAGTTGCAACTGCTGCAAGGTACTGAATGACCTTCTTTGTGTTTTCGGTCTTTCCGGCTCCAGATTCACCACTATCAAAAATAATCAGCTGATGTTGCTGGGGGATAGAGCCGAAAGCAACACTTACGTGACAAGGATACTTTGGTTCTCGCCTTCTTCCACGAGGTTCCTGAATGCCTCATCCGCCATCGCAAAAATATGAGGACGAGTTTCCTCTCTGCCCCGTCCCTTATACATCTTGATATATTCATTCGTGTAAATGGGCAACGGGCAGTAAGGATTGATGGTAACCAAGAAAAGACCAGAATATGTCTGTTTTCACGGCATAGTCAGTAGAAGTAGTCACACAAGATATTGGAAAGTAAACTGACGTAGATCAGATCTGATTGGTATCTCATGTGAAGGTTGTGGACCACCGAGGCCTCGTTCAAATGTGTCAGCTCCGCCATATCATCCGCCTTGTCGAACTTAGCGGGGTTGACTTTGTCCACTTGGTCTGCATCGACTTCTCGTTGCTGCGCGAATTGTTAAATCCTCAATTTGATCATTGTGTAGATGATATTTCTTACCTCGCCATCGTCACTTTGCACAAGTAGTCGGTCTCCCTCCAGTTCTTCCAAGACTAAACCACGAACGAATGCCTTCTGTGGATCGCGCAACCAAACATATTTGTTTCCTGAGAAGTCGTTCTCTCCTTCCAGTCCTCGTATTTGATCTGCTCCCCGTCGCATCTCCTCGGATTTAATAAAACTCGGGGCAAATGTCCCCGACGCTACATTATTGCGCGAATTTGATCGTTCCCGGTTTATGGAGGCTGAAGACAAGGTCGGCGATAACTGCGAGACAGAGGAATTGCGAAGATGTCCTTTACCAATCTCTAGCCCATTTGAAGATGAGATAATAGCTGATTTAGGGCGCGGTTGTGATTGGGGGGCTGGTGAAGGAGAAGATCGCGCGAACACACTCGCCCGCTTTGGGGAGTTGTTCAGCTGAGAGGGAAGCATATCGAAACAGTGCTCAATAGATCATTATTTGCGCTTCTGAGCGTTTCTCTTAGCAAAACGAATACTGATAAGAGACCAGCTCTGATAGATCGAGCTGCAAAGAAATGAGAAAGAGTAACAGACTGCAAAGTAAATGCAAGAAACAAGTCCCGAGGTTGAGGTGGAGTTTGGAGACGTGATGTGACGAAGGCGGAGACACTACTGACGCTGTTTGTTTACACTGCGTTCCTCGGGTTCCCGCCGATCGGTGGCCCGTGTCCGGTCACATGATGTGATCACATTTTCTGCGCGCTTAATTTCTATCACCAAGACATGACACTCGCCTCGGGAATCCCAGCGCACCGTTTTTGAAACATCCTCGAATCCCTCTTCATCCTTTCCATCAGCTGCAGAATCGCCTTTAAACCCTTCATAGTCAAACAACGCGAAACTACAGCAGTGAGACGCGCTGATCTCGCCACCGACCTCTTTGAAGCTCTCCATAAAAAAAGAATACCTTCAACCTCGGAATCAAATCACACCTCACGATGACATCGGGTGTCTGATATCACTTTCTGCCTCATTTCATCTCGCGTTCCACGGCCAGATCACGAAACTATCTCCGAACTCACCCGATCTTACCATGTCCAACCAACCACCCCCAGCCTTTGGTGGCTATCCGCACTTCCCGCAGCAGTGGCCTCCTCCATATCCCTCGATGCTCCCACCGGATTTTCATACAAATCCAGAATATCTCGCAGCTGCTCAAGTGCCAACATCAAACTCAAATCAGCCATATGATCCCAATCTGGCGGCTTTTTACGCAAATGCGCAGCTTACTGGACCTGCCAGTCATGCGCACCCATTCTACCCACCTCCCCTGCCATTCATGCACCCATTTGACCCATCACAAATACCACTCCAGCCCTTTCCCCCTATGCCGATGCAGCCTGCCCAATATTCGCCAGTGCAGACGCCCGCAGGGTCCTCCAATCCACAGCCAGTGTCAGCCAAGGTACTTGCGGTGAACGAAAACGCGCGACCACAACCAAGGCAACAACCGAAGAAAAAGGGCAGGGTCGTTGATCACAATCGTGAGGAAGGTGAAATAAGTGAGGAAGAAAATGCTCGTGCTGGCCCAAACGAAAGTGCAAACCCCTCCAACTCAGCCAGGTGGAAGCGCTTGCCCAGTAATCACTCGGACTTGGAAGAGGGAGAAACGATCTCATCAAAGTCAAGCTCTTCAAGTCGGAGCAGCACACGTACGCAATTTATTATCTCTCCTTTCCTATTATATATTCTAACACTAAATAGCCTATAACCCACCCCTTTCTGTGGCAGCGGACTCTGATGTGATGAATCACGCCATTGAAATGCAGAAGCAAGAGAAACCCACTGCGGCCCCGAAAGATGTTTCTGCATCCAGGTCATCAATACAACTTCGTGTACAAGCTCAGGGTGCTCTTCTTAGTTTAGTGCCCCATAACATTCAGTTCCATGAACTAGTGGCAGAAGGCCTAAACCCTGCAATTTTGAAAGAGTTGTATAAAGAAGTTGGGATTAAAGTCAACATTGAGGCTGAAAATCCCGAAACTCCTGTTCAAAATACAACCTCCCCGGCGCCTGTCTTGATTAGGCCTGCAGAATTAGCCAAGCAAGCTAAAGTTTCCAAGCCTGCTGAAATCTCCAAGCCTGCTGAAATCTCCAAACCAGTCGATGTGGCTGCGCCAAAGAAAGCCAGCGATGGTCGGCGAAAGTCTTCAACTGCACCTCTAGCGCCTTCATCGGCAATACCTTCTGCTCCTCAGTCCGACGCCGGGAAACCAATGGAGAGGAAAGAAGTGATTGCCAGAATGCTAGCTGCCAAGGCCGCGAAGGCGTCTGAAGCAGCAACCAAGCCCGTGCCAAGCGAACCTCAAACTGTCACAACTACTCCCACACCCACTCCATCTGCTACTCCTAGTGAATCTCAGGCCAAATCAGTTGTAGTTCCTATGAGGGAGAAGAACAAGGCCCAGACTGAGTTGGCTAGGCAGCGCATTGAAGAACTCAGACGACAAGCCTTTTTGAAAAGCCAACAAAAGGCTCAACTAAACCAAAATACCAATACTGCGCAGATTGATCAAACGACGAACGATACAGGCTCTGCAACACCAGTCGCCCAGCATCCATTGCCTGTCCGCCCTCCTGTCCCTCAAGCGTCAGAATCTGCCACAATACCTGGACTAGTCATGACCGGGTCAAAGCTAGATTCAGCCGGACAACCGATTGAACCTTCAAATGGAGTTGTTGTTGACGCGACGCCTGTTTCTCGAGCAGGTCAGCGCAAACGACCACGGGCTTCTGACTTTGATGAGCCTGATGCAGCTCATAAGAAGCAATTGGCACATGGCACTGGTCACTTAGGCAAGGCACATCGACTCATCATTGAATTCAGCGATGAGGAGGACGATGACGAGGATGAGTCATTGTACGGAAATGATCCCGATTCCATGGACGTGGACTCTAATCACGAACCGGAGGTCCAGCCTGCCGTCACGCTTGATATCTCTCGGCCCCCTCTCCAGAAATTCCCTTCTTCTACCTCCACTCCTCTGGGTCTTTCCTGGCAAAGTGACCACGAAAACATGCGGCAAAAGGATTTGGAAATTCAGGAAATGCATCGTAAGATCGCACTCCTTGAGGAACAGCGTAAGGCACGAAAGGCTAAACTAGCTGCCAATCAAACTGAATCCCCTCGCGTCATCGATGATTCCACTGCATCCTCATCTGCAGACAATTTGAGTTCTGCAGATGGTTATGGAGCGGAAACTTCCCTGTCAGCCTCTGCTGCAGTAGCAGTCCCCGAGACAAACGTCACGACTAGCGCCGCCGACCATCCGAACCCTATTGATTCCTCTGGTGCACCAACTCAAAGTACGCTTTTTGGATCGACTCACTTCCTCACATAGTTCCCCTGAATACTACCTAACACCTTCTTATCAGTTTCCTCTAACTCCCGGGTAACAGACGGTGGAGAAAATGACCTTGTCAACACCCAAGTCCCCATTCCATCCTCCACCTCAACTCACTTGGTCACTGAAGAACCTGAAGTCAACTCGGCTATCGATCAAGCCACCGAACTCGCTGATTCGCCTTCAAGTCCCTCGCAGTCCGATTCTTCTGGCTCTGCTATGGACGAGTCCGAGGATATCTCTAGCCCTCGTGAAGACTTTGCTAGTTATGAGGAGCCTGCCACCCTTGGTGAACCATCAACTTCGGGATATGCTGTCTCTTTGAGCACTGAACAATGTTCCAATGAAGCAGAATCTCCTGTTGAGCCTGTCCCTCTGTCTCCGGGGGATGACTCGGACTCCGCCTCCCGTCTTTCCCTGGAGGGGAGTCCACCACTTGACGTGGAAGATGACAGCATGGTGAATCCAAGCATGCATGACACCCAACCCAAGCAGTTTATTCGTGAATCATCCGCAGCATCCGAAGAATCAGAAGCATACGAACCTCCAGAGCCCGACACTACAGAAGAGCCCAATTCGCCATACAGCCCCCCTTTTAGCCCTGCCCCTGCTCCTCTAGACGATTTGGACAACACAATGGCTGTGCTGGACGACCTTCCAGCTGATAAACCACTAACGGGCGGATCCCAGGTGCCGGTTTCGGAACCACATCCTGACTCCCAGGTCGGAATAACTGGTGTATGAAAAACATCTTTCCTCGAGGAGACTTCAGGATTAAAAAAAACTGACCCCCTTCAGAACCAAACGTTATCAACGTCGGCTACTCCGAAATCAAAGTTTACACCATACGTCAGCCCTCTGCGTTCTTTTAAGGCATATCGATATCACCCTGGCTATACTCAGGATGTTTCGGACGGTTATCGTTCGCTAACCTACAGTCATGACATTGACTCGATGAGTTACTTTTGCCCTTATGAGTTGGCTGGTGGCATATGCAATGATCGGTCTTGTCAATTCCAACATTTCCGAGACATGACTCTTAGCGGTGCGTCGACGACTTAACAGCCGTGCAACATTTCAAAATGGTTTTCTACTTCCCTTTTGTTTTTGTTTGTCCTTTCACCTTCCCCTTCTTCGGTGTTTTGACTCTCCCCTGTCCTTTCTTCTTTTTAATCGTCCCTCCATTTTCCATACCATCGTCGGTTTCCGATTCTCTCTTTCTTCCCTGTCCGCGTGCTGACCACAGTGACATTAACCTCGGCAGATGACAAGATTCTCATCGAGATGGGCTCCGTGCGAGAGGGCAAAACCGAAGAAGAAAAAGAAACCTATCTTGCTGGGTTGAAAGAGATCATCAACGAGCTGCGACGTGACAAGGTGAAAGATTTCAGTACTGTGGCTGCTGAGATAGCCGCATACCGTAGGCGCTTTCTCAAAGATCCCACGCGTGTCTTGTCCCTGTAACATTCAAAGCACCCACCCTCAAGTGGAGGATGTCCTCAAGGTGAGCTGACATAGCACATTTGGCCCGCTAGTTGCCATCCATGTCGACATCCTTCTTACTCCATTTCCCTTGCCCTCCTTCTTTTCTTTACGATACCCCCTTCCTCGTCCCGTTGGACGCTGAGGTATTTCTGACCTTCTTTCTCCCCCTCCTTGTTTCAAGCATCATTAGCCAGCGCGGCGTTCTGCCTGCATACAAACTTGATCGACATAAACCAAGTCTTTCTGCTCTGCAGTCAGTTGGACTGAGATCTTAATCGAATATTGGTACCATGACTATTGCAGTCCACGACAGCATGGCGTTAGGGTACCTCCATCTGAGCTGCAGGTCGTATTCACGCAGTTCAACTTTCCGACATGGTCATTCTGGAGCCTGGTCGACTCTCTTGGGTCCTTATTGCATACTATGGCCGTTTGATTTTGGAATGGAAGGGTCCAGATTATTATCATCATGGATTAATTATGCGCCGGGATGGCAACCTTTGAAGCACATACTAGCAATTCAGGTGTGAATATCACGTATCTTTTTATCTCGATTATCTCAGTATCTTTAATTCCATACTTTTAACTCATCTACTATCTACCTTTCAATCTTTTCTCCCTCTTACCATGAGTTCCAAGCACTGAGATCGAAGTACCACCTATAGGGCTGTCGAACAACATATTTTCTTGTAGATCTTTTTATAGCATTTAACATGCACTTGAATATACCAACCTCAATAATACCAGTCTGTGCATGCCCAGAACCCTCCCCAGGTCGGGGCTGAACGAAACTAGCCTATGTCAGCACTTGGGCCAGGCCCGGTTTGGCCAGATACCAGCCAAATAAGGTTGTCCATGTATAAGGACCTCATGACTTGGAAGCCCCGTGGCGATCTTTCAAGGTTGAAACGTAGAGGCCAGTCTAGTTGGTTTGCGTATGTAGAACATTGAAAATGTGGGCATGTGGGCATGTGGGCATGCGCATGCATGTGCGCCTTACTCCCACCCAAACGATTAATCAATTCAATGTTGATTAATCCCGGGCATCTTTACTCCATAGTGCTTACTCCAGAATACCTACTATGTAGTACATTCCAGTGTATGACTCAACATTGAATGTCAACTCCAATCTTCCAACATTGGGCTCAACAGTAGGTCATACAGCCCTGGATTATTGCGCTCCTGAGCATGTGACTCATTGAGGATGAACCTTGGTCCATACTACCTAGTATGCTTGGAGGAACATTGAAGATGAGGATTTCATCGATCTTTCGAATATTTGATGTAACATTTGAACCCCGGGCCTCCTTACAAGGCAGTAAGTAGGTGACATCAACCTTGGGCCCCGGGAACATTTCAAGCCTGTCCCCCGCTATGTTCGAACATTCAAATAAATATTCAAATAAATGCAACCTTGGGGCCTTCAAACGTTCAACTTTAGAACATTTGAAACATTGAATCCACATGATGGATGAACCAGGGCTCCAAAAAAAAAAAAAAAAAAAAAGGGACATCAATGGAATTAATGGAACATCTATACAGCCTAGGCAGGTAATGATGAACATTCTAAGATGTCCGGACATCAAGATGCTATTTTTACCTATTCAATGTTCCTTTGATGAGATCTGGGCATTCATCGATTGATCCCAAGGTCTTCAGATCCTCGGATGTTGAAGAAAAACAGTTGACACTAATAGATTATAGTTACGCGCCGGGGGCAGGGGGGCCGATTTCAACGGGTGCATCAAAAATATACATGCAGATCAAAAGTCAGGATAATCCTCCCGGAAGCGGATGTCAGCATATAAAAATCCGTTATATATAGGCAACACGTGGACTCGGCTCTGTATCGCCTTACCACGCGACCGTGAAACAAGAGAAAAAGAAAATAAAAAAAGGACCAGATAAGCTCTTCCTAATTACGGTCTGGTTGCTGACCCGGACGCCATTTCAACGGTTGAAACGGAACATTGTAATATCCATGAGTATATATGGTGCTCGGCATGTGCTAAGTATAGCTTCGTGCGGTCGGGGCTAAAAAAAAAAATGATGACCACTTTCAACTTTGATTGTTGCAACTGGTCCAAGTTTGTGGGGTTCGTCCGAAGAACACTAAATATTTTGAAAAGTGCATGCATTATGTTTCAAGTTATTGAAACACATGTCCAGTAAGAATCATTAAGAATCATTTATTCCTTGTCGCACCGGTTAATAATTGATTGCTGACGCGTGGACTTTGGTCAGGCCCTAAGTTCCAATGCAATCTAACATGGCAGAATGGAAAAGACTAGCTGAAACCAACTTCAAAGGCACTAAAGTAACAAGTGGATTAAGTGGAAGTTAGTATTTTCAGCTGAGTAGAAATCAAGCCTAAGGCCAGGAGGCTTAGGCTTATGTATGACGTCTTGGTCTCTCTTACTGATAAGCCGATAGGTGGGGCCAGACCAGTAGAAGCAGGAACAGAGAAGTCCAGTGATGAATTGATTAGTGTCGAAATTCCAGATTCCAAAACTTGCACAAGTCTCGGATTTGGCCGTGAATCAAATACCTCAAGTGCCCTGGTCAAGGCAGATTCACCATTTCCCCACGAAGACGGTACATAGACCCATCTGAGACAAACGGCAAAAACGTCCAAGGATAAATCGCCGGCTATAGCTCGATCACGATCTGGCAGTCTTATTGGTCAAGGGGAATGTACACCAGTGCATAAGTACAGGATCCAGGTCACGCCTCACTTTTTCGCGATATTTAGCTTTGGCTTTGATGAGGACGGAAAATTGGGCAACATTGCTGTGCCACAGTATGAGCAGTTTTCTTTTTAATCCCTTTAAAATTTATTTCAAAGGCCATCGCGCCTGGGCGCGGGCAATTCGTGGGTGAATTGAACCCGTGCTGGTGCCCGGGGAACGGGCGCCAGTGCCGCGCCTGTGCCTGGGCGGGATTTTCTGGTTCGACCCACTTGGTCTTATGTCATTGTCATGTACATGTACCTACCCATTAGCTTGAACTCTTGAACTACTGTACATGCCCACGGCTTTGTTGACATTGCTACAATAGGATAAAGAAGAGTATTTGAAATTGATCAAATGAGATGAGTCGTGACTTGATTTTGGACTTGATTTTGGATCTAGACCCTTGTGGCTTGCGAAATGGTCCCCGAAGGAACTGAATTCCAGTAAAAATAAACAATTTGTATATACTGCAAAGGGAAGAAAAAAGAGATACAGGGAGTATAAACCCCTGTACAGTCTATCGGAATCGTAAAGTACCAATCGTGATCGACGTCACGGCGGCTGAGGCGAAGCCGAGACGAGAAGCGACTTTAGCAACTATAGTAGTGGGGGAAACTAGTACTACAACCCACTAGAAACGAAAGGAGTCAGGAACGCGAACCAAACATGAAAGCAAAGCGGTGGGTGCCGAACTTCTCAAGCGGAGACGAGCAAAGAAAAAAAAATTGTACCTCGAAGCAGAACATTCACTGGCAGTTGAATGCAGAATCCACAAGACTTCAACGGGGACTACAACGGGGACAGAATCGGGAAGCAGTACGAAATGTTCCTGTTCAGCACTGCCTCTTCAATTTCGCGCATAAGAAACGCCCAAGTGGGCCCATGTTTTTCGCAGCATTTTTCTTCCTTCATGGACCGGTCCGTTCGGTGCTGCGTTTGGCGGGGCTGAGACGCGCGGGAGCGGGTTCACGTGGGGTTCACAAAGAGTTTGGGGCCAGAGACTCGCCCAGGTGGTGTCGGGGACTCGAGTGTGGGTCTTTCGGGGGAGTTGAATGGGGAGGTGGACTTGGATTCAGATTGAGGTTTTCAAGTTTAATATTAGATCCTGAATATTCAGTATAGAACAAAGAATATAGAATATTGAGTTGTGTTATGGACCGGTCCTGTGCCAAGCGGACAAGGGTTGTAGGGCTGGCAAAACAGGTATGCAGCCCTGGAGGACTAAAATAAAGAGTTGTGGATCATTTACTTTCTGTCTCGGGTTGTTGTTTTTTTGTCCTTTTTTTTCTTTTGGCTTTGCCCTGTAGTCGAAATTTAAATAGAATAATATAAATAAAAATTGATAAATTGATAAATTGATAAATCGAAAAATCGAAAATCGAAAATCCCCAAAAATGGCAAATTCTTGGGGCCAGGAGCAACAGGCTTAGTCCCGGGCGCATTGACGTGGAGACATCGGGATACCAAATAGGCTTAGGATTGGGTAACCCGGGACTTTTGGGCGACTTGCGAGCCTCAATTGACGGGGATTGGCCTGCCACCGCTTTGCGGCTCAGTCGGGGGTTTGCAGGGGTGCTTTCGTTTCTTGGGAAAAGCACCCTGTAGATCCGCTAAGAGTCATGGGTATGACTCGAAGATTTCATGCACGGCTGCGCCATCGTTCTAAGGTTTGAATAGTTTGGAAATTGGAATGAGATTTGCATTTGCATTTGGATTTCTTGAGAGCAAAACCGAAAAAAAAGAGGGAGAGCGACAAGGCTGACAGGGCCCGCCTGCTTACCTCACCGCCCCTAAACGACTAACTAAATTAAGCAACAGAGTATACATCGTCTTTTTTTTCGTTCGACATCTAATCGTTCACCAATGAAAAAGCTGGAAAGTCAAATATGATATGCAAAGGGTAAGAAGAAAAAAGAAAAAGAAAAAGAGAAAAGAAAATAGAAAAATGAAAAAGGAGAAATAAGGAAATAAGGAAATCACAAGCACCGGGCCATGCTGAGTATAGTAAATGCTAGACAACAGAGAGTAGGAAAAAAAGTAGGGAAACACAAGAGTAAAAAAAACATAGTAGGTATCATCGTAGACTGCAAAGAGCGTTAGTGATCTGATCTCTATCAGGAGATGAGACAAAGGAGTCCATACCATTTATTCATAGCTTTCGAATCACAAAACATGAGAGTTCTTGGATCTCATTTGACGTAAGTGCAGCCCCCGCAGGCACTGTGTTGGCATTCAGTACATCTCGGTTGTACATTGTAGACCTTGGGTCCATCTCCACATCCGCAGCAGATGTACATGTATGTTGGGCCGCGTGTTGTCACTCGCGATTCACCAAATGGAAAAGGTTGTGGGTCTGTAGCAAGACCTGGCCGCAATGACCGGATCTGAGGTAGATCTGTACCGGCGGGCAGCATTGAATTTGAGCCAAAAGACGAGGAGTAAGTGGTGCTCATGTTGACGGCCGATGGGTAAGGCGAGGTCTCGTGGCTGTGGTAGTTGGAGTGAGAGTGACCGTGGGCGTGAAGGCTGTCTACGGCCTTCTCTGATTTGCAGCGTGAGCAGCGTGGTCGGTTGCAGCTTATACAGGCGACGTAGAGGGAAGAGTTGTGGGGACCAAAAGCGCAGTGGCAGCAGTACCAGAGTTCAGCCATTGTAATGGGATTGAAGGTTGTTTGGTAGAGTCGAAGGAAGCTTGAAGATTGACGAGATAGATGTAATGAAGTCTGGATGTATTGTATTGAGTTGAACTTGGGATGAATGGAATAGAAGAAAAAAAAAAGAGAAGAAACAGAAAGACATCGATCTATATAAGCTAAGACATTCTAGAAAGAACAGATCAAACAAGGACGTCAGGCAGCTCCGGAGCAATGTGGCTCGGAATAGCCCTGGGTATTCTGCCTAGGGCAGACCACACCCGAATTTGGATTTTTCAGGAAACATAATACAATCACCCGGGCTGCGGGTATACTGGGGGGCCATGAAGAAACGGGGTCCCAATTAGCACATCTTCCGGGGAGAGGGCCCCGATAATGTGGCTTATCGCCTAGGCGATTTCGCCCAGGGTGAGATAACCCACTTTGGCGCCTCGATGCCTCGAAGGAACCTGTGAATCATGGCTTCAAGGAATAATCACATAAAAAGTTGACTCAAGAAGTCAGGGTGGCATTCCCCACAAGCAAGGCTGCATGCAAACTGCAACTTGCACACCGTACCGGCCGGGCGTTCTAAGCAGGCGGGAAGTAGAGTTTTGGGGCAAGATGGGTATGTCGGCAGTGCTAAAGAATCGGTGTCGGGCTTTTTTTTTGATTTTGGTTTTATTTGATGGAGATCTCCGTCTCCACGCAAATGCCTTGTGCTGCCTTTGAATGGAGGATCCACTATGACAGGCAGAATTTCAAGAAATCCAGGCAGAGATGACTCGAACTGTCAAAAGAGTCATAGTTGTGACTTGTGAGGTGCCGCGCTTAGCACTGTTGCCTAAGGTTTTCGATCAATGACAGGTTGAGCTTTTGGTCATCGGGTTCTACGAGATTGGAGCTGTAGCAAGTTGATGCTTTGCTTTCTTTGATTTGATCTTTTTTTTTCGTCTTTGCATATTTGAGGTTTTTTTTCTGTTTAGTTTCCTAATTTTTTTTTTCTTTATTTTTTTATTTTATTTTTTTTTCTCTCTTTATTCTATCCGTGCAAAATGTGGAGATCTTCTCCATTTCCTCTACTCTCTTCACTTTCCCCCCTTTATTCTTCCTTTGAGCTGATTGCCTTCGGCCCCTATACCAACACCCAAACTTGTGGATTTTTTAAGGTACCACAACTTCGACCAAGGTACGGAGTACAAAAATAAAAATAAAAATAAAAAAAATACAAAAATAAAAATAAAAAGAGAATTCTGTATTGATATGACTCTTTCATCGTATTTTTTGAGCCTCAATTGCATCGTGCATATATGATTTACCCCCGGTCGCAGGCAACATTAATAGGTGATTCAGAAATGCAGAAGGAGTTCCCACTGGTTCCCCAGCTGCGGGTGATGAGTTCCCAGTTTCGGTGATCTCGAGTGATTACGTCAGGGGCCGTTGTGCAACCTCAATTCCCCCCAGCCCCAAGCCTTTACCTTTTTCACTTTCCATTCATATGCGCATCTTTTAGTGGTCTTGTGGAGGCCCTCGATTTTTGGTTCTACGATGGCGACCCGCTCGCAGAAGCGCGTCAACCTCGTGGTTTCCAAGGTCGTACCACCATTATTGGTCGGATTTATGATCTATGCCTCCTACGCGGTCACGAAACCATTATGCAGTGAGTGGTCGCGAGTCCCGATGAATGTTCTTGACAAACTTGAGACTAATCGCCGCGCCTTTTTGCGACAGTTGACTATCTTATTCACCCATTACCGTCCTATAATCGAAGCCCTCGAGTCGGCGCTGGCGCCGCAATTCTCACAATCTTCTATCTTCTCTTAATAGCCATGCTTGGCACTTATCTTCGACTTCTTTTTACCGTCACATTAAACCCGGGCTACTTGCCTCTCGGTGCCGAACGTCTGCAGGCAGATGCATCTCGAAGAGACTCCCAGCCCTCGAACAAACGACGTTGGCGGAGCTCAAAGTGCCAACCAACAGAAAAGGTGGATGAGGCCTCGGATTTGGAACTTGGGGTGGGCAAATACAGTGGAGGACAAGGCTCTCTGAGAGATACACTCAATCTGGAAAGCTTCTATTCAAAAGACGTGTTTGTCTGCCAGGATGATGGGCGGCCTCTGTATTGCTCAAAGTGCTCCCAATTCAAGACTGATCGATCGCATCATTGCCGAGAAATTGATCGCTGTGTCGCAAAAATGGATCATTTCTGTCCCTGGTATGTTGAAAACACCGTTACTGAGATTCAATCAATCGCTTACTGAAAATAGGGTCGGTGGTGTGGTGTCAGAAACAACCTTCAAGTATTTTGTCCAATTTGTAGGATACACGGCTTTTTTCTGCATTTTCACTCTCATTGTCTCTGCATACTTTACAGCAGAACATCATCGTATTGTCCGTGCCCCCTCACCTCTCGAAATACACTTCTCAATTGCTGACTTTCTTTTGATTAGACTGGGTCCGCCAACCCTCATTGGTGTGTTTGCATTGGACTGTGAGTAATATTATCCATAGATATTTTGAATCGCCGTCTAACGTTTTCTACAGGAGCGGCTTTTTTGGCTTCTTTACCCTTGTCATGACTCTCAGTTCTCTTCAAATGGCCATGATAAACGTCACCACAATTGAAAACCTGAGTCGTCATTCATGCGTATGGACACTCGCCGTCCGAGTTCCCGACCATCTCCTCGACCGACTATGGGTCAGTGAATCTGCATGGGCTCCTACATTCCGCATGGTTTCTTTCCCACAAGAAGATCCCATATCACCATCACAACCACAGCCAATCAACCCCTCCACAACAGAACGCCGCGTCTTCGCGATCCTAAACACCAGCCCAGGCGAAAACCCTTTCGACCTCGGCAAATGGAAAAATCTCCAGCAGGTAATGGGCTACAGTCTCACAGACTGGCTTCTTCCTGTGAAACCAAGCCCCTGCGCCGACCACACCAGCCAGGAAAGCGCTTTCGCTTTGGGTCCTGTGGTGACCCGCCTGAAGCAAGAAGCGGGACTAGCACCGGCCCCTGAAGCAGAGTCCCGGCCCCAAACCAAAAATCAAGGAATATAGCTTGACCGTGTAGACGCGGTAAACATAGAAAGTGAACCGTGCTCATTGTTAACTTTTGGCCCCCATTTTGCACGTCCCTTGGCGTAGTTTATCTTTTGTGGAGAGGTTTAAAAAAAGAAAAAAACAATGTACATACCCATGCATCGATGACATTGTCTCATCTCAATCAGATCCACGTTAAAAAAAGACCAAACATGAAACTTTAAACCCTGGAACAATTGAAAGTACCCGTGTACCTTTTTCTGCAAATTTCGGATTATATTCCCCTTGAAGAAATCCCCGCCCCATGCATATCGTAGGGCTGAAGGAAGGCACAATACATCCAACAACCTTGACATGACAGGGATTAGCTACACTAGTGTGAATAATCACTTTATTTCCAGCTGATGTCTTGACGAAAATAGGACTCGACAGGAATAGAATGAGCGGAATTCATACTCAAAACGTTCTAGATGTCATAGTATGTACAACATCTCAGTTACTTAGTTAGGCATGTGATCTACATGAAGATCATCCAGCCGCAGATAGACTCCCATCTCCGAATAATTGATAGTCAATCAGTGTGGTCCTATATTGCTGGAACCAAACCTCTCGCGTTCCAATCCTGTTTGGGAAGTTTGAGCGAATCCGATTTCAGTGAATACAACGATCGTTGATTACATAGTGGACACATTTGGACCCCACGCTAGACCGTCGCACAGTCCACACTGAGGACTCCACATCCCGCCACAGTGCACACTCCCCAAGATCATGTGAGTTTTTGATCCAAAAATAGCTGCCTGAGGTTATTGTGGCTTCATATAGTCCAGACTGTCGGTTTTGGCTTGCGAGTTCTGGGGTTGAGGTATTTTTGTTGATTCTGTCTCGGGATCTGACTGGGACTTTTTGTGGCGCTTGGAGATTATCATTCCGGTGGAGACTTTGCCCGAGTGGATCGTGAGGCTTTTCGGGCGTATATATGGAGACTATAGTCTCTGGTGGTCCACGAGTTGAGATAGATTGCGGGTTATATCGGAGAGAAAGTTGAAGATGAGTTGGTGACCGTGACGAGAAAGCCCAAGATTGATCATTGATGGCTAGAATGTGATGTAAATGTGAGAGAATGAAAATTGTGGCCCATTGCTACTCCGTCGTGCCAGTATCTGAAAGACTGAATAGTCCAAGGCCACTTACGGATTCTAGTCGATTCAGCAAACTGGATTGAAAAAACTTGGAACCAAACGATCAACTCCATGTTTGATCCGTGACCCCCAGGCTGACCAGATGGTGCCGAAGTGCTCCCTATACCCGACCTGTCAGGTAAGGGCTTACAACCAGATAAAAACAAGAGAATGCATGCTAACTTGATTTAATTGAGAATTGGATGCTGATGAACGATGTCTCGACTCGAACCTGAATCTCCATTTTCTTTCCCCTTTCCCCTTTCCCCTGACTCTCTTCCTCTCTCACCAATTCACTATCAATTATTACTTCAATACTGCTTCACAAAGTTCGTTCTCTTTCATTTCACACCCCTTCATCATATCAACCCTATCGACTTGCATACTGACTTACGTCTTCAATGATAGAATCAGATGCCCCACAACTCCTCTCTTCTCTTTTAATCGAATATGTCAAACAAGATATCCGATCCTACTTCTGAACAGTGCAGAGCCTGCGGCAATTGCCACTCGAGTGACCACGGTATTCAGATCGATCAAGCAACGGTTGCCGCAGATATGACCGAAGAAAACTTCGCAGCCGATCAAGCGGTTGCATATACACCATGATCCCGAAACCACCAGCGACGGCTGGGTCACACGAAAACTAACATTGAATGGTTACCGGTTACGAACTTCAGAGTGACTGTGCTTATAACATCATCACAAAGCACTTGAGGAAGACGACCACTGGCGGTACTCATGAAGATGTACCAAATCCTCTGATTCAGGCTCGAAGCAGCCCATGCTCATACCCACACCTTACTTTTCGGTACTTCAAGAGAATATTTTAACACATTCTTCCTTTCCTTCCCTTTCTACTTTTCCTCGCTCCAAGCCTTTCTTCTCAAGTGCTGACATCTATGCAGGTTTCCTGACGACCTAGGCCATCGTCTCACACATAGGCATCTACTACACCGTGGTGCTTTGCGCGGTAGGGCCGCATGTCGTGACTCGTGGTAGCCCTGGTCAAATGATCGGTCGTGGCGTGGCAATACGGCATAGTGGTGAAGCCCTGGGCCTCCCCGACATCTGGAGTCTGCTGAAGAAGTTGAAGTACGAATGATCGTCGATAAATGCTGTGTCATGCGCGTCACAGAATTGGAAACAACGGCCTGCATCGGAGTTGTGTTCAGATGGAGTGAGGCCGAAGACAGCGAGGCAGAACCAAGCAGTAGGAGCATCATTCTCTTTGAACTCCGACTATACCATCTGTTACGGCACGTGAGGAAATGGTTGTGAATACAGTGGTTGTTGAGGCAAAGAAACGAGCACATGGGCACAAGACCAGGATATATGGCAATGGGTATGTAGACTGGTCCACTCCTAACCATGATTCGGGTGTGACATATTCGCAGGGATTGCGCACACCAAGGGCAGGGTGCCGAATAAGGCTGACCTAATTTATAGTGCAGGGTGCCCAATAAGGCTAACTGCATAGTCTACGGAATACGTTCCATCTCGACATTTCTCGGAATCGACTTTGAAACTGCACACCAGCATCAGAATGGACAGAAAAATATTTGAATGATAGTTCGGCGCAAAGGAAGTCATTTAAGGAAAGTGACATGACGTTGCTAGATCACGAAAGAGCTTTAATGACAGACATACCCGTTGACATATATGTCAACTATCACCTATGCATGTGACCAAACACAAGATCAAACCCAAGAAAGACCGTAAAAAAACATTGATAGCTCCATCTAATGACCCGATGCCAGACAAGAAAAAAAGAAATCCAACACCATTGATGACCGAATACCATGAGAGACAAACGGGATAAATATTCCAAAATAAGCCAACGCAACCATAATCCTCAAACCCCATGCCCGCCAAGAATCCCCAAATCCAAGATAACCAGGACATCAACCAATAGAGACGTAATCGTAACCGACGCCATAGCCGTAATCGCGCCCGCAACCCATGAAAAAAGCCCCTAGATCCCAAACACCTCGCTCTTCGATGTATAGCAGTTGAAAAGAGAGAGCGGGCCAAGCTCAGAGACGTCCGCAGTTGGAACATCGGCTATGGCTACAGCAAGAACATCGCTCGGGGGCCAGGGCCTCATTGTTCATCTGGCCACACCCGCAACAAGCCCAGAAGCCGGCATGGCTAATTAGGTGCCCGTGTGTCGATTGACGGGCACCAAGAGTGGCATTATACTGGAGGCGGCTGCGATTGACGGACAGATGTGCTTCGAAGTCGGCATTAATTGCATTGCGGGCTTGGTGGACGTAGCCCGTCGATAGCTGTTGCTGTTGCTGAAGCCCGGCAGAACGGGTAAGCTCAGTAGGAAGGGTAAAGGAACACATATTGCTTCGAATTAGGTTTGATGTTGACCTTCTTGCAATTGAGCAGGTAGTAGTTATAGCTGTGCGCTACTTCGATTGTAGTGTATCGAGGCCTGGGTAGTCAGGAACGGTCGTCTGATGTTTCAATGCAGTCGCTGAATGTTTGAATCGATGTCTGGATGAAATCAATTTGGTAAATGAATTTGGGTCTTTTATGTACAAGAATGAAGAAGTGATGCTGGTGGGAGACGAGGATGCACATCGTCGTCATTTCGCCCAAACCCTTCTCCTGGTTACTCAGTAAAGGAGCAGAGCCACAGTAAATAGCCACAGCACCTGCATCGTTGCCTGGGAATGCATAGGTGACTAGGCCGGGCAAATTTCATCGGGCAAGGGCGAGTGTGGAGTAGGTAGTAACTCGGAAAATCAGTGAAGCGACCATGCAGCGGGCACGATTTCAAGGGCGCGCTTTCAAGCGTCGCTTGCTAGTAGTGTACGATAACATGCTGTACATTCCTAGCCCTGGAGCTGGAGAGTCGAAGGAACACTGCCACACACACCCAGGTTCTGTGTCTGTTAGCGTGTCTACTAGTAGACAGTAGATACCCTAGGCACTTGGTTGATGCGCTGGACAAGTTAAAAACTAAAGCTAGCACTCAGGGTTAGTAGATTAGCAAAGAAAACCCCCCCTAAAAGCCACAATAAAAGGAGGAAAAAACAGAAGAAAAAAAGTTTAAGGCCCAAGGCAAACCAGGTGACTGGAAGATCATGCTGATACAGAGTCATTCGTGAATCGTGACTTGCAGTGGTGTCTAGATCCACCAATGACGCAGTGTCCCACAGCCTTGGGAGTCCCGGGTAAACAGCGTTGGCGGTGAATGGTTTCGGCGTCCCCGGCTTCAGGTCAGGGGTTCAGGCAACAAGGCCGGGGCTACACTTAAGACGGCCTCATATGGCGACTTAGTAAGTAATAACAGTGATGCGCTTGCGTGAGCTCTGGTTGGCCTCGCTCGCCTTGAGGTGTTGAGGCCAGGCCACCCTTGGGCTACAGGCAAAATAGGCGGAAGGAGCTTGCCCTGAACAGGGTGAGTCAGGATTCAGGAACAGGTACGGCGTGCCCGTTGCAGGGTTGCATGGCATTTGAGGGTTTATTCCAGGGGGAAGTGGAGCGGGTGGAGATGGAAAAGAGTGTATTATGTAGAGGAGATCGCCGTTTTTTTTCGTGCCCAACCTTCTTCCTAAACAAGGGAGTTTGATTACGAGCGAGCGAATCGTGGATCAGGGGTTGATGGATGCGTGGCCAATCATAAAGCAGGCGTTTGTAGTAGCCGATCGGATCTCTATTGTAATATGAAGCCTGATGGAGGGGAATAATTGTTTTGGTTTTGGAATTTACTTTACTAAGAGTGGCTGGTTTGGTTTTGGAATGTTCGTTAAATCCATACTAGTATTCTTATTGTGGCTTTCTTCAGGAGATGCTAGTTTCCGGGTGCTAGCGCCGTTGGAGATTGGGTTATGTATGTATGTGGATTCGGAAATGCCATATTTTGACCCTGATCTTGATGCAAGTAATCTAAACGAGATTGTGGATTTTACGGAGTATAGATGGAGATATTGACTATTGTTGCCGTTTCATGGGAGTTGATCTTGAGTTCCGCTGGTCGAAAGGCATACTATCAAATTTTCTGTATGAGATCAACTTAAGACGTGAGAGGCAAGAGGGAAGAAACGGGGGAAAGTGAGGCTTCAATTCCTACCACGCCACGCTCCGGTAAAACCACAGCGATGCTTGAAACCCTTGTAAGGCTGCGCGCGGCTTAAGGAGGGGCTTTTCGTTCCGAGGTCCGCACGCGAGATCGTTTTTGTACTCTTAAGCCAAATATTTTGCGTGCTCTTAAACCCTACCTGATAAATGGTCTAGAAGTGATTATTTGAGAGATCTCCTTTTATACCAGTTATGCAAATCGCACTACCGTAAAAAAAGACCAATGATATTATCATCGGTGACGATAGCCCGATGCACCCGGGTGAATTGGAGGATTAGTGGATCATCAGAACGAAGCAGAGCCGCAGGATTGACTTTTTGCCCCGAATCATGAGAAGAGGATCACTAATCCCCATACTCTCCGTACAGAATCCATGGTTTCAAGTCCAGTCAAGGTCCACTTTGAAATATTCCTTTCCGATCCGATAACCTTGGAAATATCAAAACATCAAGACTCCGTTTCATACTCAGGGCACTTTCGTTCATTCGTACTTTTGTTCTTCTGTTCCCAGTTGGCCCGTTGAAGCTAAGAACAGACTAAGACCGAGGAAGAAAGTTGGGCTGCGAAGAAAGTGGGGTCTTTGTCATCGCGTTTCCCACCTTTGCGTCATTGCCCACTTACACTTCACTTCTCCTTTTCCCTCGTTTCAACTCTTGCACTGGCACCGTTACTGTCACAGAAACAAATCGTCTTCGCTGTTGGCCAGGGCATAATTGGTTTCAATTTCCCGGTCGGATCTGTGACGTGCACGGTGCAGCGTCGCGTCGTTGCTTTTTCTCGGTCTCCATCCCGCTCAAGCTGCGATTTCCTTTTTTTTTCCTTTCTTTTTTTTTTTTAAAAAAACCCTTTCTTTTATCAATACAACAACTGAAAAGCTTCTTCCCTGCTTCCAAGAGAGAAAGATAGTGGGAATTCCCTCAAAAGGGCCTTTCAGTATCACCTTCAGGTTGGTCTCCCTAAGCTTCCCAACATCCTGTCATCGCAACTAACTCTGACTTTTGACCACGGCTATAGCTTTCGAACAAACCCTCGAGTGGAGGCTTCGGCCTTCCTCTGTCCATATCTCGCGCTTGGAAATAGTTGAGACATATCCTTGAGTTACCATGACTCATTCAAGCCATTACCGTAACCTGTCACCCAGTGGTGGACGACAGCATGTGGTCGGCCCACGAGCGTCCACCGGCACGGTTCAGCTTGGCTCTTCTACAGACCCTTATGATCCACCAAGGCATTATTACGATCACGATGGATACCCCTCCGATGCAGGATATGCTGGCAGTTCCTACAGACAGTACCCAATTCGCCATGCTGCTCTAGAGGTTCGACCCGTTGCGACGCACAAATCCCGGGATTCCGGTCACTCCACCAAGCGCACGGAGTATACCATTGAACCACAAACTCGACACAGAAGCAGAAGCAACACCGTGTCTGCTATTGATATTCAGCATAGTTCTCCTCGCTTGTCGGTGCCATCATACCATCACTCTGCGCACTCCATCCATGGCCGTGATCATAGTCCCATGAAACTTACTTCGGACCACAACGGGCCCGCTCACCATGGGAGACAGCACCGCCGATTCCTTAGTACCGACTATGCTAGTGACACTGGTTATCTGGAGCCCCGTGACTCCAGTAGACGCTCGTCGAGTCGCCACAGGTCACACCGTGATCATCCACCCAGCGGGCGGCGGCAATACCCCCCTTACTATGGGATCAAACATGGCGATGATATTGAGAAATACGATGCTTATTCCTACACAACTCCTCGGGAGCAATTTGACCGTGACTACCCTGTCCAATCGCGCCACCCTGCTGGCAGGCGCTCGCTGGATCGGCCTCTAAGCATGACCGGTATGGAAGATGACCATCATCAGTGGGTACCTCGCAGAGAGCGACCTCGCGGTCCTCCAACGTCTAGGGGAATGGATAAGCTAGATCGGGAGGGACGATCTCGCACTACTTATGATGAGGATCATCATCGTGATGTTTCCAAATCCAGGGGCCATGATCGTTCGCTGGTCGCTGTGCCTCATTTGTCTGATGATGACCACGATTCTTTTAGCGACAGTCACCGACGTCGCCGGCATCGTAGCTCTCACCATGAGAGCGATCGGCACAATCGTGATGACAGGTCCCCTCGCCATCACAACGAAGACAAGGAAAAGGCACTGGTTGGGCTAGGAACAGCAGCCCTGGGCGGCGGTCATGTAGACCTGTCTGATTACGAATACCACGGATCTCAGGAACCCAGACGCCCACGGGAAACAGAGCGTGACTACAAGTACCCGCAGTCAACATCTCGGGAACTAGTCCAAGATGCGCCCAGCCCTGAGAGAAAGAAGCTCTACCTCGAGCCGGCTGAGCATCATGAGCGCCGCCGCAGTCGATCTCGCAGACGTGCCCACCCCCGACGAAGCCAGGGAGATGAATCGGACTGGCCCTCAGAGGACGAGGATCTTCGTAAATACCAGCGAGAACCGTCTGCTGCTCCACGTCGGCAGCACAGCAGCGAGGACACCAGTGAAGACAACCGTCCAACCAGGGGGCATCGCCGCCCTCGAGAACGTTCACACGTGCGGTCGCGCAGTCGATCTCTCTCCGATGATAGCAAGGACGGAGGGAAGAAGGTGGTGGCCGTTGACCCACCAGTACAGAAAGAGCCCGATGGTATCAACATGCCAAAGGGGATCTTGAAGAAGCCCCGTCCGGCCTTTCCTGAAGAGCCAAATCCAGTTCGAGAAGGTGTGGCTCCACTATCAAAGGATGCGGACAAGCATGGAATTCCACCTGGTGCTCGTTGGACCAAAATCGATCGACGACTGGTCAGCCCGTCGGCTTTGAAGCATGAGAACATCCGGTTTGAAGAAAGAGATGACTATGTCATTGTATTGAAAGTATTGTCCAAGGAAGACATTCAGAATCTTGCATTGGCGACTGAACTGATTCGAGGTGAGTGTTTTTCTGCTTGAACAAACAACGTTCTCCATTAGGTCATTGTTGGACAACAGTTACTGACTGAAAATATAGCTGCTCGCCATAAAGAAAACGTTCGTGACAAACGCCAGCACCGAGCTGAGAACCAGCGTGATGGTTACCACGGTGACTCGACTTCCAGCGATGATGAAGATGAACATAATGAACCATTGAAGCCTGAGGCCCCTCCGAAAATAGAAGCAAAAAGTCAGCACCTGTCGCTGCCAGAGCGTCCCCGTGCATCAAGCCATTCCGTCCACTAGGAGTGAGATTGGAGATGGGTGTGATCAGCCCGCTTGTGATGTGCCGACTTCCCAAAAAAATTATGATCACTATCGGTGATAAACAAGCAATCCAAGTCGAAATTTGGATGGATTTGTGTGTTGCGCGGTGGCTAGGGAGGTTTTCTTTTTCGCGCTGGTGCAAACGCCGCAGCGAACTAGTCAACAACCCTAGTCGAGCTCCCTGAACTGGCTAGCCGAATTAAAGCCCCTGCAGCTGTTTCAAAATCCGCTGTGCCCTCCCTGGTGGACAGTGGCTACCTACTTGCGGTTTTTACATTACACCGCATTGATTTACATGTCCAAAGATGATACATATGTTAGCCTTTTTTTTATCATCTCATTCATACTCAGCGAGACAAATATTATTATCTATTTTTCTTTTGCTTTTTTTTCTCCCATTTCTGGCATTGGTCTCATGAGCTCAAAACAGACATCATATTATAAACGAGACTGTACTAACAAGTTACTCTCCGGCCTGACACATTCACCGCACAGCATGCTTAGACAAGGTCGAGGTGAACAGCTGCCACTTCAGCTCTGTACAACCATCAGCAATGTGCCGTTTCAGCTGCAGGAGATAACATGACTGTTTATCTGCATCCATCTACATACACAGATGCCTTGCCTTACTGCCACCAAATGCAAAGCAGAAAGAAATGAAACGAGTCGAAAGAAAAATCCCGCAGATATCGAGAACGCAGTATACAGAATACCTATCGCGAAAATCGGACGAGAACGGATTGGATGAAATCGAGTCCCCTCGAAGAGGAAAGAGCAATGAGAAAAAGCAATGAGAAAACAGAGAACAGAGAACAGAAAAGCCCAAAGCCAAAAGCCGGCGGAAGACCTCGGCTACATGGCATGGCGCATGGCGTAAATTGCATGCAATCATCACAGTACACCCACTCGGAGTGGAAATGAAAATTATCCCGGCGTTTAACGAGACGGTATCACTCTTCTCCACTCCCCCATCACATCCTGTATTTCCAAAGTCTACGATTCATGTTTGATCTGCACTCGGCGTTAACTAATTTTGAGAAAGAAGTAATAACATAGGTTTACATACAGAGGACGTTACCGCAGAACCTCATTCCAAAAGAGTAGGGAGTACGGAAACCAAAAATTATTATCAAAAAAGCAAAAAAAAAGACAATTACTTACACGCAACATGTCAAAGGCAAAGAAGCAAAATTGGCATTGGGTTGGAAAAGGGGGGCACACGCCATACGCATCGCACGAGGACTGCAGGTTCTGGATTGGATCCATGACAGGCGCCACAGCGACAGCAAACAAACGAAATCACAAAAAGGAGAGAAATAAATCTGCACGGCGTGAAGATCGCAAAGAAAGTGGATGAATAGAGTGGATGTGTAGTAGGGACTAAGTACTCTGTTGGCCTGTATGTATGACCTTATTCGATATTGGGAAGGAGTTGAGTCAGTAGGATTGTAAGCGTCTTTGTCTTTGTTCTGCTCGGAGACATTCGTATTTGGCAATTCATATGGTATTTATCGTTTCTACTTTAAGATTATTTTTATTTCCTTTTTTCTCGCTGTCTACAGCAATCAGAATGTTGGACATGAATCCAACAGCCTTGTGTCGATGTAACGCCATCCATCCAATCTCTGTTCCTTTCGAACTTTGTGGCTTAACTACTAGTATGTGGCGGATTTTTCCATGATCGCCATGTGTCTGATTTATAATCACCTGGTTATGCCTGACGATATCGTACATGTATACCCTACCCCATAATTTCTCCCTCTACATGAGCTTCCGTGCAAAAAAAAAACGGAATAGGAAAAGTCATGCACACTTGAAAACATATTCAAACAAATCTGTGCCAACTCACTAAGCTCAAGTATCAACTCCGTACAAAACAAAAAAAACAAAAACAAAAAAGTACCAACACTCAAAATTGCAACCCTCCACAAACAACCCGCCTATCCCAACAACCAAGCCATTGGATGACACTAATGTGGGACGGCTTGAGGCAATCACTTGGCCACAGTGATCACCAGCCCAGTTTAACCCCCAATAACCCAGTCCAACCCTCCTGTCCCATTCTGGTATATGCTATGACCAACGGGGAGATACCGGAGAATCTCCCCGGGGATTTCCCAGAGCTGGTACGTTATCCGTCCGGTGTGGCGGTTGTGCCGGACGATCTTGACTGGGTTGATAATCAATCAGAGATCAATGAAAATGGCGCATGCCCGGGTTATTAGTGGTGGTTGTAGGATTTTCAAGGTTGTATAGTGGCGTATGCGGAATTTATGCTTTCTAACCAAGGGTGGATAATAAGGAATATTTGAACATGTGGTATATTAAGTGCATACCAGTTGACATATGTTTTTCCCAGTGCTTTAGGTACTCAAGTGCTTGCGCCCTCCAGATGTCTTTACCTAGCCCCTCCATCAAGTGCTAACTACAAAAATCAACTTACATGTACAAGGCTGGAGACACAACATGAAACACCTAGTCAGTAGAAAGAAACCTTGGAACTTTGCAGGGATAATATTAGCTATCTATTCATTTTTAATTTTCCCGCTCGGTAAAGCAATGACATTGGTCAGCTCTTGAGCGGCATAAAGGTAGGATAGAATAGGATAGGATATACCGGGACTCTCTTGTTAGCGTGTGATGATCTTCAATATGTAATTTGCGACGCGGCGTGCGGAGTAGTTTATCCATTGTCAACATTAGCATGATTGATGACGAGCGCTGCGGAGTTGTGCTTCCTTTCTGCCCCCGCGTTACATACAAGGTGAATCTACTGACATCAAATGTTTATAGAATCCGCAGCCGTTGATTGATTGCGGGGGTGTTACCCAAGTGGCTGGTTATAAGGCCCCCAACTATTTCCCGATGTTCTATTATCATTGGACAAGGCTGGCTGGTGCAAAGCAAATCTCTATATGTCGGCTGTTGATATGGTTGCTTATTGGTCTCAGCTATCTATTCTGGTGATTTGAAGCGCAAATTCCCTTGTTGGTACAGCCTTGTCGGTACAGTACAGAGACAAGAAATGTCGTTTGGGAGCACTACATCCATACATAATGTACAAATATTTGAACAGCATTACTTCCTATATGTCTCATTTTGGGCGTAGAAATATTGGTTGGACCTCCCTGGCAAGTCGCATGTTGAGATCTGAATGCTGAATAGGCCTGTGGACCCATCCGAGCCTTGATATTCATCGATCTTAGCGAGTCTCATGATAATGGGTTTCAAGATTTGAATGCTTGGTGTTCCAATGCCCTCCCTCCATGGCTGGTATTGCGTACTCCTGAGCTCAGAGGCGTTTCCCATTTCCTCTGTTGGAGTCAATTTATATTAAATTGTATGATAGAGCACCTGAGCAGGATTTTTTCTTGCTGGAGTGGATCGCGATTCTTATCTGTCGGCGTACTGTCGTTGCTGTTCTCAAGCCTGTTCTTGGTTCTTGGTTCTTGGTTTTTTGTTCTTGTTTTAATTTAGATAATTTTTTTTTCCCCTTGATATTGGTGTAATTGAGGTAATTTGTCACATTAAAGTAGACTCGTACTATTGACAAGTATACTTGCAAGAAAGCCTTGTGTAAGATGTACTGAAATCCGGTTCTTTTTTGTCCTGTGGCAAGGCAGAATCGGAAAATGATCGACGCAAGCACATGTGGTTCGCTGCTGGGTTGTACCCCCTGCGTCCGCCTTTTGACATGTATGCGTTCTTGATGTCATTCGTAGGAGCGGTGGGGGGAGAGACACGTTGACTGGTGCATGTATGGATAGGGAAAACCATGGTAATCAAGACCGAGCTTGGAATGCTCTCTTGCTCTACAAATCCAGATCAGTCCTGTCTTCCGGCGCTACTGTAGTACAACCAAGCCCGTGGGTAGCGAATGGCGCTTGGGTGATCCAGCGTTGGCAATTCCAAATCCCAGTGCCAATCTACAGTCCACATTCTAAGTGATTGTGATTGTGACTGTTGGTTTCTTGCCCAGTTTCCAGTTTCCAGTTTCCAGTTTCCAGTTTCCAGTTTCCAGTTTCCATGTTCCAATATCCAGTTTCTCGGGTTCTGGTGATTGTTAGGTTGACTCACACTCTTTTCCCCTCGCTTAGATGCCCAACATTTGAATATGTACAGAAATTTACAGTTTACAGTTGACACGAATACTACTTACCTAGTACTCGGTAGGCAAAGAACATTTGAACGGTGAGCGTTTAGCGCATCTCGCCAGTCCGACCTGCAGTGATCAACCCACAAAATTACCGTTTCCTGTCTAAGGCTGAGTTTCCTACTCATCCAACTCCCCTCCCAGCTGCAGAGATCCTGAAACATGTTGTCAAGTAGCTCCGGGCCACGCGACCGCCACTGCAGGTTTAACGCCTTCCCGCACGTCGACTCGATAGCTCACAAGTACGATGCTGCACATGCGAACTGACTCCTCGCTGACAGAATTTTGATGCAATCGTGATGCGTGAGGAAAGTATCGGTGTATATCCTTTTTTCCCAAATAGGCTATAGGGTAAATTGAAAATTCGCCCATGGGGGAGATATTGCTACTCCGTGCTTTGCGTACACGCACTTTCAACCCCGCAACACACACACACACACACGCCAGATATGTCTGATTATCATTTCCTTTCTTAGGCTCGGTTGGCACGCGGGAATTCCGGAGCACTCTGTTCCCTGATACTAAGACCTACATACATAGATTTTGGTCGGATTTTCGAAGTTGATGCATCAATGGTGGTCAATTGTTTGCTTCGGTGCCTAACTGGAACTCTCCATGACTCCATGAAGCTCCGTGGAGCTTCGGAGCCGGATGGTGGGGCCGAAACTTCGATTTCTGATTCTCTGCTCCGTAGGTTGTGCTCCGTAGATAGCTCCCGTTGGGAATCGTAAAAATAGACAGCCACCAAATTAAAGATTAGGCAAGAGAAAAGAGGAAAAAGGTAAAAAGCCTGCCCTGAATAACATGTCATATAAGGGAAAAAGGG